AAATAAGTCAAAATTAGTTCAACAACAACAACAACAACAACAACAACAACAACAACAACAACAACAACAACAACAACAACAACAACAACAACAACAACAACAACAACAACAACAACAACAACAGCACAACAACAACAACAACAACAACAACAACAAATAACAATAATAATTATATAAACTTTCTGAAATACTTTCGAGTGTTTACTTACCCTTTTCAATTGAATTTCTTACACAAACGGGGAAACCTGTAATTACAAATTTGAGAATACATACAAAACATAGAGGTAGTATTGCATTATATGGAGAGAGGGAAGTAACTCGTTAATCATAAACATAAACATTTCTAACAAGCAAATCATCCATTACATTAAAAGTGTGGCACATACGTAGCTACTACTATTATTTTTTGTTATTGCATCCCAATCTTAACATTTACAGTCAAAACAAGTGTTTTAGATTTCATAGTTATTCATCTGTTGAATATCGAATCAACTCTAGGTTGGGGATCCCGGAATGTTGCTATCCAGAAATCGACATTGCGAGATGTAAACTGATAGTTTTGTGGTTACGGATGATGTCAATGTCGATAGGAATTCCTCCTAAAAATTCACAAAACCACCTTAACATATTGTCGGAAAGTACAGAAAGTCAGAAAGTTTTTCGGTACATTTATCTGGGGCTTTGGAAGGTATTTCCAAACCATATATATTTGAAACATGATTTATAACTCAATGAAATGAACGAAATTCTTAATGATTTTTATCAAAGGCACCGTCCTGTTCAGTTCTAGACAGGAGTAATAAGAGCGAAGTCTTCGGGCACCGTGAACCGGAAACCATTCTACCCGCAAACCTAGGTGCTTTCGCGTAAACTATGCATAGATTGGGATCGAGTCTTGATTGCCTGGTAACTACACTGGTCAGCATGACAACGTTGATTATACCCGTTCACCCAGATGTTTGATCACTTCCTGAAAGTCTTCAAATCGCAAGCCTAATTAACACATATTCCAAGCGCAATGTTGATCTTGTATTTCACTTAATTACATCAGATATCTTATATATCATATGAGATATCTCTGATATATAAGATATCGATCTTATCTTGTATATAAAATATTTGATATATTTAAGCTTTTTTACATATTGTATGAGATGTTTGATACACCACACAAGATATTTTATATAATGCGAAATATGTACCGACATTGCTCGTGGAATAAATCTTAGTTGGCTTTTCATAGTCTCCTTTCTCTCTGATGTAGCACTGGCAGTGCGGACACCGACTGAAAAAGAGAATAAATCTGTTAAATCTTGTACAACTGTAGTTGATATCTCCACACGAAATCATTACCACGCCTCCAACACAGAACACCTGATTATACTGCTGTGATACCAATCTTACCACACATATTATCAGCAGTAAAGTTTACTAAGTAGATACCGTACCCTTGCTGAGTTGAAACATTAATCACTTTACGAAGTTGTTAAATACTTTTTAAACAATAAGTTTAACGTTCAGTTACGTATGTAGATGAGACCTAATTATGAATTCAGACATGAACTGTTTGAGAAAAGCATAGCTCTCCTATTGAGGACATAGGAAAAGATATCAAAAACACCGAAAAGATAGGATACCATGTTTAAATTCACAACAAAACTGCATACGAAAAAATCACTCTTTGATAAATCAGACGAAACAACTCTATGCTTACATTAAATATCGAATTACCAGTGCACATATTTTACATTTGTATTATGTATTAATGCATTTTATAACTCCCAGCAAATCGTTAACTTAGTTGAGGACGCCGACGCTGGGGTGATTCCGTCAGTCCCATGTTCTTCCATAAAAGCAAGCTACTGAAGAATAAAGATATTTGTACTCACTTAAGTTAAGATAGTTAAAGTCTAACATTCCTTGATAATAATACACTAATGTCATGTCTTTCCTTGTTACTTTCGGTAAAGGACTAGCCAATCAAATGTGACGTTGCAAACATCAAGTCTTACATTACAGGTTGACAACATAAATGAAGCAGTGTTGAATTAAATCATAGATATCTTGTAAAATATATAATTTTATAGTTAGCAGCGAGCTCTTTCTGATATCGTGTGTAGAAATTAAATGTGGTTAAAATTAACCCAACCCAGCAAAGTGCTTATGATCCGCCTTAGACAGCTGGTTACTAGATTACTTAAAGCAGAACAGGATGTAAAATTCTTACCTGGTGATTGATTTACAAATTATCTTTACCTACCACTTATCCTTTCAATCTTTGACGTGGAAATTAAAATATGCTTCTAATCTTGAGTAATTGAAATAGCATTAAATAACATATACATTGATGATTTGAAATCCACGTTGCTAAAACCTTGTTGAAGAAAATACATCACCTGGATGAAAACACCATTGATTTGCCGATTCCAATCTTATCATCGAAAAACATCAAAGCTTTACCAAAATATGTACAGAAGACTCCTAAGCTAAAACGTTGCTGTTTCATTCCCTGAAATCGGCAAAGCCGCAGAATCTTCAGGATCACTGGTCGTCCGCTCTCGGCACCACTCACCACATCATTCAGTCTGGTTACTTACCTATATACCATGGTCGGCACAGTGTCAGTAACCAACTGTTGTTACCAAATGTTGATAAAATCATCAATTATCTCTCAACACCTGAAAGAACAATGGCATGAGTGTTTAACTGCCAAATGTACAAATTATATATCTCACAATTTTGAGGTGAACTGGTACATATACGCTGGCACAAGTCTCGTCACAAAACAGGTAAACTGGTACATCCACGCCAGTCTCGTAACAATGCACCTGAACCAGTACATGAGGGACTTAACAACGACTTGTTTTGTTACTCCCGAGATGGGGAAAATGAACATTTGGAAAACTGAACATGTTTTTTTCATAAAAACTTTTTGATATTCTAAGGGCCGAAGATATTACTACCACGTGCATTACATTTAAGAGAAATGTTTTCTCTTTCCATGAATGTTTGATGAAAGAGATAGGCCAAGTCTTGACCAAGTAATGACATAATGAATTTGGAAATACATGGCATTATATGGAATAGGAAACTTCGATAACGTATAAAACATTACACTTTCAAATGGCATTCTTTGTGGTTTAGTTAATGATATACCCATTGTAGACGAGAGGACGCTTCAACAAGATAGGGAAATATCTATCTAACCATTTCTACATGTATTTCTAAATTCGCCAGGTCTTCTGTTTTAGTATGGCTGAGAAGATACTATCATATAAAGAGAATGCATGGTCAGCGAGTTGGGATATAAGCTGTATCTTGGCGCGGGTGAAGAAAGACGGAAGTGACGAACCCCTGTAGCTTATATATCAAGACTCTCACCACATATTCTATTTATCCTGCAACATTTATTGCAAAACAGATTACTGAACTTAAAAGTTTTGTTGTTTAATTTGTGTTTACCTGATGTTGACGTTACGCTTAATTTTGGTTGACGACGGGCGCCAATGTAATTGATCCGCACGGAAATATTGTACCAAACTTAATCGGATATAACAGCGATTTCATTATTTTTTTTACAAATCAACATGTTTATTACAACATGTAAAATCGCTTTTTTCAACAGCTATACGTATTTCTAAACGTAATATTCAGAGAGTAATTTTGTCGAATTACCGCACGTGCTAAAACTACAGCTGTTTTCCGTCACTGCCGAATACAGCAAAACTATATGTGGCAGGTTACTCCGACAATGGCAGCGCCAGTTGCAGGATAAATAATAGTATAGTGTATAGTATAGTATAGTAAACTAACATCAACTACTTTTTTTATTGTTCTTTTTGAAATACAGTACCTAAATATTCATATTATGAAATGAAACATTAGTTTTCAATGGCGATATGTCATACCATTATTAAGCAGCATCCTATAACAGAGAAACTCTCAAAACAATTTTAAAATGTATGTGTAGTTTTCAGCTCAGAACTTCCAGAAGTAATCAAGCTTATTCGTTACATGGCGACCGTCATGTGCACGCTTGCCAACTTCTTCTCAATAACACTGAAACTGAAAGTCGCTTGTAATGGGCCAGTTGCATGCCGGGATATAAGGCTATCATTTTATTTCTATCAAATCGACAATCTTGATCGCCTGTCGGTGTTACAGGGTCAAATGTACTTAATTTAAAGCGTTTCTTCTGAATATTATTTATGGTCATGAACACGCTTGGATAAGGCAAGATTCAAATCTGTGAACGCTTTCTTCTGTATTAAATCAATCAGTTCGCGTTGTTTAGTCGGATGTATGTTTTGTTTTTGCTACAAAGTGTGTTCAAAATAATGATATTGGTGCATGTTCGGAGTCAGAAGGTTTAATTGTTCCATGACTGGATAAAAAGACTAATTTTAGTTAAAGTTTAGAATGAACACAAATGTTTTCTCCCTAAAAGTTGATGAACAGACCAGCGATACAGGCAAATGTAGTCTCTTGTTGTTTGTTGTACAAATCGCTACAGTTTTGCTGATGAAAAAATGAATGAATAGATAAATGAGTTATATAACATTGTTATTGAATTACTGTATACCGAAATATTTTTGCGCTGTGCATTTTTTTTTTTTTTTTTTTTGCGAAACTCACCAGAGAGTACCTTATATTTTTTTTTGTTTTTTAGTTTTGTTTTTTGTTTATTTCGTTTACTGTGATATCATCGTCTCATATAAATCAAAAGGTAACATGATATAATGTGCGAACAAAATACATTTTCGTAAAGTGTCTTTTCCCAGTCATCGTGTTATGAGAACAAAGAAAGATAATTTTAAAACTCCGCCATTGTTTGTTCACAAAAAAGACGAGCCGATAGAACAATGGAGTCGATTGCGATATGTCAGCTCCCGTGTGGTTGGGTTTGCGCGTGCTGTAATCCGACCGCGCCGGGATGTTCCATACACACAACCGGGGGAGACTAGTTATCAGCTGGCCACGTCAGTGAATATGATGGAGCTGGATCGCGGAACAGTGGGGTAGAGTTTTCAGTAGGTCTAAACCAAAACGCGTGGTGTATTACACCAGTGTCGATCTGCAGATGTAAACAGATTTTGCAAACTAAATGATGTTGAAGATGACTTGAGTACAGGATTTTAAAGCTTTGGTAGTGTTCGTAGTTTGTGCTTGTAAAGTTGCCGGGATCTATATGTAATTATCGTTGTACATAGTGCGATTTGCTGCTGCTAGACATGTAAGTATGAAACATTAATATTGTACGTATGTACAGTATAGCTGTTTACTTACATATATTAGAGTATAAATAAACGTATTGGTCGATGATGGAAGGAATTTAGTGAGGGGTTGGGGTGGGGGTGGTGTGGGAAGTGGGGGGTTGGGGGGTTGGAGGGGGAGGGCTTTGGAGTTTAGGAGTGGGGGATATTAAGTACATGTATGATTAAAACGTATTAAATATATTGTAGATAATTACCCTCCCAAAATATGTTTTTTATGGAAACGAATCAAACTTAAAAAGTACATTGTTTATGGTGATTTGTGAATACACTTGCCACACGTGTGTTTAATTATGTCAAATAATAAAAGACTTGTTCTGGGTAACAGGCACACAACGTAATGTATACACATCTGTTTTCTCTGTGTATTGCCAAACCTCCCTCATCCCTTCACTATCTGTTGTACTCTGGGGAGGGTGTATATTGGGAGGGGGATGTTGCCCTATAGGTACTAAGCAACTGAATGAATCATCAGAACAGCTAGACAGATATTAAATGTTCAGTAACACCACCTCCTCATCCTATATCTACCTGTAATCAATATAAGTACACTTAGTTATGTGTTAACATGCCAAATTCATTTTGACTCTTCCGAAATAAGACAAAAGCATGATTTCGTAGACGTTGAAGTCCTAGTTTTAATACCTATGTTACTCATAACCTTTCTACATCTTCGTCAGTTATACAAATTACTGCTTTTATAACTCCGTCAACAGTAGGGTTAATCTGTGGCGGGGTCTTTGTAATAGCTGGTGACTATTTTAGTGAACAACATGCGGGAGTTCCACCGCACGTCATGTTCAGCAATCGGGGAAAAAGTGTATCGCCAAAGAACACTACCACGACAGCAAAGGATGGTCCGGAAAGGCACGAAGTCAGACGCTCTACAAACACTTTACGATATTTACACATGTCTTCACGAATTTGAATAAGGTCATTTATAGACAAATACTTTATTTAATAAAGCAGTCTGTCTGGTAAAAAATGTGCCTGAATAGCAGTATAACTATACGTCTATCACGAGTATATCACGACAACAGGCTTCAGGGAAAAGAATTTATTTTATAAAAATGATTCATTTCACAAGAATCCATTTTCTGAACACTTCAAAACTGAAGATGCTTATCTTATCTTTTTACAGAAATTGTGAGATTTAAGTTATTACAATGATGAGAAAACGTCTGTTTTATTGGTATATTGACTAAGTAGTAATTGAAATGTTAAAACCCCCGATAAGAGAAAATTGTGGTGCAGCTTTATAGCTCGATAGTAAACCTCATTAATGTGTTTACACTCGTTTTCTTAGATATATTGACAGTCCTGTATATATATAGTGGAGGCATAGATATCGGGTGAAATATTGGCAGTGTGATATCCCCACTCAGTGCTGAGTGAAACACTTTGAAGGAGGAGCCATTTTCATAGACGCCAGACAAAACAGGTATTGAGACCTGTACGTCTTCCAGTCAGCACATTCTATATTGTCATACCTCATTGACGTACCTCGAGGACGTGTGGCGGGAAAGAATTTTGATTCAATCGTTCTGAAGAACAATGATTCTTTTTCAAAGTCATTCATACATATTTTATTTATCTTTTGTCTACAGCTTTTATTATTTTACCTTGAAACAGAGTACCTTTCAAAAGAAAATCTTCAAGAAAAAAGAAACACTTCGCGAAAACTGGTCACCATATTTTTAGTGTTGACATCGGCCTCAGTACAGACTTAGATGTGTCTAATTCCGTGGCCTCATGGACAGTAAATCGGGAACCAGGGACGCCATTTGTGCTAACCATCGATAATAAAATCCATAGAAAATCGGTAGTTCTATTATTTATATGAGGATAAAATTTCAAGATTAATTTTAAGAGACAGTTAAGCTGACAAAGTAAAATTGAGACCTGCTAAGCCCGTATTCATGAAACCGTTCTCATGCTCAAGCATGAATTTTGTTCTCAAGCCTTATGTCTTGTTTAAGTTGAAAATTAATAAATAAGGCTTATTTTGCCAAAGATTTAAAAAAAATTGAAAGGATTTAAAGTCATTATATTCAATGTTTATATTTGATATTTGTATGATTTTGCATGATTTAGGAGAATTATAAAAAAAAAGTTTGCGTGAGCACAAAATCATGAATACGCAAATATCAGATACAAATATGTCACATTAAACTACACAAACGGGCATTAAGCCTGATCTTATTTAGTAAGAATTCCATCATATGATCAATATAAAAAAAACCGCCATCATTTAATACATATTCTAATTGTGCGCGCTAACGCCGTGTAAAAACAGGTGTGTGCACGTGTGTTGTGGATTTCACGATAAAAGTTTGATCTGTATCTGTGATGAGTAGTCCCATGGTACCACTGTGATGAATGAACACAAGAGTCCATTTTTTGCTTAGCTGTGTCACTAGAAGCAATCAGATTGGTGCTTACGTTAATGCAACACACAGCACCTGCTGGGTTGTAGGTAATAATGTACACGGAGTTAAAAAAAAACAGTCATTATCTTGTTTACGATTGATGTTTTACATTCGGTACAACCTTGATGCATCATCGACTCCTAAACACATGTTTACATTCCCACAATCTTTCCTTTTGAAATATCTTAAGAATTAACTCTTGAGGCGGTGATGAACATCAACAATTTGTTTAAGTAGACCAAGAGCGTAGATGTGAAACCAAAATAAATTAGAATAAACTTAATGACATTTTAAGCTTGCTTCACAGAGCGATAATTTTATCTATAAAACTGCTCTGATTTTGTGGTCGCAGTACTGATATATATAACCGACAGAAATATGTTTAAATGTAAACAACTGTTGCAATAATTGCTGAGGTGTAGCATTAACAGTTGTGTTGAAGGATGTGTTGTAGTATTGACTGCCATGATGTAGTATTGACAACCGTGATGTAGTATTGACAGCCGTGATGTAGTATTGACAGCTATGATGTAGTATTGATTGCCATGATGTAGTATTGACAGCTGTGATGTAGTATTGTTTGCCATGATGTAGTATTGACAGCCGTGATGTAGTATTGATTGCCGTGATGTAGTATTGATTGCCATGATGTAGTATTGATTGCCATGATGTAATATTGACAGCTGTGTTGTAGTATTGACAGCTGTGTTGTAGTATTGACAGCTGTGTTGTAGTATTGACAGCTGTGATGTAGTATTGACAGTTGTGTTGTAGTATTGACAGCTGTGTTGTAGTATTGACAGCTGTGTTGTAGTATTGACAGCTGTGTTGTAGTATTGACAGCTGTGTTTTAGTATTGACTGCTGTGATGAAGTATTGACAGCCATGATGTAGTATTGACAGCTGTGATGAAGTATTGACAGCCATGATGTAGTATTGACTGCTGTGATGTAGTATTGATTGCCATGATGTAATATTGACAGCTGTGTTGTAGTATTGACAGCTGTGTTGTAGTATTGACAGCTATGTTGTATAGTATTGATAGCTGTGTTGTAGTATTGACAGTTGTGTTGTAGTATTGACAGCTGTGTTGTAGTATTGACAGTTGTGTTGTAGTATTGACAGCTGTGTTGTAGTATTGACAGCTGTGTTTTAGTATTGACTGCTGTGATGAAGTATTGACAGCCATGATGTAGTATTGACAGCTGTGATGAAGTATTGACAGCCATGATGTAGTATTGACTGCTGTGTTGTAGTATTGACAGCTGTGTTGTAGTATTGACTGCCATGATGTAGTATTGACAGCTGTGATGAAGTATTGACAGCCATGATGTAGTATTGACTGCTGTGTTGTAGTATTGACAGCTGTGTTTTATTATTGACAGCTGTGTTGTAGTATTGACTGCCATGATGTAGTATTGACAGTTGTGATGTAGTATTGACAGCTGTGTTTTAGTATTGACTGCTGTGTTTTAGTATTGACAGCTGTGTTTTAGTATTGACTGCTGTGTTTTATTATTGACAGCTGTGTTGTAGTATTGACTGCCATGATGTAGTATTGACAGTTGTGATGTAGTATTGACAGCTGTGTTGTAGTATTGACTGCTGTGTTGTAGTATTGACAGCTGTGTTTTAGTATTGACAGCTGTGTTTTAGTATTGACTGCTGTGTTTTAGTATTGACAGTTGTGTTTTAGTATTGACAGCTGTGTTTTAGTATTGACAGTTGTGTTTTAGTATTGACTGCTGTGTTTTAGTATTGACAGCTGTGTTTTAGTATTGACAGTTGTGTTGTAGTATTGACAGTTGTGTTGTAGTATTGACTGCCATGATGTAGTATTGACAGCCATGATGTAAAATTGACAGCTGTGATTTAGTATTGACTGCTGTGTTGTAGTATTGACTGCAATGATGTAGTATTGACAGTCATGATGTAATATTGACAGCTGTGATTTAGTATTGACTGCTGTGTTATAGTATTGACTGCAATGATGTAGTATTGACAGTCATGATGTAATATTGACAGCTGTGATTTAGTATTGACTGCTGTGTTGTAGTATTGACTGCCATGATGTAGTATTGACAGCCATGATGTAATATTGACAGCTGTGATTTAGTAGTGACTGCTGTGTTGTAGTATTGACAGCTGTGTTGTAGTATTGACAGCTGTGTTGTAGTATTGACAGTTGTGTTGTAGTATTGACTGCTGTGTTGTAGTATTGACAGCTGTGTTGTAGTATTGACAGCTGTGTTGTAGTATTGACAGTTGTGATGTAGTTTTGACAGCTGTGTTTATTTGTAGATAATAAAACGAGTACATGTCATTATCATCTCCAAGTTATATTTTTCGGAAGTCATATTTGTGGTTTTGCTATGTTCTTGGTAATGTGGCGAAAATTTAAGGAAATAGTGATATGCAGCATGTTGCAAGAAAATTTCAATAACTCACTTTGTTGTACATTGTAAATTCCGCCCTCTTTCTGTTACAGAGTGACGTCATCATGTCTCTGACAGATGTGATGGACGACATCGACTACGAGACTATCCGTTTTAATGTGAACGAGACTCAGTCCCGACACCCGCTGTGGATGACGGAATCTCATTTCATTTACCATCTGTATAGGGATGCGGCAGGGGCTCTCAACTGTCACAAAGACCAATTCGGGGAACCAGTATGTTCTCCAAGGTAAGTTATGAACATCGCATTCGAAATGGGGTCTTACGGACATTCTTGTTAGAAGTGGTGTTTCGTCGATAAAGCAGAAGACGCTTATTCCCGGAACACCTGGTCTTATTCTCTTTGTAGTTTTTCAGGAGTCTCCATGTAGATATTTTGTACATATTTTGCCCTAGTGTAATTGAATTTTAGTTTGGATCATAATTATGTTGATATATTGGTATTTTGTTGCTGGTTTTGAGGAATCAGGATATCATTAAAAAGAGATTTCGAGCCATAACTCCGATGGACGATTGAAAGAACAAGATTTTTGTCTTAATTTGTTATGAAATCCTGTGATCAAACCAAGCAAGACTTCAAAACTTTTACAAGTCATGGATAGTCTTAGATTAGTACTCTAAACGAAGTTTTGTTTTACGTTTGCAGGCATCTAGCAAACCTTTGTATGAACAAGCTTGTATGTGATCCTGGTCGGGTGTTCGGACACATGAAGGCGCGAAATATGCCAGGCGGAATTTACCCGGCACTGCTGTCGGAAGCCATATTTCAAAGAGAGCTACATACTATCAACTTCCTCGTCAGCACATGGCCTACCACCGTCCTTGATCTACAATCGGCCATGCCTGGAGAGGACTTAAGCTATGATGAAATACTAACCACGCCGGTAGAGGAGAAGGACGGGTTAACCATCCTTGACTGTGTCATCTACGCTCTTCTCGCTCTACGGCCAGTATCCAACCTCAAAATTGTCAACTTCTCAGGGTTTTTAGGTAAGATTGGTCTCTTTGTCATCTGTCATCATTGTAGTTAGTGAACAATAGCTTTAGGTGATGAAGAGGAAGTGGTCTTTGATACAGAATCAATTTTTTTAATACTGCCAATTAAACTCTGGTGATATTCTGGTTTAAATATTGTCTTTAACCAAGTGAAAATAATAAAACATACAGGAAAGCATGAACGGATTTAATATAGCAGTGGAAACGTCAGTATCAACTATTAACAATTATTTTTGCAGACCGGAAGTTATGTCGGGAACTCTCCAGACTTCCGCTGCTGTGGATGAATCCGGACGACCGAACAGTTGACAGGATCCATGAAATACTAAACCGGACTATCGGTTAGTCATCCGGATACGGATACACAGTCTTCGTCATATGAATTTACGTATACGGTTCTGTGTTGAATTGACGCGAAACCATCGTTTCTTCTGTTCAACGCAAAACAGGTCAAGAAACGCAGGAAATGATAGTAACAAAACATTCAATACTGAGTAACCTTGTATGAGAAATAACCAATATGGCTCAGAATAACAAAATGGTTTGATATCGGAAATGATGTTTGTTTCGGAACCTTCATTTATAAAATGAAATGCTGTTTTTGATTGGTGATTTCAAATAATTTTTTTGATTTTATTTCAGATATAAGCAGAGAAAAAGTCCAGAAGTATCTTAACAGATTTAACCTTATATACGCTAACATGGATCCGTACATTAAACATGGAAACCAGTTTGGTAAGTACAACACGGACGACAAGTCCCACCATAGGCCTGTACATCGCCGATCCTGGTAGTAGAAAATAATATATTTCGGTGTTTTGACTCACTATACGTGAACCGATATAACGAATGATACAGGACTTTAATAACTGAAGCAGATTGGCTGATTTTTTTTCTGCCTTCAGACAGCAGAAAGGAAGGAGTCTCTTTGAAGAATTCATGTGAAGAAATCCCAATTGCCAACAAACGAATACTTTCGAAAATCTTCAGATAACACTCTCTACAGTAGTGTTCAAAAACACGCGTTTTTTGGGGGAAATCTGCTCGCATCTGCGCATGACCTTAGCTGTCACGCTAATGAATATTGATAATAAATGAATCGATCATTTCGTTGTCATGGAATCAGGACTGATGTCGTGTCTTGCTGTCTTTTCCTGAGTTTAACGTTACGTTACGTCTTTGAACTCTTCACCGTGGACGCCTTCCTGTTACAGTATTCCGAGATTGGCCGATTCCTTTCCTTTCTGCCATTTCGTTAACAATGTACAATGGCAGTATAAAAACGGAGACTTCTTTCACCAGCAAATGATTGTAGAAAGGCGTACACAACCAATAAACCGCCAATCAGGGTCTAGTGTGCGGTTGGTTGGCACATGGAACATTGTAATCTCCAACAGGAATCTGCCAGAACAATTTGCGCCAAAAACTAAAAACCAGACGGCTTTGTGTAATGAAAGCAATTAATACTTAGGTAGGTATCTCCCGTGAATCAGCCCCGCTGACGTATACGTTCTAGTTAAAGACTTGTTGATATTTATCTCCCGTGCAGGTTAGAACCACGTGCATCTATGTTTCCTGTTACACGGGCGTTTTTACATTATTAGTTTCTCTATAAACATCACATGAATTTCTTGTTTTTATCGATAATTGATATCTCAATTACAGACTAGATTCTCGCGGAAAAAAATTTAAGAATCATTCTTTGTTAAGTAATTATTATTCTAAAATATTATCTTCTTGAGCAGGGTTTCTCATGTCTTTTTTTACCTGATTTGGGAACGAATATGGGCTCCATTTCCAATGATAGCATCTTAAACTTTTCCCAAATTCAAGCATCAACATTCTCAATGTTGGTAGTTTAACAAACTGTCGAAAAATCTGGATGGTGCTAATGAAAGTCTAATTGTTAACAGTCAGCCCTAGGTTCAAAAGCTGTCAATTTGTTTCAGTCAAGGTTGTGAGAAGTTAATTTCAAAAGCTTTGTATTTTGTTATTTTCCTTGTTTTAAATTTCGTCAATTTTTCCCCTTCGTTTGATTCATTGTCTGTACAACATAAAACTTCATCCTGGCCAACAAGAGTGATTGCCGATAGTTTGTTTCGCAATTGTATAAAGTTAATAAAAAGTAACTTTGATAGGAACATTTTGACTTGTCGATATTGTGTGAATAGTACCAGCTGACGGTTATAACGTGGTAAATCATCAAATCTGTGTGTAAAATGGATACGAGAACGTGATAACAAGGATACCAGAACGCGGTAACATAGATACAAAAACGTGGTAACAAGGATACCAGAACGTTGTAACATGGATACCAGAACGTGGTAACAAGGATACCAGAACGTGGTAACATGGATACCAGTGGTAACATAGATACCAGAACGTGATAACAAGGATACCAGAACGTTGTAACATGGATACCAGAACGTTGTAACATAGATACCATAACGTGGTAACATGGATACTAGAACATGGTAACAAGGATACCAGAACGTTGTAACGTAGATACCAGAACGTTGTAACAAGAATACCAGAACGTGGTAACATGGATACCAGAATGTTGTAACATGGATACCAGAACGTGGTAACATGGATACCAGAACGTGGTAACATGGATACCAGAACGTGGTAACATGGATACCAGAACGTTGTAACAAGGATACCAGAATGTAATGTTTTTGTTGTAGATCCCTTATCAAACACATCCTGATTTCACGTAGACACCGGAGTTACATGATGTCGATTTCACAGTTCCTTATTCAAACAAACGAGTCGAAATGTCGAGATAAGATTTACAAAACAGTGGACACGTTTGCATTCCACGTCACTCACACTGCTTACAAATTTCTTTGTACAGTTGGTTGTAAATACTTCAATTCAGTTTGAAATTTCCGCCTTCGTTTTAAATTCGCCAAATCTTCACGGGGCGAGAATGACGAAAATTAAACGACGGCGAAAATGTCCAGGCTTACAGTAATAAGAATAAGTTTTTTCTGACCTCAATATCGGAGGTTAGACACTTTGACGGGAACATGACTGGTACCGGTAAGCCTTTATCAGCCAAGAGGTTAAGCACCTGATGTCGGGAACACTGGAAATTCGAGAAAAATCGTCAGAGTATTTTTAAGCATCGAATACTCAAGTCCCAGTGTCTCTAATCCATTAACAATGCATGATAAACATAAGATTGTGTCAATACAAGGCCATGCCTAGTTCAGAAGGAATACAGAACTACAGATGTATGAAAGAGTTTGTGACATGACAAAGAATAAACAAACTTGGCCCAATCGTCACTTAGTATAAAACACTCAGTTCTGGCGAACGCCGGAAAAATACCGTAGAAATGACAGTAATTTGATAATTTTCAATTTCAGAGCCGGTCACGATAATCTTGGACTGTAAAATCACACTGGATGATGTTCCCATAGGGCTTGGTCTCCAGTATGACACGCCCTTCCGGTTTGGCTGCAAGAGAGTGTGGATGGAGCCGATCCCGGAAATCTCTTTACCAATGACCGGTATAAATCGAGTACTTGAACTTAGGGTAAGTTGATGTTATAATAATAGCTGGTCATGTCAGTTCCTACCGTTGCATGCTTTGTGATCCAGAATACCCAGAACCTCTAAACGGCTGACAGACCTGGCTTGGTTGTCGGTTTTTGTTCTAGCATACGTCCGCTTTACCTCTCGTCTCAGAATTCCTTAATTACACGCGTTAATTGAATTATCTCTCTATTAGGTTTTGAACAGCTATTATTGTGACGACCTTGAGCATATTGTTCTGATGCTTTGCTTACAATGCATTGTAACGTATATGAGATTGAACATCGTTAGTCTAAAAACGTTTTTCATCCATCACCATCAGTTAGCCATCTTGGATTTATCGTTGAACGATTGTTATCGCCATTTCCTGAGACGTACTGCATGGATCTTTCGCTAATTTCGTTGTAAGTTGGCCTAGTTTCCGGTCATATCCTACTTGTTTAACAGTGGAACAGGCTTCAACATAATAGCCGACAGGCGACCGTCTTGCATTTTGACAGTTCAAGTTTGTTATCGTTCTATCTGAAAAAAAAACCCCAACCGAATAAGTCTTTCTCAATTGAAACATTTCCGATTTCAGTTAGTTTAAACATATTTTTATTTAACATTCAACATTTACACACATAAATGTGATACGTATGAGATAGGAAACAAGCTGAGAACTTATAATCATTAATTTTAAAAATTATAGGTCTTTAGAATTTACTGCGTCACATGAATTGTAATGATACAATGATATTCTAACCCAAGGATTATATATTTGCATTTATAAAGTAAACTGCAGCCAAGTTTGCCCCCTCTTAAGAGTGTGCAAAGTCTGAGCTCGTCTGTTCGTCCGTCTGTCAGATGCACCGTTGCCTTTGTTATATTCACTTCCACTTTTAATAAGTTAAATATTGTTTAAACGAAATTTTACAAGAGTTATGTCCATTCTCTGGTAGTCGTACACAAGTTTTGTTCAAAGTTAATAGATTTTTCCTTCCCGATTTTGTTGCCATTGGCAATGTCTCGATCAATTTCGTCAAGGTCGGGAAATGGTCGAAAAGAGGCGAATGGGATATTCGGGATTTTAAAGTGACGTTTAAAAAGCTATATTTATCAAAAAATTAATTCAGTTATTTAATTTTAAAAAAATCGATTATTAACATAATGAAGTCCATAAAAAAGTGTTCCAAATATTTTGAGTTGAACGTTTCACCGCGTGTGTTGCAGGACCTTACCCAGGTAGAGTACACGGACCCACAGATCTGCCACGACATGGATAGACTGAAAACCCTGATGGAGGGACTACAGCTTCTTCCTCATCTCCAGACCCTAAGCATTCCAAACACTATCCACTCGGACGGACATGAAAACGCTCTGAAACATTTCGCTTCAAGTGTTGGCCAAATACCTATGTTACGTAAACTGAACTTGGCTTCCTGTAACTTGCGTGGACAACTTGAAACTATTCTTGTAAAATTGTCCCAGGAAATAACATACCTGAATCTTCGTGACTGTCGTCTTTGTGATGATGATATCCTTAACCTTAGGTTATGGAAGAAACTCTCCGGACTAAAAGAATTAAATCTTAGCCGGAATAACTTAAAATCGTCCGACCTTGCCCTTGGTGATGTTCTACAAGCAATACCAAATATGGGATGTTTCTCCGTGTCATATTGTAGTCTGTCCAACTCTCAGCTAGAGGCCATTGCACAAAAATGTATCGATTTAAAATATATGAAGATGTTAGGCCTTCAGAGTTTTACTCCACCTGTGATGGTGGATATGGAGGCTTTACTTCAGATTTGCTCTCTTATAGACTCCCTTCAAAAGTGCTACATTCTCCCAGACGCCTTTGCGTTTCCCGGAAGTAACAGTGCGTTCCGCCATGAAAACAGGATGTTATTTGTCGAGAATTGCGAATCATTTCTACAACAGGTAGGCAGACCCGACATAGAACTGGAATGAAGTCCGAAAACATTATTTAACAAAACCCAGAATATTTATTTCGCCATTAATACTTCCAAAAATTAATTCTATGTTTAGGACCGATATGCATGCATTAATGTTCGTAGGATCAGTGTATCTACTCAAAATTGATGACTTCTCGGGATATATTATATTTCTGTCTGAACAATACTAATTCACATTGATCTGACTTCCGAATGGGTTATGAATGAAAGGTAGCGAAATCATTGCGAGCTGTAGATGTAAAGAAATATGAGCAAGTGTTATAGTCAATGCACGGATTGCACTTTTCTCAGTATGTGTAGAATATTTTTGGACGAAGATCTTCGGTAAAAATTAGAATTAACAGAATGTTAATCTTGTTTTCAAAAACATCCAAATATCAACAGAATCACATCAAAACAGATCCAAATAAGCATGTCAATTTCTGAGGTTCTGTGGCAGCAATATCTCGACTGCAGACCAGTAAACGTGTCCAGTTCTGTGGCAGTAATATCTCGACTGCAGACCAGTACACGTGACAAGTTCTGTGGCAGCAATATCTCGACTGCAGACCAATACACGTGTCCAGTTTTGTGGCAGCAATATCTCGACTGCAGACCAGTACACGTGACAAGTTCTGTGGCAGCAATATCTCGACTGCAGACCAATACACGTGTCCAGTTTTGTGGCAGCAATATCTCGACTGCAGACCAGTAAACGTGACCAGTTTTGTGGCAGCAATATCTTGACTGCAGACCAGTACACGTGACTAGTTCTGTGGCAGCAATATCTCGAGTGCAGACCAGTACACGTGTCCAGTCAACAAGTATAATGAGCATGCGTCAGACATTTGTCCTTGTGTTACACCAACACTTTGATCACTGTTTATTTATACTAGAACTTTGCGTGATTTCATTTCACCGTGAAATTGAAGCACCAATGTAGGAGTTGTGATTACAGAGGGAGTCAACATACTACTTCCTTTTTCTCCCATCTACATTCCCACGTTTACACAAATAAACTTATTTAAATTGCCTTTTTTAGATTTCTAATTTTATTGTATTCGTGAAGTTTTATTTATTTATTTATTTATTTATTTTTTGCAAACTACTCTTCAAGTTTATTGATGACTCATTGGGTCGAGGATGATTCCGATGGGTAACAGTGAAAAAGATTGAAAATTCCTTGTAATGCACTGCATATCTATTCATTGTCGAGAACAAAGTGTGAATGGATACCCCCATTGCGGAAACAACATTCACAGATTAAAATCGTCGACTGTAACCAATGCCTGATATAAAACAAACACTAGACGTATGATTTTCAAAAGATAATAAATATAAAAAAAAAACAAACAAAACAAACAAAAACAAACGAACGCATTTCACTGTCTTTCGTTTAAGATTTTCCTACTCTGCAATACTGTGTGTAACTGTGTGATGTATTGGAAGACATTTGCACTACGTATACTTGTCACAAGAGCCGTGTGAGCCTGATAAGTGAGTTCAAACTACAGCAGTACAACATACAGAATCCATCTGCCGTCCTTATTTTTTGTTTGACATCTGACTTTGCCTATCATCTTCTCGTTAAAGATGTACCGCACCATCTTATACACAGGAGTAGCGTAGCTTTCTGTATATCACATTGTGAACTAAAATATGCATCTTTCTGTCATCACTTCGCTTCCACAGACAACTGCATGATTCCTTTGTTTACAGTAAAATACACAGGACTCTTTCACGTGGCACTGTCGTGACGACCAAAACCTAAAGAGTCTTTTGTTGATATCAGATCCACTTAGTGCACATTTGTAAATAAGCTAGAATCTAATCAATGTTCATCAGAGCAAGGATCGTGCAAGAGATGGTCTACTATGTGACACAAGCATAGATTATTGAACAAACCCACGACGTCAAATGGACCCATTGACTTGGCTAGCAGAACATTTCACTATATGTCACAAAAACTTGATCCATGTTCCGTATATTGTGTACAACTCACCAACAATTCGTGACAGATCCCTGTATTCGGCGTTTTCTGAATTATCAGATCAAAAGAATGTTTTTTGCTAAAATTTGCTAAATTCCTTAACAAAACCTCTCTTAAATACAGATTGAATATGACAAAAAACGGCGATATCTATGATGTTATGTCCATGCAACAACATCAAACCTGGATCGTGATTTTGTATCTATTTCACAGACAATTTTAGGCTTGTATGAGTCCACAGTAACACAGCAACAATATTTTAAAATATCGTTAAATGAAAACAACAAAGAAGTACGGACATGGCAACAGAATATTAATATAGTCTCAAATTCGATGAAATTACAGTAATATTTGAACAAAAGAAATATTTAGGCCTACAATTAGACTTCCGAAAAGTACCAAGAGAATAAGAACTGGTGCTCCGGAAGGGTAGGCGTCTTTTGCTTCGTCGTAAGTTTTGGTCAAATGTTCAAATGAGAACAATGTTGATAACTACTGAACAAATCTCTGCCAGAGTGCATTGCTGACCCCAATAACCCATAACACTGACTATGAAGGAACGACAACTCTGGTAGTGATTGCTACGGAACCTCAAAGCATACTATCGTGACGATAGTAAACATCCATCTTTGTCTTTCTCAACCTGCATCGCTATCATCTGTCTATATCTAGCACGGGAATCGTGATTTTAAAACAAGCCTTTGAATATTGAATTACTATCGATAAATTGGGAAGGGAAGCCAGAATGTTACTAGATAGAAATGAGAAAATTCATGAGTCAATAGGAAAATCGAAATCATCATACTTAAAATATTTCGTACAACTTTGTGTTATAGTTTGTAGCTAACCAAAGAAAAAGTTAATGGTGACAAATACGTTTATATACCTTCCCTAGTAAACCATCTTCAAGCATTGCATGTTGACCATACGTTTAAGTCTTGACCCCAAGGGACCTTAAATCGACGCCATTGTTACTATAAAGCAAACGCTAAACGTTCACGCTCTAACGATTTCACTTACCATCCTTGTCAATAAACTTCGTATACTTCTTCACAGCCTCAACCTGGATTCAAGTTCGAGGTCATTGTGACTATAAATAGAATGTTACCCTTCCGCACTGTTTTTATCTCTGTTGTTAAACTTCGAACACTTTCTCAAACCCCGGCCACCTGAAGTCAAAATGGAGGTCCTTTTTACTATAAATAAAATGTTTCTATCCATTTGCCATTAAACTTAATAGTAATTTACTGGAAAAGGTTCGCGTTTCGACACCTTGGAAATAATCTTTACTATTGACAAAGTTTTCGACATCAACGACGTCATACAAACTATGGTGTCTGTTTAAATTTCTCTAGCGAATTTGAAGTGCCCTGATATATCTTGTTTCTCTGTTATTGGTGCTGCTGGTTTGATTTTGAATGAGCTAAGCAAGACATAACTGCTAATTAATAACTGCTTGAGAATGCTTAAATTTCATTGGCTTCAGATAACCTCGGTTTGATATCGGACTCTGTGAAATCGACTTTGGAAATATATATTTTGTTAATGTTATAATCAAATCATTTTGTGCAACGCTCGAAATGTTTACCTTCCAAGATTCAAGATGTAAATGGAAAAATTTCGTTCCTGCAACAGAATTGCATGCAACTAAGTGATCTTTCACCATGGTACATTGATGGGTTCAAATGCAGTGACAGTTTCAAACAAGAAGCCAAGGGGAAGCTGTGTTAATTAGAAAATATATGCCAGACGTGGAGGTATCAGTGACCATTCAATAAGTCCGCCATCTCAAAATGGGAAGTGTATTTCCAGAGCAAGATCTTACAAATTCATCTACTCTGGATTCTGCTAATAAAACTGATATATTAAACGATGACGGATGATGTCAATTTGGAGAGCTGTGTTAACATTTCTTTTTACTTTCGTAAATTGGGAAGTTTATCTGAAAACAGAAAATCTTCAAAAATGCTGATTTTTTCGAGTCTTTATATGGCATTATCCATTTTCAGGTACTAAGAAAAGCTGAAGATCTTTTTTATCTCTCCGGAATTTCATAATTCAATATCATCACAACTGTAAATGTGGACCCGGATAAAAAGCTTTCTAGATAACTATCACAGGTCCTTGTGGAAATGATGGAACATCTAACTTAAATAAAGCAAGTTAAAGGAGAATAAACCATTATATAAGGCGTTTCATTGAAAACCTGGGAAAAAACAAATAATTAATTTTAAGGCAGTAGTTTATGCTATTTTTTGTTTATTTTTAAATCAAGCATATGATATTATGAAATGGTTTATTCTACTTTCACTTTCCATATTTAATGATAAAAAAAATCAAATCACGTCCCAAAATTCCCGTGACATTATACTAGTGTAATTTGCAGCATCTATAGTATATTAAGACCTTCCAGAAGACTTCTCCATACAGTTGGTACACATATACTGGAGTAACCTCTTCATGTCTTTAAAACACAGAAAACAAACCATTCAGTTCGAGACATTCAAACAAAAATTTATTAAAACTGAGATTTTAAAATCTCTATACTATCAACTTGACAAGTGATACAAGAACCCAAAGACATAAAAAGTATATGATTCTGATCTATATGTACACCCACTGTTCTGAAAAAATATATATTAGAAGGTTCTCTCTGGTCTGTACAGCACTACTTCTCTAGATTTACATGTATGGCTTGCTATTTTGACAGCACTGGTATTCCTGAGACACAAAACATCTAGCAAATCTACAAGGATGACAGCGAAATTAGGGTTTTAGAGCGAGAGACCAGTACACAATGACACAACATGGGATTGTGGTATCAGAATGATCTTCAACCATACATTAAAATCATCAATCCAAGGGGAGATAAGCCCATAATGAAGTTACAGGATAGCAGAATCGTGTTTGAGTTTTGGTAATTATTACAACAGTAACATTTTCTACAAAACAAAATATTGGTAACATCAAAGCTAAATGTTAAGCAACATCTGTCAGGAGTGTGAAATAAGAGATCTGATTTCTGTTTGTAAATATTGTACACAGTGAAAAGGTAAAATATTTGGCATGTTGAATGTTGTCTAGGTATTGCAGTACCCTAAATAGGCCTCTGTCCCAGGCTAACTGTATACTGGATTGTATTACATGGATATCTATCTTCCACTAATGGGGAACATGCAAGCACTTGTATCAGAACTCCCTCCCCATGGCAGAGGGTCAAATGCATCAGCTATGCTAAACAATCATATTGAATCTATCCCGCATCAATAAAATAACAAAACTTTGGAAATATTTGATTGCAAAAAAGTCACTCTTTGCATAAATCATTCTTTCTGTTTATGCATATTAACAAACCCAAAATTTTAGATGGCCAAATTTCTAGCACTGAAACCAAAATAGCTCATTTTAGGAAATGAAACCAAACATACAAATATATATAACGGAAATGAAATACTGATATTTAATGTGATTATAAAATCCCACATTATTAATTGGTAAACAGTGCAAAACATAAATATCTCGTACATATTACCCCAACAATGCAATTTAACTCTGTTACCATGGTTACTGCCTTCTAATACTGATCACCTTAAGAGAAATCATATTTACATCACACCTCAACATCATGGGATGGACTTCCTACCAGACAATAACCAAAAGGACGGTGCCATCATTGCTTGATCTTTACTTGTTATTTAAAAGTTGGACCTTTCCCTTCCTTCCTTTGCTTTTGCTTTAATTACATGAAATTTGAACATTTCTGTTAGAAAATTCTGAAAATATTTAACTGCCTAGTCTTAGATTATTGTCTGTCGGCCATTTTCCCCCTTATCAGTCCCATAATTTAAAGGGTACAACTGAAGATTGAAGGTTACATATGTATGAAATCTTGGTACTGCTCAATAAAAAGTGATAACAAGAAATGTTAAGCATAATGACAGACCTGGACACTGTTGGTAATACTATTCAACAGCAATACATACTGGTTGAACTTGGATTTACTTCCACATCAATTCAAGTAGTCACCAAAAACTGTTTCAAATCATAAACACTTTACAGCTTAGTATTAATATACATTTTTTTATTTTTAAATACTGTTATTGATGTAAGTCATATTAATTTTTTTCTTCACTTTCTTAATCTCCAGACTTATGAAAAGGTCAACTAGTGCACCAGTGATATGAAAGGTGTATTAACAACTGTAAAACAACTATAGCATCTAATAACACTGCCTTAACTACAGAACAATTACTCAGAAAACTCACTCATACAAACGCAAAAAATCACTCTTACAGATGTTCAAACTAAATCAAATTCACCACTCGCCCAACTAAAATCATCTGATGTAGAAGTATGCGACCTGTATTTCATTCTTTACAGCTTCAATTGTACATGTCCTTGGATAGTTGTAAGGTAAGATAACAAAGGTTTGAAACAACTAGTAAAAAGATGGGACAGAGTTGTCCATGTACGAGTATATTTGATACCTATTTGTCATTGTGACCTCAGGTTGTATTATGGTAAGTATGTTTATCAATGGATAGAACTAGGGCTGATCATGGTAGCTGACAATATCATTCTGTCTTTAAGTTTATACAAGTCCTTCAACAAATCCTTTGAGTCTTGTAACAGTTATATATTGACCTGATATGTGGGACAGCTACTCAAGGAATTGTCATTATCAAGTGACTTTTAAAATTCTTCTATATCAATAAACAGTCATTGTCATGGGACTGTATCATATTGAGAATTCTTCAAAAGTACAAAATGGCAAGTTCGAGAAATGTTATAACTCTACTACAATTTACTGTAAAGGTACTTGTTTTAGTGGTAGTCTTATTTCAGCGGTTATCTTGTCTTCCCATTATAACAATATTGTGCTAAAAAAAAAATTATATTCAACGCAGATTATGTTTTCTGTTTATATAGCAGTAATTGTGGACGTGCTAATTTATAATTGATAAATTTTCCAAAAATTGATATTGCACTGAAATAAGATATGTATTTTTTAATTAAGTGTATAGATATAACTTTCTGAAACACAGTCACCCATAAAGTCCAGGATAGCTTTCTGTATCTTTATTCACCATAGTCAGTTTGATCAGTCTTGTGTTATTCCTTGGAAACCTTAGATGATAAATGTATCTTCAGTATCAGCTTACCTAGCTGTCAAGAATCCTATTGGCAAACAAATTTCTCTCGCACAAATAGAAACAAAACAAAACAAAAAATACACATGTACAATTGAACTATAACATAAAGAACATTATTAAACAACAATAAAAATACAAGTGAATGAGACAATATGGATCATGCTACCGTGTATAAACAAGCAATAAAATGCTCTATAATATTAATACTATTAGCACTTTCACTGTCAAATATTATCATATAAATTCTCTTGTTCAACTACCAGGATCGTGGTATGTGTTTGAGACAATGCAAAATACTAAAATCCTTAAAAAAATGAAAAAAAAAAAGAAGATAAAAAATCAGTTATTGGAATTCTCAAAAGCACAAAACAACAGTATAAAGCTGTGCTAACACTTATTTTCTGAATGAAAATGAACTCTGGCCAACATAAGCTAATACTGCAAATTATCTTCTAACAGGTTTATACTATGTGATTCAATGGATCACTGATCCTTTCAGATAAAGTCGACTTCATACAATGCAATGTTCAACAAAAAGCAACTATCTGTAGATTGATCATTTTGTTTAGATTTCCTTGCTAATGGAAAGTCAAAGCTGAGGAGGATGATTGAAAGGGCAAGGCAGGGCACAAAATGGTTGCTATTTGTGTATACTTTTATAATAATGTCTATTTTCATTCTGTGAAAATGTTTACATACTACATTTTTCCAATGGTGAAGTGTAGCAATTATGTCACACTAATAAAGCACCAGGCATTTCAATGCCACAGCACATATAAAAAAAACCCCACCTAAAGTGAAAATTGTATAAAATTAAATTGATCTTTGGCAGCTTGTCCGAGTAGCATTATAAGATAAACAAGGCATTCCTGTGCAGGAAAAATTCAAAATTTTACAGTCTACTGAATAGTTAAGTAACTCTCTATCATATCTTTGTTCCTAGCAATTTTCTTTCATTCTTTTATATATTCAACAAGTTTTACATACATTATTACCGCTTTAAGAGAACAATTTTTAATCCATCAATATCTGAATAAGGAATGTTTAATTCCTTAAACACTGAACAAAGCAAGTTTGAAAATCCATGACTTAGATTTTTCCAAACATAAATCCTTTGATAAATCTAAAACAAGTGCCAAACACGGATACTGAATAACATGTATTGGTAGGTAAAAATCAGACGATCAATATCTGAATGGGTCCTGAGAAATAAGCCAAACATGAAAACAAGCATCAAACAGAAAAGTCGTAAAGGGACATAATCCAACTTCTTTAAAATACTTTTATATGTTCATGTTGTACAAAATGAAATGCACAGGTGAGGGGAAAAGTAAAATTTCAATAACTTCAAAATAGCACACGTTTGCAGCAATAGACATTTTGTGTTTTTGAAGATCTCCATTGGCCTATCAATAGATTGAATTCTCTCTTGTTCAGCAGTGGTATTTGTTTAGTTGGGAGTATGTGTAAGGATAAAAATATGGAGGACAGGGTCATTGTACCGAGATCATAGATATGGCAACATTTCATTATAGACTAGTACTGATGGCAATCAGATCAATGACTTTAACATGTAAAAGCAAGCAAAAAAAATGCAGCAAAGAACTTGTAAATCATGTTATATATTTTGCGCCGTGAATTACTGTAATTATTACAGTGAACGTCTCTAGTCTATTAAATTATCTTCAGTTATGAGGATGAATAGTTTCCTTATATATCTTCGTTAATCACTTCAGTAGGGAATAATATGATTGTATGTGTATTTTTCAGTACCTAAATTCCCCCTTAAAAAAATCTGTAGGCGTTAATGAACAATCATAAAAAGGGATTTTTCTTCTTTTTTTTCAATACTTAAATATAAATAATTCTTTTTTTTCTTGCCAAATTCATGGGAAAATGTCAATGAATATTTCACTGGTGAAATATGTTGGCATGAAAAAAAACCCCACCTAGCATTAAATAGCACTAATATAAAAAATGAAAATATTAGTAGAAGTATGAATATACTAAACACAAGTAAATGTTACATAATTTTTGATAATGATGTAAACCAAACTGAAGTCCTTACTTGTTTTTTCATTCTTCCCTTAACATTAGGTATCTTTATCAAGAAAAAATTCAATTGAATTGGAGATGTTTTACAATGTTAACACTGCTTTGTCTGAACACAATACACATGAAATAAGATGAATACAGGCAGTATTTTTTTTTAACTTTTAGGACGAGCAGTTATGTGCTAGTACCTACCAGGTATTTGAGTGAAATGGCAGTTACAGAAGTAATCTCAGTTCTTCCCCTCAAAGAGATAGTAACATGACATACTCAGCTACCTAAAGGTCCGTCAGATTTACGGGGATCTTTTTATGAGACTAAGAGCTATCTGTATTTAAGTCTTTTTGAGATATATATTTCACTGATTTCAATATATAAATAACTTGCCATCTTAAAGTAGCACCAGTACCTGGTACTGGTGAATAGATTTGTGACAATCCACACATGGTTACTAATACTATTCTACAAATTATCAAATTAAGCAAGGTTGAGGTCTTCTCCAAAAAATTTCAATACATCAAGGAAAATTGTGGTTCCATATCTACAATTCTCACTAAATTATCCACAGATAATTATTATGCATTTTGAAAATAAAGATACAATTTTCAATTGTTTATATATAGATAATTAACATAACTAGCAATTTTATTTGATCTAAAGAGCCTTTGTTTAGTCTTAAAAAATATTCATAACCTTATAATTATCACCTTGTATGTGTATGTATAACAGAGGGAAACCTTCCATGCTTCTTCATAAAAACTTTTTCTCAATTAAAGACATCTCTTTAATATCACATAACTTAAACTCAAATATACAACACATATTTCAATAAACATTTGGTATATATAGCAATCATACTATAATTAATACTTTAATCAGGATTATTTGGAATCAAACATAAAAAAAGTTAATCAACAATAATTATTTATTCAAACACTAACCTACATTACCTTATATGGGAACATCCATAACAGACACAACACATGGCTCGATAACATCTTTGCAGAATATAAAATTTGATATTGCATGATGAATAACATAAAACAGGCCACATAAAAACACAACAGTTACTTTATGTGCACTTCGTAATACACTTGTAGGTGGTGAAGTTTAAACTTAAGTAGTTGCTGCAACAATATCAATACTTCTTGAATAACTCCTAGCATTTTATACCAGTACCTACAAGAGCATTAAATTAAAACCAAAACGCTCAAAAAATTGCAAAAATGAATTAATAAATTATCTTCAATACCAGAGTGATACATCACCAAAATAAAACTGAATTCATGCCACCTCCTACTAATTGTACTTCTCATGATAAAGGATTTAGACTGAATATCTGAGGTTTTTATACTTAAAGGCAGGATGTGTAGCACTTAGGTTAAGGAGCATGGTTAGGCCTTAAGACTGTAACATATCAAGATAAAATCACTGGCTGTTCCTATATCACTGCAGGTCGTTCTTCTCCTAACTGTTCACTTTCTGTCAGTCTATCTTTCATGGTAATGTCTTACCCGTTCCAGGTGGAATAATTCAAGTGGAAACAACACCTTCTTCACAGACAGACACTGTGAACTTCAGTGGCCTGTATCTAACTTGTCTCAAGAGTAATGATCTTTGTATTCAACACTTCAGGCCAGATGGAAACATTGATCAACTGATTAATATGTCTATCTCCCCATTTGTAGCTCTAGTTTGACAAAACTTAGTAAATAGTGTGGACAGTTTTCTAGGAGACCTACTCTGTAAACATATAGGACATTTTTCTCATAAATTTAAAGGTCAAGGGTCACTTTCTTATATCATGCTGAATTGTCCAGCATTGACGTCCTGATGGTCTTAGTGATTAATAATAAATTGTCTATACCATAAGAAAATTTTCAGATTCTGTTATGCTTTGCTAGCTAGAATACCACAAATTAGTTAATGCCAAGGCCTTCCATAGTGACATAGGTAAACTTTTCTAAATGCAATACCACATTTGTCCTTTAGTTCAATATCCATCAATCTTTGCACTATCAACAGAGCAAATTCTACAAGTAAAGATAAAACATCAACAATTCTGATTCCAATATGTGATGTTATCAAAGGTTAAAAACATGTAAATGTACTTGACATCAGCAGACATTTTCAATATCTGTCATTCAGAATTATCATCAGTCTAGTAGATTTGCTGGGGAGCAATTAGAGACCTCAATGTTCAGCCCTGGGTCACCAGATGTAAGAATGACCTTATTAGAAATAAAGCAAGGGTGCCTCTTATATAGGATCAGTCTAGCATCACAGGTGTCTCTCATGACATTAGTTCTATCCAGCGAGTCACACCTCTGTTCACTAACTCTCTGTTCACAAATAACACCTGCAAGTATTAGCAATGTATCGTTAACATTATAGATATAGATCCATAAATATCAGCTGTGACGTCAAATTAATAATTAGATGTAATGAAATGGTCCAAAGCTATAAGCACTGTTTTGCTCATTGTTAAAAGGGAGGTAACCCATTTAATACTACAAAGTATAAACATGGAAGTCTCCATAAAATTATTTAAGTCTTTTTTTTTTTACCCAGTCATTACTTTTTAAAATACTGATAATAGTCACACTTTATTGTCGAAATACAATGCAGATACATAGATAAATTTAAACAAAATAAACAAGTTCTGAGAAAAACCAACCTTCTCTCCTGCTATTTGATATATATGGATATAAGGAGTGCCGTCTTCGCTGCGACCAACTATCTGCGCTTGGAGTAACTTCCCTTGTGTGAGCTCTTCTAGTGTGGCTGCAGCTTCTGAGCTGAAGTATTCTTCTTCTATTAACAGTACATATAAAAAATATAACCTATAGTTTTACAAATACTCTAAACCTTTAAAAGTTTACATCAATAGACATATACAATTCACCATAGACAAGCATATACATTGCTTCAGAAAAAACCAGAAAAATCCAAGCTGTTATCTCTAGCAGTAACAGTACAAAAGCATACAAGATATTTTTTTATAATCAACTTTGATATTCAAAGGTTTTTAAGACATCAAAAATGCAAAAAAAAAAAGCTTGTTTGTCAATCAAAAGTGACCCTGGTGCAACAAGTTGTTATGGCAGTTGGGTTCATAATGTACTAGTCTATGTAAATTTCAACGTTTGCTTGATCAGGCTGGTTTGAATTTGTATCTCAAGTCCTAGAATGAAATATATGACTGTTTTTTTTATTTATAATGGTTTCTACTAATAAATATTGAAGGGCTGTATTACACTTCTTTTAATCCGCATCATTTCAATGCAAATAGTGAAGGTATTGTGTGACAGGTGATTAGGTTTATAAGTCAATTTACCAAGAAAATGAGGTTATTCTTTTTATTTTACAGTACATAAAACCAAATCCTGAAAAGAGTATAATGATTTTATTTTTTGATCTCTGCGTGTTTTTGATCCGACAGTATTCTGCTAATAGTTACAAACACATTACTTAAGAGGATAATAGTATACCTTGAATTGGAGTGATGTTAGCCATGTAGCATTCTACAGCTTGGAAAGGTAATGTCATGAAGTCACTCCTACAACAATAACAAACAGAAGTTAAGAAGTGTATAATATGTCATACAGATTTGTAGACAGTGTTTCATAGAATAATGTATGTACTTAATCAAGTGTCTGCAGGGTAGCATCAGGGCTCTCACACCCCATTTTAGGACTGGGGCCTGGGGCCCTTAGAATTGGGAAAAATAATGGTGTTTTCCTTAGAATTGGGAGAACTTGGGGTCTAAATTGGGGGAAAAAAGATACTATTTTGCATTGGGAATGGGGTTGAATATCGGCCCCAAATCTGGCAGATCGAGAGCCCTGAACATTAACGTTTTTTGGCAACTTCAAATGATGAGCAATTACTATATAATCAGTTGCTGAAACTGCATTTAGCACAATCATATTTTAGTGCAATACCGCCAGCATGAAAGGAGATAGATTAAGATTCTCGTTGAATTATGTTTGTTTATGATGACAAATGGATACAGATCCAATGAAAGTTTTCACCTGATTTGGCGGAGTGTGCAGCCTGGAACACGTGAAAATCCTCCGTAATCAACATATTTGATATCACATTCATCTGTATCATCATACACAGCCGTGATCTGGGCTCTATACCATCCATTCAGCATTGGCGCAGAACATATCACTCCAACTGGATTAGAAACAAACTAATTTCAGAAACAGTATATCATACTGCAGGCAGAATTTCAATATCCATACAATCATGTGACATCAGATGGTAAAGTGTAATTTTCAACTCATTAATCTTGCCCAATGACCATCATAATCTAACAAGATTCATGACTTCACAGTGACATTATACAACTATTATTTATCAAGTACTTTTATGGTTTTTCAATTTTAAGATATCAAGCACAGTAATTACACACGTTCCTTTTTTTCACTGTCTGTGTTGCTGGACATAAGGACCAGAAATCTTTTTGCCTCGTAATCCTACTTATTATTGAAAATAATTTCAAAAGAAAACACTGCCTTATCTATCTAAACACAATGAAGACATTTTTCATATCTTCATTAAAGCAGGCAACTTTTGAATATAGTGATGAGAAAAAAATTTCTTTTATAGACAAAATATGACCAAGCAATTTTTCTACTACTGTTGATACAGCATTACAACAAAGCCTAACAGCAAATCTAAGTTTGCAGACTTTAACAGTTTGTTATGGACAATGAAGCATTCTACTATGTCCAAATGAAATAAAACAGTGCATTTGCTTGTTTGACTTTGATAGAACTGAAATGTCAAATTAATGAGATGATGACTGTCATTACAGTATTCCATCACACATTATCTTAATGTTAGATCTTAATGTTAGTATCCATGAAATAATGACTTACCCTCTAGTGGTCGTGGGAGCTGTGGCACAATTCCATCTTGTGTGTAACAAGCTATCATAAACTGATTGAGTCGCTCCAATGAAGGGAAGGAAGGATGGGTATGCTGTTGTACAAACACATGTCCTGCGTCTACAATACTAGACACCACCACGTCGATGGACACGCCCTCAGGGAGGTTGAGCTGAAAGGAGACGCACACCTGTTTTCTTTTCAGTATAAAATGTCAAAAATGCATTGAAGTCCCTGTAAGTCCACAGCATGTCATCTTCATACCTTCACCGCCTGCTTGTGGCACTTTCCTACAGACTCCATAACTGACATCTTGTGGATTGGTTATAACTTACAAGATTTTTATTCACTGGTTCTTAAACATAACCTGAAGAATTCTTTTATCCTATTTATACCGATATGAATTTCAGAAGTGAAGTTATAAACAGAAATGATGTCAAAATCCTGGTCTTTATACCCTGTTACAATGTGACTGAATTACACATTATATTTGACCAAACTGCTATTTAAACTGAACTGGGTACAATGCATCTGTTTCTACCTTCTTCTTTTTTTTTCAATCTTTCAAAATTTTTATTCTATCATGTTACAGGTCTTTTCAAATTCGAATCTTTAACTTATCCAAAGTTCATGTTAATCATTATCCTAAAGATTGTAAATATTTCCCCTCAAAAAATTATTTTAATATTGGTACAATATCCACAACAGAATCAGTTATGAGGGCTGTAGTCATGCATTTGCTTGGATGCATTAGCAGGTGAAGATTTGATTAGTGTTAGTAATCAGAAGGCATATAGGAATAAAGGTGATTTAATCTCATGCTAAAGATCTATATTCACACTTGTAGTGAGGCCAGGTAAGAAAGACATGTGCTTCCTGACACCGCTTAGAAAAGATTTTAATTTGGTTCTAACAAAAACCAGTGTCAAATGGAAACACAAGTATTTCTTCATATTTGGCCTAAACGCTATCCCAAATGTAGTTTTTTGCCATTGTAAAGTACCTTCATTTAGTAGCATTTGTTTTCACACTGAAGGAAAGTATGGAGTGTTCTCTTATTGAAACAAGAGTTCGTCTGAACTGTATGTGTCGCCTGCATAAAGTGTCACAGTCACCCAGAAATCAAACTGGATGTGCAACGTACAACCATAAAGTTGTTATACCAAATTTCATTTATATAACTCCAAGCATAAAGGGAAATCTGCGCAAAACAATATTCCTGAGAAATTTTCCAAGTTCAAAGGGACATATCACTGCCAAAAAGGGTTACAGACTGCCAAGAAGCGAACTTGGTGTGTAACTTTTGACCAAAAACTTGTATACAAAATTGCATTCTGATAACTTGAAGCATAACTAAATTGTTTGGAATGGCACATGAAATTATAAAACTGATCCACAGCCATTCATAAGAATTAGTTGTGGGAGCAATCAGCTATCATTTTAGTACTTTCGAAGGTTTCATATAAAGATATGGAGCAGACACTGAGACCACAGGACTTGGGGCTGTGGAGAATACATTTAACATTGAGTATTTAAAATATACTGAAACATCCAGCAACAGCAGAAACTTGGATTTTTCCATAACATCCAAAAACTAAGAATGGTTTAAATTCAGGGAGACTATTTTCTCTATGGCAAAAACTCATTTTAGGAAAGCATTTCTTTCAATTTTGAATCATCAAAATTAGACACAAAGTGAAACTGAAAGCAAGAAATATGTGAGCATTTTTAGGTGCCTTACGTGCAATGTGAATAGTGTGGAGTATAATTTTATTATACTGCCATATTTCCTGCATGCAGTTTCATCAAACATTACACTATAATGTAAACAGGATCTGACCACTAGGTGAAAGATAATTACAGTAGACATCTTAGAAAACATATTTTTGAACAAAATCAGACAGCTTATAATCATTGTAAGTAAATATTCTGTCTTCTAAACAAACTGTGCAAAGATTGTTGTTCTCAAAGAGTTCTAATCTGAACAATTAATTTTTAAAAGTGGCATATAGCTAAATTTAAATCCCTTGACATTTCGACTATTGAGAACCACATTTTGTGAAATGATTTCTATGAAAACAAGGGTACATCCTTAAATAAAACTTGTTTTACAGTTCACAAGGATAAGTAACTAATGTTAAATTTACTATTTTACTAATTTTCTACAGTATTTACATGGACTACAAATATTCTACTGTATATGGCAAGTTAGATCTACTGTTACAAGGAAACAACAGACTACATATCTATTCTAGACTATAAATGTACTCTAGGACACTAAATATTATGAAAGCATGCGTAAATAACACTTATAATTAATTCTGCATACTGTTTATATCTACAGACTATTTCTGGTAGTTCTAAAGGAGGTTAAAGACAACTATACTGGCAGCAATACAAACTTTAAAACAAAAGGTTTTTTACAATTTTTTTTACATATCATCTGTACCAAAATCAAACAAAATGTGGGAAAAAAACATTATAAAGAAGTATTATCATTGGATGATTTTTATGAAAGTGGTGATATGTGACCATTGACATTTAACCTTACAAATGACCTTCAAAATTTAATCATGCAAAACTTACTTTTCCAAATATACATGATGTATAAATAAGTAAATTCATTTCACCATCCATAAGGTAAATTGCACAAAGGTAATAATAATGATAATTAACAAGCATCTGCATTCATGAAGCTATTACATTGCTTCCCTATAATAGACTCAAGGCTCTAGGGACTAATACATCAATGAGAACTTTTCAAACCAGCACATTCTTGATCTGTATTTAAAGTTTTCTAAATCTACTGATCATTTTGGAGATTCGTGCAAGAAAGTGATGCTCTAAATTTGCAAAGTAACAAGGAAGGTGTCATGCAGAAGTATAAAGCCGTGCAGTAGAAATCTAAGCAAGAAGACTACAGTACAAGTAAAGGTATACTGTGGCTGACATTCTATGGACTAACCAGGAAACAAGAACCTTGCCTTGATTGACATTTCACAAAACGACAAAGGGATACAAATATCAATTCTGGGTTTCCTGATTTAGATATGATCGAGAAAAATATTTTTTTTTTTAGATATGGCTGTCAAGTAATTCTATACATCATGAAATGATATATCATGTATGTTGGAAATAGGTTATACCTATGAAAAGAATTTTTGAAAAATATTTCTCAAGCAATCAAGTTGGAAATCAGTGAATTAATTGAAATGATTCACATGAGAATCCCTTTCCTAAATTCTATTCTCCAAGTCTTTTTGATAATTACATATAGCTTGTTGATGGTCTGTCAATTTTCTACCCGTCATCAAAATATACAGGAGTCATGAGACAATTCAAGCAGGATTTCACAACTAAAGTTGGGCGTTTATAATGGAAACTCCTGACTACAATAGCCCTATATCAGCAGAAAAGATTTTCCAAGTACCTGCATTATATCTGGCATCAATAAGGGTTTGCCATTAGTGCTGGGCTCAGACTCGCTCTCAACTTCAGCTCCTATTGCCGTCAAGTCAACCTCTGGGAATTTTCTGCCTATTACCTTTAGTGCATCATCTATCTGTTTCTGAGTACCTGAAACCAAAATCTTTTTTATTTACATTAGGAAAATAGATTTTCAAATAAGTGTACAACTTTTTCTACTTTATCCAAGAACTCTAATGAATCTGTACTTGCCTACTTGGTATGGTTATGAAATACATAAAGAATAAATAATTTTAGGAATATTTTCTGATATTCAAATGCTTAGAGCTCTCGATAATAAAATTTTAAATCAAAATATGAATAATCCTCGATAAATGCAATTAAGGTTTTTCACTACAATACTGTTTTAAGGTTATGCAAATTTAAAACAGGATTTTCGAAATATTTCATCATTTTGACCCATTCTCAGCCGCTTGAAATGTAACACTTTTGGTTTGTCTCTTACCAGTGATCATGTTGGGATATTGTGCACCATATTTTAACAGCTATACCATAGGATTTGTATTAGAAGCCATGGAATGTTGCCCACACACAAAATTAAATAAAAGTGGGTGGTATTTGTAGCACCTTGAGTGACTACCCATGAAATAGGATTGAAAAAATTCAAAAGGTCCAAAGGGCATGTGCTACAACTTATTCAGTGTTGTAACAAAAGTATTACAGTGTTCAATTTTTCATCTGAAAAAGTATAAACAATTTTAATTTTACAAACCTTCAACAAGACAGATTTGGAAGTCCGGTGTGTATGGGTGATTACTCAGAGATATGTTGGCCCCGGATCGTTCCTTAAGTTGTTGGATGTTTTTCCCATATTTACCAATCAAACGTCCACAGAATTGTGAAGGAAAGTGGAACTCATAGGACTGTTTTTTTTTGGAACCGTTAGACTTGTTTGAACCTTCTACTATACTGGAGGCTCGACTACTACAATTACTTGAAACCTGCAAATATAAAAAAAACATCATACACATGAATATGAAATTTCAATTTCATCAATCAGTGCCTTCACTTGCACAGTACTTTAAATGGCCAGCTTCCAATTTTGTCTTTTCTCATGACGTTTGGTTTTAACTGAAATACAAATATCAGTACTGATATTTGTAGCTAATGTCTGTAATGCATTTACAATAAAGAAGATGCCCATTGCATGCTATCAAGGACAGTTAAGTTTAAGTGTCCTGCAGAAGGACACAACCATCACAGCAAAAATTAATTTTTATCTCCGCTTCTTGAAAAATGAAAACAACTTCAGGTCTGGAACATTGAACCACACATTGATCATTATCCAATTATATATATAAAAATGTTGTAATTAGCACAATGTTATTGGATTCATAGAACATTTATCACAGTTTTACCAGATATTGTTAATTTTTGTATATGATTTGCATTTAAGCAAATTTTTTTTAAAAATTTTTGTAATATATTTTTTTCACAAACTTCCTGTAGCCACTTAACATCAACTTACACTATCACAGTTTGAGGTGTTGGAGTCTGACCCATGAGCACTAGTTTCACTTTCAGTTTTGGATGATGACTGACCAGCTGGGTCTGGTGAGTTTATTGGGTTAGAGTTATCTCCCTCACAGTGTTCAATGTCTTTCTGTTTATCAACATTATCACAACTCTCTACCTCAGAAGACCAACTACTGGTCATTTGATCACCATGATTACTGTTCACATCATTCAACATGAAGTCTAATTCTGAAACGTCACTGTTTTTCACAGATTCATTCTGGTCTTTTTCATTGTCAATGGCTTTTTTACCATTCAAGTGGTTTTTACGGAGCGTAATGTTATTTTCTGCAGACAAAGGCACAGAACATTCTATTTTCATGCTTTGCTCATTTTCACAGGATGTTGTGTCTAGTTTAGTTGATTCTAGCAGTGGTTCAGCAAAGGTTGAGGTAGAAAGAGATACATCAGGTGTAGAATCCACTGTTTTTTCACTATACTTATTTAATATGCTGTCTCCAATATCTGATGTTATGAATGCCTCGTTCATGACAGGATTCTCATGTTGGTTTTCATCATTTCCCGCAATCTGAGTAGAATTGTATTCTGAGGTTGAAAACCTGTTATTATCTCCATTGCAAAGCATGTCAAACTCAGAAGACTCTGTCTTTCCTTTGGTGTGAGTGACAACATTGGAAGAGGATGTAAGCACCTCTTCCTGCACAGGCAATATCTGTGCCTCCACACAATTCTGATGTACATCAGCAGGTTGGGTTTCAAAGCTACAGCTCTCACCTAATTTACTGCTCCCTGTCTGTAGCACTTCCTCAATATTTGGTACAATCTTTTCAAAGACAACCTCTTGTTCAGTCCCTGAGGACTCTGTACTTTGGTGAACTACATCAGGCAGATTATTCTTAGAACCAACACTGGGTAGTTTTCTGTGTGAACCTTCAGACTGGTTAACACTGTCCTCATTCTCATTTGAATCAGATGGTGGTTTTTGTTTCGGAGATCTCTTCCATAAGAACAGCCATAGTAAGCCAAAGAATGAAACAGAGCATCCAACTATCACCTTCAAGTTAGCCATCATTCATCTATCAGCCACGGTGACTCTGTAATATAGATCAGAATACATGTAGCTCACTATTAAACTTGCAAATATAGTGAACTAATGACTTAAGAAAAATTTTGGAACGATTAAGAACAAACATGTTTTTGGAAAAAAAATATTTATGCTGCCATTGATTTTGCTTTTCTCACAACATTTGGTGGTCTAGTCCTGTGCTTCATGATTTAAGTTCAGGGTTTAAGACTTCTTTTCTTGAAGAAATATTGGAACCAGATTGGGTTCATTACCTCATTGACAAGTGGTTCTATGTTCAAGGTTTCAAATCATTTACATGAAGCACTAACCTAACACTGCTCCTAGTCATTCATAATTCAGGTGTAACAGAGGTCATTTCTCATCTCAATGCCTCCGCTAGGAATCGAACCCGGGACCTCTGGCTTACTAGTCTGACGCTCAACCAATCAAGATAAAGAGACGTTCTCCCTAGCTGAGTGGTATATTGTGCCTAGTATTTTACCAGGGCTACACAGGGACATTTGAAACTATGAAAATATGCTGAAGATAAGTAAAGTTTTCTAATCTGCCAGATTTATTACAAAAATTAAATATCTCATTGATACCCCCACCTTCCATCTTTCAAAAAAATCAATACAATTCAACTTCAATGGCATACAAAGTTATTTGTCCATATTACTAGATCTATTGAAGCTATATTGATTTCATAGTCTTTTGTCGAATTTATATGATGACACAACTGTTGTAATACTAAGTTTTAAATGCATTGCACAACTATTATGGACACATACCGATATAGGATTAAACATTGCACCATTTAAAGTATTTGATCTATTTTGAAAACCAAGCAGAGTCTGTTCTTAATGACCATCCGTCTATGTGACCTTTCTCTTGACTACCGACAATGTTCACTTACACGTGGATACAAGCGAAAATAACATTTAACAGCATTGTCCAACATCATATTGAGAGAAATAAATACTTACGTAACGGTGACATTATGCAATAAACATTACATTCAACGGGTAAATATTTTGTTCAAGACTGTCTTAAATTAGTCAAAGATGGCAACAAGACAAATTGGGTAAAGTCATATGCGAAAGCATATTCTGAAGGTTGAGTAAATTCAGAGTTCTAGCTATGATAGGCTGTTCAATGACGAACATGCTGTGTGTATACGCAAATGCGTCATTCGAAACTTTCGCGACATCGAGACTATGGTTTTGGCGTGAATATTTATTAATGGTAGATTAAGAGAATTATTTTGAGTTAAGATTAAAAAGAAGTAAGGTTGACAGCGCAGTCTCCTACAACGCGTTCGTGCGACCTCGACAAAACGGCATGTTTACCATTTTGAAGCGCGCAACACGACGGAATTGGTTAAGAACAATTCCTACCACATGCAGCAATATCATACTTAGCTACATTTTAAACAATACCTTTGCAATATGCGGCCGAATATTGCATTAATGTTTGTATGATGTGATGAGTGTCAAATCAACAAATCACCGTGTTTTCAGAAAACCTTCCTAGACACACGTGCTTCTTGATGTTTCTGTACCGTTTCTTCAGTGTTTTCAAGGTCACGTAGACAACGAGATATGACGAGATTTTAAAAAAGCACTACTTTTCAGGGGCACCTCGAGAAAATATCAATACGCATGATGAAATCAACCCACTTTCGATATGAAAATTTATATACTTATTTATTTACTTTCCTTTTACTTCAATAAATATTTTATTCCAAAATAACACAAAATTCGTTTCCCATATGCTTTAACAGATTTGTGGTTTCCGTGGTATTGATGATTTCGTATATTATCTGGATTATTTATGTTAATAAGAACGGCGGTAGGAGACGGGTGCTCATTGGCCAAAACCAAAACATAATCAGGTGGTGTTCCATCGTTGACCTGTCAAAACGCAAAAGCAACTGGATATTTGTAGAATGTCACTGAACGGACTGGTTTTACGCTGAAAATGATTGAAAGATGGTGAAAAAATGACGATGAACATTACATATATGTCGGAATATTCATATTAATTCATGATGAGGCCAAAATTGCAGTCTAATGTGCAGACTGCCACCATCGGCCATCAAAATGGCCTCTGAATCTCTCGTGGTTACAGCAGGAGCTGGCCGACCTCGAGATCAAGATTGCTTCACGAAACAGTTATCATAGGCCAAGGATGGAGATCATTGGAGAATTCGAGTACAACAAGAAGGATCTGATCGGTCATGGGGCTTTTGCCGTGGTCTTTAAAGGCCGTAGTCGGAAGGTAAACAATGCGTACAAAGAAACAACCCAAAACAAAGCTTGGTGCTATAAATGTATTTACACCATCAGAAAACACTAAAATACATAGACAATAACACCACATGAGTATTTTGTTATTTTACATTATCCTTTGGATTGTTAAGATATCAACGTCGATATTTATGTACACGTGTTGCTAAGATTGTCATAACTATTTTTGAATAGCCAATACATTATATGTCATTATCCATTGTGTGGATACCATGTGTGTGTATTGCATCACCACAAGACATCATGGTTTCTTAGTTTACTTATTAGATATAATAAACAAATTAAAAAGAATAATTTTGATTTCAAGTTACATGAGAGATCATGATCAAATATAGTTTACATCAGTGAAATGTCTGTCAACACAGTTAACACCTTCAAATCACTTGTTACAGTGTCATACCTTTCTTAGAATGATAATGTTTTATTTCATAAAACAGAAGGAAAAAAGAGGATTTTATCCTTTCAACCAATGCCTTGGGGTTGCTCTTCAGATGGTAGTGAAGGCTTCCAAGTATCGCAAAGATCTAATATGTCATTCATGTTTTTGGGAAATATATTGTTTTTTGTAAAGGGTGGAACATGCACATGCATCATTTTTCAAATGGTTTATTTCACTGACAATCTAATCTGCTATTTCTGATGAGTAAATATATGTTCATGATGATTTTACATGATATGGTACTGTAAAATATGCTGTCAAACTAAACACACACCCTGATGATTAAGTATTACTGATGAATAAAACCACAGGTTTAGATATCTAAGTCTTAATAAGAGTTTCAGTTAATAATTGACCCTAGAAACTATGTTTTTGATCCGTGACTTGTCTATCTGCTGTTGTTCTATATAATAAAGTTTTGGAACTTAAAAGTTATTGATGATTGATATTCATAAGTAAAATAAATCTAAAGATTACCAGATATGAAACAGAAAGTTTGTTGTTGACAGTTTTTTAAAGTGAGGTAAACCCAATTTATTTTATCTTACTTGCATGGTGAGGAATGAAGTAAGATAAATATGTTTATCAGAATGTAAGACCAAGTCTGTTTTCTATGATCATGAGGTGGTAAAGATGGATAGCTTCAACATGACATGTTTGTAATGGCCCTATGATTGATCCATATGATCAAACCAAAATTTGGACATATCACTTTTACTTCAGAGGTTCTTGATGCAAATATTCACTGCCACTGCCTTTGGGTCAATATGTCAGCCAAATGTTTGATCTATGAATCAGTGCATTTATTTACTCAATATATGTGAATGGTGCAAGATATGAATTATTGCTAGATGTTAGATTTCATTTACTTTATTTCAAATCATTATTAGATATCAAAGTCCTTTAAAATTGTGTTTAAAATAAGTTTGGAAAAGTATAGATTTAGAACAAAAAATCAAAGCACATGATGAAAAATTTTGGCAAAGACAGGTAAAGTGAGTCACTTTTGTGACATATTTTTAGCAACTAGAAAATGATACAATTGATCATTGTAATGCATTAAGATATGGTTATGCCATCTAAGTGAAAAATGCCTATTGTAATTATCATAATATTAATTTTTTATTTTTTTATAAAAAAGAAAAATAGTTCTTCTAGCTTGAATTTCAAGTTGGAAGCATTTTCATGCTTCATCTATTTGAAGAGACAATGAAGAAAATAAATGTCTGCTTATATTCTTAGTTTAAAATTATCTAGGGCATTATGATTCCACATGTTGATCACATGTACAAGTGATGGCCACATAAGGCCTATATATCATGTACATAAGACAGCTATAGTAGTGTGATCAGTAAAAAGGCGGGTAACTTGTTAAGGCTTTGTTGTGCTTATATGTGTCAATAGGTCACATTTATATAACTTTAAAATGTAATAGGTCATCTATGCTGTCCTATAACATAGAAATTTCATTTTAGTCCTTCTTTGTTCAATTGTAAAATTCAGATATGAAAATTATTCTATTATTACACTGACTGAGTAATTATAAACATCCATATGTTTGTAAACAAAGTTGCACTCTTTGTATGGGATGGTTGCTAACTTGGTTCTGGCGTGGTGTTTATGTGTATATATACCTTACTCGGGCTACAGTACAGGTATGAATACAAATATGCAAATGACATTGTGAGAGGCAATCCTAGTATATGATGTTATTTATAGATTTATCAAGAAAGGTGACCCATTTACTTGACTACATTGATTTCATATATGGTAGTGCGTAGAATGATCTTGTTATGATCATAAACATCAACATTGCTTAATGTGACATGTACAATAAACCTACGTCACATTTTATTGAGAGTGTTAGTAACAAAATTACAGACAACATTCCTTTTCATCATTAATAAATAAAGTGTTTGTAAATAATATTGATATGCCCCTTGGATAAAATTTATAAGAATGTAAATAATAGAATTTAATTAATACTTAAATATTTATCTCATTGATTCTGTTCTCACTGGGTATAACCAATAACGTATTACAACTCAGTTGAATAAGGGAAGGTGCTCAAGTTTCAAATTTTCATTTTGACCGGTATTATTCTACTAAACTCGGATAATGTTTTCATCTGAGAATAATTAAAACACATTTTTAGATCTGTGTGGCCGAAAAACACACAATAATCTCAAAACTTAAACAAGAAACACGAGAAAGTAAAACTTTCAGATGTTAATGTAAACATATGTTAAAGTTCATTTAAAAAGTGTTTTCAAGTGGTTACTGTGATATGACAGCATGTTGAGTATGCATACATGCTTGTTTTATGGAATCAGTAATGTGATACTCTATTTAGGACAATTTATTTATTAAAAAAAACTTGTTGCTTCATTTTGTTTGTAAATCAATCTGAAATATTGAGCTTTTATCGCAGAAACCACCGACAACTGTAGCCATTAAAAGTATCACCAAGAAGAACCTGGCCAAATCTCAGAATCTTCTCAGCAAAGAAATCAAGATACTCAAGGTGTGTTTTCCATGTTTTTCATTTTATACATTTATAATCAGCAATGATTCTGTTTGATTGATGAATGCTGCAGTCATATTCATTTAGTTTTTAGCATTTTAGAATTAAGGTACTTTCGATAGGATTATGAATATGAGTACAGAATTAAATAAAATACATCATGTTGGTGTCAGAAATGATTGTGTTATGGCCTTTATCTGGTCAGACCATTTTAGGGGTTTGAAATGGATTTCACGGTTAATTTCAGTTAAATAGTTACCAGCTTTCTATTGATTCATTAAATTTGCTGAAACTAGGATGTGTTACCAATTGCAAGCTAAGGCTGAAATTCTTATTCTCTTTCACAGGAGCTATCAGACCTTCACCATGACAACGTTGTGGCTCTTTTGGATTGTAAGGTAAATTTGATTATTTAATGTCAGTTATCATATTGATAACATCTACATTTCTACACTTCTAGGTTTTGGCAGGGAAGAGGTTACATTTTGCTGTTTACTGTAATGTTGCTTTGTATGCACAACTGAGAAGCTGTTTAGTTTAAAGAGATAGATGTTCTTGAACTTGAAAGTAATAATTTCCCAAATTGATATACATAAACCAAATGAAGATTTGTATGCAATGTAAACTCCATGGTCAGCCTTCAGGAACTACAAAAATAGATATAACATTTAGCAAATGCCTGATCTTCTGAGATCATTATTTGTTCCATCAATTACGAACCCAAGCTATTTCATTATATTCCAATAAGCTCACACACAGACTTCAAACCAGAATTTTTTTTATGTTATTAGCTCCCTCACTGCAAGGTATAATTGTTTAAAGAAGCTGCCAGTTCTGAAACTCTTAATGAGATACTTGAATACCTTTTCTGTAGGACGTTACTACTAATATTCAGCCCACTTGTACAAAATAGAGCCAACTGTGCCTGCTTTAGTGTTTGTCTTACTCAAGTTCAACTTAACTTTTGATACAGTTGAATTTTCACAACCTGTCTGGGGTATAAAAATAGATCAACTTATTATGTGAGTCTAGTGGATTATGTATGGGAGTTAAACTTTTTAATCACTTTATTGTTGACGTTAAGAATTGACAAGTCCTCTCTAAATATGCATGTGTGATGATTCATTACATACTTTATACCTTAATAATGATAGGTTGTATTATACACTGATGTCTATATCATTATGACTAATATGTAATTAATTCCTGTTTGTTTTAGTTTCTGAACTACAATAACCTTATGATATTATCAGAGTGCAATACATGTTCATGTCTATAAATACATGGGCATGTAGCATGGATTTCAAGATTTATTTTCATCAACACAAAAATAGACAATAGAATTTGCATTGTTGATATGTAATGAGCTGTCATAGCTTTGATAATTAACAGTTCAACTTTTTTTTTTTTTTTTTATATATATTTTTGCCTTATGTAATCATTTCATCAGTGGAAGTATATTACCTTCATGTATATACTAAATAAGGTGTGCCACTGCATGGTCCTATTTCTGATGCATATGCATCATATATATCATTTAAATGTCTACTCAAAACCTATCACAATTAATTCATACTTGTATGTAAGTAGACTTATTGCATTTTACGTAGTTTTATATGTAAAATATAGTCTTTTGTGGTACATATATATACATAATTCTTATTTAGTCTCTTTGACTTATCTTCATTTTTACATAAAATTCTCAATTTTTAAAGAAGGAAAAAAAATTAAAAAATGTTTTAAATTTATATATAAATTTTTAATACTTTTGCTTTTAGTGTGTGTATTTTTTTCATCTGATGGTATTTAAAAGATAGGATAGGCTCTTGTAACCTTTTTGAAAAAACTTATTTTCTACATATATATCAGAGTTTTGGGATTTATAGGAAACAAGACCTTACTGGTTATTCCAAGTTGGATAACATATTGGGAAAGTAACAGTGTTTGGATTTGCAACAATCCAGATTTTGAAATTCAATGTGAAATAATCAGATTTAAAAAAAAATCCTTTTAATAAAGTTTTGTATGGATAAATTAGGTAATGAAAATATTCCAACTTCCAAGGAATTTTTTTTTTCAAATTGGTTCAAAAAAGTTTGGGAGATGGAAGGGATGTTGTTAATAAATATCAAATACCACACAGTTATTCTTTCTGGCTCTTTATCCTCTTACTTGGAAATAACAACATACTCGTATACATAATCATTTGTTGAAAGTAGATATAATCAGAAGTGAAGTTGTAATATTTATTATCGTGGCTACCATTATAATCTGGAAATAGGGATTATTCATAGATCAACATACGCCTATAATGATAGACAGAATTGATTTAGTTTTCTGTGTAGTTAAGTGTATAAACCATGTGTAAAACTGGTGTTTAAAAAAGTCATAAAGCATAAAATATGACAGACTGTATATTAACCCTGGATATGCTCTCTAGCTTTGGTAGAGCTGGTTAAGTTAACCTTTGAACACATCATATAGTATAGTAAGCATCTTCTGGAGAGCATCTGGTTATTATTCCAATAGAACACCTGATTAGTAGGAATACAGTAAATGGCTTCAGATATTGTTTAAAAACCTAAATAGCAGCTTTAGACTGAGACATCTGCTGATCATAATTCCATAACTTCCATGAACAGTGGCCACACAGTCTTCAGAGAAAGTAGTCTCTTAGAGCACTGGATAAATGCAGGTCTTTGGAAATATAATGGTCGCAAGAACACCCTAATAAGTACAGACTTCAGAATATAGAGGTCACAGAGAACACTTTATTAAAGTGGTCACAACAAATACCCCTGATTAGTGCAGGCTTCAAAGCACTGTGGCCACATAGAACACATGAAAAGGGCAGACCTTTAAGAACAGTGGCCGCAGACGTTAGTGAGCAGATGCCAGTGAGAACACATACAGGCCTGAGAGAACAGTAGCCACAGAGAACACATGATAAGTACATTTACCCCAGAACTGTGTCCACAGAAAGCATGAGAAGTGCAGGCTTCAGAGGACAGTAGCCTTAGAGCACACATAAGTTAATTCCTCAGAGGACACTAGCCACAGAGAATGCATGATAAGTGCAGGCTTCTTTCACAGAGAACGTATAATAAGTGCAAGCTTCTGAGAATTGTAGCCACAAAAAACACATGATAAGGGCATGTCTTAGAGAACAGTAGCCACAGAGAACACATGAGCAGTGCAGGTCTTGGTGAAAAAAATGGGTAGTGCAGTCCTCAAAAGAACAACTGACCCTCAGACTAATAGGATAGCTGGTTTCAGAAAACAGAGAACGTCAGAACAGAGAAATCAGAAAACATCTGAAACACCTGATAGCAGAGGTCCAAGAAAAGTGAATCAAAGTAGTCTTAGTGAAAACCTGGTCATCATCTTCCTAACTTTGTAAACTTCATATTGAAACAAGGATAATAACAAAACATATATCAACTTTTGAAGAATATTAAACTGACAGTCAGTGGTTCAATATTGTGTGTTATAAATGTTGCCTGTGTGTAGGGCCCAACTCTTTCCTTGTTACTCAGTGTTATTCGTTCTAAAATGGGAAAGCATACTAAATTTTTCATGTTGCTTTGTCACTTATTCCCATGCATGATAACATGGTGTTTTTAATGTTGTTCTTCCCCTGGGAATTTCTCTCTCTAAACATTAGATTCATATCTGTGTTCCCACAGCACTGCAGATGTCTGACAAAGTGCCACCAGAGTGATATCTTATTTCATTAACTTTAACAATTAAAAAGCCTTTTATCAGGAGTACTAGATATTTCATGGTATAGCCTTAAGCATTGTTACATAATATAACAATCTGTCAGACTTTTTCTTCCAAAGCTCTGTAAAGCGGCTTTATGAAACATTCCATGATTTGTATAAGTTAGGTAGTTAATAATTAAGTAGTATTATGCACTGTCAGTATATTCAGTGGCAGATGTATACAGAAACCATTAATTGCTAGGTGTAGATGCACTAAAAATCATCTTTAAAATAAACATGAACCAAAGATTATTAAGGGAAACATCATCACTGAAAACAACATTCAGATGAAAAATCTAAATAAATCATTGAATTATCTTCATAATATTATATAATTACTTAAAATACCAAAAAAAAAAGACATTTTATCTGTCGTGAGAAATATAAATCTGACAAAAGTATAGAGAAAACCATGCAGGTGAAATGAAAAATTCTTTAAATGATGACCACATGACTTAAATTTTAATAAGAAATAAAGTTTTCAGAATTATTCCTGCACCTTTGATTGTTTCATGTACTGGTTATCCCTGATCAGAATCTAAGAGCCTTAGTGTTTGTTTTATCACAGTGTCTGCTGTAATTAGTGTCATGTGATCTGTACCGTTGTAGAAGCATTTGCTCAGCAGCATGGTTTTTATGCTGTTGCTTTAGATTTATAATTGGGTCTAAATATACCTACACCAGCCTCATCATTAGGCATGCAACAAAGAACATCTGGGTTTTGTGTGTATTGATTTACCTGTAGGTAATTGATATTGCCATCCTCTATCCAGGTTGTAGTTTAGTTGGGTACTGTTTCATTATTACATTGAGACTAAAAGCCTTTCAGTGGCAGAAGTGATATGAGAATGGCAGCAATAGCAATTTATGAGTTCTAGGAACTTGAACCTTTCTTTGTGAAGACCTTTTAATTTCAAGGTCCTTGCATTACATATTGCTTGACTCAAATTACGCTAAAACCCTGAAGATTTTCATTAATCAGAATTTGTCAGTGAAATATTACAGTAGAAAGTAATGCTTGTGACTTACTAAATCACATGCTTTAAAAGTGATTACTGGTCACTGGTTTGTTTTATTACATTCAGAAGGACAGAATGTCAGTAGCCAGAGTAAAAGATTACACAATAAAGTTATAAAAGAAGCTGATCACCAAGAAAGGAGCCGAATGATTCACTCTGACTTTCCATCTGTCAGTCATATGTCTTAATCAATTACCCTTTAAACAGCCAACAGCTGAGCATCTCTTAGTGAATATAATATTGATGTGTTTCATAACTAGAAGGTATATAATGCATAACTTTTGTATATAACACTTTCTGGAAATTCGATGGACCATGATATACAATAAATACCATGTAGGTCAGGAAATTCAAGGTATGATTTCAAAGATATGTAATACAGATTACTAAAATTATTACCTTACTTATTCTACAATATTGAGTCTTTGTGACGGAACGTAACACAGGGTAGGCTTGAAATAGTTTGTGTTAGTAATGTCCTGAATAACAAGAGATATAGTCGGACTTATTGCCAGATATTAAATATGGTACATGCGATCTCTGACATTTTGATGAAGTGAGTTGTTTGTGAACCAATTTTCCAAATTGTATCACTGGAAGACAGAAACCTGTAAACAGGTCTGGGTACTAGGGTATGTATAATATTTGTTAATAAAAGCCATATTGATCCTGTTAAGCTTGTAACTGAAGGTTAGAAGGCAGCAGATCAGAAAAGCAAGCAGCTGGGAGTATTTAGGTTTGGTATAATTGATGTAATTATCACTAATACCATCAGTACACATACACATATAGGTCCCCTGTATCATAACAGCCCCAGCAAGTGGTATATGTATTGGGATCAACTTTCTACAATAACCCAGGATCAATTCCCTCATAGCATATTGAACATCACACATATGGAGATGTAGTATATACTAGTTAAAGCATGAATCCTTTAATGAAAAAATACTCAGAACAGGTGATTGTAAAGTTCATTGACAACAATAAGTCACTTGAAGTGTTATCTGATAACGATGGAGGAATAGACTTACAAAGGTGTTAGTCAGATGGAGGCACAGTGTCTGGTATCTGGGCCAAAGTCACCTTTTAATCTTATACCATACATTACAGTTGTTCAGAGGCTGATGATAGCTAGTTGGTGTCAGTTTTGATATTGTGAAAAAAACACCCCAAAAAAAAAAAAAAAATGGCAGATGTTTAAAGGTACAAATGAAGATTGCATCCATTGTGACTTTAATTTATTGTATTAAATCCTTATTCATGAAGCTTTAGACTTTATTTTATTGTTTTAGAATAAACATTTTCTGCTGGAAATATTTTCAGATAAGTTACTGGTTACTCTGTACTCCAGCTCCTGTGCTCTTGTATTTAACAGAGTATTAGTGACATGTATATATATTTCATACATTACATACAGGCATCCCATCTTCCAATATGTAAAAGATCAATGACATCCATTCTAAACTCAGTTACATTTTTGCTGAGTTGACAACAATTTTGATTTCTTGTTTCAATTTCCCTTAGCACATGGATTTCTGAATTTTAGTTCATGCGAACCCTCAGTTATTCTGTCTTTGAAAAAGTACTGCGGAGATGTCTGGAGAGTCATTGGATGTTGACTAAGCTTGGCATCAAATAGTATAAATATGTATATATAAATCCTGAGATGAATCAGCAACTGTTACCACTACCAAAGGCACATCCACAGTGTTTGCAATCTGCACAACATCTATGTAAAGCCTCTTAGCATATTCCTGATATTGTTTAAACTCCTGTATCAGTCCAGGCTGACTCTAGATAAACAATTATGTAATCTACTATCAGTGTTCAATAGGCATTCTATAACATTTATCACAGGCTCAAAGTTTCAAAAGTACAGAAGATATAATTTTTTAAAATTATGAAAAGATTGGATTGTTTGCACATTTTAATCTTACAAGCTGATGTGAATAATTAGAAGTAAATTATTTGATTAAAAGTACAGATATGTTAGAGAACAAGTTCATGCAGAAACAAAGTGTTTCTCATCATCTCTTCTTTAATGGAGTATGAATTAAAATATATCAGCTCCTTATAAAACAGGTTTGGTGAAACCTATATCCATTCCTGTCTTGGTTTGTTCAATAACAGTACATTCGTAAAGATAAAATAAGCCGATTTGTCCTTAAATGGTGAAGGTCTTATCTTATGATGTAACATCTTGTGCCGTTCAAATGTAAGGTCCATTAAAATGTCAGAGGTGACTTTATGTGTCGTTGTCCTTCGTGTACAGTTTTCTGTAAAGGCTTCAGGTGTACCAACACTGCTGATACCACTGAAAACAGTACAAAGTTCATTGCATGACAACACTATGTCATACACCTGTTGTGTTAAGTAATGTAAGCCCCTTGTAGCACAGTTTGAGTAACTTTACGGGAAATGATTATAATCGTGTGTTAAATTAACATATACTTTAGGGATAAAACTTTAAGTTTTGGTGACTGTGTTTGATTGAGTGGCTGATAAATGCCCCAGATGAAAAATTTATCATGCTTTATCTAAACAAATAAAATGTACTAATTGTTTTATATTCTTGATCTGTGAGTTTGAAATAGGAATATGCTAGTGTAATATCTATATTGTTTAACAATATTATGAGGCTCACCTGATAGAATACCTAGCAATGAATAATTTATGAATTGCCATGTTGAGAGGTCAACTAGAGAATACCCATGGAAATATTCCTTGAGGATGCCCTTTGAGCTATATATAGGACAAATAATCTCATGTATCAATGTTATATATGCTACTTTGCACACTGGAAATCAAAGAGCATTAAAGAATTCTAGGGTCGCCTGTAACTGTTACACCCCTAGGAAAAAGTTCTATAAACTGTTGCATCCAAACATTGTTAAATACCATCATTAGAACCAAGGTCAATTATTGATCATAGTGATGGCTGAATGGTGCTCAACTTGAGGTGATACAATATTTTCTCACTATTTAATTCTATGGCCTTCTTCGGGTCAATAGATCATTGAAAATCTAGCTATATACATATATACTTCAAACACAACGGTAAACCACTATGTTGTCTGTTATTGAAATTAAGGTAATACATATCTTAAGATCAATATTCATTTTAATAAATACAAAATATATATATTTACCTATTAGACAGAATTCAGTTTTAGACATTTTTTGGATATTCATAACTCTTCAGGGTCAGGTATTTACTTTTTTAAAATGGTTTGATGTTATAATTTGTAATGCATTGATTAATCCAATATTACAATATCATTCAAGAAAAATTGCATTGACCTGTTGTTTTATAAGGGGGCAAGAAATATCCCATATTCCATCTCATCTCATCCTTTTGTGTACACTATCAATCTCATCATTTCCATTGGTTTCATTTCTGTAAGACATTTAATCGGAATTAATATAAAGCCTTAGTTTCATGTAAGAGAAGACTTTACAGTTTGTGTTTTTGAGAAACAGATTCATGGTCAATGTTTCTGTTTAAAGAAAATCATTGATAACTATCTTGAAGGGACTAGAACATACATATTAGCTTCATATCATCTAAACAGTACTATTTGTGTAGCTCATTAATACAAGGTTGTGTTGTAAGTGGAAGGCTTTCTGATGCAGAATATTTGTATAATTACTGATGGGTGGAGTTGGAAATTTACTGTGAAGTGACCATGTAACTAAGGTCACGTTAAGGACATCACCATGTATACCAGTTTGAGTACAAGGTTGATTACCCAGGTGTGATGTTATAAACCATGGTTTTGGATGACCTGACAGACCTATATAGTAGTAGTTTATATAGACCCATGGATCCCAAGGGCAATATAGTATAGTGCTAACAAAGCAGTAAGTCTATACACCTACACCTGTAGTGGAATCAGCTGATTGTGATATTCAAATCAGGTGAACTGTTGATAAATCTGTCCAGTCAGGTGTAAAAATGTAAACCAGGCGTATATTTACCTGTGTATACTTGATCTGTTTGTCTCAAGATGAACTCGTCATTACATTTATAGGCATATATATTCTCCGTAGCTACATGACTTATATATATCATGTTGGTATGGTAATATAATTTACATATGAAAGAATGGGTGACACAGTGACCTGACCAACTTGTCTGCTTATGCAATAAAGTGTATTTTTAGACATTACCACATCTCATTAAGAATTTATGACCTTGACAAACTTGACGATAGACTATGAAATATTCAGATTACAATGATCATGACATGTCTGTTATTATGATGGTTTTAATCAATTACACATACTCTGGTAGTGAAGACCTTAACAGATATTAAGTTTCTGAATCTGTATTCAGATTGATGGATGATGTTGAGATTGCTTGTTAAAGTAATTTGGACAGGGCTAAAATTACTCTGTGTTAGCAGATTACCATAATGTAATCAGGCCTACATATCTTCAGTCTTTAAAAATAAAAAAGCAAAGAAACAGAAAAATAAAAAAGAGAAAAATGTATTGTGATATAAATTGAAAAAATGATAAAGTATTTATCATCTTGGAAAGTTTACACTGAACACAGTACTGAATGAATTGATGGAATTACAGATAGTCATGATTTTCTGAAGCCACATACATATCCACCATGTATGTATATCATCTACATGTTCATGATCCTAGAATATAGCAGGAAGTAGAAAAATGAATAAATGAATGAATAAATAAATATTTCAAATTCAATAGATTTGATGCATAATACATTTTCTGTTTTTTTTTTTGTTTTTACAGGAAACAACTAATCACGTTTACCTGGTTATGGAGGTAAGTTACTATTTCATGAAAATGGAAATGTAGATAATATCTAAAAATAGAACTTAAGTGAAAGTCATGTTTAAAAATAGAAATTGAAATCATGCTTGGATACGTAATCATAGATTTTTATTTACCCAGTAAGTTAAAAGTATATGGAAATAAAATGAAAAAGTTTCAATGGAATGCACATGTACATTGCAAGTGTTTTTTTTGTGAGGACAATTCTAAATTGCTAATTAATTTTGTATTATAAATAAGTATGTACTTATTTCAGATATTTAAAAAAATGATGTTTTACGAATACTAATAAGAAAGTTGCATTATTACACAAAAATTCAATTGTCATTGATAATTGTTTTTGTTTGGTAGTACTGCAATGGAGGAGATCTTGCTGATTTTTTGCAAGGTAAAATTTTTAAAGATATTTGTGTATACTAATTGAAAGAGTTTAACCCCCTGGGTCCAATTTTGGATGTACAAATGCTATGCTTTTGACTTGACAAATAATTACCCCATTATTTTTATACGAAAAATACAGAATTTAAGAAGGTTGCTGTAAATATGAAATTATAATTGATACTTTGATCACACAATTACTAGGACATTCCTTAAAGATTGTGTTATATTAAAAGTTTATATCAGTACATAAGTAAATAGAAATCAAATATAAGATGTTTTTAACTCTTCATTTCTATACTTTACATGTACATGTTACTGCATTGCTTATGCCCATATGTTTTTATTTCAGCAAAGGGAACATTGAGTGAAAACACAATTTCCCAATTCCTGAGGCAAATAGGTAAGGCTAAAGGTCAAAGATAAGTTGCAGGGTCATAGGTCAATTGATTAAGCCATTGTAGCCATTATCTGTTGTGTCAGGGGGTATTTGTGGTTAATGAATATATCTAATCTTCTGATTTCTAATCCAGTCCTTTTGTATTTGATAGGTAAAATAAAATGTTAAACTCAGTGAATTGTTCTAATATTTCTATTGAACTTATCGTCAGTAAACCAAAAAAAGGCAGTATCAGAGCCCTTATGAATCATTGAAAATAGAGAGAAATTAATTTCTTATGTTAAAGCAACTCATTCATCTAAAGCTGTTGGTGCATATTGAATTAACGTTCCTACATCACAGCAAATTGATTTTGATGTTTCAATAGCTGCACTGTAACCTTCATCAGACAAATGACCATTGTCAAAGAAAGAGATGTTAAATGAAATCACAAGACATTTTTGGTTGTAATGTAATATTATGTTGTGCACTAAAAATGGCCAAATCAACATTAATGGAGTAGTTTATTGTTATTTGCTACCACCTGTTGTATGTTTGGAAGAACAAAATTTCGACCTGTTTTCTCTGTAATTCTATCTCTTTACACTACTTTCTACCTTAGGGTATATAAGAAAATAGATAGATTTTTCCCAAAATGCATGAAATGGACTATTTAAAAAAGAAAAAAAAAATTTATTTGAATAAAAATAAAATGTTTTTTCAATACAGTGTTCTGTTCTATGCTAGAAAATAAAGTCACCACTAAAAATACTAACATTAACAGTAATATCATGATGTATTTGTTTACCACCTATTTATTACAGCTGCTGCTATGAGAGCCTTACACGGCAAAGGAATTGTACATCGAGATTTGAAACCACAGAACATCTTACTCCAAAATCCTCCTGGCAAAACTAATCCCTCGCCGTGTGAGATGATACTAAAAATTGGTGTGTACATCAGATATCAATGTATTTGCTTGTTTTTCTTATAAAAACCTTGAACTGATGTGACTACACTTGGTAAGGGATTTATCTGGTTAAATCTACCAGTATCATTTTCAGAAAAAGCCTTTTTTTCTTTCTTAAACAAGGTCCTTAAAGAAAAAAAATAGAGGATTTTTGAATTTGAAATATATGTTATGTTATATTTTATGTTTTAACTAATATAGAGGTCATTTTTCAGCTGACTTCGGATTTGCAAGATTTTTGCATGATGGAGTAATGGCAGCAACACTTTGTGGTTCCCCTATGTATATGGTATGTATTAACTTTCTACATAATTTATGATATTTACTGTTCAACACTACATACTGGGAAATTCCCTGATATCCATTGAAATGAAGGCAGCACCTATTTTCAATGTGTTCTAAAGAGATCCTGATCATGATAAAGCTTAATGGTGTTATTCACGAAAAATCACTCATTAAAATAAAATATTCTTTAATAGGCTTCATAAATGAGATTTGGAATTGAAATTAATGAAAGATATCTGTTTTCACAGGCTCCAGAGGTAATTATGTCAATGCAGTACGATGCAAAGGCAGACCTGTGGAGTATAGGGACCATCGTGTTCCAATGTTTGACTGGGAAAGCTCCCTTCCAGGCACAAACACCTCAACAACTTAAACACTTCTATGAAAAACATGCAGAACTTAAACCCAAGTAAGTATTGCAAAATGAAAATGTACTTTCCATTGAGAATTTCCGGTGCACACATGTGATATTTTTCATGAAAGTAACTGTTCATTTCATTTTAATTCTTTTTCTTTATTTAATTTTTTTTCCAGAAATATTGAAAAATAAATTAACATGATATTTCGTTACAAAAATGAAATAGAAATTGTTATGTACAAAGCCTCAGATTTCCCTACCCATTTCTAAAATAATATTTTGTCATTTTATGACTTTGTGTGGTATTATTCTGTGACAGTGTGCCGAAAGACACATCATCAGGGTTGAGAGATCTGCTACTCCGAATGCTTAAAAGGAATGCTCGAGACAGGATTGCTTTTGGTTAGTAGAGAATGAATGAAAAATTGACACAAAAATGTTTAATATCTCTCTCCAATATCTAAAACACTTCTTATTTAGGTGTGGCATAACAAGAGAGTGATCTGTGCATCCAAACTTTATTAAGTGAAGCAAAACTTCCAAAATTCATGAAAAGAAAGTTTTGTGCTCTTTTGTTTGTGATCAAGTTGACAAATATTCAGGAAGAAGGCCCAGGATGTTGATAACTTCCTGTGAGGTTGTGGTATAATAAATATACTAGTAAACAAATATTGAATTGGTGGATGTAAACTGGACACAGTTTGCTCTGTTGAACACTGTTTTCTGTAAAAACAATATGTACCTACTATTGATAATATGAAGGAAATTACGATGAATGAAATTATGTGTATAAGAGGAAGTTTGAACATTACTGACTGGCATCTGTGTATAAATTACAATTGATAATGAATGAATGATTCATGACAAAATCTTCTTGAATAGTTTCCTTGACTGGGGTCCACATCCTGTTGTAATGCCTATTGTTTTCCATTGTAGAGGATTTCTTTATTCATCCCTTCCTGAACCCACCACCTGCACTAAAGGCCTGTAAGTACACATCATCTTCATTTCTAATACAAAACTAGGTAATGTAGGCTTAATTGTTTTGTTGTTGATACCATACTTATGATTTTCTGTATCAATGAATTATGATGTTGATATATGAATTTTCATTCTACATAGAAAATTGTTCCTTATTACAGCTTCACCAGTACCAGTTCCCAGTCGATCTAGTCATGGATTCTCATCAGCAAGCCCCACACCTCCTAGTCATGTTTCTGCCTCGCCCTTGTCTGGACGAGCAGAATTTTCTCCACCCCCTCGCAGACCCCCACCCCCTCCTCCACCAGCATCAGCACCTCTGCCTTCACCCCCTCCTGTTCCTTCACCTGTGAAGATCACGCCTCCAAAGCCACTCCAAGTCATCAAACGAGAAGAGGCTGAAGTTTTTCATGGCTCCTCCAATGAAGTGGCTGGTTTTCTTAAGGTGGAGAAAGATGGACAGACACCACGAAGTAACAGCCCTACTGAGGTAGATGTCATGTCCATCTTCTTTCTGTTGTAGCTAGATTTTCATTATTTTACCACAGTTTATTTAGCCTTTGACATAAAAAATTTCTGAAGTAAATAAATAAGGCTGTTAAACAAATTGAAATGAAATTATATTTTTTTTTTTTCAATTTTAATCACATTAGTGATAAAACTTTTTGAATGTCTCTCATTACATATGTTCACCCACTACATATTACCACCTTGCCCTTTTTAAAATCAGAATTCACTTAAATATGTTCTAGTATTTACTTAAAGGTTAAATATAAATCCAATTTCTTTGCATTCATTATAAAATAGCTGTTTTATTTCCAGGACTTTGTGATGGTACCAGTGAGTTTACCATGTGAAAACTTACAAGGTATGATTGTTGTCATGGTATCCAGGTTCTGTGTCTTGTTCTCGATACTTGATACAGATATAAGAAAAATAGTTTAGTGCATGATATGTAAATTATGTATCAATCATAGAAAAAAGGAATATTTTAGTAGAAGTCTCTCTTACTCCAAAATCATTCTTCTAATTAGTATTTGTTCACTTTGTTTTTCTTTGTATAGGTCAGCTTTTAATGCATTAAGATTTGTAATTGAAGCTCAATAGATTTGACGTCCAAAATACTGTTTTAAGCCCCCACAATATTGATTTAAGAAACATACTGCCTAGAGTAACAAGGTTCCACTTAACATTTTTGTATAATTTAATTTAATCTGTGAATAGATAAAACATTGACAACATATTAAAATACATTACAATGACTGGATCTTGATGTTACTGTTATTGTTATGTTACAGGTAGTGCTGATAAACCAACCAAGGCTCCTACACCAGAAGAAATGTCAGTAAAAGCTGTGTAAGTAACTGCTGATATCAAATCCTGGAAGCTGCAGCTCACTACACACAAGCTTTCTTACATAAAGATTTGATACAAATTTTTCTTCATGAAACAATTTTTTAGAAGTGGTATTACAAAACAGAGGTTAATAGATAATCTGCATCATTTTAGGTTCTCTGTCACCATATGTTATTGTTTTGCCTTTACATCTTAATTTCAGAGGAGGTGCACTTTCTTGTCTTAGCCTTCTTTAAAAATGTATTGTTTACAAGATATCACAACCAGTCAACTGGAGATTGCATTTTACATTTAAAAGATGTCTAGAATTTGTAAAAATTTTCATATTTTTATGCTTTCTATACATTAACAAATTTTCTTTGGATTCCATATCAAGAAAAGCATTAGAAAAAGATGTATATGAATAATAATTTTCTCTACTCTCATAACGACTTTTTTTTTTTTTTTTTGTTAGTCCTAAAAATGAATAAAAATTTTAATAATATTTTCATTTGTTGTAGAGAGACCCATAACTTTAACATTGATTTCTTCTGTTGTCCTTGTATATTGAATGTAGATCTTTTGTGTTGTCCCAGTAACTTTAACATGGATATTCTATGCTGTTATCCCTGTTGCTCTTCTGTCTAATGATATAACTGTTTTAACTTTCTATTTTTCTTACATCACTTTTAAACAATACCATTTCTAACCATTAGTTAACCCTAATTCAGTGTGTTAATGAAACCCTGGCCCTAATGTTTATTTTCTGTTTTACAGAGATCCCCCGCCCCTGCCCTTGGTGGCAGTGAAGGTGAGTCCCACCTCTGGGGCTGCAGCCTTTAGTAAGAAGTCCCCTGAAGAGGCCACTAGCCCCAGTCGCCCGTCCACCCTCCCTATGCAGACTGATACACCCCCACCCACCAAACCCCACTCGTCAGAACCTATCCCTGTCCCTGGTCAAGTGCAAGCCTACCATAGGATATCTGCCGGCTCACCATCAAGTCCTCGTAAAAACAGCATGGACATTTCTCCTTCAGGGTCCAGTACTGGGTCCAACAAGGTAGGCTGAATCATAAAAAACAAGAAGGTGATAATGAGTTATAGGAGTGACGTTGTGACAAACTGTTGTTGGATTATGTTTTAGCAAGTGCTACATACATTCAGTAAATTTGCATTATAAGGGACGTGGTTCATTCTCATATGGTTAATATCATACATTTCAGAAATACCTCCTTCTCCCTTATGTTATTTAGCTGGAAGTTGTTTTTGTTACGGATGAATTTCACTTGTAAAATTCTTCAGGAAGTGTTAAAACCATTAGGACAGTGGTAATATTGCTTCCTTGTAAAGGCCCATTGATTTTGTATGAAACAGTACACTGAATCATAAGATGAGTCAAGCTTGGGTGTTTGCTGATATCTGGTTTCACCTAATTTCTTGGCATTGACTACTTAAAGTTTGGCTTGTTATACTTGAAAATGTTATCTGTATAAGCCAAGTGTGTGAACATATTTTACAATGTAGTTTTTTTTCCCTTTATTTATTTATTTTATTCTGAATTTTGTCTGTTGCATTACAGGACTCCACAGAGAAGAAGGATATAAAAACATCACCCCCTACAGTGGAGGCCAAGCTCTGTGGGCCGGACATTGGGTCACTGTCTCCACCAGCAGGTACGGTGTCAAATAAGCCATTATATCATGGACATGTTTTAGGCAAAATATTAATTATTTGATGTTCTTAAATGTAAGAACTGATTGAAAATGAATATTTATTTAATACAAAGTGAAGGTGTATATGAGATACAAAATAACATATGTGTTTCTTTCAAAATAAAATTGTAAATGTGACAAAATAACATATGAATGTGTTTCTTTCAAAATAAAATTGTAAATGTGAACCTTATTGTACAAGATTAATGTAGTCAAAATAAGGAAAATGTAATATGATACCTCTGTGATACTTAGAATATCAAATGTTGGTAAGTCTACCTAATGATACGGAACCCAAAAAATTAAATGTTTGTAAGTCTGCCTAAAGACACGAAACCCAAATAGTGACAACTTTACCAAAAATGAAAAATATTGTGATTGTTGAATATGCAGCCTAAGATCTCTTGCTATCATATTACGGGTTACAATTCAGATTATTGACAATCAGAGGTGATTAAGCTGTATTGTACTATATACAGGATCAGCTAGTCAGTTGCACTTTGTAGAAATTACCTCAAAAGCATATTGCTATACATTGTTAATTAAAATGTTTTCTTAATATAATGCAAAGCAGAAACAAAAAGTCATTTTTGTGATGTTATTTTTGTAGTGAAATTTTCTATTGGAACTCCCCCAAGCACTGGACAGTGGAAGAGAGGCAGCATTGGGTCTACCCCTTCTCGTTTCAGTACTACTCCTCCTAGTGTCACCAACTCACCTCATCGAAAATCAGGTAAGATTGTGGGTCAGTGATATAAATTCTTAATTTTAGGCTTATCTTTAATAGTTTGAGTTTCTTTAATAGTTGTTGCTTAAACTCCCCCTTTCCATAATATATATAATCATGTTACAGACAATGTTGCTTTAGACATAAAAGTTATATTAAACAACAAAGGAAATGAATGTCCATTTTGATATGGCTAACAAATATTTTGTGTCTTTTCGAAGAAATTCCCCTTTCATTATTTCATATTTAGAAATTAATTTAGTTCTTGGGCAGACTGTGATCATGACTTCATATCATTATTGGTAAAGTGTTTGCTATGAAAATCTTTCAAATGACCATGATCACTTAGAGGCTCTGAAACACTCTTCATAATCATATAGTTACACAAATTTGTGTTGTTGATAACAGGAAGTAGTTCACCTCTGCTCCCTGTGGTGGCCCCGACATCGCTACCTGCGATTATTGGATCTCCTCCAAAGCTGGGTAAAGTTGATCGTAAAAGTCCAGAAGGTATTGACTCTATGCCTGTTAATGCACCTTTTGGATCCTCCAGACCCAAAACTGTACCAGACGATATGGCAACCATGCCATACAAGGGACCAGCACAAGGTAAAACTGAAAAAACATTGAAATTCTGCTTAAAATGAAACTTTTTAGGCACACATCATTTTGTAGGCATATAATAATACCCATGTCTGTTCATCCTACCTTGCCTTACCTTGATGTCCTATTTGATATCAATGCCACATCTTAAGGAATCTCATAAGGTTATTTGTTCAAATTTACTTTATAGCATCATAACAAAAAGTTCTAAACCTTCTTACATTAAGGTGATCATTAGTCAGGGAACTTGTATTCTGAAATTAGCGTTAGTTTCTTTAAATTATGATTTTTATTTAAAATAACAGACTGGATTTTATATATTATACAACAATCAAATTATTTCACTGATATATTATTCAATTAAACCAACTTTTTGAAATGATAAAACTTTTTATATGCTGTACTTTTCTGACATTTTGTACCAATTTGTCATTTTCATTATTTTCTATAAGATGAAATTTAAACTCTTATTTCTTTATAAATAAGTTACAGCAGCTGTTCCCACTGTGCGACGTAACTTACTAGAACAAGGACGTTCTGCTACAGAACCTAATGTCTTCAGTAACCTGGAGGGAGGCAGTCTGTTGTCAGAACAGCTGGTTAGAGCAGCATTTGGAACACCTCCACAAGGTAAGTGATAACCTGAAATAAACTGATGGAAGGAGGAGGGAAGAGTGTGTATTTGTTGAGAAATATTGGGAAATTATCTGGAGAAAGAAGATTAATCATTCCACTTACTAACAAAAGGATCATTGTTAAGCATGAATAAATTAAGGTGCCAGTTATTATCATTCTGTCATAATGTTTTTATTCAAATCATTATACTGAAAAACACCACTTTGGATTCTCTAAACTAATTTAAACTTCGACAAAGACTATAAATGTAAATATTTGTTGTTTAAAAGTTCTCATTATTGACAATTATTGTATTTTCAGCATTCAACAACCAGGGGTCTGTGGTACCCTTCAGCAGTGGGGGCTGGCGAGGTAGTAAGGAAAAAGTTAGCTCCCTTGGATCTCCTGGTAGTGATAAATCTCTCCCCTCTGACACAGACAAATCGACAGCATACGTAAGACGGAGTACAGAACCTTCACCTCCTCCCTCTGCCATATTTGCACAGTCCCCTTCAAACATGGAGGGACCAGTTACATTTGTAGCTCCAGGGCTTGCAGAGGAAACTCTTATGGATGTAAGCATACTTATTCTGTTAAAACTGGTGAAAATACAGCGCCTAACCAAATAATTATTTGAATATTATTGCAAATAAAGTTTTAAGTATAGAAATACATGATAAAGGATTTCGTTCTTAAGTAGCTGACTGAATTCAGCAGGTGTTTATGAATTTTATCATTATGCAGGACAATCACAACGAGACAATGGCAAAGCTAAGCTTTGTTCTGGACCTGGTCGACTGTATCATAGAACTAGCACAGACCAGGGGTGCTCCTCTCCAGGGCTTCACCGAATCTGTCAACCTAAAACAGGTCAGCATTGAAAGACTGTATCATGTCAATTAGGCACCTAATTTTAAAGTGTCAGTTTTGAAGTATATGTTATTTTTTGAAGTGTTAAATGTGTATTTATATTTGTTAAATAATTTTCTGCAGGGAGAAGCATTGCCATCAGAACAGTTACCAAAGTTTACAGAAACACAGAGGTAAATATTTGATTTTGATTAATTTTATGAATATGAATTTTCTTGACATCCATTTTAATTTTGATACAATTATTAAATAAAAGATATGTCAAATTGACATAAATTGAATCTGATGATAAATTTTGTTATCTTTAGGCGACTTGAACAGTTGGTGCTGTATGTACGGTCACTGCACCTCCTGTCGTCCTCCCTTCAATTAGCACGCAAGGAAATCAAGGAGGAGAGACTTCAAATTTCCACATCTCTCAGAAATGGTAAGCTTTTTTGATGTATTGCAAGATTTATAATATTCATTTCTTTTATTCACATTTTTTGGTAGAAATGTGAGAAACTTTACTAAAAATAGGGTCAATGTTTCGCTAGATCAGATAAAAATTTCTTTTTATGTGTATAATATTTGTTAATTTGTTTCAATTTACAGTGTTGCGACAGATGAATGAATCGTACCATCGGTGTGTCACTATGTGTAAACAAATCCAGCACAGACTAGGTACAGGTATCCAGAATACCCTAACACCTCAGCTGGCTGTGGCTACTGCTGATAAACTTATCTACAACTATGCTATTGAAATGGTAAGCTACACACGTGTCCTTATAGTTTCTGTTTTCAGTTTATGTCAGACATAAATCATGTTGACTCCACCTGAAATCAACCTGAGTTTCATGATGTTGGTTATTACTACATCTTGTTGTGCCTTGTTAGTATTAAGATTAAAAAATAACATACACTTGTGTTGTCAAGTCATGCATATAATTTTAATTTTTTGTTTGTTTTTTTGGTATTGTTATTTTTTTTTTCATTTTTTTATAATAATCTAAATGCTTTTTTAAGTATGCAGTATGGTTGTTTTTTCTTTTGTTCTGTGACTTGTATATGAACAAGGCAATATAATGAAGCTTATGTTGGAATCCATGACAAAAGTACTGTTTTAACTATTTGCCTTCTGTTACAGTGTCAGAATGCTGCTTTAGATGAGCTGTTCGGAAACCCACATGAGGTAGGTATAGACTTAATGTCATTTTTTACCATTAAGAAATTCATCTATTTGATACTATTTTCCTTTACCAGCTAAATACTTCAAAGTCAGCTGACTTGTATTATGGTAAGCAATATGATGTATAGCCAATGAAATAACCCCTGTAATTTCTGTATACTAACTGTGTTATGTTATGATAAGGAGACTAAAGCCAGTGTTTTTTCATTTTTATTTCAGTGCTTCAGGAGATACCAAACCGCACACCTTCTCCTTCATAGTCTCTCTCAACAGGCTCGCAATGTGCGCGACAAACAGCTCCTTAACAAATGTGAGTTTGCAACAAAGTGTCAGCTGTTAAAATGATGTAGAGCTCAAGTTATTCAAGTGGAATCGCATGTGATCAGACTGATCGTTTTGATCCTTTTTCAGTTGATTTTCTAGATCATCTTAAATGATCCCTCATACATATATTTGAAAAAGGTAATCAGTCAAAATTTTAATATCTAATGAAACTTCATTTTTGGAATGTTAAGTGTTCCTCTGAAAAATTCTTTTTTACAAGTATTAAATTACAAGTTTACATGTGTGGTTGCCAAATTGGAATACTTGATATTAACATTATATTTATTCAACTGAATGGCAACTCATCAAGGCACTCTCTCTCAGTTTTGCTTGATAAATGAGAAGAAAATTTGATGCACATCAAAACCTGGTTTTAAGCTATTAAAGTTGAATAATTTTGTTCGTTTCAGACAAAGAAGCAGTTGAAAGGAGACTAGCCAATGTACACACAGCGCCCCAAGCTTACATCCCACCATTTGAGGCAGTCAGCTGATGAATGATGAGTCAAAGGCTCGCACTTTCCCAAACAAACATTTTCTCCTTAAGTTTGCATGACTGACATGATAAATATATTCAATGGAAGTCAGTGTAGAGTATTTTGTGTTCAATTTATTTTCAGTTTTATTTAAATCGTTTATTTTATGGAACTGATTTATGCTATGAAGATGGTTGTGGAATAGGAGTACTTAAATCTCCATAAATATAACAAGGTCAAGGACACAGAAAACTAGTGAAGATCAAGGAAAAGAAACTGTTTAAGTTCAAGGACAAAGAGAAGTACACAAACCTGTGAGAAAATCCTATGCAGAATATATATAGGTATACATCTTTGTATATACATGTGGTTTATTGAAATGACCATATTAATGTAGAGAGTTTATGGAACAGACGATTGGTTTGATAACTGTATGTTTCCTGTTTCTTACATTTGATATTATGGTCAGGTATAGTGTTTAAGTGTATCTGTCCCACTTTAGAACATACTGTTTGTATTTGAAGGTAATATATGTACAGCATATGGAATACAGAAGAAAAATGACCAAGCTTGTTGAAATCAGAGCTGGTGTTCCATGAACGTTTTGGTAACAAGTGATTGCTATACATTTTTTCATTAATCTCAGGGATGGAATAGAGTCGGAAACAAACTCAAAACATGCATCTTAACAACAAAGAACAATTCTGTAATGGTTCGTTTAAAGAGCAAGCTAACATATAAGACGATTTTCAAGTAAAATCCGAAACTTTTAGAATAGCTATTGAACTGTAATCCATTTTCAGCTGAAATGTTAAGAAACTACTGCAAACTTTCCAATACAAAGTATATTAATACTTAAAAAAGTTTCATATTCAGTATTTTCAATGTGGATTTACCTTATTTTCTCAGAATTTATTTGAACTATTAACAGTAAAGATTATGTGTGGGTTTTTTTTCAAGTGCTGTTAGAGCACATATCAATTTAGATACTTACCTAGGATCTATTGATTTCACAAATACGGAAGAAATTACCTTTAGTGATTTTCATAGATATGTTTCTCGTGTGCCAAGTGCCAAGATGATAAATGTAGCTTGCTAGTACAGAAAACATGAGAATAAGTTGTTTTATTTCTGTCAATAATGAATATGATTATGTAGCTGTATTAATTATTTAGATCTTTGATAGCATTAAATCATTTTTCACTTGTTTGAACAAAGGTATAAGGCTGTTGTAAATATCTGTATATACAGTTATACTAATATCTATTTATGATTATATTGTAGAATAAGATGTAAACCTCTACAATAACATGTAATGCATTATTTATTGACACACATCAGTGAATATTGACACACATCAGTGAATACCTTTTTATCTCTGTCTCGATTCAGATCCATTAACTGTAAGACATAATGGATCATTTTTGTGATATACATGTTATAATACAGATTGGCAAGGGAGATAACAAGCATGTGATATCTGAAAAATCAATTTGTATAGCTTGGCTTTTACCATGTGTAAATAATCCACCATGTACAATTTTCTTATTTGGTTATTTTACTCCTCCAAAGTATTTCATTTTATTCTCACCATTATTAACTCTTCCAGTTGGAATTCCAGGTATAGAATATGTTTTTACCTCCGAGTTTCAGCTTTTATCATTCAGATATTTTGCTTAATCTACTTGTATATGTTCACAAATACAAATCTTTATGCGAAAGAAGAATTATGAATCTCTCAAGTGGTATTTTATTAATTTTTCTTGCAATGTTAAAAGCTTAAGTCAGTTTTTAATGTTGCATTATGAAGTTTTCTAGTGTCATGAAATAGTGACTTGATTTAGATGATATTAAGATTTCTACATATGCAGAGGGATTTGGTAGCCCTGACGACTTGGTATTTGTCGCATATTCAGAGTATACCTTAGAGCGTGTAATGTATTACAGGTTGTGTTACGTGGTAATGAAATGTGTTCGTGTTCATTCAGACTTTGCTCTTGACCCTGTAACTCCCTCATAACAACAGCTAAATATGTCAGACATGAATCAAGTTCTCTGTAATTATGAGGAGGTGCCCAAGCTAGTCATGGGATGACAGGGTACAGACCCGTACGTTTAAATCTTGGCCAAGTTGTTAGTGTGTTTGTAATACATGCCGTAGTCTTTCAGTTTGATTTTGGTATGTGATTATTCTACCTGTACCTGCAGAATAGTAATATTTTGTGTTTTGTTTAGTTTGTCCTGTTTGTTTTCATGTTGTTTGGCTTTTTGATATGTGCTGAGAAAAGATGAGCTTTCACATGGCATGTGAACTTGGTCTTCGAAGTTATTGCAATATACATGTATATTGAAATCAGTAATGTGACTTTCTCTTGCCGAACAGAAATGCATTTCATATCTTTTAGTTTGTTTTTGCTTCTGTATTTTATTGCATATGAACCATATGTATGTTGGCAGGTTTTGAGTTTGTAATTTATTAAGAGTTTTATGAGATCATGATTAGAGTAATATATATGCTTATAAGTAGCCAGAATAGTGGAATCTATTATCACTGAGAAAGGAATTCAAAATGTGAAGCATTTTCAATTTTGTTCAGATTTTGAATGACATAACCAGAGTTAGGATTTTTTCATGACCTTTCATGACCTTCATGACAGTTACATTCCCTCAGAAAAAAAAAGGGTGAAAAATTTCATGTCAATAAATTAATTTTTCTGAGACATGTGAAAAATGTGAAATCAGTTAGATGTGTCAATCGTAATCTCAGAAAATAAGGAAACTAAAGGTCACTACTGTGGCAAGATTATTATAAACATAGTCTTGTGATGGACGTCTCTCTTAACTTTGAGCTTGTAATGATGTACAGATTGACGTCTGATGGTGAAGATGTTTATGACCCAATCAACTTACTGGTACTCCTGATCAGTATTAATTTTGTTTCATTGTATGAGAACTTCAAGAAATATTTTGGAATACTCTCCAGAACACACTTACCCAGGATAGTCATTTTAGTACTTTACTGAGTTTATCACGTAAATAATTATATAAATTTTATATTTCTTATGTTATTTAACCTATATATAACAGAGAGTGTGATATTTTGTTTTTAAGAAGAAAACTTTATCAAAATTCTTAAATCTTGTATAGATTGTATAAAAAGTGCTAAAATATTCCAAAGTGGTAAAACTAGATATAAATTAAGAAACCAAGTTGAATTATTTATATCAGTTTGTTAAGGTTTTTGACTTAGTTAGATCTAATATTTTGGTAGGTATTTGTGTTAAAATCCAATCAAAGGTATTTAAACTACCTTTAATTCATTATGGTTGATTGGTAGCTGCTCTGTTACTCACTTCAGTAGTCTAACAATTAGATTTGAATAGCCATATGTCCTACATGGGTGGTACTTATATTCATCAGAATATACAAGAGTGCAATTAAACTCCAGTGAGAGATTTAGAAGTAGTACTTTATCTCATTTACAAAATATCTATATATTAGTGAGTTGATGTCAATGTGAAATTTATAGATATTTCAGACTTTTTTCCCCCAATATGTTTTGTTTCACCATTTTTACCTGTGTGGTATCTAATCTCTGTAGTTTAGTTTATGTATTTAACTTTATGTGGTATATGTACTTCCAGTGATTCACTTACAAGTATTTTATTTTTTGGGACCTACTGGTTCATGCCTGTACATAAGCCTATTTATCATGTTCAGAAGCCAGTGTGGCTGGTACCATTGTGATTTTTTATTAGTGGTTATTTTTTGTGGTTAGACTGTGTTGTTAAATGTATAAAATGTTTGAATGACATTGGATCCATTTTGACTTTGAGAAAATAACGCTTTTCTTGGAAATGAAGTTAAATTCCTATTACATGAAAAATTTCTTGAATACTGTATACTGCTAGTAATGTTGGTATACATAATGTGCTTCTCCAAAGTGGGTCCAATGTCATGTTGGTAAACGTTGCTCGTGGCTTTGTCATAGTAATTGTGTTGTTGTATTTATGATAACGAGGCAAGCAATATAGTCTGTTAGAGAGAGCCTTAGTATTTATATTGTCGTTTAATGAGAGGTCTTCTGAATTGCTAGGGAGTAAAAGCTGAAAATGTGATTAAGAAATTGTGTGAATGAAGAGCGGATTTTCCTGATCATTTATTAGCGTTTTTGTATTCTTAACTATGGCACACATATGTTGTAGATGTTCTTCTTTTCAATTTTTTTTGAATAGTAGAGGAAATTATCATGATTGTGTAAAAAGTTAATTTCAATTCTTTAATCATGGCATAGATTGTTATAAGGCATTAGGATCATACATTATGGTGAGTGACATTGATTCTCTGGTATGTTATAGCTGAGGGTGTCTGCCTTATAGAAATAGACAGCCTTAGTGGGTCAGATGTTCTGTATAGATATATACCGATGAAACTGTCTCTCATGTTCATCTCTAATCTTTTTACTAATAGATTAATCTGTCATTTTTCAACCAGAATCATTTTTCTCTCTCTCTCTCAGAAATGCTTTTCTCATGAAATGCTATTTAAGCATACTAAAGACCTCCTTGTAACAGTGCTAACCAATGTTAATGAGATGTCCCTGGAGTTTTCTATATATATTTCATGTTTTGTTTCTGACAATACTATGGTTATAACTTCTTTACGTTCATCTTGATACACATCATTGTATTTATGATCACTGACTTCACTCAAGAGTTATTCATAATTTCTGACTTCACTCGTAGTGTACTTTATCGGAACACTTTCATTTGTCAATGTACTTTCGAAAAATCACTTCTTTGTTTTATCACTATCAACCCAACATTTAAATTATGATCTGGATAAGCAGTTGCAGATTTATCATTTTTCACTAAAATTTAGAACTAATATTTCATATTTCATTGGCCTTTTGCATAGCAGATATCAATTTACTGGACATTATTTTTCAGTCTGATGTTTGATCTCGTGTTCAATGTAATAAGAAATTATCAAATTATTCCATATATGTTAATAGGTGTACTGGGTATGTAATATGTTAATTCATATTGAGAACCAAAAATGTTCTATATCATGGGTATGAAATATGCATAAATTCATTTTGATTTGGATAAGTAATAATCTTAATACCATTTTAAATAAAATAACGTGCTCAACCATGTTTTCATAATCAATGATGTATAATTTCAAATACAACATAATCGCACTTGGTCAGTATCATTTATAAAATCATTATTGATTTAATTTGCAGTGGTTTCTAAGTCTTAAGATTTGAAGTTTTGTTTCATGATAATGATAAATATTTTATGGAATGGAAAGAAAATGATTTTTGTGTATTCGATTTTTTTCTACTCTATATAAATGGTATTGATACTGCCTACTGGAACTTGAAACTAGCCACATGCTCTACTTTGTAAATATACCCATGTGTTCCAGTAGCCTAGTTAATTCACAGTCACCACTGTTTTAGGGTATATATAGAGAAATTATTGATAAATCTCATATGATAAATTGATACCTAGATCTTATATATTAAGTTGTTCACAGATCTTTTACGGACAAGTCGTTCATAGATCTTACATAAACAAGAGATTTTTTTATGAACAAGTGATTAATCTGATATAGCAAGTTGTTTATGAATCTTCTATGAACAAATCGTTCATTGATCAGCTATGCCAGTAAAATTATGGATGGTTCAGAGGTTTTCAACATGATGCTTACACATCAAAGGTACTCGAAAATATTGAAATATTCTTGACTTCATATAGGAAAATATTCAGTGAAAATTTTCAGATGAAAATAAGATACTGAAAGAGTGAATTAAATTTGTATATCATATGAATATATCTTTATTGTTATATTGAGTACAAGTAGGTAAAAGAGATTTGTATTAAGACTTGTCAATACATATAGCATGTATGTATCCTGACAGTTTTGTTTATGGATCAGTCTTAGACTGTAATACGAACCCTCGTCAGTCAATAAATGGATGTATCAAATTTGCCTGTCTTTTTTTATCTTCTCCAAATTCAACAGTACTGGTCGTGCCCAATTGGTTTTGGGTATGATGCAAAAAAAAAAAAAAAAAAAAACAGTGAACACAAGTCCATCTTGGATTTTAACAATGCAGTTTATTATTGCTATTTCTCCAGAAGTACTTGATGGATCTCTCTCAAATTCCATACATAGGTTCCTCTTTGTCCCTTGTTTTGCCCATTCGATTTTGGGACCAATTAGAAAAACAATATGGTTGACAGGTAACCATCTTGGATTCAGCAGTTAAAATATTATTTATTATTGCTATTTCTGAAAAGGAGTGCTCAAATTTTGTATCATAAAGAACAAAAAACAGAAGAAAGAAGAGAAAAGGCAGGAAATGATCTACAAGTACAAATATAGACCAACAATGATGGGCACCAACATCCTTCCTGGATCTCGTTTTGCTATCTGAACTATTTAATGGTTTGTTTGCTGGGTTTTGCCTTATGAACAGCCAGGGTCATCTTTAGGGGAATTCTTTTGTGGCAACTTGTAGCTAACCCACTGAACAACATAGTGAAGGCCATTCACATGCTATTCAGAGCAATTTGAGTAAAGCGTCTTGCCCAAGCACACAACCAGGACAGTACCAGTCTGTAATCTCAGAATCATGGGAAACACAAACAACTGTGTGTAGTAATCAAATCACACACCTCTATCTTCCCATGAGGTTCAGAAGCCCCTCTCTTCCTTTTGACCTTGATTCTAGCTATTTTGGTCAAAGGAAAATTTTGTACTGCAATCTGTTGCAGGTAAACAGCCAGCGACACTACAGTGAACACTGGAGGTACATAATGTATGTTACTTGACAGTGCTGTATGTAAACAGTTCTGACTGAACTGTACAATTCTTTTGTAATGGCAAACCTTCTTTAGAGATTACTGTAGAAAATTGCTCCAAATGTAGCAGAATTATATGAAACATTCCTAAAGCATGCAAGATATAGAGGGTTTTTTTTCCATGAATGCCAGATATATTTAATAAGCTATCTGCATTAAATTATTTTAGATTCTGTGAACATTACACAACATGTATTGTTTGAAAGAATTATTAATCCTGGTTTGAGAAAAAAATCAATTTTGAATGTAAAGATAAATTCTATGGCACTAAATAAATAACCAAAGAAAACTGATACTTTTCACAACACAACAAATTTATTTAAATGGTGTATGGAAAACTGACAACATTTACTCGAAATCTACAAGAATGTTATTCCCATTTTACCAAATGCAACCTGGACAAAAAAACTAAAATCTTATTAGTATGAATGAGGAATGACTTTATGTGTGCAAGTGTGAAATAATTCCACTTTCAGCATTTACTATAACTACTAGAAGCCAAAATCATCTAAAAAATCTATTTTTTTTTTTTTTTTTATAAAACTGACGTCAAGACAGACTCAATAACAGATGCTGACAGTCCTAAGGACACCACATGGAACCCATTAAAGTGATAGTGTTGGTTAGTCATGGATATACACATTGTAATGATAGAAAATGTACATGAAAAAAGTCTTTATGAAGAGAAAAAGATTCATCCATAAAGTTATTTATGCCTGAGATTGTTTTCTTCAGCACTTCAATCTCCATTCTTTGTTCTATCAAATCACAAAACTAAGGAGATTTTTTCGATTTTTTCCCGTAAAGAGTTGACCCATATTTGAATATTTTCACAAAATTTCAATGAATTTATAATTTTGATGGTTTGTATTCAGAAAAACATTCTACCATGGCATGTATAATTCTAATAACAAAAAGTATTACACTTGTAAAACAAATTGTTATATTTAATGATTAGATTAAAATTAATTCAAGGGAGACAACTTCCATGAAAACAAATGGGAATCTCATAGTAAAGCTCAGTGGACAGTAACTATAATTGTTTCTGTGTAGCAATGCCAAAATGGTTCGATTAGCATGTAATTTGTGCATGAGGAATGAAGCACCTGTATCAGAAGCAGGAAATGGAATAATAGGTGGAGCTCAATTTAATTGTACATTTTTGAAATTTTCAGTCAAATATGCAACATAAAAATCTTTTTTTCATCTTCACTCAATATCATACATTTCCAGAAATATACATGTGCACAGATTATGTTTCATAGAGAAATTCTGAAAACTAGTAAACAGTTACAACATGCTAGGTAGTTTTAGTTTTTAGACAAGAGGAATCAAACAAACTTAAATATTTCATATATTGTTAAAATTTTAGTCTTTCTCTTAAATCTTCCTTGCAGTATTTCTCATTAACGTTATGGCTTATGTACCTGGTAATTAAGGTTTACCAATAATAGCCAAAACTTGAAAGTTTAACATGGTGGTTGAGATCCATAATTATAAAGATGTTATATCATTGAATACTAGATAGTACCTCCTGTGTATTTCCTTTTAAGTCTAAATATGTACCACGAAAGCACTAGCTAGGTAATGGATGGACAATCAAACCTGTGTATACGGGTCATTCTAAAGAGCAGAAAAAAGTGGCCTTTATATACAGGTTGCCTTTATGTAGAGGTTCAACTACTATTATTGGGACCCCTAAATCAGTGAGTGGTCGTTATAGACAGGTATTTGTTACATATAAGGAGGCTACCAGGTTTAAGTTAACGATATGGGGACAAACCATTTGATGATTGTAATAATCAAAACTTACACATTTTAGGACAAAATATAAATACAAGTTAATATAGAATACAAAATGGCAGGCTTTACATAAAAAAATTTGCATAACAAACAATATTTCTCAGCATTAGATACATAACAATGGCACATATTAAGATCCAGGTGTGTTTCCTCCATAATTGCAAACTCTAACTAATTTTCAGGGGCATACCTGAGGTGTTCACATGTCGTATAAATCTGGCATTGAACCCATAATTTGAGTAAAGCGTTGGACGTCAGGCTTATTGCAGCATGAATATAGAGTGTTTGAATAAATTTGAATGAAAATAGATTTCTAACTAATCTTCATATAGAAGCAAATGACAGTACTGAAAAGAACTATCAAATTATTACAGATAGCATAGAAGGTCTTTAAGCTGTAACAAACAAAAAATTAACAACTTTTCAAAACATTTCTTGATTTTTTATTTGAACTCTGACCCTTGATGTTGTCTTTTGTTTTTTTTTTTTTTTTCCTTTGATCAGATCAAATACACTTTAGGCTACAAATTTGATTGGCCATTATATCTAGATATTATCTAATTGACCTAGCTTCAGCTTTAGTGGAAATCAGGAAGTCAAAAGAATTTCATTGGTTTTTCCAAGTTCCTGTGAACCATGCGGCTAGATAAAAATGTCCTCTTGATGTTTTCACTCCTGATGTTGAAAGGTTTTTAAAAGATTATGTACATACAATGTACTAGCAAAATGGGGTTCAAAATACAATGTTTTTCCATGATGCCGAATGGACGGACATACAGAGAATGAAGCTTAAAAGGTACACACATCAATTCCCTTCCATTCTCCATTATCTTCAGGTAATAAGTATCGTACAACCAAAGAAATTTCTTGCGATAAATCTCTTTAATTTGCCATTTTTACACTGTTTAATATAAGGATTTTATCAAATTTTTCTCATTTTTTTTCTTTTTCTTTTTTACAAATTATTTTTTCAACTTTATAAAGTTTGATAAAATTTTCATATAGTTATATTATGTTTTCATTGTTTCTGACGTTTGACACGACGTCTACAGTATGGGCCATAGTTTTGACACACTTTAATACACAATTAGTTTGACAGAGAAACATCCCATATACAACTTGTCATACATGTGTTGGAAAAACATGCATTTCCTACAGGTTTTCAAATCAGATCTCAAAATTGTTTGGTCAAGTAGCCATAATGTTTAATATACATATGAAGGAACATAGTGAAAAAAAAATCAAAATTTCTGGATGGATTTCAAGTTTTATATATTGAAACATTTGTGGACGAAATTCTGAATATCTGTATCAAAATAATGCATAATGAAGAATAAATGGTTTTCAAAGGTAAAATAAAGTGAAAGTTGCATGGAGAAACTCAGCTGATTCAGACACAAAATATCTTCTTGTGAAAATGACGGAAACTGGCAGCCCAATGCCCTACCACATATAATATCAGTGTTTCATGCTAATAGTAAATGTATGAAACAAACTGAAATACTGTTTCAAGCCCAGCATATTTTTCATATCCGATTTAGGAAAAATATGTAGCAAAATCAGATTCCTATAAACAAACAATTAAAATTTTTCTAGCATATTTTTCAAATCTTATTTCAGGATATTTAACAAAATAGAATTCATATAAACAAACAATATCAATTTCCTAGCACATCTTTCATATCTCATTCCGAGATTTTTTTACAAAATACAATTAGTATAAACAAACAATTTAAATTGATAGCCTGCAGCAAAATCAGGTCTCATTTGCATAAACCCCGCCCCTCAAAATAAACAAAGAAAAATCTAAAATGATTAGAACAAGAAAATTGTAGGAACTATCTGTATCTATAATAGAGGGAAACTACAATGTAATACTTTGTATCATGATTGTCAGCAACAATACAGAAATTCTGTACAAATGATCAATTTTTGAATGCTGATGTAGCTAAGGTCATTACTTTTCAATATGTTTGCAAGGGGGTTAAGTCTCACAGCCAGTACTAGACTAGCACCCTATATTGCTGAGGTCTAAAAAAAAATGGTTCTCCCTTATAAGATAAGTTGAAAGAAAAGTGGCTAGTTCTTTATCAGGATTACACACTTCTCCAACAAAATCCAGCTTGTTCTCAAGTTCTTTTGGAGAGATGAAAAGCAAGGCTAGACCCCTCCATAATAATATCTAAAACCCTTGGCAGGACCTTAATTATCACAGGTATGTACCACAAATGTAAACATTACTTTCATCTTTTGTTTTTGATAAAATGCCACCACAACTTACCAAGAAAGATAATTCATGACATAAACAATTCACTGTCATATCACACTTAACAATTACATACTTAAATAAATTCATAGAAAACACCAGAGGAATAAGATTTCAAACTGTAAATGTGACATCACAGTATCAATTTAATTTTAACCATTTACAAAATATTCATGTCGATATGAAATGAACTACTTAAACAAGAAGCCAAATGGGCCTGCAGTGCTCACCTGGTATAGTTCAAGAGAAGAAGTCGTTTGAAGGTTTTAACAAATTTGACCCCTGTCACCTTGAAAATAGGTCAAGGTCATTTCTTTTTGCAAACTTGGTTGGTTTCATTCTGGGAACATACAAGTCATATATCATGCCTCTAGGCCTTCTAGTTCATGGGAAGAAGTTGTTTAAATGTTTTAGCATATCTGACTCCAGTGACCTTGAATATAGGTCAAGGTCGTTTCTTTTCACAAACTCTGTCAGGCTTCATCCAACAAACATATCAACCAAATATCAAAATATTTGGTCCACTGGTTATTGAGAAGATGTTGTTTAAAGGAAAAAGTTGAGACCGGCCATCGGACGACAGACACTGCGCTACAGCATATGCTCACTTGGCCCTTCAGGCCAGGTGCGCTAAAAACCTATTTCTTTTTAGAAAACAATTTAAAAGAAGAAAGACTATGTTTGATCTAAAATTATTGATTTTAGAATTGAAACCCTAGTGAACATTAAACTGACCTTTTTTCCTCCTCCTGAGGACTCCGAGGTCCAGGACCTTAGAAAATGCTGTGATGTAGAGTTACCAACCATCTCCGTACAACAATGATAAAATCCATACACATCAATATCAAATCACATAAACTTGAGCAAGACATAGTAATATTTTCTACGATACACATTCTATAACAAACACATTTGGACACACCATATTAATAGCCTCATGGATACTACTATGGATTGCTGCATATATATCGATAAATTGATTAAAAAAAAAATCTTACAAACATTATGAAAAACCTTAACCAAACAGTATGTTCTTGAAACATTATCACACCATTCCCTAAGATTACATTGTAGACAGGAAGTCTCTGAACTCTTCGCCTGCAAAGTGATACAATTACCTCTTATCCTCACAGCTCTGCTCAGTTGGTTTCGTCTTAGTGATAAATTAATTTATTTCACCTCAAATCAAAATCAACTGCAAAACCTCAAATGTTTCAATTCAACCTGTGCAACTAATACAGTTGCTGATATTGTATCCACCAACACATGCCATATGGAATAACTTTAAAAAAAATTACAAAGTTTTGTTATTAAAACAGCAAATTACCTTTATCTGCAACCTCCACAGGTCAGTGAAGGCGAGACAAAATCCACTATTAGCTGGTGACATGTAGACTGAGAAAATGTATAAGTTAGGTGATGTTAAAGTAACTGCACATTGAAATCTTTGGTATTGATATCTCCATACATCTTCATTTGGCAGGTTGAGCAGGTGATGTTCGGAATGGCAAAGAAAGGGTTAACCGCCCCCAGCAGGCAAAGAGTTTCATTAAATAAATACTTATCTAAATCAAGATGCTATCATAACTCTTCCTTCTGATAGACTGAATCATCACCAACATCAGATCGAGTAATATCTTGCTCAGAGTTTTCAATTTCAGACTTGGACATCTCTTCCTCTGCAGTGTTCAATGTGTCCATATAGTCATCAGAAGCAATGAGATCATTATAGGTCTGGATAGGGTCATTCATCCAGTGTTTGTGAAACGATATCGCTGTTCTAGCAGACAGGAATTCTTGACTGTAGTCTACTGGCCGTGCCTAAATACAAGCAGAATATCATTTACGGGTATATACTGAGACAAACTAAAGTGGGTGACTTGCAGGACGGTCAGTTATTAAATAAATGACAAAATCATCAATAATCTACATCTTGTGAATCATGTCATATTTTTGCCTGTGAATACAAGGAAGATGAAATAGATATTGTGGCCTTCTAAAATGATAAACTGATATTACTGATTTACAGATTATGTTATGACAACAAAATGGTGACAATGAATATAGATGAGAGTAAAACAGCCTAAGCTTTAAGGACGGCATTGGAAATGTTTTTACAACAAGAGGCCCATGGGCCTTAACTGTCATCTGATTACAAAAACTTTCAGCAGGGAGAAGGGTTATTTTTTCAACTTTTAATCAAATCTTACTACCAAGCTGTTTTCCACGATGCAGATGGTAGTTTAGGTGAGCAGTAGGTAAATGTAACAAGTGTTACCTATTTTTTGACAATAAAGTTGGAGCTCAATCCAACAGGTGAAACTTCAGCAGTTTCAAATATGTGTTGCACAGGAAAACCAGAATTGCACAATCATGTTACAAAATGGCCTCCCTGGCTGCATTGTCAAAGTTTTGACATGGTCAGAAAAATGTTGGCTACCTTTCATTAACATTCCCAACAATTTTACAATTTTTAGCTCAATAGCTCCAGTGGAAAAGAAGTTTAAAATATATTTTTTCAAGATGGCGCCATGGCAGCCATCTTAGATTTCAGACTGACCAAAAAACAACAATACTATGTCAGAACCATCCCTGGATCATTTCAACTGGAGAAGAAGTTTGAAGTATGTTTTTCAAGATGGCAGCCATGGCAGCCATCCTGGAATTCAGACCAACCTGAAAAATAACAACACTTTGTCAGGACCATCTCAGGATCATTTCAGACAAGTCTGAGCTCAATCCCATCGGTGAAACTTGAGAAGAAGTTTCAAATAGGTGTTACACAGAAAAAACCATAATTGTGCCATCATATTACAAAATGGCCTCCACTGATGCATTGTCAAAGTTTTGGTTATGAACAAGGCATATTAATATTTCAAGACATTTGACCTCTATGACCTTGAAAGTCATTCCGTGACATACATTTGAAGAAACGTGGTAGCTTTTCATGCCTGAATACTACAAGCCCAATATCAGTATGTTGGACCTATGAGTCGTTGAGAAGAAATCAGTTAAAGGGAAAAGTTGACACTGGATAGACGACAAAAGACAAACCATGACAGAGCTCTCTCAGATGAGAGGACGATTTGGTTTTATCAGTCATTCAAAATAATATTCATAGTTTACTACAGCTCCAATATACCAGACAAATTTCAACTTTCTTTAATATACTTTTCCCTGGCCAATCAAAAAACCACAATCATTTATGTAATTGGGTAATAACATATTTACTTTAACCAATAGAAATGCAAGGAATTTTCTTTTTACCTGGTGGAAGTAGGGACTGTGAACCAGAGGCAGGCCTATCGCCTTGAAAGTGCGCCCAAGGATCATGTCGTCAGGTGCATCATTAGAGGGACAGTCTGCACGGTGAGTTAGCACTATAACATCTATTGCCTCCTTATTAAATACCATCCTGTCAAATGTCAAGGTCATATAAAGTATGGCAATTAGTAAAGCTATCACCACATCTAAAAAGCTGTCATTACTTTGTAGCTTATCTTAAATACAGTTGAACATCATTACGTTGAACTCGAAAGACGATGGGAAAATTTGGAGATAATCAGGTATTTGATTTAAGTGAGTTCAAATGTTTTGAGTAAAGTTAGGCAGGGACTGACAAAATGCTTGATTAAGTTAAATTATATTTCTAAACCTTGTGTCCAATTTACATTCTAGTTCTTCACCGAATATATGTAAGTAATATTGTGCTTAAGGGGATGAAACGCAAACGGAACTTTATTTTACAAACTCACATCAGAAGTAAACAAAGTCCAACTAAATCAACAAACAAAATGGGAGTGTCCCAGTATTTTCAAATGTGCAATATCTTATTCTCTCTACTTGATCAGTATATAGATATACAAATGGCATTTAGTAATTATATAGTTTTTTTTTACATATATCTAAAGTGGAAATTGACCTCATATCATTTACTAGTAGTTTGCAGTCTCTGATAGATTGAATAAGAATTCCTAGTAAAGATTCAATATATGATGTAATTACTAACCCGCCTCCACCTGTGATGTAGGTGTAACCATGCTCGTTCTTGGTAACCATGTAGCCATATTTCTCCCCCATATGGATGGGAAACTTAGAATCATAACATGCCAGTAATTTCCTCAGTCTTCTCAGGCTTAAATTTAAATACCAGAGTAAATAACAGAATATTGTTAAAAAAATACTAAAAAGTCCTTTTTATCCTCTATATGATTGTTTTGTATTAATTACAATGAATATCTCCAATATTATGTTTTTAATCATAGTCTACTCTTACTTCAAATGGTTTTAACATGACTTTTACTGTACAAATCATGGTTACACATTCATTAATCATAAATTAAAACAAATATCTAATTGATAGAATAGTCATTAGGCACTTAACACAACAAATTATGAGGCAGTTTTATTATACCTCTGTAATGCATATTTTTTCCAGTGGTTAAAATTGTTGCAGTTTTAGGTAAAGGGATGCAATTTGTCTCCAAATCTTTCAAATTCAATAGAACATTTTGCAATGAATTTATTTTCAATGTATCTTTTTTTAATGATTTTGTCCTTCCTTGAAAAATCGGGAAAAAAAGGACTCCTTGAAAGTAGAATGATGACGGTAACTGAAGCACACTGTACGTAAGCTCTTACTTAATAATTGTGTCATCGTCCACAATGATAAACCACGGTATCTGTGATATCCTTGGGTGAGACTGTAGTCTCCTTATAATTGCCATGGTCTTCCCACAATGCCCTGTAATACATCAAAGGATACTTAAGAAATTCAAAATTGTACCTCCTTTTTATTGAAGACCTACTAAAGTTGTACTGTAAATAACTTTATTTTAGCAAGTATTTAATTTAGTGAAAGACAAGTGACTGTCTTATCTGAGAATACATGATTTCGCAGGTACCACACTAAAGAAGTCATTCATTTACAGGCAACACCTGTGAATACGACTGATGCTGCTCGTGAATAAATGCGAAATATAATTCCTTGTGAAAAATAAGTGATTTACACTACTAAATTATGAAGTACTAAAACAAGTTATAGTAAACATCTGTTCAATAAAGATGTGCAAGTGTTTTTCAAACATGGAAAAAAAGTGGAGTTATTATGTCCCTGCCATTTCACGGTCCTGGGCATATAGTGTTACCCTTGGCCCTCATTCTGTCATCAATTCTCTCCACACATTAATTCTTAAACGATACCTATTCCTTCCAGCATTGGGATTCTTAGGTTGACTTTATGGGTTTTCAAGAGTACCTACCCCATACCCTTTCTGTGACGTTGACTACAGGGATTGCCTTGGGCACCTACACCTTACTGTGTTGGGAGTCCCTAGGTTGACTACAGGTATTGTCCTGGGTACTTAACCCTTTCTGTGTTGGGAATCCCTAGGTTGATTGTAGGTATTGTCCAGGGTACCTACCCCTTTCTGTGTTGGGAATCCCTAGGTTGATTGTAGGTATTGTCCTGGGTACTTACCCCTTTCTGTGTTGGGAATCTCTTGATTAACTACAGGGATTGTCCTGGTTACCTAACCTTTTGTGTTAGGAATCGCTAGGTTGACTACAGGTATTGTCCTGGGTACTTACCCCTTTCTGTGTTGGGAATCCCTTGGTTAACTACAGGTATTGTCCTGGGTACTTACCCCTTTCTGTGTTGGGATTATTGTAGGTCCTGACATCTGTGTTGGGGTTAACTACAGGTATTGTCCTTTTCCTTTCTGTGTTGGGAATCCCTTGGTTAACTACAGGTATTGTCCTGGGTACTTACCCCTTTCTGTGTTGGGAATCCCTTGGTTAACTACAGGTATTGTCCTGGGTACTTACCCCTTTCTGTGTTGGGAATCCCTAGGTTGACTACAGGTATTGTCCTGGGTACTTACCCCTTTCTGTGTTGGGAATCCCTAGGTTGACTACAGGTATTGTCCTGGGTACTTACCCCTTTCTGTGTTGGGAATCCCTAGGTTGATTGTAGGTATTGTCCTGGGTACTTACCCCTTTCTGTGTTGGGAATCCCTAGGTTGATTGTAGGTATTGTCCTGGGTACTTACCCCTTTCTGTGTTGGGAATCCCTAGGTTGATTGTAGGTATTGTCCTGGGTACTTACCCCTTTCTGTGTTGGGAATCCCTAAGTTGATTGTAGGTATTGTTCTGTCCTCCACATCACTGTAATATTCCACATTCTTGGCATCTTTTCCCCATGTTTTTCTCACAATAGGTACTACAATGAAAAAACTAACATACATATCAGGTTATCTCATTACATACCTTATCTCATGATCATACCGTGAAATTAAAAACAAACAACAAAAAAAATCAAAGACTTTGCATAATTGAGCAATTTATAGTATTTGATTTATTAATGTAACTTACTTCGTTCCTTATGATACTTGGCACAGGTTTTCACTGCCACATAAAGATCCTCCTCGGGTATTTCAGGACCCTGTAATGAATATCAACCATACCAACATCGACATATCCAAAATTTTAATATGGAAACTTGTAGATAGATATCGCAGAGTACAGCAATGTGCCTTTTGTCTTCCTTATCAGGAAAATCTTTCATTTGGAAAAAATTTCAAAAAACAATAAATAAACAAAGGGCCATAACTCTATTGCAGAGCAGGAAAGTAAATTTCATGATATCAATCTACAATTAAAGGAGATATATACTAGGGGAACATGTATAAAACACTTTCCCATTGTTGGTGACAAAGCATACAAGATATGGTTCAGATCTGGGACCAGGACTGATAGAGATTGTAAACTTTATATCTGAACCAACTATAATTTTACATACCATTCAATTCTTGTGAGGTGTAAGTAACAAAGACTAAAAATACCAGGTAAATTTCATTAAAGAGCTTCTCAACCCATTTAATTTTACCACTGTCACATTTTCTTCTTGTAAATACAGAGAAATGTCACATGTTGATAAATTACTTCCTCGGAACATCATCTCATATCAGAATGTAGACTAAGAGATTGGAACAATGTGTACTTACACAATCTGGAAACATCATTGGATACCAGGAAGCACACTTCTTAGATTTTTTCACCAGACAGATCTCTGTGACAGGGGTCAAGGTCACATTGATGGCATCACTTAATATATACCTTGCCAGCTGTCAAACAGAGGTACAATGTATAGCAAGTATCCATAGCAACAAAATGAATGCTTCATAGACTGGTTAGCTGCTACACAAAGGTACAATCAGTTTCCATAGCAACAAATATCTCTTCACAGGTAAAGGTTCAAAGGTAGAATCTCCTCCAGCTACCAAAAAGGGCAAAAGGAAATACAACTTCTAAATTGACATTTTTACAATATTTTATTTACCGAGTATCAGGCAGCATGAAAATATAACAATATGATATAAAACACAAATATCAATACAACCATTTGTATACAATGTTGGAAGTCAAAAAAGATGAGAAATATTGTATAATCATTGCTATATATATAATGTACAAGAAATATAACCTCTAAGAATAAACATTGTATTAAATGTCTTACCTCATGTTTGGGATCTATGGTAAAATCTGCTTTAAACTCTTTATCAGGCCACCTTTTTCCCATTCTGTAAAATTATTGTACTAGGAAATAATTGTATGTTTATTTTTCTCTATGTTGTACAACTCTAATTGCATCCACTCAAATAAAATATATTGATATTCTTTTGAACATTTCGGAAAAGTCATGAAAATCGAAACTCCTTACTTGATACCTTCTTCACATTAAGTGACTTTCTTGTATTCTTACAGTGTTAGACATTAAAATTTCTCCATTTTCTTACTTGGCTAGAAGAGGTTGACTAAGTACAAAGCCTGCTCCCCAATCAGCATATGCAAATTTACTTGGGTTGTCATGGAAGGCATAATGATGGATAATGGTAGGTGATTGGTCCCTCAGAGGATGACCAAGATACAGGTCCTGTCAACCAATCAAAGCAGGGCATCACATATTTTAATGTATAATTCTATCATTAGAGTGTGAATATTTTTTGAAGATATAAAGATACATTTACTGCTGTTTTTGTTCTTTGATGAACGACATTCCGCATGCTAAGAAATATTTGCCCTAGATTTTTGGCCATACACAAAACTATATTTTGGTCTGGCCTTAAATTTGCATAAAATCAGCCTTAACTAAACCATAACCAAAACCAAAACACAAGAGTGAAAAAGATCAAATTTTCCCTATACATACGAATCTTTTACTCATGAGAGTGGGACAGAGCATATCATAGTGTTTACTGATACTTTACAAATACATTACATTTTTATACATTTGGGTAGGCATATCACCAGACATGGGTTTATTGATGATAAATATTGTACTGATTTTTTATATTGTCAGTATTCGGTACAGTACATCTTTTCTCTTATATTACTGGTACACTGTCTCCAGTTCAGTTACAAATGAATTAAAATATACACAAATCTATTCAGTGGAATATCTAAAACTTAAAACATCCAAAACTTCTCAAAGTCAAAAGTTATTACACACATTTTCTCTTTAAATGTAGTTTCCATATATATATATCTATATACATTGTACATGTATACATTAAAATGAATTTGCGAAAAGCAACTTGATTTTAAATTTTGGATAATCTTAGACTATAATGATAAAACTAAAGCACAGAAAATGAAACTCCATCATGGTGATTTTCCTATAACAACAGGTAAGTTACATGGAGGTCAGTGGAGCTTAAGTAAAAGTAACAATAATGGACAGTAATATTCTACTGTATGGGCAATATAACCTAGTACATCGAGACACCCACAGAAGTAAGCATGAAAAATAATCAAAATATTACCCATCACCTCAATACTGACCTTGGTATGATCAAACCTCTGTAGGACCTTAAGCAGTTTGTGTACATCTAGCCTTGTCTCTTCCTCACACACAAATAACCAGGCAGCGTTAGCATAGTCTTTAGAAAACCTAGAAATCATTTTGTTTGTTCAGTAGTTAAGGAGTCAAACAATTTTTTTCAAAAGTTATTTTCATGGAAATGGATGTAACAGTTTCATAATGGCAGATTAACATTCTAGTGAATTCCATACATAAAAGAATTCCTGCCATCATTTATACACAACAGGTGTTTACACCAGGTATTGAAGGGTCATTTTCTATGCAGGGGTATCCCATTTGGGGTGACTACCAGTAACACAAGTGGCATCATACAGACCTTCCTTTTACAGTATTCAGTAAACTTTTTATACTAATATGAAATTTTACATAAACATTCCAAACAATTTTATGCTATTAATTACGTAACTGAATTATGACTTTCTTTTTTTGTAAAGTATAAAATCAATGTATCATATCAGTTATGACTTTAAAACTGACTTGGTGTATGCTAGCAGGAACGTTAAAGTCGAGAAAACAGGAGGGGACAAAAAAAGAAGGGAGACAAAACAGGTGGTAGGCATTAATACCAGAAAGTCCAAAGCATATGATATACTGAGAATTTTAGACCAAATAAAAAATCACAGATGTGACATTAACTGGAGGTTATATTTGATATACTTACGTCGGAAGTAGAGGAAAAACATTCCATGCTCCTAAAACATTTCTAAATTCCTGATGGATAAATACTAGCTGGGGCTTTTCATCCTGAAACAAACAAATTTAATATTCTGTTAACCAAAATTGAAACTTTTGCAAGTTCTTTGACTTCTTGAAGTATCAGAGTGGTTTGAGTGAGGGACATAATTTCTCAAATGTTCACAAATGCATTGAAATTTTTTTTTAATTTTTTTTTTTTTTTTAGACCTTCTACTGCTCTGCATCATGTATAATGTACAGATATGTTTTTAGAATGTATTTCAAAAATTAATTAAAAAAATTAAATAAATTGTTTGGCCCTGTAATCTTGGAATCTGATATATCAACTTCACAAAAAAAATTACAAGAAAAGGTAAGAAAGCAAAAGGAAAAGTTCACTTACTACTGGTAATTCCTTTATCTGAGATTCAAAATCTTGCCTGAAAATATCAGCTCTTTTTTCATGGTATGGATTCTTTTGACTTAAAACTACAAATACTATATCTTTCAGTTGTACACCTACAAAAACAAATAAAGCATGGATGAATTAGATGTATCAAGTGCTATGTAATCATAAAATCAATTAAACAAAATATTTACATGGAGTGTACCAAGTCATTAACCATTTCAATTTTCAATAAGTCTCTTTATTATGGATTTTACATTCAGAAAAGCTTGTACATGTATATTGCATATAAAAAAAATATCAAAATCTTTTTCCTTAAAAAATGGTCAAAGGTAACCTTTAACCCATTTGCATTGTTGTACAACCAACTAATCAAATCTTTTTATTTTGAAAATGGTAAAATGTAACCTTTAACCCCTTAGCCTTGTTGTATGATCAACTAATCAGGGGTAGAACTTGATGTTGTGATACTATGGTATGTTGTAAGTACATGTATGAACTTAATTAGTTGAAGAGTTCATGAGAAATCGAGATATCCTGTACACAAGATTTGTGCTACAGATGCATATAATAGATACATGCCATGATGTTCACAAAGTGATTACGACATACCCCACCCCAAACTTTTACTAAAAGCGGGTTGATAGATGAGGTTGTTTTACAATCAGGATGCCAGACTAAATCAATTGAGTGTAACAATATCTAAAAGAATATACTTGTGTTTCTGCTGACCCAACAGGCCATATATCTTTTAGCATTTACACATAACTTTATGTTTTCAATCTTCAGAAAAGAATTATCATCATATAATTTTTGTGGTTTGTCTGTGGAGGCATATGTACAGTTATTATGTTTAGTTGATAATGGTTGTATTCATTCTTCATTTAGTTGTTTCTGTTCACAAATTGCTGCTAGATGTTTCCATTCAGTACAATCATATCTAAATTGTTCATTCTACTATCAAATCAGTAGAAACAATCAGGATAACCTATTGGACTGATGTTACTTAATTGTTATTCAATGTTGTTGGCAAATTCATACACTACAAAGGTCATATCTTTGAGTTATAATGAGGATCAATGTCACATTCAGCATAGAATCTGTTAGGAGATTTTACTAACAGGTGAATCTAACTGGAATAAAATTCCAACGCTACTACTCCAGCGAATGCTTTTTGTCCAAATATGATCTTTCAAATATAACCATACTATGCCTCATCAGAAGCTGTTTAAGACTTCATTACATTTACACCTGTAACTTGAAATATAATTCCATAACTTCCCCCCCCCCCCCAAAAAAAAAAAAAAAAAAAGCGAAATAGCAGGTATACATTGTAAATGTATGTCATTTATTTTCAACAAATATGACAACCCTATGTTCTGAATGCCAAACTATAATGACCCCCTAAACTTTTTGTTTATTTCAGACAATGTTTTTTAAGGAAGAAATTTGATACCACATGTGTTTCCAGAGATTGGGTGTTCACTAAATTGTGCTCTCTCTATGCTCATATTTTTTCCCCATGAGAGTGGGAAAAAAATGTTAGCTTAAACATATACTACTGTGTGTGTCATTTTGTTTATACAAATACCCAATTTAAGGCAACAGAATTTCATACCTTTTAAAACATACAGTAATTGGATCATTTTTAAATGTTACTGTGTGTAAAGTAAATAAAAATGTTAGCCAAGTCTAATTAAAAACAAACACAGAAATGAAGTAAGTTAACCTTCTGCATATATGTATACCTTCAAAGAATACTTTGTTGGATTTAATACAGTTTTCAAAGTTTGTCTAAGGTTTTCTATTTTGCTTTTATATAACAGTGTCTATGGGTAACAAATAATCTGGTTCCAATTAATCATATCAGTTATAACTATATATTAACTTCTCATCTGTATGCATATTATAAAAGTAAAAGTTAGATTTAGTTTTTACAATACAGTCTCAGTCGATAGATGTGTAATGTATCTATGAGTGTAAATCGTGATTATAGTTATGGTTCGATCATAAACTAACATTTTTTCACCGTAAGTTACATTTATGCTTTCCAAAGTTAAAAATATAAAAGTGTAGTAACAAAGTCCATAGGCAGAGTGGTCTATATGTGATCCAACCTTTTCCTCAATGTAATTGAAACCAAATTATTTTCATGCGTGCAGCTTCTGTTCATGAATCATATATAATTAATACCATGCGTGCCTCTATAGACTCCATACACAGGCACAGCTAACTACATCAACCTGAAACGCTTGAAATAGTGATGAGGGAGAATTTTCCTATACTAAAATAGAGCTTGACTTGCATGCAAACACATGTCTGAAGTAAATGCAGATCCGATCTATTTTTAGTATTTAGTTAAAGCACACAAAATCAAATGTACATGTAAACTTCACCTGAATTTATCTGTTCTTCTTTATCAATATTCTGTTTATTTCCCGACGCCACTAAAACGCCTACAAAACAAAATAAATCTTAATTTATTCATCAAATTTCAAAAGTAAAATACAAGCATACCATATATAAATATAAGTTATGAATAGAGCACCTGTTGCTGAAGAGAAAACCTAATGGGAGATAACCTATATTTATGCAGGGGAAAAAAACCCTGCCATATTCTGCGCTAGCGGCGTCACGAAGACTGGTAAATACATTATGTAAATGGTAAGCTTGCTAATCAAATAAATATGACGCAGAAAAGATTTTGGACCAACTGTGAAAATGCAACCTCCTTTACCTGTTAAAACTGCAAGCATTAGTGCTAGCCGGTGTATTACACGCACGTCCATGTTTACAAACGTCAAAAAGTGTCTAATTGAAAACTTTAATTTGATTGGACGAAGCTAAATATCGTCCAATCAGATACGCCGTTACAAACGAAATTGTAACTAAACTGTAAAACCGTAAATTAATTCTTGCTCCGGGAACAATTCCGGATTTAAATGTATTCCGTTTATTTTTTAGTTTTGATGTAGGTCAGCGTCTTTTAAACGCTTCATTTTTAAGATATTTGAAGCAAGCGCTTCTATGACTTAGTTTTGTATCCAGTGGTTACAATCAAAATACAGGCTGTGTGAAAGAAGAAATCTAGTTATTCCTTTTACGTTTGAGGTTTGTTTTTCGGAAAAAGTTGATGATATAAGGTCTTCCAAACTATCACATGAATAGCTTTATAAGTTTGCATTAAAATGTATATTTCATGATAGAATAAGATAACATTATCAAATGATTTAACAAATGTGATGGCCTCATAACACTAAAATTCATTGCTGACATGGTGTATACTCAGCTCAAGCGTTGCAGCATTTAAGTTTGAAATAATTTATTAGCAGACATGTGGTGTGTGACTTGTGAGTTAATCATTTTTGGCACCGCTAGTCAGGCATGCTATCGATAACAACAATAAAACTTTTGTTCGTGATGTTTATTAAAGTGGCTGTCCTCTGAGTTACGCTATATAGTGGATGTTTTATTGAATTGTAAATGAAATAGACAATTTACCTAAATTTGATATTTTGTTCACAGATGTAGATCTATCATATCCATGTTTTGGCCAGTTTATTGTAGACATGCCATTTTGTATGGCTATTTTTAAAAAGAAGAATTTCATGACTTACCAGTACACTGACACTTGAGTTCAAAAGATAAAAATATAAAAAGAGAATGCAATGGTTATCCAGTGTATCATCACAAATTAAATGATGTTCTCAACCTGTTGAAGGAAAGATATAGTCAAAAGCATTAAGACTACATGTATATGCAGTTAGTGAAGTTGCATGATAAACTTCGAAATGCATTCATGATTATACCCCATGAGAAAAGGGCCCAGAATATTTTCAAATAATTGTCATGTTTACTTTCTTACAGAAAAATAAAAACAAACAAAAATGCCTAAGAAGAAGTCAAAAAAGTCGGGCAAACTGTCCAAGATGACAGAGGAGGAGAGAATTGCATACGAAGAAAACAAACGGTTGGCAGAAGAAGAAATGAAGAAAAAGAAAGAGGATATGCTTACACAGTTCTTGAAGGTAACAACAAGAGAACAGTTATAGACATTTATGATTATTATATTGATGTGATATAGATATACCTTCGTGATTGGACGTTATATATGTGAAATTCAGCTATTAGTTATACCACTAAAAAGCATTTTTTTCTATAGGATTCCTGCTATTTTAGTAATGTGATAGCTGTATTTCACATTCCACCTGATACCATAGATATTTTTGTATATCACAACAGTATGCAATTTACATGTGAGGTTTCAATATTTCATGACACCTTTATCAAATTAATTACTTACTTACTTATAGTTACTTATAGTTGATTTCCAGTACAGGAATTAAAATTCCTCTTCACCGGACTCGTTATTGTTAATCAATGTAGTTCTGTCACTTCCATTCTTTTTTATATCTGCTCTGTAGCTGTAATACAGCTCCTGGTGTTTCCATTGTTTATCCAGGCGATTTTTGAATGTGTTAGTGTTGGGTGCGTTGACTACATATTCTGGTAGGTTGTTCCATACTTTACTATTTATATAGTGTATAAGATGGTTTTGAATAGACCATACTTAACAAAGTATAAGTACTAACAAACTCCTGAGGGAGGTGAAATGTACATTGAAATATCACAAATTAATTTCTCAATGGTATAATACTTTTTATTCTCTTTCACTCTCTCTTATATATATATGATCAATGAAGTAATAGCAATGGTACGGACAAGCAAATTGCTAAATTTTCAAGGCAACCTGGCCCTTTTTCAAGACTTGTATCATATATCTATTCCAGTAATACACATCCAACGAACATCAGTACTAATATTGGACAATACAGACAATATTACTTATTAGATTCTATATATATATAGCAACACATGTTTTAAATATAAAGTATAAAATAGATATTCAGAAATATTTCCATGAGTTGGATAGATATATAACTAGAACAGCATTTACCCCTAAACAAAATCCGGAGTCCTGGGACAGAGTAGATATTCTACTGGAATATTCCTTGCCACTGAACAAATCTGGAGTACTGTATGGGATAAAGGTATTATTAGATTAGTCTTAAACAAAACCTGGAGTCCTAGAATGGGATAGATATTCTACTGGAATAACCCTTACCCCCGAACAAAACCTGGTGTCTTCGTGGGATAGAGGTTTAACTAGAATATTGATATCCCTAAACAAAACCTGGAGTCTTGGGTGAGATAGATGTTTTATTGGGTTAGCCCTTACCCCTAAACAAGGCCTGGAGTTCTGGGTTAGTTAGATGTTTTATTGAGTTAGCCCTTACCCCTAAACAAGGCCTGGAGTCCTGGGTGAGATAGATTTTTTTATTGAGATAGCCCTTACCCCTAAACAAGAAGCCCTTACCCCTAAACAAGGCTGGAGTCCTGGGTGAGATAGCCTGGAGTCCTGGGTTTGTTTTATTGAGTTAGCCCTTACCCCTAAACAAGGCCTGGAGTCCTGGGTGAGTTAGATGTTTTATTGAGTTAGCCCTTACCCCTGAACAAGGCCTGGAGTCCTGGGTGAGTTAGATGTTTTATTGAGTTAGTTACCCCTAAACAAGGCCTTGAGTCCTGGGATGGGGTAGATTTTTTACTGGAATAGAGCTTGCCCTGTAAAACATACAAGGAAATAGCTTGAACATTTTAAAGTAAACTGTTTGATGCACTAAAAATAGTCCAGGGGATATTAGTTACCGTTACTCAGATTTCATTCTTTGAAGATGATGTTTAACCAAGACCAGATTTAAAATTCTGTAGTGATTTTATTATTGAAACTGAATTGCATGTAGTAGGTATTATTCATTGATCTCATTGAAGTCACCTTATTCTCTTTCACTTTATAGGACAAACTAACCAAGGAGGAAAGAGCAACAAAGTTTAATATGAACAAACTGAACCATCAGTGGAGAAATATTATGAGGGAGTCTAAATCTAAGGAACTGAAGAAAGATATTGAGATTCTGAGTCAGACATTTGAGAGAATCGTGGATAGGAAAGATGCTACCATCAAATCTCTAGCCAAAGACCTCCAAGAAGCTGAGGAACAGTATGCCATGGCACTGCGTAGTCATCTACAGAATGTTGACAATCTCATTGGTAATTAATTAATAATCATCTGCTGATTAGACAATTAGAGACAGCTTGTTACTGAAGCTAGTAAGACACTGCTTCCACAGTTTTTACTACATTCCCATCCTTTACAATATCTTTCCCTTTAAACAGCCACAAACCACCTCTTTAGGGTATACCATGAAGCCTCTTAATGGCCTTTACTTACCTAAAATGTACAGGTCAAAAGTGCAAAATCCAATGTGAATAGATAAAAGACAATATCCTGCCCACCTAGCAAAACTAAACACTGGAGATACACTGTTTACTTATTACTAGCTGGTTATTTGTTTATTTTTCTTTCTCATTTACATTTTAAGATAGCCAACTGTTGAGAAAACATGTTCCAGTTTTAGGTATGGACCAATATTTTTGATAGCTATGTTGTATTCAGTAGTTTTACCACGCTCAAAAATTTGTGGATTTTGAACCAACAGATTTACAGAAGGAGAGATTGCAGACTTTACACAGAGAGTATGATGAGGAACTTGCCATCATCCGAGAAGAATTTGACACTGAACGAGCCATAATGATCGAGCAACATAACGTTGAAAATAATGATATAGCAGACATTTTATTTGCCATGGAACAAAATTTTAATGAGAAAGAATCAGAAGCTAAAGCGGAGTTCCACAGTTTAAGGGATGAAATCAGAAACAAGGTAATGTTTCTCTCTATTTATCAACTTTAAGTTTGTGAGGGTTGATGACTTCATCTTAATAGAAAAGTATTAAAGAGATAAAGGACCCGACTACATAGACATATCTTTTCCTATGCAACATTATCATCTTCAGCAGTAGTAAAATGATGTTTTTAATTTCAAATGCATCATGAAATTTCAATTTGATACAAACTTTAAAGCATAAGGAAAAGAAGTACTTATAATAAATGGAGATTGTTTCAAAAAGATTTTGTTTTTCATAAAAAAACCCAATTAGGACATGGAGGAGAAGCATGGACTACGACACACATTGCAAGACAAAGTGGAGAACTTGTGGCTGCAGTTCAAACTGGCTCTGAAAAATTACAATGAAACAACAGAGGAAAGAAAGACAGCTTTTGAAACTTTAAAGAAAAAGGATGATGAATCTGCAAAAGAAATTGATACCCAGATGAGAAGACTCCAAAGAATCTCAGTAAGTAATTCCGAAAAGCTCATGTTTCACAGTGTATATGCTGTGCAATGTTACTGTAACATAAAACACTGTTTGTTCATGGGTAGAATTTTATTGATCCATATTCTAAAATTTGTAGTGAACCTTTAAACTTGGTCAAAGTTTAAGCAGCTCCAGACTGCCATAATCATTACAAAAATATTAAGAATAAATATTTATTGACTATATCTAGGCATACTATGTATAAAGTGCTTGAAACTTTAGTTCGGTAATTTGAGTCAAAATCAATGTGTAAAGAAAGTGTGATAAGTAGATTACAGATTGGGTAATGGGAAACACTGTAATGTCCCTCGACAAGCTGAGGGTGCAACCAGCAGAGTATCAGCAAGGGTTAATTATCAGCAGTTATTTAATATACCCATTAGTTTAATAATGCTCAGAACAATTTTGAATAGAAACATTTTGTTTCACCTTACAGGACCAGATAGCTCAGCTGAAAGGAAAGATGTCTGCAAATGCTAAAGAATGTGAAGAAAGAAACAAGCAAATAAAAGAGGTAGGTGTGGTTATAGATTTTTAATACCTCAAACCTATTCATCTAAAATATCTGACAGCTCCATTTCAACAAAACCAATGCTCTTCATCTAAGATTTTTAATACATCCATTTCCTCAAATCGAAGCTTTTCCTCTAAAATATCTGATATCTAATCCTTTCCAAAACCCAATGTTCCTACTAAGATGGGTCAGAGATCTAACTACACTTGTAATGTTTGTATGATCCAGGTGTCTTAAGTCAGAGATCTAACTACACTTGTAATGTTTGTATGATCCAGGTGTCTTAAGTCAGAGATCTTACTTCACTTGTAATGTTTGTATGATCCAGGTGTCTTAAGTCAGAGATCTAACTACACTTGTAATGTTTGTATGATCCAGGTGTCTGAAGTCAGAGATCTAACTTCACTTGTAATGTTTGTATGATCCAGGTGTCTTAAGTCAGAGATCTAACTACACTTGTAATGTTTGTATGATCCAGGTGTCTTAAGTCAGAGATCTAACTACACTTGTAATGTTTGTATGATCCAGGTGTCTTATCTTAAGGTCTACTTTTTCAGTAAGATGTTCGCTCCAACCTTTTGTTCTATCAAGATGTCAACATTTGATCTCAGATTTTTACCTAAATATTTCTGGACATCTGTCACTTGTCTTCTGTTTGTCAGTTTGTCATCTCAACTAAAAGTCCGAGGGAAAGTAATGAAAGTGAAATTATAAAACTATCATGTTGCAGGAACGAGAAAAGATGTTGGCTCACTTCCAGGAACTGAAGGCTCAGATGAACAAGATGAGAGAGGGTGAGAGGGACAAGCTAACCAAACTGACACTGGAAAGCAATGCCAGTATAAAGGAGCTTAAGAGACAAAGGGAAAAGGTGAGCTTTCCTTAAAGTAAGATTAACGTTCAGTAAAAATGATGTCCATTCATCATATCCTCCCACATCTGTAATAACCTTACAGACAGATCAAGACAAATCCATTCTCATCCTGATTGTAACTAAATATCCGGTCACTGTGCAACCTGCTTTACGTTTGGTACAGAGTGCAATGTCATAATGGTTGCAGACCAAAGTGTTGCTATATGTAAGACTTGCTGCACTTAAGTCATCACAGGCTTTCCCAATGAACTGACCACAATGGACAACAGATACAAGTTTATGGAAACTTCCATTAGGAGGTTGCCCAGCTGACTTCAGATTTGTTTCTTGATTAAGTGTATATCAGTATTGGAAGGGAGGGAAAATCATTGAGCTATTGATTCACTAGATTTTTTTTTACTTGTTTATATTAATTTTATCACAATAGGAGTACTTATCACGATCATTGAATTGAATGCTGATTTGGTTTTACATATGTCCGAATAATGTTCACTTTTATAGTTGTATGCCCTGTATGCTGTTGCTCCAGAAATATGTTGTAAAACAATTCTTTTCAATAAACAGGTGGAGAGCATAATGAAGGTGGCAGAAATGTGTAGGAAACTGGAAACAGAAGAGGAGAAAGTGTTACCATTTTATGCCACTTCACTGACAAAGGATGAAGTAGAGGATGTTGAGGCAGCCATATTGGAACAGGCTAACGAGCCTCTGGTTCAGGTGAGAATAAGAATCTGATGTATTGGTTTGCAACAGGCTAAAGAATCTCTTGTTCAGATGAGAAAACAAGCATAATGCATTGGTTTGGAACAAGCTTAAGAGATTCTGGTTTAGGTGAGAACAAGAGTATGATGCATTGTTTTTTTTTTTGGAACAAGCTTATAAGGTTTTGAATAGACTAATGAACATCTTATTCATGTGAGAGCTCAAGTGTGATGCATTGGTTTAAAACGGGCTGATGAGCTTCTTGTTCAGGCAAGAACGCAGATGTGATGCTTTGGTTTGATCAGAATCATCATTATGTTTAATTCATGCTATCATCATCATTTTAATTTGAAATTATGATGATGATGATGATGATGATGATGATGATGATGATGATGATGATCATGTGCCCATTGCTTTCTTTAATCTTAACCACTTGATGTTTATATACAATATTTATATTGAATTGTCTCTACATATTGTACAAGTTTCTATCTCTGTATGTCAGTACATTGTAAGTGTATTTATTCCTGAAGATTCAGATGCCATTTAAATTAGCTATTACAGGATGGTTGACATCATTATTGGAATTCTTGTTATAATTGTGTGAATATTTTATATAAATTGTAAAAATCTACAACTGTTTTTGGTTTCCAGTTGATAACCTAATTAACTGTTAGTTCTCTGGGAGAAAATGTCTATACTTGACTGTGCATTTGTCACTGCTTTGATTTAGAGAAAATGAAAATTCCTGTAACTGATAATATAAAATTGCACAAGAAAAGATTGCTGTATTTTGTAGATCATGCATGAGTACACCTCACTGGAGAATTTCTGGAAGCGGTTTAATAAAGTGATGTTGGACAAACTTGCACTAGATAAGGAAAAGCAGGGCCTTGTACAGGAAAATCAACAACTGAGAACTCTCCTCAAACAGTACCTGGATGGCATCTCCGTAAACGACGAGATCCTCAGCCAAGTCAACCCACTGTTTATAGTAAACAACAAAACAAACGTCAAGTAAGTACTCCTCAGTCTTCAGAACAAAACAGGTTGATAGTATATATTGTTTAGCTAATTAATTAGAAGCATGCATGCTGTACATCTTTGACACAATTTTTAATTCACCAGATTTGAAATAGTCTCCTTATTCATTTGAATAAGATTTGTTATCAAGTTACCGTTTATTCTATGTCTGTTTTATATGAATATGATATATAAGAATGACACCGATCAGATTTAATGTACTGTTTTTGTTACTCATCAGGTTAAACGTTCCTGTTCTGGATCCTCGTGTGCGTCGCCCTGTCGCCCAGACAGTTGTGGAGGCAGCACACGTCGTCAAACATGTCCTCCATTCATAGACTTTGGGTCATATGATCAATTTTTAAGTTCAAGGTCACACTGAGAGACATCTTCACTGAAAACAACACAACCATTCCAGTACTTATTAGACTTTTAAATTTCGTTAAGGAGTCATTTTTTTCTGTGAATTTGTTACAGTATTCAGAAAAAAGCAGATTTCTTTTTTAAATTCTTTGATGAATGTTGTAACAGTATCAATAGCAGTGTTACACAATTCGAATGTTGTAGAGAATCCCTGTAACTCTGATCAAATCTACTTCTACATGAAAGCATGGTACCGGTTTTCAGAAACATGCACACAGAGAAAAACGTACAAAAATCCTTTCTGATATGCTAAAATGCTATGTCAGTATTCCCCACACCATGGGGTGTGATGTTGTCTGTGATATTTTGTACATGTTGTACACTCTGTGTAATGACACAGATACCTATTGTAATTATATTTATCTGTACATGTATATAAATGTAAATAAATGAATGATATAACAAATTTATCTTTGCTTTTATACATGTTTACCTGCAAACCACTTACAGCACACCATAAGATAGCGGGCTAATTTTTATTTTTTTATATATATATATGTATATATATATAGTCAAGATGCGATATTTAAAATAATTTAACCACAAGTTTATATGCGCATATAACTCATGATGAGAGGATGAGTGAGGGGAGGGAGGGGAGAGAAAGTGATTAGTTTATCAAGTATATTTCTTGGCACCGACAGCAGAAGTCAGCACTAATATCCTCCCTTTGTTAATGTTATGTACTGTATCTGTCTCAGACTTACGTGTATGTCCTCTTGGTCCCTAGTCATCGCTTTTGAAGTCGGGCCTGATCAGAATACAAAATGCTGATGGGTGGCCATCTTGGATTTTACCAATGAAAGAACTGGATGGATCTTTCTCGAATTCAGTGTGTAGGTTCTCCTTGGTCTATGGTGGCAACATTTCCATTTTGAGATTGATCAGATCTTAAAAATGGCTGACAGGCTACCATATTGAATTTTGACAATGAAAGTTTGGTATACTTTCTATGGAAATACTGGATGGTCTTTCACAAGTTTACCTCTTGTACCTAGCGGTTCTCTTTGTACTTAACAGTTCCCTTTGTACCTAGCGTTTCTCTTTGTACCTAGCAGTTCTCTTTGTACCTAGCAGTTCTCTTTGCACTTAGCAGTTCTCTTTGTACCTAGCAGTTCTCTTTGTACCTAGCAGTTCTCTTTGTACCTAGCAGTTCCCTTTGTACCTAGCAGTTCTCTTTGTACCTAGCAGTTCCTAGCAGTTCTCTTTGTACCTAGTGGTTCTCTTTGTACTTAGCAGTTCCCTTTGTACCTAGCAGTTCTCTTTGTACCTAGCAGTTCCTAGCAGTTCTCCTTGTACCTAGCAGTTCTCTTTGTACCTAGCAGTTCCTAGCAGTTCTCTTTGTACCTAGCGGTTCTCTTTGTACCTAGCAGTTCTCTTTGTACTTAGCGTTTCCCTTTGTACCTAGCAGTTCTCTTTGTACCTAGCAGTTCCTAGCAGTTCTCTTTGTACTTAGCAGTTCCCTTTGTACCTAGCAGTTCTCTTTGTACCTAGCAGTTCTCTTTGTACCTAGCAGTTCTCTTTGTACCTAGCAGTTCCCTTTGTACTTAGCAGTTCCCTTTGTACCTAGCAGTTCTCTTTGTACCTAGCAGTTCTCTTTGTACCTAGCAGTACACTTTGTACCTAGCAGTTCTCTTTATACCTAGCAGTTCTCTTTGTACCTAGCAGTTCCTAGCAGTTCTCTTTGTACCTAGCGGCTCTCTTTGTACCTAGCAGTTCTCTTTGTACTTAGCGTTTCTCTTTGTACCTAGCGATTCTCTATATACCTAGCAGTTCCCTTTCAGCTGTGAAAGTGATAAGGAAAACAGTGGTTGATAGGCAGCCATATTGTATCTGGACTCTGAGTGTTTTTGTTTTCTCATCTTCTTGAGTACTGGATGGATCTTGTTCGAATTCAATATGTATGTTTAATTATAATGTTTACATTTTCATGCTATCATACCTCTCCATTTTTAAGAGAGAGGGGTATTACAAGGGACTCAGATATAAACATTGGGTATAGGGCCACACACACCTAAATAACATGTGCTGATTTAACTTTTATTTGACCGGACACCTCCCCTCGCAATTTCCAAGCTTATCAAACTTGATAAGATTTAATTACCTTGACTTTAAGTTGTGTTTTCCAGTTTGATTTGACCATAATTAGAAGTGTTACTGTCCCATATTTAATGTAGTATAACATGTATATTGTGTGGAGACCTCCTCCCACTTTGACCAGCCATTCTTTTTTCAACTCAGTAGACTCAATCTCTATGCTATGAAGTTGTGTCTTTCTGAATGGCAGTTTGAGTAAACTGTGTTTTGAGAGTTACTTCCCCTTGTTGCTTTCATATTCTAAATCTTGGCCAGGGAACCACTCTCTCAGTTTTCAATCTATTTTATCTCAGCCTTGGTACAATGTAAATACGATAACCATGGTAGGAAGTTATGTTTTCTAGAACAGTAGTTTGATTCCATTGTACAGAGAATATAGCAGAGCAACTGTCCATTGTTTTTGTTATGTTAATCTTGTCCGGAAAGTTTTCAAACGATGTCTTTCAAATTTGGTAGTAATGAAATTAGTGTTTTTATGAAAAGCAATTAGATTCAACAAATTTTTGAAAGAGCTCGTTTTTTTTTTTTTTTTCAATTTACTTTTGTACACTCATCTCCCTTTCATTTTTCTCCGTTTTCTATTAAATGTGATTAACATTTTCATAATCATATTGTTTTTTAAACAATGAATCATGACTATTTCTTTGGTAAATGACAGATGTAGGTTGCTCCGTCCCGCGGAACTCTTGTTCATGTAAGAAAGGCATAGGTGTATTGCCATCCAAAGTTTCTTCTTCTAAGAGATTCACTATAATTTTATTGAACTTTTCGACTCAAAAGCGATGAGATGAAATGAAGATGGGGAAAAACAAGGTGAGTAAGATCAGGTGTTCCGGAAGGCTTATCGTTCTCTATTTCGATTTGGATTGATAGGAACCAGACAAAAAAAGGAGCACGGAACACATCTAATTTATTGCACCTGTAAATAGAATATTTCCCAGTAAGAATATGTCCCAGCCTAAATAATTTGCATAGTCTACCTTCTGAAATGTCTCAACATCTATTTCAACCAATCACGGAAGTTGTGATATATGGACCCATCCCTCAAAATTTTGAGTAACTTCAACATAAGAGGTTGGGGAAGCAGGCTTGTTACTATTAAATCAACGAACTTGTCATACATGGTAGTGGCATGGTGTCCCGATTAGTTGCGTTATAGGTAAAAATCAAGGTAAGCCACTGATATGGACGAGTCTGTATTTATAGACATTGATTTAAAATTCTGGAATATACACGATCACATTTAGATATGGATTTTATGACGATGGCAAAAGTTCACCGAAATCTTATCTGAATCCATTTTGTATCTGGTGTAGAATATTATCTTTGTTAAGGTAATTGAAATGTAGGTGACCGTAACGTTGTCGCCGAGGCGTCTTGAACTCATATACATTATTACCTCTAGGCCCATGTATCGTGAACGAATATAGGAATAAGATATATATATCTGGTCATGTATATTTTCTCAGAATCGCCCTCTCTTACATAATAATAACAAAAGACCGCACAGGTGAAAGGATAAGATTTCATCTTTCTCAAAGTTTCTAAGACGAGAGAGCTCAAACGTCCCACACATGCACACAGTTGAATGTGTGTAGCAGGTTTCCGTGCCTAGGAATGTTTTTGTAGTTTGACCCTGTTTACAGGCTGAGGTACAATAAGCAGAGTTCGGTGAGAGAGGTCACCAATATGTATTCCGTTGATATTTAAGTGGGACCGGTATATCCAGCGGTAGAGACATTGAACCCGATCGTATTTTTAGACACTAACAACTCTCAATCGCATGCGGCAGCTAGCAATGGAATAGTGCGTACAGGTAAGTAATCATTGACAAGTTTATATAGTACATCTCGTACTTAAATGTTGGTTATCGATGTACACTTTCACAGCAATACTGTAACTGTGTGTATGTCTGGTTCTAATACATTATATACCGTGTTCTGTGGGCCTGAATCTCTACACTGTACAAATACAGAGAAAGAGTAAAAGTACAGAAGAAGGGTAGTGGTAGAGGGAAAGGGTAGGGGAAAGGTAGGGGTAGAGGGAAAGGGTAGGGATACAGGGAAAGGGTAGGGGTAGAGGGAAATGGTAGGGATAGAGGGAAAGGGTAGGGGTAGAGGGAAAGGGTAGAGGTAGAGGGAAAGGATAGAGAATACAAGAGAAATGGTAAGGGTAGAGGGAAAGGGTAGGGGATACAGGAGAAATGGTAGAGGTAGAGGGAAAGGGTAGGGGATACAGGAGAAATGGTAGAGGTAGAGGGAAAGGGTAGGGAATACAGGAGAAATGGTAGAGCTAGAGGGAAAGGGTAGGGGATACAGGAGAAATGATAGAGGTAGAGGGAAAGGTAGGGAATACAGGAGAAATAGTAGAGCTAGAGGGAAAGGGTAGGGGATACAGGAGAAATGGTAGCGGTAGAGGGAAAGGGTAGGGAATATAGGAGAAATGGTAGAGGAAGAGGGAAAGAGTAGGGAATACATGAGAAATGGTAGAGGTAGAGGGAAAGGGTAGGGAATACAGGGGAAATTGTAGAGCTAGAGGGAAAGGGTAGGGGATACAGGAGAAATGGTAGCGGTAGAGGGAAAGGGTAGGGAATATAGGAGAAATGGTAGAGGAAGAGGGAAAGAGTAGGGAATACAGGAGAAATGGTAGAGGTAGAGGGAAAGGGTAGGGAATACAAGGGAAATTGTTGAGGTAGAGGGAAAGGGTAGAGAATACAGGAGAAATGGTAAAGGTAGAGGGAACGGTTAGGGAATATAAGGGAAATAGTAGAGGAAGAGGGAAAGGGTAGGGAATATAGGGGAAATGGCAGAGGTTGAGGAAAATGGTAGGGGATACAGCTGAAATGGTAGAGGTAGAGGTAGAGGTAACGGGTAGGGAATACAGGAGAAATGATAGAGGTAGAGGGAAAGGTAGGGAATAAAGGAGAAATGGTAGAGGTAGAGGGAAAGGGTAGAGAATACAGGGGAAATGGCAGAGGTAGAGGGAAAGGGTAGGGGATACAGGAGAAATTGTAGAGGTAACGGGTAGGGGATACATGAGAAATGGTAGAGGTAGAGGGAAAGGGTAGGGGATACATGAGAAATGGTAGAGGTGGAGGGAAATGGTAGGGGATACATGAGAAATGGTAGAGGTAGAGGGAAAGGGTAGGGGAAACATGAGAAATGGTAGAGGTAGAGGGAAAGGGTAGGGGATACATGGGAAATGGTAGAGGGAAAGTGTAGGGGATACAGCTGAAATGGTAGAGATAGAAGGAAAGGGTAGGGGATACAGCTGAAATGGTAGAGGTAGAGGTAAAGGGTAGGGAACACAGGAGAAATGGTAGAGGTAGAGGGAAAGGGTAGGGAATATAGGAGAAATGGTAGAGGAAGAGGGAAAGAGTAGGGAATACAGGAGAAATGGTAGAGGTAGAGGGAAAGGGTAGGGAATACAGGGGAAATTGTAGAGCTAGAGGGAAAGGGTAGGGGATACAGGAGAAATGGTAGCGGTAGAGGGAAAGGGTAGGGAATATAGGAGAAATGGTAGAGGAAGAGGGAAAGAGTAGGGAATACAGGAGAAATGGTAGAGGTAGAGGGAAAGGGTAGGGAATACAAGGGAAATTGTTGAGGTAGAGGGAAAGGGTAGAGAATACAGGAGAAATGGTAAAGGTAGAGGGAACGGTTAGGGAATATAGGGGAAATAGTAGAGGAAGAGGGAAAGGGTAGGGAATATAGGGGAAATGGCAGAGGTAGAGGGAAATGGTAGGGGATACAGCTGAAATGGTAGAGGTAGAGGTAGAGGTAACGGGTAGGGAATACAGGAGAAATGATAGAGGTAGAGGGAAAGGTAGGGAATAAAGGAGAAATGGTAGAGGTAGAGGGAAAGGGTAGAGAATACAGGGAAAATGGCAGAGGTAGAGGGAAAGGGTAGGGGATACAGGAGAAATTGTAGAGGTAACGGGTAGGGGATACATGAGAAATGGTAGAGGTAGAGGGAAAGGGTAGGGGATACATGAGAAATGGTAGAGGTGGAGGGAAAGGGTAGGGGATACATGAGAAATGGTAGAGGTAGAGGGAAAGGGTAGGGGAAACATGAGAAATGGTAGAGGTAGAGGGAAAGGGTAGGGGATACATGAGAAATGGTAGAGGGAAAGTGTAGGGGATACAGCTGAAATGGTAGAGGCAGAAGGAAAGGGTAGGGGATACAGCTGAAATGGTAGAGGTAGAGGTAAAGGGTAGGGAACACAGGAGAAATGGTAGAGGTAGAGGGAAAGTGTAGGAAATACAGGAGAATGGTAGAGGGTACGGGAGAAAGAATAAGTGATACATGAAAAGTGCAGGGATACAGGAAACAGAGAAGTGGAAACAGGATAAAGTGTAAACGATATTTGAATAGTCTGGTGATACAGCAAAGGATAGAGAGTACAGGAGAAAATGTGATGCATGGAGATCGTGTAGATACAGGAGAAAGAGTAGGTGATGCAGGAGAAAGGATTAGGATTCAGGAAAAGGGGTAAAGTTTACAGGTGAAAGGGTGGGATACAGGAGAGAGGGTGGGATACAGGAGAAAGGTTGGGATACAGGAGAAAGGATGAGGATACAGGAGAAAGGGTGGGATACAGGAGAAAGTTTGGGATACAGGAGAAAGGATGAGGATACAGGAGAAAGGGTGGGAGAAAGGATGAGGATACAGGAGAAAGGGTTGGGATACAGGAGAAAGGATGAGGATACAGGGAAAATGGTAAAGTTTACAGGCGAAATGGTGGGATACAGGAGAGAGGCTGGGATACATGAGAAAGGTTGGGATACAGGAGAAAGGATGAGGATACAGGAGAAAGGGTGGGATACAGGAGAAAGGATGAGGATACAGGAGAAAGGTTGGGATACAGGAGAAAGGGTGGGATACAGGAGAATGGGTAGAGGATACAGGAGAATGGGTAGAGGATACAGGAGAAAGGGTAGAGGATACAGGAGAAAGGGTGGGATACAGGAGAATGGGTAGATGATACAGGAGAAAGGGTTGGAATACAGGGGGAAGTGTCCAGTACTCTGTATGATGTACAGGATGCATCACGAACGTGCCATTTATAATGAAGGGTTTTAAGTACATGTTTCGTGTAAATGGGATGTAGGATACATGGTTAGCATCATTGTTAAAACACATACAATGTTGTTTTAGTCTGAGGAAAAATCAATATTCAAATAAGCTTCAACCGCGAAATCCTACTGAGTAAGTATTTTATCTAAACATAGACCCATGCTTTTAACGAATTATTTTATAATTTTTCTAAGGACAAGAACAATTACAGTTTGATGTGAAAATGTGGGCCAGGCGTCATACTGCACTTATCGTTTACACTAGAAACTGTGTTAAGTAAACATTCGTATCCTATATATAGGCCTACATTATATTATATTATACATATTTATATCGCTGTAACGATATGATGGATTTCAATACGGATTATTGCCGTAGAATAAAGAATATAATTCAGACAGCTTCACTTTGTTGTTGTATTTATTACAAATTGAAAATTGATTCGATCTGTTGATGAAAAAGGACATTTGTGTTTGTGCATCTTGTTAAATTTCTACGTGTGCGAATATGATACCACAGAAACAGTCGTTCATATTTTGGTATTCACATACACTATAGACTAAATAGCACCCTACTGCCATCAGTTAAACACGAATTTATTGTGGAGACGTACATTTGTGAGTTATAATCGTATGAGCCAGTCTTGTATTATTTCAGTCGATGTTGAGGATACTTGTTCAACTTAATGGCGATTGCGTAAAAGTAATTTCAATTACAAAAGAGTTACTACAATATGGAGACTGGATGGCTGGTCCGGATGATTCTAACGACTGTTCTGGCATTGATCGCGTGGAAGTTAATCCAGTTTATTGTTCGATACCGACACTGGTGTGCAGCTGCTAGACATTTTCAGGATTTAGGTCCACTACATCCTTTCTGGGGTAACCTGCACTTGGTGAGTACTTTTTAGATCTACATTGCGATATAATCTTTTAATTTGATCAAATTAAGTCGTGTCATATACATATCTACTCTCATGTACCGTCGTCCATTTCTAACTCGAGTTGCTTCATTGTCTGCTTATTGAGAGTATCATCGGCACTCATTATCCTTATTAGGCCTGCAATTTTAGGGCTTGCGCTGTTGCATGGTTACGAGTACCTTTAAACGCCTACAGTCTTGGTACGTCCCAACGATACTGTCCAAGTTATATCGCATGCACATGTAAATGCGTCTTATTTTGAAGTTTCGAGTGTTTTATTCGCCGTGGACGTCCCAATGGTATTGTTTAAACATTACGTTGTTACTACTTCAAAATCCCTTAATGCGCGCCTTGGTAAGTTTAAAAACCTATTGTAAAAATATCATATGCAACTTGGGCATAGAATCTACATGTCAATGGTTTGCATTAAAGTTATTGCTTAACATGTGCCTATAAAGTCTCAAAGCCTAATACGAAACTTGTTTTAAAAGCGACTTGATACAACACATCCCAAAACATACTACTTGATACAATGCAGTCAAAGGCTTATATGAAAGTTATAAAGCACTTAAAATAAGACATCTCAATTTATTTCGTATCTCACCTCGTTACGAGATACAGAGTACGAGGTGAACTGAGAGATCAGCTTTGATTTCGTATAATCATAAATGTTAAGTGCCAAAATGAAAATAGAAAACTGATTTTATTCCGTATAATCAGGGATTTCGACATCACTTAGACCTCGGCTTGTTTATGAATTTGTTAACGATATACGGGTTTTTCCTGTTTGTCGAGTGTTTCTTCCGCTGCTCTGAAATTACATTCCTGACTTAAGTGGGGAGCGGGGTTTCATTTTCGTAAATTACTGTGCAATTGCTCGTTTTTCTACTTCCTTCTCCCATCACATCGACATTGATGAATTCGAAACAGCTTGTTGCGCTGGAAACTTGAAGTGTATTTAAGGAAAAGAGTAACGTAACCTAAAGTCGTTAGATCACACTGTAGGATAGGGTTCTGTTCAGAGGGGTTCCGAGAGATGATGATACACGGATTGTCTCTGTCATCACCATCATCTCGCTGTTGGTTGTTGTGAAACAGGCACGTACATAATCTGACCTTTCATGACCTTGAGGTAGATCCAGTAGTTTGTTTAATATGTTCAGTCTGTCATATTTTCCTAAATAAAGACCACATTATCAGAATATCTTCTAGATTACCAGGGCATGTCTATGGAAGCAAGCTATACTCGGTCTTGTCTGTTTTTGCAAAACAGGTTACAAATATTAAATGTGTTGAGCACATCCATCGTATAAACCCACCAAAATTGGAAATCAAGAACACGAAAAATTCTTCTTTATTAGCCGCTTACCTGATCTAAACAACATGGACAACTTTCCACCAATGACGATTTCGATTTACCAGCTGCAAATTTTCCATTTCTAGATAGTAACAATCTTGCTAATTTATAATATTTATATGTCGTAGTTGATTCAATATTAAAGGTCTTGTTCTCATCACTACTGTTTTTGTGCAAGATGCCGACAACCAACGTATAAATTACAGCACCGTGTTTTGAAAGAGACAGGCTGATGAAGATTATAAATAAGTCTTGGTTATGGTCAGTATACTGATCATATTGGGAGATTTTCTAATCGCGTATGCCATGCGAAGTTGGACTTGTTTGGTGTTGTATAGTATGCAGGATAGTTATGTTGTTTTTGGCCTCGTTCTCATTACGGAATGTGACTTGACCTACTTGTTCCGAGATGACTGTATAATGTAACGCTTGCTGTGTCGACCAATGCAACATGAGATGTTTGACTTTTAAACTTTTTTTTTAGGTTTTGATACCTTTTGTATGGACTTGTGTAACGTAATCCTTCTTTAGGTATGAAGACTCAGATGAGTTGTGAAGCTTAATGCAATAAATAATTGGGGCTTAAGTCCCAGGCAGAGGCCAAACCGACCTAATAAGTATATTCTTATAATGAATTAATTTCAATCCCATACGTTATCAGTCATTCTAGCTCGATTAAAAGGGACAAAATGGAGAAAAATATTACGCGAAATAATAAGAAAAAAAATACAAAAAAACAGACGCAGTCAAGAATTAAACTGTTAAAGATAAATTCTTTGGTAATGAAACGACTTTTGTCTAATATTTGATAACGAGTGATGGGTCAAGGGTCAGTAGGAAATTAGGTGATGAAAGGAAACAGTAGTGTCATTGAATTAGACGGACATAAAACACACAGTAGGATCAGGAAATTAAATGGACAGATGACGCAGTAAAAGGATTAGATGGATAGAATGGAAAGAGGACACAGTAGAATTAAGGAATTAAGTAATGAAAGGACACAGTAGGGTCAAAGAATCAGATGGGCAAAAGGCACGTTAGGGCCGAGGAATTAGGTGGACAGATGACACAGTAGGGTCAAAGAATTAGACGGACATAGGACACAAAGGAGGGTCAAGGAATTAGATGGACAGGTGGCATACAGTAGGATATACTAACGGAAATATAAAAAAGTGAACTCTAGTCAGATACAAGTGTACAGGTATATATGCAGAAGTGCTTGCATTTTTATAACAGTCCAAGTACCAAAGCAGTTAAACGCATTACGTTGTTGGTCGGTCAAACAACTGGACGACGAAATTTGGCTTGAACTAGATTAGGGTGACCTCTTGAGGGCAACAGAAGGATGAAATATGTTATGTTGTTTTAAGCAGTTCTTCTGCAAATCTTGGGTATAAACTCTATATTACATTACCATTGAAATCCTTCCCCATGTTGAATGTGTAGTTCTGTCTATTTCGTTGTAGTTAATGCATGTAGAATAAATACTTCTATTGTAGATGAAGCACACTTCTGACTGGATGGATATAGCTAAGGATGTAATCACTAAAGATAAACCAAAGCTCATCATCACGTGGGTCACGTTCCTCTTCCCTAACTTCTCCATGGTCCACCCAGACACTGCCAAAGATGTGCTGAAATCTTCTGTTCCCAAACCTACTGGAATCGGCTCACCATATGGATCTTTTGTGTCCTGGCTAGGTAAGGAGGACGTTATATCTAACTGCATCAGGTTTCTTTCGATCACTATGTAACGCTAAAGTCAAAAACAGAACTGCTGTACTTTAATACTTGCTTAGAAATATGTTCTCAACTTTCTGTTCAACAAATACGTACTTCGATCTTTTCCGACAACGAAACCAACAGTGGCGGATTTTTACTAAGCTATGTGACAGACGTGAGGATTCCAATGTTATTGTAAATTTTCACTTTCTGGATAGCATCAGCCCTTCATCCTTAACCTATGGTATTTACATATAGCGATTGATTTAATATTCAAGGACTTGTTCTCAATAAACAAGAAACCGCTTATTCTCTGATAATGATCTAAGATTTTAAAAATGTTTTGGCTTAAAATGAGGCATGGTTTTTACACCCTGATAAAACTGAATCCCTTCACTTTTTCAAGACGGATTGATTGTGAGATTTAACATTCTGAGTTACACTTAAACAGCTTGGTTATAAAAGTGTTCGTAGTCACAATTAAAATTTATGTCTGAATAGAATGAATAGAATAATCTTGTCTGTTTCCCACATTGTCGTCCATTAGCGCAATAAAAAGAATTTTTTTAAATCTAGATGATCAATATCAATGTACTTCTATTTTTAGAATTAATGGAGACAAGACCAGAGTGATTGTATTTCTTAATGGCTGCCATGAACTAGGTTTAGTTATAAATAAATTCATTTTTTATTTGATTCAGAGATTCGTTACCAATACCTAATGTCTTTTTAAGTAAAATTTTCCGTCTACTTGTTTTCTGTATTTAGCACAGAAGGGTGAATATGTATGGGGAATTTGTCTGTGCTGCATTCCATTCAAGGTGACTTTCGGACCGAATTTTGTTACATAAGTGATATCATTACCACTAAAACTGGTTGTATTTATTTATTTTTTTTTTCTGCCTCAAATATTTATGTATTATTCCAATACACCCTATCCATTCACCATCTGACAAATGTGTATATTTGCTAGTAATAGGAAGGAGAGGTTGTAATATAGTGGAGAAGACTTTTTTATGCAATGCATGTTGTCCAATGGCTTCTGACCGGCCATTGATGTATGTTATTCACACTGGTCATTTGTCTGATGAAGGTGACCGTGTACTTATCTAAATCTCACTCTTTAATCGTCTACCAGTTGTGTTAAAAGAACTTCTATTTTATCGAAATTACCAACATGAAGACAAAAATCCGAAACAGTGGAAAGTGACTCGTTAAACTTTGACCAGGATTTTCTTGACAGATGCCGTCAATGAAGCAGAAGACGCGTACTAAACCGAAACACATGGTCTTACTTTTTTTTTACTTGTATTTGAGTAAATCTTCAGACGTTTTTCACATTTGAACAATAGTTTTATCAAATTGAAATTTGGAAAATGCTTTTGTTAACATGTTGATATTTTCTTTATTGTTTTTATTTAAATGGCTGATTTCGTCATAAGCATGCAATTTTGACACTTAAATCGGCAGCAAATGCCACGTCAAGGCTCAATACAGAAATGAACAATCATGCAGTAACGTCTATGTGAGCAATGTCTCACTAAATTGCCATTGTGCTATTGTGACGTCGTAACCTCATGATTTCATCTAAAAATATAATGATAGTAATGATATGGACATTTTTAGATTTTTTATACGAGTATGATGAATTGTTGTTTTCAGAAAAGCTATTAAAAACATCACATTCCTGTCCAGTTGAAACAAGGTTTTCATTTTCTTTCGACTTATCGTTGGAAACGGAAACGTTTGTATCATATCACGTTGTCACTACCTGTAATATCTATCTGTTATCTCACTGATAAACGTTCTGTATAGGTTAATACTTAAAAGCTCTCAGTCCACTATTTCCTTTTTCAGACGAAAACATTTAGAGGAACTATATACGATTAATAGTATGTTTCTAGAATACCCTTTGCCTAGCTAAGTGAAGCGTATCAAAACCTTTCTCGGAACCATAGCAATATGCATTAGTTGCCCACGTCGGAAGTATGCTGTTTTATGTCAAAAATGATAAAGGTGATTCATTTTATTTCTTAAATCACTTGTTCTTTCAGTTTCAAGAGACAGGTGATTTCAAATAGTTTTTTAACTTCATGTGGGATGAACATATATTACATCCAACTTGTCTGACTCAAAGTTTTATGATGCATATTAACACAATATATTATCAGTTGCATTAATTGTTACCTCTTAAACTCCCCCCCCCCCCCTAACAAATCACCACCGCGCCCCAGTTGATCGCATCATTAACACAAGAATTGAACAAAATTGCCTTAAGGTGAATTAATGTTGTCATGAATTCAATGAATAAGATAAGAAGTGTCCCACTTTTAGTAACTACGGAGTGACGTCACACAGACTTTTCGTCTACAGTATTGTAAAGAGTAGATTTGTTCCTTCAAATTGATATAAAACTTTGTACAAATTTCCCAAAATATCATAGGCTATTTATTGCATAATTTGATTGTGCGTTTCTTATTTTTGTTGAGTATATATTATTTATATAAAGCATAATGACAACGTCTACCTTAATTTCTTTACGCTCTTGCATTGCAACACACTAATGCCGTAGATCGATTGAGAGCGCGAGGACAGAATACGAGTCAAAATTGTCTTTTTTCTTTAGCTATGTTGCAATGTCCAATATATGTGAAGCCTAAGAACAATGTCTAACCTAATTTCTCCACACTCTTTCATTCCAACACTGGAATATATCTACAATACACGAGCAATGCCCCATCCCATCATTATTAGACAGATACCAATCTGGTACTTAATTATCGAAGAAATACCAGGATGTTCACAGAATCAAAATTCTAATTTGATACTGTAAGATCATTACCTTTCGATGGGGAAGTATTTTCACGGTATTCGTGAGTATTGATATCCGCAAATTCATACACTGAATGTCCACAAAATGAAAAACCATGATTGACATTGATTTTAGTACATGTAGATTTTGTTAGTGTTACAGATGTATTTTATCACAAAATCAGTTGCCAGTCAACTAGTTTTAAGTACCACGAAAATATATTTTAGGTATTATACAACTGAAAGAAAACAAAGATGAAATGACATTTGTAAACTACATATGCTGTATCCCTAAATGCTACACTATAACGGACAAAAACCATGTAACATATATCGTCAAATGTAAGGTGCAAACCTGGTGGGCGACTGAAAACTATAGTAAGATAAATCTGTGATGAAATAGAGGTTTTATCACAGGTGACGGACTGTTGTTCAGTTCAGGAACCAAATGGCATAGAAATCGAAGGATGCTTACTCCAGCGTTCCACTTTGACATTCTACGTCCATATCTCGACGTGTACAACGATGCCTGCGACAAATATATGGTAAATCATTCTTACATACATTTTAATGGCGTAATATTCGTTATAAGCGAATATGTTACAGGTTGATGAAAATCATGAGGAAGTTTTAGGTCGTCATAGTGATTCTATTGAGAAATATTTCTTTGTGTGATATGAAGCTGAACGTGTCTGATGCCCGTTAGCTGGTCTGTTGGTTTCATTGTTGTATACCTTGTTCTCATTTGAGAACCTGACATTACTTACTTGCATTGACCAAGATTTACATGGCGGGTGCGTCGATGAAGCAGAAGACGCTTACCCTTCTGGTCTTCTTCTCCTTATATTTTTTCAGGAATCTCCGTGTTAATATTTCTTTTGTTCAAATTCTCCCCAAAGTTTTATTGAATTTAAGTTTGGATTATGATAATGTTGACAAATTGGTATTTTCTCGTTGTTTTTATTATATGTTTATAATATTATCAAACAATTTCCATTCATGAATACCTGAATATTTTCATAAAATTGAAGATTGCCTACTTCAATAGAATTAAAACACCAACAGAATTAAAGCGTAAAAGTACAAATGATGAAACACCACTGTTGTGGTAAAAGACAGACTAGTTCTGTTATGTATAAAGATATGTTTTCTCGCTAATTCGTAAATACAGACTAAAATCTGGATTATAGAATTTCCTTATCTATTCCTATAGTATTATCTTTTGGACCCAGTATTGTGAATGAAATGGACACGTATTTCTACTTCTACATTTCGATTTACCGTTAAATATATGTACCGATCTTAAAATTATTTTATGTTAAAATTGTATTAAATACCACTGATATCCCGAATTTTCTACACTCAGAGCATACTGGAGTCGTCTTCAAAGGAGGAAGAATTTATAGAGATAACGGAGCCCACGACACTAGCCACTCTTGATATTCTTCTGAGATGTACCCTGTCGTACGAGTCTGACGTGCAAGAACAAGGGTAAGATTTGTAACTATTTTCAAACCAGAGATTTGTGCGGTCGTTGATGAATGCATCTATACACATTTCTGGTTCTTTTTTTCTGTTTTTAGAGCAAAACACCCGTATGTTCAGGCCGTGGATGAGCTCACCCACTTAGCAGCTGATAGGTTCATGTAAGTGTAAATAAATATATGTATTTTCTTGTGATTGAATTTATAAATATATTGCTAGTAGGAGTGAAATAACAAAAAAATGATTCTGCGATATCAACACGTAGCATTGTTATCAGGAACTGACGTTCAAGCGGAGATCACCGTTCGTGAATGAAAATAGTTTGTCCAATAAATATTTATCATATATGTTGATACTATAGATCTAGCTAGTATAGGTACAAGTAAAGAATATTCTATTGCAATACGAAAATTTATGAGAGGTAAGAGTAAAGAATATTCTTATTCTACGTGAATATGTATGGGAGAGTATGTAGTCGCTGCTATGTACGCAGGATAACTTCGCCCACAGGTAAGCGCAAGGACAATTTAACTTGTTATATACATTGGTCATACTAAGGTGATGTCCCTTCTACCAAATTCAGGGCCCGCGACCCCTCAATTACAGAGTATTGCCCATTGTTAATATTTCCTGTTCGGAGAGTAACTTCGCTTGCATCATACACTAATAACACTAGGACGATGTGCAGTGTCCACAACCCTTAATTACGGAGTTATTGTCCTTTGTTAAAATTTTGTGTCCAGTAAAGTTGTTTATGGAAGCAAACATCAGTTGTACTGATACTGTTTCATTAATTTTGTGTTAGCAGTTAAGCCGATTATGTTGAGTAATTTGGTAGCTTCTCTCAATATTTTTATTTCATTGATATACCGTAACTTCTGCTTTAACAGAAATCCTATCACCCATATCGATGCTGTGTACAGACTGACCAGTCGAGGCAAACGTTTCTTCCATCTATGTGATTATGTACATGACTTCGCCAATAAAATCATTCAAAACAGAAAAGAAATCTTGGTACGTAAATTTGTTCATGACCCAATGACAATTCTTTCGATCACTTTGAATGTTCCTCAGTCGCCTCATAGGCTTTAAATTTTAGGCCCATATCATCAATGACGAGTGCCGGCAGAACGAAATAACTGTATGGTGCAGTTTAATTCATTGTTCTGCTCTAATGCATCTAATTCTAAATTTGTACCAAATATTGCTTTACACTTGTGTCTATTGTAAATTGGTATACACGTTCGGTGGACGTTTAGCCCTCAACGTTTGCCGTTAAACTGCAGGCCACATTTCCTTCATTACTAGATTTTCTTCAGTTTTTTTCTCTTAATTGAGGCCTTTTTATCGAATGACGAAACAGTTTTATGATCCAGTGTTATTCATGGTTTGGTCCCAATGTATCAAACTTCTAAATATATAAAGGTGTTATAGGCTTGTATGTGATTGACTAGTGACATATACTATGTCTTGAATATCTGCAAGATGTTTGATTCAAAGGCAGAATTCATGGTTTAAATTTAATTAATAACTTTCGTCACGTCTCCTGGTACCACAGACAAATAACCCCTCCTCAGCACAGAAGCGACGTTTGGACTTCCTAGACATGTTAATCACCGCCAGAGACTCTAATGGAAACGGACTGAGTGACCAAGAGATACGGGACGAGGTCGACACCTTTATGTTCGCAGGTAGAACTGGTTTTAATGGCTTTTATTATCTTGGCGATGCAATTTGTTGCTATTTGTTTCTGTATATATGGCATATTATTTGTCTGATCCGAACTTAAGCACCTATAGACGATCAGCTGATTTCTTCTCAAATATAGGTCACGACACGACGGCTTCAGCGCTGAGTTGGACGTTATATTGTCTCGGAAAGTATCCTGATTATCAGCAGAAAGTATTTGAGGAAGTAAGAGAGATAATGGGTGACGGTGATGTGGTAAAATGGTAACTTTTCCTATTATTTCAATAATTAATATTTCAAGATTAGGAATAGCAATGATAATGTATGTGTCAGCTATATCAATAGGTTATTGTTCGTAGAATATCGCCGTTACTTGGAAACCGTGTTTCCGTCTGTATCGTCATTTTCATTTACACATTATTCATTTTTCATTTCCACATATCAATTAACATCAAAGTGTTTTATAGGCAGCTTATTTGTAACTGTCGGCACAACTGCCATATATGACTGATCCTACTGCTCTACTTTTACCAGGGATGACCTGCCACGAATGAAAATACTCCATCTGTTCTTAAAAGAGACGATGCGAATGTATTCACCTGTACCTGTAATCTCGCGCACCCTCAAAGAGCCTTTGGAAGTCGATGGCGTAACTCTGCCCGCGTCAGTGGACGTTATGATTCAGATAGAGTGTATCAACCATCACCCTGACAACTGGCCAGACCATGAGGTAAGTTACAGATCTGAATGCTCTGTAGGCGAATGTACGGTCTAGATCAACGACGATTTATGAAAATTCTCTTGTTACCGCATTGACCTTGATTTATGTTTTCAGTAATATCGGTTGTAGCATTTCTCTTCCCTAACATCGAATGATCTTGACAGTGACCAGTGCGCACCGTATCGATAACATTTAGCTAATTCGTTTATAAAACTTAAAGTTTAGTTTAACTATTTTGATTTGATTCTAAATCATGTAGTCAGACAGTCAGCAAGTGAATGCTGTTCACAATCATTTTCAATGCACAGGTCGTAGTTGCGTTGTTTCAAAATGTACTCTTTTGTTCTTTATGGTCCTTACTTGAAAATACCAAAGTTCCGAGAACAGCGCTTCAAACTAATAGCTGAGTAAAACCGTAATCAGATCCTTGGCAATCACTATACTTCAAATTCGTCTCTGGATTTCTATCATATATATTTTACTATTAACAATTTTGTGTTTTAACATATCTATGCCTATGTATATTATTTTTATGGTGGATGTTGTGTATAAAACAAATTGCGGAAAACATACTCTGATTCTCCAAAACATACTCCGATTCTCCTTGTAAATTGTTAGGGGATCTAAATGTAAAGCTTTGGGTTTTTCCTTTCTCATATTTTGTCGTAACTTCATCGCAATTGAATTTGCATTTATTTTATTTTGGTATATCTTTTACATTCTTAATCAAAATATCATCAAATATTGTACTGAACACGGTTTCACTGAAAATCCAGTATTTCTGTACATTCAGGAATTCAGACTCGATCGGTTTGAAGATCATGCATCCGGCGATAAGGATCCATTTTCATATGTTCCATTTTCTGCCGGACCAAGGTAAGCACATTGATTTCTGCCAGACCTAGGCAAGCACATCATTTTTGTTGGACCAAGGCAAGGAAATTACTCGCTGACAGTCCTAGGCAAGCACATCATTTTCTGACTGACCAAAGATAAGCACATCATTTTCTGACTGACCAAAGATAAGCACGTCATTTTCTGCCGGACAAGGTAAACACACTATTATCTCTTTCTATTGTATCATATGTAAAATGATTTATTTAGGAATCAATCAACTTATGAATGATTAAATCCAGCTCGGAATTTGATGTCCCTCCTATGACTGCGGAACTTATTTGTTGTATTTTTTTTCTTGTAGAAATTGCATTGGACAAAACTTTGCCCTGAATGAAATGAAAGTAATCCTGTCCAAGGTCGTGAACAGGTAATTTGATAGTTTGGTACATGTTGTATCGTTGGTTAATATATATATATATATATATATATATATATATATATTCCAAGGACGATTCGTGAACAAATGACAGTACTTATCGCTGATTGACTATTAAAATATTTACGAATAAAGTTTAAATGTAATGATAAGCGTATAATCAAATTTTAAATTTCAGCAAATTGTAATAAATTTTAAAATTTTAAAGCAGTTATGGACTGGTGAAACGACGGCAATGTTTTAGACTTGTATCCCTACATATAAAGTTAACAGGCTACTCAATTTTTGTATTGAACGTTTTGTCTTTAAGGTGTATCTAAATTAATTTTTATATTAATATTCATTCTTGAAACTAACTCTATAAATAAACACTTTTATTCATTTTTCTATTGTCCTTAACTTCACATATCACGTGGTAAAAGTATATTCCTGTGTATAAGATTGGTGAACTTTCAAAACATTCACAACCACACTAGTAACCTGTGTCAATTGAATACAGTTATCACAACAATCATGTTTTGTCAGATAATTTCTATTTTATCATTATCAGTTACTTTTGTATGACTATTGTCTTAGAGTAAGGATTCATGGGGTATGTTCCTCATATTGTTAACTTCTCGACTTACGATCCTCGTACCACGTTGCCGTCACTGATCCATCGCCTATAGATAATTCATCAGATGTGGCTGCAAGATTGTTTTTGAAATTAGGCATCAATTGGCAAATGTACACACGCTAAAGGAACATTCCAATGTTCACATACTAAAGGAACATACCCATGTACACATACTAAATGAACATACCAATGTATACATGCTAAAGGAACATACCAATGTACACACGCTAAAGGAACATACCAATATACACACGTTAATGGAACATACCAATGTTCACATACTAAAGGAACATACCAATGTTCACATACTAAAGGAATATACCAATGTACACACACTAAAGGAACATACCAATATACACACGCTAAAGGAACATACAATGTACACACACTAATGGAACATACCAATGTACACACACTAAAGGAACATACCAATGTTCGCATACTAAAGGAACATGCAATGTACAAACACTAAAGGAACATACAATGTACACACACTAAAGGAACATACAATGTACACACACTAAAGGAACATACCAATGTACACACGCTAAAGGAACATACCAATGTACACACGTTAACGGAACATACCAATGTACACACGCTAAAGGAACATACCAATGTTCACATACTAAAGGAATATACAATGCACACACACTAAAGGAACATACCAATGTACACACGCTAAAGGAACATACCAATGTACACACGTTAATGGAACATACCAATGTACACACGCTAAAGGAACATACCAATGTACACACGCTAAAGGAACATACAATGTACACACGCAAACGGAACATACCAATGTTCACATACTATAGGAATATGCAATGCACACACACTAAAGGAACATACCAAGGTACACACGCTAAAGGAACATACCAATGTACACACGCTAATGGAACATACAAATGTGCACACGCTAATGGAACATACCAATGTACACACGCTAAAGGATCATACCAATGGTCACACGCTAATGGAACATACCAATGTTCACATACTAAAGGGACATGCAATGTACACACACTAAAGGAACATACCAATGTATACATGCTAAAGGAACATACCAATGTACACATACTAAAGGAACATACAACGTACACACACTAAAGGAACATACAATGTACACACACTAAAGGAACATACCAATGTTCACATACTAAAGGAACATGCAATGTACACACGCTAAAGGAACATACCAATGTTCACATACTAAAGGAACATACAATGTACACACGCTAACGGAACATACCAATGTTCACATACTAAAGGAATATACAATGCACACACACTAAAGGAACATACCAATGTACACACGCTAAAGGAACATACCAATATACACACGTTAATGGAACATACCAATGTTCACATACTAAAGGAACATACCAATGTTCACATACTAAAGGAATATACAATGCACACACGCTAAAGGAACATACCAATGTACACACGCTAAAGGAACATACCAATATACACACGCTAAAGGAACATACAATGTACACACACTAATGGAACATACCAATGTACACACACTAAAGGAACATACCAATGTTCACATACTAAAGGAACATGCAATGTACACACACTAAAGGAACATACAATGTACACACACTAAAGGAACATACAATGTACACACACTAAAGGAACATACCAATGTACACACGCTAAAGGAACATACCAATGTACACACGCTAAAGGATCATACCAATGGTCACACGCTAATGGAACATACCAATGTTCACATACTAAAGGGACATGCAATGTACACACACTAAAGGAACATACCAATGTATACATGCTAAAGGAACATACCAATGTACACACACTAAAGGAACATACCAATGTATACATGCTAAAGGAACATACCAATGTACACATACTAAAGGAACATACTACGTACACACACTAAAGGAACATACAATGTACACACACTAAAGGAACATACCAATGTACACACGCTAAAGGAACATACCAATGTGCACACACTAAAGGAACATACCAATGTACACACACTAAAGGAACATACCAATGTACACACACTAAAGGAACATACCAATGTATACATGCTAAAGGAACATACCAATGTACACACACTAAAGGATCATACCAATGTACACACGCTCAAGGAACATACCAATGTACAGACACGAAAGAAACATACCAATGCAAGAAACGAAGCTTTGCATATATATAAATAGAATCGTTTCAGTAATATCTTTTTTGATAGAAAAAATGCTACCGAAACATGGTTTGTAAAGGCGGTATAAACATTACTGTGCTCCAAACGTTAGATAAATAAACAAAACTCAACCCAAATCTGCTGATTATTTTTCCGGTATCTTAACACGCTCGATATCTATTCCATCCCAATTCAGGCTTCTTGGTAATTACCTTACAAGAGATATATATTATGGGTCCTGCAGTCAATCAATCATCTACACGTGATATATACATTTTGCTCGTTCTGTTATGATGTAAATGTCTGAGTCGAAAGTATTGTGCTAAATATGATTTCCCTAATCCAAGTTTCTGTAGTTTATCTAACTAGTAATGATTTTGAAAACACGAATTTATCATCATTACGCTAATTTGCCAAATCGTTATTATGCGCTCTAAACATTTCACCAAAATAGCTGGATCAACAAGACCAAGAAATAAACAGAGATATTCATTTGGGTCCTTAAAATCAGGGAAAGTGGTACACCAAATCGGAATTCACCAATTTGAAATCAATCTACAGTTTGTGGTGGTAACTCATACAAAAGTTAGGCATTCAAGACTTTCAGTTTTACTCACCAAGTTAGCATCCAGAAAACGTTGAAATTGTTGACGCTATTATGTTGGAATTCCTTTTATATTGAATTATGTCCTGGAGAACATCAGAAGCGGACATCCTTAATACAGAATAAATCAGTTTAGGATATGTAGAGGTATTGTGTTAAATGGCTACACTACATCATACCAGTTAATCTATTTTTTCATTGGTGGCTAAGTTTATGTCACGTCGTATTCTAATGTGGGGTTTTATTTATTTTTATGTTTTTTTATGTTTTTTTTTTTTAGATTCCGTATTGTACTCGACGAGAACCATAATGTTGTACCTATAGCAGAAGTGGTCATGAAAGCCAAAGATGGGATCAAAGTTAAACTAATACACCGGTAGATGTGAGGATGTGATATGGTTCCTCTTGTCTAAAGCTGGGATCAAACATCGGCAATATCCTACTAGTCAACCATTGAATTTTTGGACATCATTTGTCAATTTGCCCTCAATTTTGATTTATTCTACGTGTCGGGTTAAAATGGAATTGTAATCAAAATGACACTTATGCAATGTGATGGTTAAGGCACTCAAAAGACCAAACACATTCTTACCAAAGGATGAAGACAGAGGGATTTCCATGTCTTTTTAATGTTCGCAGACGTCAGGCGAATCATTCAATAACGTCACGTAAGAGATAATTACAACATTACGTACATACGTGCATACGGTCAGCAGTCACTCATTAATACAGTGGTATCGCCAACAATTTACAGGTTATTTGCCAATTGAGCTGTATGCACATTTGGTGAGTGAACTTTATAATTATTACAAGTTAGCTTTGTAATAAATATTTCTATATTGCTGCATTTACAACACCGAATCGTCTATCCCCGTTGTTTATTGAAGATTTAGAAAATATTTACTTTCACCAGTTAGCTGGGTTTCAGCTTGTATTCACTTAAACGGCGACTACTGCATCTGTTTATTTGTATTGTGAAATATCCGTACATTAGATTTCAAGGTCTGTGTAAATTATTCACAAAGACTGGCTTTAGTTTGGTTTTATGTAATAATCTATTTTCAGAACTGAGGTTACCAATATACATTGTATTTACATAGAAATATCATGCAACATACGAACGAAAATCATTTCCATTATTTGTACAAAAGACACATTTAATGCGAATTTAGAATTAGGATAACATACTTGCCTTTCAGTTATGTGTTCGGCCTGAGTTTTTTTCGCGGAAGGAACGTGAAAAGATATGAGGTCATCTGCCCGACCTCGTAGGCTTTTCCCGACGTTACTCGGTTTTCTCCCATCGCAAGACCACTCGCGGTCTTAAAACTTGTTTCGCAATTGGTGTTATATAGATAAGGTTTATATCTGTTGATTTAGTAAAGCCAAACAATGAATTCATCTGCATTCGACAGTTGTTTCGTCCCTCTGGGACTCGTCAATGATATCAAGGGCCATAAGTTTAAGGAAAAACATTTTAAGTGATTCAATATCAATGAGACTTTGCTGGTATTTGTTAAAGGGAGATCAATCTCGACGGATTGGATTTGAGTTGAAATAACGAATATTTCGTAAAGAAGATTTGAAAAATGTCCTCGTGTGGTCATTTTGTCTAATTTATTCAACATGTTCTCAGATCAGTACCATCCTCAACATAAATATTTAAATTATAATATAGATGCTTATGAAATTGTTAAACGATATATGGATTGAAGTATAAACGAATGGTTTTGCCTAAGCACGAGTAGGTACGATTACTTTTAACCTTACAAGATTATTCAATCAGCAATGAAGGGAATTACCTGCTAAGAAACTAGCTGCAGTTTTGATACACTTGTTTTAATACAATTCCTTTATAAGGCAATACACATCCACGTATAGATTCTGACAATTATTTTGATAAATTTTGATTTTCTTCAGCCACCTCCTGGCTTCAAAATTTTGACCCTTAGTATCACGGACGAGGCTTAGAAGGAGGATACAGTTATATGAGGCAGTCTAATATTAGATGGGCTGTATGTAGTTCCAAATTTGTATTGAAAGGTGTTTTCACTTGTGTGTCTTGTGCGATCTTCGAGATGGCAAGTGTCAGATAAACGCTGCCGTAACCTCTATGTCACATTTTATTGTTTTTTTTTCGAAAAGTGGCAATGCTCAGAATATGCACATGTACTTAACGTTCTTTCGAAATTATCACAGATAGGAAAATTATGAAAATCTATTGAATTACGGTGGACCTCCTATTTAAAAAAATGACCCTTTCGTTATGAATATTATTTTTCCTTAGTCGCTTCCAAAGCTTCATTATTTAGGACTTTAGCATCACTGACGAGTCATAGAAATGTAAACGGGCTGTGTGATGCAATTTTATTATTTTTTTTAATTTCTGTTTTACTAATTCTGAATTTGTATTGGAAAGTGTTTTCCTGTTGTGTGACATTTTTTCAAAACAGGGGAAATACTATCAAGTTGACGGAATCATAATTCCAACACAAATTTGATAAAACCAGGGCGAAATATGAGCAAAGGAAAAATTACAGAAAGGGCTATGTGAATAAGACCATCATTTCGGGAAGGGTAAATGTCTTCTGCTTCATCGACGACACCTGCCATGCAAATCTTGGTCAATCTAAGTAAGTAATGTCACGTTCCCAAATGAGAACAAGGTAAACGACAACGTGAACACTTTTTATCATTTTTATGATTTCGTCCTTCATTTCTTCTATGGTTTGAACGTGTTTTCGCGAAATATATATATATATATATTTGTAACGCTGATCATCTTTATTGGTAAAGAAAGATTTCATATCGAGAGCACGAAGTTTACCCTGCGACTTAAAATGTGGTATTGTGGTGTACAAAGTGTTGCCGGAATGAAAACCATTCATGACAATTTTCCTTTCATTGGATTTGAATTTCAAAATTTTTTTAACAAACAGGTAAATATGTCCATATAAGGAATTCAGACTATTCGTCCAAACGACCATAGACATCTGGTACGATTTTCATGGACGGTATGGCTACGTGTTCCTTATACATATAATGATAGATGTTTGTGTTCTTATGTTCCATGTAATGTTAATTTGTGTCCATAAATGATATTAATTATATTCTTTAGTTGCTTATTAATAGTGTACCATCGATTAATGACGGTTTGTCTCCAGCACCATAAAGTCAGTTACATCAATGTTACATAGCTGCTATACTGACTAACATGAAAATAATCAGGGAGGATATGGACGTCTTTGAATTCAATTTTAATTATTTACATTAATCGTTAACACGCGCCATAACTGATAAACAGGGTTTAACACGTTTAAAAGTAAAACAAAATAAACAGAGAATTAACCGAAACGATAATGCATACTCTTGAAAAATTATCACAAGTCACATACTACAAAAACGCCATTTACCATGTTAAATACCACACTTTAGTTTTTAGTTGCCGATGACGTAATATGTAATCATTGCGACAAAAGCAAAGAGAAGATGCAAGATTAAAAAAAATGCTTCAATATACAATGTAATTAAATACTTCATTTGACCTAACCCTAACACACTGAAGTGCTTTCCGGACTAGGTGTGTACAGTGCGACTGAAGTAGTTTGGGGCGTTTTAAGTCACGACCAGGAGAGCTAGTGGGCGGGCACGAGCATCTCTTTCACGTGCTTATTTATGTAAAAGTAATCAAGCGTATGCAGTCGGGCAATTACTAAGGAATCATACATACTTGTGAGTCAGAAACAACACGAGAATTGATAGATAGCAATGACGAATGAACTTAACATTGGTTTTATGAACCTAACATGATTTCTCAGTTGTATATCTAAGTTGTAGCCAACGTATTTAAAAGACTGAATGTTCGAGAATGGAGTAGTCTGTGTTGGCATTATTTCATATAGACCAGGGCTAAGGTTATCCATTCACGACAAGGTTGACAGTACTACCTTTGTTCAATATCATCACCAAATGCATACTTGAGAAATGTTCAACATCGAAATTTACATTATTTTCACGATAATCATTCCATGTACATATGATATCAGCATAATGTAATTGACTCACAAATACATTTCAACTTACGCATGAAACTCCGTTCACAAATTTATCTTTCATTTTTTTCCTAAGGTTACGCCATCTAATTTATAGCTTCCTCTGCTGTCTGTACTACATTAATCTCGTTAGTTTTTATGTTTGCTGACATAAGTAAAACTGTAGTTTGATTTTGATAAGAATCATTTGTGACGCGTCTTGAAATAATACATAGGCGTGACACAATGTAAAAATATAATCATCTACTCTATTTCATTTGCCGTATTTGACCACAACATGAGTAAAACGAGATTTGAAAATTAATTGTTAACCTGTTGTGCTTTATGTTACAATACTAAAGTATTATGTTGATGATGTGAAACTGGTGTGTACATTACAACATCCCTGACCTAAATGACGTACTAGTACTATTAACCAATTGGCACCATGTTTATACTTCCTTTTACCTCCGGATAGTGTTACACACTTAGCCTATATGCGTAATATTTCTGAAAATAGTTTGTACCCCACAACCTTTCAACAATCTGAGTCCATTTTGCACTTTCTGCACTTACAAGTTGATTAATTTTCATTCATTTTATTTTGATTTAATTGTATTAATTAGCGTATGTAACAAGTCTTTGTAATTTGGTATCTGAAAGATAATGTAGTCACAACCGATATTATACATTTCCTTCTCCAAAATATAACGAACATGTACGACCATGTCTACGATCAAAACCGTTGATGTTGTTTCTATCATTAAAATATTTTAATATGAATTTTACAAAACTAAAGACACAAAATAAATAGCATAATACGCTATGATATAAATAACATACTATATAATACACTATGGTATAAATAAAGAATTCCAAACAGCATTTCAGGTAAGCAGAATAATGAGAATAAAGAATCAAGCAACTTGTATTTCTTGTAAAACGTAATGCAGGAGGCCCAAGAATGAAACTAGAGGGTGACGTAGGTTGAGGAATGTAAATAATTAGATAACAAATGTATACAAATTGATAACAAATGTATACCAATAGATAACAAATGTTAACCAATAGATAACAAATGTAAACCAATAGATAACAAATGTTAACCAATAGATAACAAATGTAAACCAATAGATAACAAATGTAAACCAATAGATAACAAATGTAAACCAATAGATAACAAATGTATACCAATAGATAACAAATAGATAACAAATGTAAACCAATAGATAACAAATGTATACCAATAGATAACAAATGTATACCAATAGATAACAAATAGATAACAAATGTATACCAATAGATAACAAATGTATACCAATAGATAACAAATGTATACCAATAGATAACAAATGATAACAAATGTAAACCAATAGATAACAAATGTAAACCAATAGATAACAAATGTATACCAATAGATAACAAATGTATACCAATAGATAACAAATGTTAACAAATAGATAACAAATGTTAACCAATAGATAACAAATGTATACCAATGTTAACCAATAGATAACAAATGTATACCAATAGATAACAAATGTATACCAATAGATAACAAATGTAAACCAATAGATAACAAATGTAAACCAATAGATAACAAATGTATACCAATAGATAACAAATGTATACCAATAGATAACAAATGATAACAAATGATAACAAAAACCAATAGATAACAAATGTAAACCAATAGATAACAAATGTATACCAATAGATAACAAATGTATACCAATAGATAACAAATGTATAACAAATACCAATAGATAACACCAATAGATAACAAATGTATAACAAATAGATAACAAATGTATACCAATAGATAACAAATGTATACCAATAGATAACAAATGTAAACCAATAGATAACAAATGTAAACCAATAGATAACAAATGTAAACCAATAGATAACAAATAGATAACAAATGTTTACCAATAGATAACAAATGATAACAAATTATAACCAATAGATAACAAACGTATACCAATATATAACAAATGTATACCAATAGATAACAAATGATAACAAATGTATAACAAAAACCAATAGATATACCAATAGATAACAAATGATAACAAATGTATACCAATAGATAACAAATGTAAACCAATAGATAACAAATGTATACCAATAGATAACAAATGTAAACCAATAGATAACAAATGTATACCAATAGATAACAAATGTTAACAAATAGATAACAAATGTATACCAATAGATAACAAATGTATACCAATATATGACAAATGTAAACCAATAGATAACAAATGTAAACCAATAGATAACAAATGTAAACCAATAGATAACAAATGTATACCAATAGATAACAAGTGTATACCAATAGATAACAAATGTATACCAATAGATAACAAATAGATAACAAATAGATAACAAATGTAAACCAATAGATAACAAATGTAAACCAATAGATAACAAATAGATAACAAATGTATACCAATAGATAACAAATGTATACCAATAGATAACAAATGTATACCAATAGATAACAAATGTATACCAATAGATAACAAATGTAAACCAATAGATAACAAATGTAAACCAATAGATAACAAATAACAAATGTAACCAATAGATAACAAATGTAGATAACAAATAACCAATAGATAACAAATGTAACCAATAGATAACAAGATAACAAATGTAGATAACAAATGTATACCAATAGATAACAAATAGATAACAAATGTTAACCAATAGATAACAAATGTATACCAATAGATAACAAATGTATACCAATAGATAACAAATGTATACCAATAGATAACAAATGTTAACAAATGTAAACCAATAGATAACAAATGTTAACCAATAGATAACAAATAGATAACAAATAACAAATGTAAACCAATAGATAACAAATGTATACCAATAGATAACAAATGTTAACCAATAGATAACAAATGTAAACCAATAGATAACAAATGTAAACCAATAGATAACAAATGTATACCAATAGATAACAAATGTTAACAAATAGATAACAAATGTTAACCAATAGATAACAAATGTAAACAAATAGATAACAAATGTTTACCAATAGATAACAAATGTAAACCAATAGTTGATAAAAATGTACATCGAGAGAAAACGAAACTATATCTAAAGATAACAAACATATATCCATTGATACCAATGTATTCCCATGAAATACATACCAATAGTAAACGAATATATACAAATAGAAAACAGAAGTTTACCAGTAGAAAAATATATACTAAAAGATAACAAACGGTTACCAAAAAGTATCAATTTTTAACAATAGATAGAAAATGTATGCCAGGAGATCATTTCTCCTTTACAAAACCTAATATAAGACTTCTACATTGTATTTGTCATTCAAATCATCACAAGCAAAGCACGTTCGCTTTACCTGAAATTTTGCACAGCACTATAATATACTATATTCTAGATTTAATATTGTGAACATAAAGCAAAAGCACATAATGACTGGCATTAATAATATTGCAGTTTATTCTACAACTACATTGCTGGTTCGTGAGTCACGTCAAGTAAGTCAGTTACATGTAAAACATTGGATAATTAAGATTCTCTAAACCTTCTTTGTAATGTAACACTGTTAACCACGCTGTGTGATGCAGTTTTCTTTTTATATAATATATATATCTATATATCAATGACTAACTCCTCGTTCAAGTAACTTTAAAATAAGTTTTTATTTTGTGCAATTAACTCAAAGTATGAGAATATACTGAAGAACTGTACAATATGTGTGTGTGTGTGAGAGAGAGAGAGAGAGAGAGAGAGAGAGAGAGAGAGAGCACAACCAAAGGTAACGATATACCCTTTGACTGTGTTATATGTGATGAATAACTAGTCTACAAATTTCTATTCATGGATTTAATTGATACAAATAGTGTTTTAAGTGATGTTTTATCTTATATACCTTATTTTCAACGAAACAACGAGTTAGGATGCAAAAGGGATATATTTCTCAACTGAAAGGTGGTCTTCAGTTGAGAAATCCGGAAATGTGTTACTATTATACGCTCAATAAGTAGATTCACGAAAAATGGAAATTTAGTATAGGATAATATATTCAAGGAAGCACATGCTAGCTAGGCGGGGCTAAGTGCCTCTTTCACTTCCTATGCATGGAATGCGTAAAATGTGTGAAATGTTTCATTAACAACAGGAAGTAGCTCCATCACTTTCAAAACAGTAAAATTTTTTTGTGAAAAGAAAATTCCCAAAAAACTTGAAATACCTATATCTTTTTCTCGGAAACTAAAGTACATGAAGGACAATGAAGTGATAAAAAGTTTCTGCACCAAATCTGAGTACAAAGCATATCATTGTATTGATGATAAATATTGATCCTCGACTGTTAAATCAATTTACTTATAATAAATGGAAACTTCCATTATTGAAGCAAAATTAATGCCTGTAAATGTGATTCTAAGGGTCATTTTTTTTGGTTTTATGTTGAAATTAATTTCTGATGAACAGAGCTCGTATGCTGTTTACGTTTTTAACATGCCCAGAAAGCACTTTATTCTGATTTGATAGATCAGCAAACTTCGCTATTTCCTTGTTAATATATAATTTATGAAATCATGCTATGTTTATTAATATTAAAAGTGCTGAAATGTAGGTGATTGGTGCACGGGATACCCTTTAAAAAGGTATACAAACGAGTATCGAACATATTTACAACGTAATTTCTTGTTACGTACCACAATGATAGATTTCCCATGAAAAGTCATGATTTAATTTTCATTCATTTTTTTCAACGAAATACGATGATATGTTTGCACTTTCACGGAAATATATCCAAACAACTTTGGGATGTGATTAAGTACTATATCCTGTGTACGAGCGCTCTGGTATATAAACACACAAATAGAGCTACGGACCAGCATAACAAGAGCCGAACTTGTGTAAGGTAAGTCAACATATTAACCTATGGTAAAATTATCATCTAACGTTAAGCTGTCAGAACTGGTGACCGGGATGTGATTTACGTTGCATTTTCACCAGTGGAATCTATAGAAATATGAAATTGATAGAAACGTTACAGTGTCCTGCAATGAAAAAATACGTTGTCTCGACTGATACCAATAAAAGCATGCCATTTGATGAGACTGACCAATAAAAATCATTGTATAAAAAGCACGGAACGAAAATTGAAGCGTTTTTAGTAATAGGGATAAAATTTTTACTTAAATATTAGCCACTCTATTAAAATTTACGAGATATCACTGAAGGCACTGTTGACTATCCTAAATAGATTTGCAGAATTTAGTGCTTAGCTGTCTGTATATAACGTGCATGTTATCTACAACACAGCAGGCTTAAACGCCATATACAGAAATAATAGATATTACACATTTGATTATCGGTGACTTATCAACTGCAGTATGATGATATGATGTGTACTCTGCGTACTGTAAAAAAACTGTATCACAGCTCTACACTCGAGAAATACGTAAACTCTTGGGTCAGCGAACTGTGTCTTGCATCTGTTAAAAGGTCTAGTTACTACCTACTGTTACTGGCTCGCTTGGCTGTGGTCCATATCGATTACAAAGATAGATTTCTTCAACACGGGTTTTATTATTTTATTTTCTCTCTTCCGGAAAATCTCTACTGCTAACCAAAATTCAACCCGGCCGCCGTAAAAAACGGAACGGGTACATACTAATACAACAAAATTTTACACGGATTTATAATATCCGGAATGTTATAATTTAATCCGCCTCTACCTGACCAGTAACTATAAACATAACACTACATCGTAAGCTACCAAGGCCGTCTTTCGTGCTTACGCTGCTTATCAAGCTTTGCACAAGCGGATTTCTTTTCCTACAATAATTGACTATAGTCTTTATTTCAATTGCTCTCATATGCGCCTCTTAAGATATGTAACTCTATCTTTTACACCCTGCCAGAAACAAGAGGCGATGAACCTCCATCTGTTTTTTTTTAAATAATAATACTACATACATTTGATACTGATAACACGGAAGTGACAAAATTATGATATATGTAGTGATAACCGCAAACTTTTGAAATGATGTAAAGATACGGCTTCTTACTTTATAAATACTCCTCAATATTCTGTAATCTATACTTGTGGTTAGGAACCCTTTGAATGTTCTAAGGCAAATCACCGAAAGCTACTTCTGAAGTATATAGAGAACAGGAAACATCTGAATGTGTCAAGGGATTCTTAACTTTTTCTACTCGTTCATTAATAAATTGAACCGGTATTCATTGTGGAAAACCGCCGCTGTTCACTTGAGAGGTATATATAAAGAGATTCAAAGTGTGACAGAAAGAATATGGATACCACTCCGCTGCCTTTCACTATATAAACATTAACAAAGAAAACGATCTTAATTTGGCTGTGGAAACAGTGATGCTCACGTGCCATTTGTATAGTATTCCACACACCTTATAAGGAAAAAAAAGAAAGAGGGGCCTCTATTAAACGCTGCAATAGGCCTGAAGTATTTTGATTTCCTTTCTGGCAATGTATCTGTAATTTTTGCATTTACCTCGTATTATTGATTGAATAGCAAGAAAAGAAAACTCTAACTACAGAAGCAGTGATATATGACTGATATACAAAACAAATTATCCAGATGTACTAGGCAAATAGCATACAGGCAAGTGTAGAGTGTCAATATGTACGAACTCATTAGACCGGATATTTTCACTCATAATCACATCGCCTGTGTGAAAATAAAATCTGGACAGTTGCATAGCTGGGCTTATATTTCGCTAGCGATTTTTAGAAAAAAAAGCTGGTATTTTAGCACTGCACCATTCCACGGGAAGTTATGTTTTAGAGTAATTTCTCAAAACATCGTCATAAACATAGCGTAAATGAATTAGGAAATACAAACGTATTGGTTCAAATCATTTGGTTAACTTTTCAAGCGACTACGATGACTCATCAACAACATCCATATTGAACTTGGAACCATAACAAGCTTCGTCCAATTAAAGATGTAACATATGGTAGCGCTTTGATGGTTAAAATCGAAAATATATGTGTGGAAAAATAAATACACATTTGAGAACTGACATATTTATATAGACAAAATAAGTAAGTAGATAAGATAAACACTTGTCAATAGGTTACACGTGTGTAAAGGCTAGCTAAAAACAAGACTTCTGTGTCGATAAAATAGATACATGGCTCGTATTTGTAGAAAATATAATACATGAATATAGTGTAAGGGCAAATACAACGACATAGGAATGGCAATATGATTGTCCTTCCAATATACGGTGATTAACTGGTGAAGAGGAACTACTGTCAACAGCATAAATTGATCAGAGTTCATGTTAGATATGTCGGCATCATTGCTAACAGTCTGCTTGCCTATAGTATAGTATATACAGGCCGGTATGGAACGTTACTAGGGATGTATGCTTGGTGTTAAACTTCAGGTGATCGTCTAACATGTTGGAGGAGCTATGGTCTCGTGTGGCTTTGGGAAGTACGTGGCTTCTGGTGACCCTTAGCGGGATGTGGCCCTTTATGTCTGTAGGGAACGTATGTGGCACCTTTGGCATGGGAATTCTCCTTTGGAGGATCGCAAGGTTTATGTATCGTTACAGCTACTTTTACAACGCGGCCAGGCGTGTCCAGACCATTGGACCAGTGCATCCACTCTGGGGCAACCTTAATCTAGTAAGTATTTTGACCGAGATTAAACCTTATATAACGAAAATATTTGTTCCCTCAAAGCCAACTTTATCCATTTTTCCTTCACAGTTTTATTATACGGAAATTTAATTAAAATGGTGGTAGTTGATAATTGTTTTATGTAATGCGGTCATCGAATGTTCCTGCAACCCTAATTACCTCAATTACCTCACAAAATTGGTTTGATAGTGATTGCATTTCCCCCATTGTAGGAATAAGTTTTTGAAAGGAACATGTTACAAATGTTATCGAAATTGTCAAGATTTGATATTTAGCATGCCACTGACTCTCACACAGACAATATTTTAGAAGGAAAAAGATAAAGATGTAAAAACATAGAAAACAGCAAAATAATGGCGGTTAATAAAAACTTTTGCAATACTTAAAGGAAACTTATTGCTGCTATCGGGTAAAATCTTAATATGCTGTACTTTTCTTGCAAAGTCATGAATGCGAATTAAAATGTGTATAAAAATGTAATTATGGTTTTGTTTTGTTATATATCAATAATAGGTATGAAGATGAAGTTTTATAACTGATAAAATTCGCATAATATAGTATTCATAAAAGTTTGCATTTGAGGTTAAAGAGGTGCCCGACTACTTTGAGCTTATACAACGATGTGTACAGAAGACACGCACGCGGACATACGTCACATGGATTACGTCACTAAGTCATTATTTCGGCGTTTGTCACCCTGAAACTGCCAAATTATTGCTCAAGTCATCTGAACCGAAACCCAAGGGATTAGGCCAGGGTTACCGGAGTTTTATCCCTTGGCTTGGTAAGATTTTAATTTTTCTCATTGCTGCAGGGAAGTTTGGTTATCAATTAATTTGAATTATTTACTACTTATATTTAAGATAGAAGTCTTAATTCTTAAAATTCATTCTACTTAAAGTGTTCAGTATTAATTGTTTCCTTCACAATGTAGGATGTCAAATTTTTGAATGACTGAATAATACGAATTTGCAGACGACAATAATTGAAAACGCCATTTTACAGACGACAATGATTGAACAACACCATTTTACAGACGACAATGATTGAAAACGCCATTTTACAGACGACAATGATTGAAAACGCCATTTTACAGACGACAATGATTGAAAACGCCATTTTACAGACGACAATGATTGAAAACGCCATTTTACAGACGACAATGATTGAACAACACCATTTTACAGACGACAATGATTGAAAACGCCATTTTACAGACGACAATGATTGAATGACGCCATTTTAATGACGACATTGAATAATATGATTATGGGTATGGGTATTTTCCTATTTTTTTTCTGCAATCAAGCACAGTTTTTATGGCAGTTTGTATTTACGGTTACATCTAAACCAAACTCATGTATCTCATTTCGAATGGACATCTTTGTAGCCGCCAGAATATCACTCGTACAGGGAATATAAAGAGATGAACATATTACCAAACAGTAAAGATAATTTTGTGAGCAGGTGATGGACTGTTGCTGAGTGAGGGGGCCAAGTGGGAACGAAACAGACGATTACTTACACCAGCATTTCACTTCGATATTCTCAAGTCCTATGTAACGACGTATAATGATGTGGCTGATACGCTTATAGTAAGTTTAGCAAGTATTCAACGTAACATATTTATATAAGATTGCAAGGTTATCATACATATTCTTTATCAGAAGTTTGATATCTCTATACAGCTTCCCAAAGTATCTTTCAAAGATAGTGAAACGGATGCAAGAAAGTCATATCGTAAAAATGAAATATTTTGGAGATAACATTATCTTTGAGGACCCGCCTTTTCTTCAGAGCAGAAAATATTTGATTCCCATCCAAACTGATTGGTGTTATAAATATGTCATGCTTATAATGCCACAATCTTCGTTTACTGAAAAGAATCGACCTTTTAGAAAAAAAATTAGGTCTCACTTATCGTGCTGATGATCTTCAGAATCAAAAAGTAGACGACGTTGAGAAATGCCTGACATTTAACAAAAACGGCATTTAGTAGAAAAACAGACGATGGGCATCTTCAGTCATTGAAAACCATAGTTCCATTACCGACCGTATGATATATAAAGTATGCATGACTTCGTCTTTACATACATTTGTAATACAACGCTCTTTTATTTTCAATAACAAATGTATATCACCACGTTAATGTATATCATTAACTTGGTGATATTAATATAAGTCTATAGTGTCCTGAATGTAAATACAAAACACATGACATCAAGGTCTATACAGTCCTGAATGTGAATACAAAACACATGACATCAAGGTCTATACAGTCCTGAATGTAAATACAAAGCACATGACATTAAGGTCTATACAGTCCTGAATGTAAATACAAAACACATGACATCAAGGTCTATACAGTCCTGAATGTTAATACAAAGCACATGACATTAAGGTCTATACAGTCCTGAATGTAAATACAAAGCACATGACATTAAGGTCTATACAGCCCTGAATGTAAATACAAAACACATGACATTAAGGTCTATACAGCCCTGAGTGTAAATACAAAACACATGACATCAAGGTCTATACAGTCCTGAATGTGAATACAAAACACATGACATCAAGGTCTATACAGCCCTGAGTGTAAATACAAAACACATGACATTAAGGTCTATATAGTCCTGAATGTAAATACAAAGCACATGACATTAAGGTCTATACAGCCCTGAGTGTAAATACAAAACACATGACATCAAGGTCTATACAGTCCTGAATATAAATACAAAACACATGACATCAAGGTCTATACAGTCCTGAATGTAAATACAAAACACATGACATCAAGGTCTATACAGCCCTGAGTGTAAATACAAAACACATGACATCAAGGTCTATACAGTCCTGAATGTAAATACAGCACATGACATTAAAGTCTATACAGTCCTGAATGTAAATACAAAACACATGAAATCAAGGTCTATACAGTCCTGAATGTAAATACAAAACACATGACATCAAGGTCTATACAGTCCTGAATGTAAATACAAAACACATGACATTAAGGTCTATACAGCCCTGAATGTAAATACAAAGCACATGACATCAAGGTCTATACAGCCCTGAGTGTAAATACAAAACACATGACATCAAAGTCCTGAATGTAAATACAAAGCACATGACATCAAAGTCCTGAATGTAAATACAAAGCTCATGACATTAAGGTCTATACAGCCCTGAGTGTAAATACAAAACATATGACATCAAGGTCTATACAGTCCTGAATGTGAATACAAAACACATGACATTAAAGTCTATACAGTCCTGAATGTAAATACAACACACATGACATCAAGGTCTATATCATCTTTTCGATTCAAAAGTTATCCCACACACACACCGGTTGTAATGTCGTCGTAATATCTATTTATTAAAGATATGTTGTATTACATGTGGTCACGAATTTGCCAATTAACCAGTCCATCCTGGTCATCATGTTACATCAATATCTCGCTTTATCCCTTTTGTGGGTTTGAATTCTACGTAATACTATACCGTAACCTTGTGTACTATATTTTCTGATCATTCGCTAGATCCATGCTCCAGTATCTACTCATTTGAGTAAACACTGAAAGAATACAAATCTTTTTAGCAAATATATATATATATATATATATATATATATATATATATATATATATATGATAATAAATTATATATAGATATAAAGCTATAACGTTCAAATAAGATATGAGAACTTTGTATTTTTTACGCTTAATATTACAATAATATGATATTACGATTACATCGCCCTTCATAAAACAGCAAAGTGTTCTTAATAGATTTATAATAAATATTATTATATATAAATATTAAATATTTTGTTTTTACATCATTTAACAGGACAAGCTGCTGAATGCATCAAAGGATGGGAAAAGTATAGAAATCTACGAGATGGTGGGACTGGCTACACTGGACACTATGTTGAGGTGCTCCTTATCGTATGAGGGAAATGTTCAACAGAAAGGGTAAGTCTGTAAACACATCAGCATAGTTCCTCCAATGATACCTCGGGTTTATACCGTTAGACGAATCTATAACCTACAAGAAACTGATATGTACAAGGAAGTTCTGCACAATCAGGTACATTATGTTTTATCACGATCAAATGAAAAAACAACAAACTAGGAAAAATGATATTTTTGGTTGACAGGGCTTAAAAATTTGAAGCGTTGTTTATACTGATAATATACACTCAGTACTAGCAATCTGACCGGTAACAACGGAAGCTTGATAATAGACAAAAATAATGTTTGCATATATACATGTAAATATGTTGCTATGGTAAAATATATAAATATATGTTGACCAGCTCTGTCTGATCAAAAGGAAACAGATGGTTGCACTATCGTCAAACTTCCTTGTGGGATACTCTACTTTAAATGAATATTGAATATCATATTATATATTTGTTACTGTGAACTTTAATTTGTTTTAAACTCGTGACATGATTTTGCGTAAAACGGATAGAGTATTAGGTTCACTACTTAAAGAATGCCTGTTACTAACACGTACATAACACGTACAAGTATACATAGCGTAGTAAAATGCCCTATCCTATTAAATGATAAGGAAATAAACACACCAATACGATATTTCGTTCAATGTATCAAAATACATATAGAATTGTATATACACTGCAGCACCTGATAGCAATGAAATATTAATGCTAAAATCCCATTATCAATTACAGTGGTTTAGGGATGCGATATATATATATATATATATCAATTACATCAAACACAATTGTACTGAGGACAGCACTAACTTGTTATGCCCTTTTTTTGGATATATCTCACTATTTAATCGATTGCCGTGAAACTTTACAGGCTTTAAAACCATAACATCAATTTGTGTTTTCATTAACTGAATTTTGACTTAATAATATTTTCGAGAGTTATTGCCCCCATTTTTCAGCATTTTCAATTTTTAAATTCTTATTTCAGTTTGGTAACCCATCCTTTTAAGATTTTGAACGCTTTAATTCATTATCAAAACATATAGCAATGACATTTTCCTTTTGGATTTTCTACTCGGTATTAAGATTTTCATGTTTGTACTCATTTTAATGCAATTTAATGTGATTATGATGTTAATTACTCTATACGATTACAGGGACACACATCCATACGTCAGAGCAGTTAGGAGGCTTACCCAAATTTGTCTTGAGCGAACACTGTAAGAACAAAGATAATGTAGCTATCCTAGTCATGCTTATAGAGAAAAGTGTTTACATGTGTATGTCTATGACGACTGTGTTTTGAGGGCCAGTGACTAGATTATACACGTTTAACTGCAATGTTTGTAAGATAAATCAATGATATAAGTTTTCCTTTACTTCTCAAATTTGATTTGTATTTACGAATGGGCTATAAATTAAATGGACCAATATATCATAAACTGTTGTTGACTCCAAATTAAAAAAAAAAGCAAGTCTTTTTTTTTTATTATAGTTTCTTTTCTTAACACAAAATAGTGTATCTGACATTTTTGTATATTATTCCACAGTAAACCATGGCTGTTTTTGGACTGGATGTTCATCATTTCCCCACAAGGAAGAGAGTTTCGTAGATTGAGCAATCATGTTCATACTTTTGCTGATGACATAATCGAGCGAAGACGTGGTGATATGGTAATGCATTACACATGTTCTCTAAAACAATTATGACTATAGCATGTAACATAAAGTTGCTTCCAACCTTCACCTTTTATATTTGAAAATTTTGAATCAATACAATAACTATTATCTACTGAAGAATGAATATTCCATGAACAAGCAAACATGATGTACTACCACATAATATTCTTAACTATCAACTCAGTATTATCGTAGAGTACCCATTGGACGTCATAAAGGTGAATAAAAGATAATGTTCCATGAGATAGGTCATAAGGTCAATGAAATATGTTCCATGAGATAGGTCATAAGGTCAATGAAATATGTTCCATGAGATAGGTCATACAGGTCAATGAAATATGTTCCATGAGATAGGTCATAAGGTCAATGAAATATGTTCCATGAGATAGGTCATACAGGTCAGTGAAATATGTTCCATGAGATAGGTCATAAGGTCAGTGAAATATAATGTTCCATGAGATTGGTCATAAGGTCAGTGAAATATAATGTTACATGAGATAGGTCATAAGGTCCATGAAATATGTTCCATGAGATAGGTCATAAGGTCAATGAAATATGTTCCATGAGATAGGTCATACAGGTCAATGAAATATGTTCCATGAGATAGGTCATAAGGTCAATGAAATATGTTCCATGAGATAGGTCATACAGGTCAGTGAAATATGTTCCATGAGATAGGTCATAAGGTCAATGAAATATAATGTTACATGAGATAGGTCATAAGGTCCATGAAATATGTTCCATGAGATAGGTCATAAGGTCAGTGAAATATAATGTTCCATGAGATAGGTCATACAGGTCAATGAAATATAATGTTCCATGAGATAGGTCATACAGGTCAATGAAATATAATGTTCCATGAGATAGGTCATAAGGTCAGTGAAATATAATGTTCCATGAGATTGGTCATAAGGTCAGTGAAATATAATGTTACATGAGATAGGTCATAAGGTCAGTGAAATATAATGTTCCATGAGATAGGTCATAAGGTCAGTGAAATATAAAGCATAATATAATATAAATATAATTCCTCGAGATGCTCGTGTACGTTGTATCAGCTAAACTAGGTAGCAATGGTGGTTCTTTGACCTCCATAAGAACAATAATGTCATATAGTATAAAAACTGACCACGTCATCAAAGCAAAATGACACGGCCTGGCATCAATGTAAACTAAGCTACATTATATTGACAGAATATAAAACGTATCTAACGAGTACGTTATATACTTCATCGCTGTGTTTTTATGACAATAGAGTTTAGAAAACCAAAACACAAGAAAGCGTTTGGATTTCTTGGAGATCCTGCTTTATTCGAAGGACGAAAGTGGGAGAGGATTATCAGATCGTGACATCAGAGCGGAAGTGGACACATTTTTATTTGAAGGTAAGTGCCAATCTGAATTCTTTCCGATATATATAGAAAGCATGCTTACTAACTATGTTAGGTTTCACTATTACATGGATTGAGTTTATTTCTTTCCGGGAAAATTATATATACAAGATAACAACTAAATAATATATGTATTGTAAGGTATATCAATATCAACAGGCCAACTTTTGACGAGAATTCTCAGAAAACTTTCATAGCTAATTCCGATAATAAAATCATATTACCAGCTAGATATGTTTATAGGAATGCTGACAGCTTTAAAATCTTTATTTTATTTGGGCTTTCACCTCGTCGTCTCCCCATTGATTTAAAAGTAAAGATTGTCTCTTTTTGATGACAAGAATAACTGTCCTCGCTGCTAATTAGATTTCCCTCGTCTTTAATCACACTTCCCTCGCTGCTTACTAGCTATAGATTCCCCTTGCCTTTAATCACACTTCCCTCGCTGCTTACTAGCTACAGATTCCCCTTGCCTTTAATTACACTTCCCTCGCTGCTTACTAGCTATAGATTCCCATTGCCTTTAATCATACTTCCCTCGCTGCTTACTAGCTATAGATTCTCCTTGCCTTTAATCACACTTCCCTCGCTGCTTACCAGCTATAGATTCCCCTTGCCTTTAATCATACTTCCCTCGCTGCCTTCAATGTTTTCCTCGTATTTATTATCATACTGTCCTAATTCTTAGATTTTCTCGCATTTAAACCTACTCCCTCTCATGTTTTATAACAATTCCTTTGCCTTCAGTTATATTTCCCTCGCTGCTTATTTTGTTTCCCTCGTTTTATTCATACTGCCATTGCTCACCCTTCAGTTTCCGCAAGTCAATAATTGGCGGTTGATATTTAAGTATTTGAGTGCCACAATTTTGTGTTTTGACGGGTATACTACCAGATAGGAATTGTTTGATACTACGTTTGTTAACTGATGGGTGTAACACAAATTCTTGTAACATTCAGAAGAGGAAATTATCACTTTTACAGGTCATGACACTACCGCGTCTGCTATCACCTGGGCGCTTTACTGTTGCGCAAAATACCCTGAGGAACAAGAGAAAATCTACAATGAGTTGACCTCTGTTACTGACAACAATAACTACATGAGTTGGTAAGCTGAATATATATTTTTTATGTTATAACAATGAAAAACGTGTTCAGTAACTGCCGTTTCCATCTGATAATCAACACCGTTTAAACGTTTGATTGAGTTAGCCCTTATCCGATTGCCATTCATATCGCCTATGCATGCCAAATAAAAGGAATGCTCATTTGACCTATTGATACCCTCTACTGTTCGTAAGAGTACTTTAATAACATAATGTTGAGTCATTTTTATATTGAAGTTTTTGTGTCTTGACAACAGTTCATTTTCAATGCAGGGACTCCATCAAGAGCATCAGGTACCTGAACCTGTTCATCAAAGAGACCATGAGAATGTACAGTCCTGTACCAATGATCGGTAGGAGACTGACCAAACCTGTCTTGGTGGATGATGTCCTCTTCCCCGAAGACTCCGTCTTTGAGATCAACATCAGCGCTATGCATCACCATCCGGACGTATTCCCAGACCATATGGTTAGAGTTTTCTTTTTTTTTCTTCTTCTTTTTGCGTGTGTGTGTTTTTGTTTGTTTGTTTGTTTTGTTAATCCCAAAACGAATAATGAATTAAGCTTGATGAAGTGTACCGAGTTTTCATACAGAGTGTATATATTATATCAAAAGAGACCGCTTCAAGATTTCAAATAGTGCCAGATTCCTTTGTAACAATTCATATCTCGCCTTGCATTACAAGTAAAATTAATTTGAATCATTTACGACGTAATCAAATGATTACTAGAAAAGCACTGATTTTGTTTAATACTAGTTATTCCAACTGATTCATTTTGAATTGGGACAAACCAAGACTATATAATGATGAGATCGATTTGCATAATCCTAACAGATGTTCCTTGTATAAGTAATGACAGGTGGAACACACTCACAAATTCTGAGGATTTAACCTCTTTATTCTGCTTTTATTGATGTGTTGAGATGTTGAGAACAGTAGGACTTGAACAAACTTCTATGATCTTTTGCAATATAGGAATTTCGGCCGGACAGATTTCTGGATAAGAATAATTCGGAAGATGATCCGTTCAGCTTCGTACCCTTCTCCGCCGGACCAAGGTCAGTATCAACATGGAAACATATTAAAGTCAAACTCACGACTTTAGGTCAATGTCAATGACGCGATGGAAATAAGAAGGTTTCAAACACCTATTTTTGTCCACAAAATCAAAGGTGATCTGAATAGCATTAATATTTTTCATTTTTATGTATAAAAAGATATACGCTATAGTAAGTATAGCTGGTACAATCTCTAAGTTGATTGAAGAAGTTATCCGTCTAACGTAGATTTTTTTCTCTTTGTTTCATATAAGAAACTGCATTGGACAAAACTTCGCAATGAACGAACAGAGAGTGTTGATTGCAAGGATTATACAAAGGTACGTTTCATCTTAGAAACATCGCGAATTAAAGTATCATCAATATTCCACCATCTATTACGGCTATGTGTTTGTTTTGTTCTGATAAACGAACTGCTTCTATCCGAAAATCCTTGTTGTTATTTCAGATTCAGGATTAAACTTGATCCCCACCACGAGACGAAAATCTTTCCGGAAGTAGTAACGAGACCACAGTTCGGGGTTAGAGTCATTCTGGAGGAAAGGGATCCCCCATCTGTGTTTTTGTAACTAACCTATTGGTTGGTTGGTCACATTCTTCAAGTATTTACCTCAGGTAAACTATTAGTCATGCGTATCAAAATAAATACCGCCGATGCGTAACGAGCCGTGACACTTGATGTGCTGATAACAAGTCTTTCTTGATGTGATGAGTGAAGGTGTGTCGTATTTATAAGAATATGTCTGTTATTTGAGAATTTCTGTTACGGAAAATCTAGATTTACACACCATGTATAACGCTTTAGTTACAATACTCGCAAGATGATAGTCGTATATATTCAGAGGTCATATTTTTTTGTCACACTTTTCGGAAATAAGCCAAAGAAAAACAAACGCAATTGAACATTGATTTGCTTTAAACTTCTTAACTTTATGTTGTGAATATTCTAATCTCCAGTGATCCATAGTTAGTCTCCAGAAGATGACGAGAATTACCGCTCAAACAAGCTTTTAGCATTCAGTTGATTCAAAACAAGGCCGTTTTTCCATACAGAACAGAAAATAAACCGGACTGGTTTTTTATGGATCTAACTATAAAATTTCCGTTTGCGGTTGTCAGACTAACGATATTTTCTTTGTTGTATCTCCATTCTTTATGCTTTCTTCCAACGCTGCCGTTTCTTTCTATGGATATCAATCAATCTTTCTCCATTGCCTATCATTTCGTACAGCTCGTTAATACGAGCAAAAGAGATTTGTTCCAGCCGTTTACGAAGTACTGGCCATTACCCGCCAGCTGTTATCAGCTTGATCCGTTATGATTGATGTCGATCCCACATTGCTGTAGAAAATGATATGCAGTTTAAAGATATGATTAAGTTTCATGATCTCACGAGCATGTTAGAAAATTTTATGAAACGTCTCTTACAAAGAATAAAGCGATTTAAAACAAACATTCGTTATATTGTTTTCCACCGTCGCAATGCAGAAAAATGCATGGTATGAAGTGCAATAATACGGGTAACGGGTATAAATATTACAGAATGATGCAGAAACGTTCTGAAGTCCCAACTAATGGCTATTTTTGAAGCTTTGGGTATATTTTATGTTTTGTCGTATGTTTTCATGTAACTGCTGTCTTGCATATAATTTAAATTTTTCAACTCACTGTTATTATAAAGATATTTTTAATTATCGGTATGTGTCATTATCGCCGTGTGTCAGTATATCCGTGTCTGAATATGTCTGTGTGACAATACCTATCCATTTGTCAGTGTGCCTGTGTTATCATGTTGAATATTATGTTTACATGTATGTCTGCATGACACTGTCCGTGTACAATTCGTTCATGCACCATGTAAGCCCTGCATCAATATATGTCGTGTGTTACACACAATGTGTTAGTTTACTTGTACAAAAGACAATAAGTCAATATCTGTCGTGTATTGCGCACTGTGTCAATATATGTCTTGTGTTACACAAAGTGTGTCCGTATGTACCATATGTTACACTAAGTGAGTCAATGTGTGTCGTGTGTTACACACAGAGTGACAACATATATCGTATGTAACACATCATGCGGTGATGTGTCGTTTATTTCAGTGTGTTTATATTATGTGTGAAAATATACATTGTGTGTATCACAACGTGCGTCGACGTATCGTGTTACACAATGTGTCATTATGCACACAAAAGTACCGTGTGTTATACACCATGTGTCAAGAAGCGCCATATGTTACAAGGTTGCAATATATTTGTGCGTGGCAGACCACGTCAATGCGTTGTGTTATACAGTGTGTACATTTATATCGTGTGTAAATCATCATGTGTCAATATGTGTTGTGTGTTATAGAGTGTGTACATTTATATCGTGTGTAAACCACCATGTGTCAATATGTGTTGTGTGTTATAGAGTGTGTACATTTATATCGTGTATAAATCATCATGTGTCAATATGTGTTGTGTGTTATAGAGTGTGTACATTTATATCGTGTGTAAATCATCATGTGTCAACATGTGTTGTGTGTTATAGAGTGTGTACATTTATATCGTGTGTAAATCATTTTGTGTCATTATGTGTTGTGTGTTATAGAGTGTGTACATTTATATCGTGTGTAAATCATCATGTGTCAACATGTGTTGTGTGTTATATGCCGTCGATACATCAATATATTCGTGAGCTACAGACTATGTGTCAAAACTCTATCCTGTTATGTTCACAATCTCAGCACACGTTTAATTAAATAAAATCTATCCTGATATATTCACAATCTCAGCGATATGTTCACAATCTCAGCGATATGTTCACAATCTCAGAGATATTTTCACAATCTCAGCACACGTTTAATTAAATAAAATCTATCCTGATATATTCACAGTCTCAGCGATATGTTCACAATCTCAGCGATATGTTCACAATCTCAGAGATATTTTCACAATCTCAGCACACGTTTAATTAAATAAAATATATCCTGATATATTCACAATCTCAGCGATATGTTCACAATCTCAGAGATATTTTCACAATCTCAGCACACGTTTAATTAAATAAAATCTATCCTGATATATTCACAATCTCAGCGATATGTTCACACTCTCAGAGCTATGTTAACAATCTCAGTGATATATTCACAATCTCAGCGATATTTTCACAATCTCAGCGATATTTTCACAATCTCAGCACACGTTTAATTAAATAAAATCTATCCTGATATATTCACAATCTCAGCGATATGTTCACAATCTCAGCGATATGTTCACACTCTCAGAGCTATGTTAACAATCTCAGTGATATATTCACAATCTCAGTGATATATTCACAATCTCAGCGATATATTCACAATCTCAGCGATATATTCACAATCTCAGCACACGTTTAATTAAATAAAATCTATCCTGATATTGATATAATCTCTATCTTGTCTTTGTATTGATTAAGCACAAATCATTTTGATATCCAAGTAGAAGTCAGGAGTATGTAGCCACAAGAGAGCATAAAGGGTCTGCTCAATTTATATTTACCAGTGAGACGTGGCTTTACATTTGAAACTCTTTTCACTTTCACTTCTTTCCAAGAAATTCAGGGATATGTATATGAAAGAAATGGGCTTGTGATGTTTATTTATGTTTAACATATGTTATTGGTGGAAAGTTATAAATCATTACTAAACACAATCATACTATTATTTCTAATTTATTATATTTAATCTATATTTGATATATTTTCCGTGTATCTAACTATTAACAATAAAATTAAATGTATGATATTAGAGTCTGTGTTGTTTTGTACTGATGCACGGGAGTACTCCACTCCTTCATTTAATGTTTCATCTGACTAAAGTAGTGTTGCAAATATTCTGTGTTGAGAAAATGCAGAAACATTATCTAATGTTGCTTTTTTAGGAAAATGTAGAAACATTATCTTATGAACAGGCTTATTGTCGTTCCTACTTTTTATTTATCTAAGTAACTGTACAGCATTGCTTTCAGAAGAGTGTATATATATATTTCATTAATAGAACTGGACAAACGCGTTAGCACACATACTGTTAACCTGGCAATATTGTTCAATTTACTATCTATAATATCAAATCAGATCGAATAAATGTTTAATCGTAACGCATGCAATAAAATGTCAAAATCTAGGACGATTTCATGTGAATGTCTCTTGTCCGGTGGAAAACCAATTCAGTAAGATGAGTGAAAAATGAAGCCAATAAACTTATTTTGTCTCACTGAAAATCACTTCAGTAAAATAGAATCATAAAATCATAATGCTGTTAAAAAATTAAAAGTGCAATTCATTGTCCAGATACACAACAATAACAGTCAATAAATAGTTAACGAAAGTATTGAAGCCTGATTATTCGTACTACGAATTGTTCAGCAAAGAAAACACCGAGTGTTAACAGAATTTTAATTCAAACACAAATTAGGTGAAGCTATGGCAAGATAAGAACAACAGGTACAAGAGGAATAAGACCAGGTGTTCCGGAAGGTAAACTTCTACTTCATAGACAACACCCGTCATGCTAATCTTGGTCACTTCAAGTAAGTAATGTCACGTTCTCAAATGAGAACAAGGTAAACAAATACAGAGTCATAAGACATACTAACGGGCATCAACCAACTGCAGCTACATAAAAGCACAAAGGAATGGAATATTTCCCATTGATAACATTATGAAGACCGTGAAAACTTCAAAAGCTCCACCTTGCACAAAGAAACAAAAAAAATCAACACCGAGACCACAATGACGTCTTTGAAACTTTCAAACACTCTTCATCAACCTACTTCTCTCGAAACCCTGTGTTGTGAGTTGATCTGTCAGAAATCGTGATATTGGGAACAAGACCTTAAGTAAAGAATCAACTGCGACAAGTAAACCCTGTATAATGACGAAGGATGGAAATTCAGAATTCGCAATAACAGCGTTGAAATCATCACCATTTTTATAGTGCTCGGTGGGCATCTGGTCTCATTGGTTACATTATATGCCAAGATCTTAATATAGAAGTCCAGTAGTCCGAGTTTCCCGAGGCTAAATAGAACGCTTACAAGAGCTATACACAGTCTAGGGACAGGGTAATTATCATCATTCTATTTTTAATATGGTATCGTTTTATAACGAGATACTTTTTTGTATCTTTTACTGTCGTGGTTTTAGTAAAATCAGAAAGAGTTGGTGTGTATTATCACAATCATCAATGTTATATAAACAAATACACGTTTAACGTGCTTCAATAGGCTATTGACATCCGTCTTAGATATGATAAACCACTAATAGTTTTTTAACAGAATAAATACGGTTCGTAATACCACAGAGTCAGAACAAAGAAGGACAACACTACATAATATGTACTGACGTCACGTCTGACACCTGAGTATATCATATCCATTGTTTTAAACGGTAGACGTCAATCAAGATATACCAAGGCTTATATTCAGGTATTACTTACATTCATAAACTTCGTAAACCAGTTACTTGTTCCAATCACTCCTCTGGTTACTTATTCTTGACAGGTTATTTAATAATAACTCCTAGTAATTATTTCTATCAACTTCTTGATCTCATCAAATGTTGTGTAATATCACGTACATTAATCTTCGCTCTATATACAAGATATTTAATGCTGGTAAACATTGATCATTAGTAAGTCTATACACAAGATATTTAATGCTGGTAAACATTTATCATTAGTAAGTCTATATACAAGATATTTAATGTCTGGTAAACATTGATTATTAGTAAGTCTACACAAGATATTTAATGCTGGTAAACATTGATGATTAGTAAGTCTACATACAAGATATTTAATGCTGGTAGACATTGATCATTAGTAAGTCTATATACAAGATATTTGATGTTTAGTAAACATTTATCATTAGTAAGTCTATATACAAGATATTTGATGTTTAGTAAACATTTATCATTAGTAAGTCTACATACAAGATATTTAATGCTGGTAAACATTGATCATTAGTAAGTCTAAATACAAGATATTTAATGCTGGTAAACATTTATCTTTAGTAAGTCTTTATACAAGATATCTAATGTAAAGTAAACATTGACGATTAGAAAGTCTTTATACAAGATATCTAATGCTGGTAAACATTTATCATCAGTAAGTCTATATACAAGATATTTAATGTTTAGTAAACATTGATGATTAGAAAGTCTACATACAAGATATTTAATGTAAAGTAAACATTCATCAATAGTTAGCACATATACATGATATTTTATGTCTGGTAATCATTGATCATTAGTCAGCCTATAAACAAGATATTTAATGTCTGGTAAACAGTGCAATTAGATATTTCACTTATGTGTGCTGCATTGATTCGAAGTGTCACTGGAATGCTACAAACTTGATGGGATAAAACAGTGTGCTACTTGTACGGAATAGGGACATCGGGCTTTTTGAAACGTTGAATTTGCAGCATATTTATTGTGTATGATACAAAATGAAAGGTTTTTATTTTGTTTTGAGTTAATCTTTATGATTATCAGTTGCTTCGTGTCATACAAGAGGTGACAGTAAAAGTACGTTTATAGCACATGGAAATCCAATTTAAATTATTTAAAAAGCTGATGTATTTTGAAAGAATTGATATGGTAGATAATATCTCAAGGACGTAACAGAGAAGCATAAAACTGCCTGGTGTACATGCTGACGTCACGTCTGACTCCTATACACCTGGGTATATCCTACCCATTGTTCTATGTGGTAAACGTCAATCAACCCAACACAGACCAGAGCATGGTCAGTCTGATATAAAGTCAGTGTAAACGCCATTTGGCTTGTTTCTCCCCATGTCACCAACATCAGCTAACCACGTGTGTAGAAAATTGCTCTGTCAAGTTAACTCTACAAACATAAGTTAAATTGTTTTAAGATTGATTAGAAAGTGAAGTGTTGGTTGTGTAAGTTACAAGTAACTGCGATTAGGTTGAGAACTACAACCATTCTTCCTGCATTTAGCAAAGACGCTAACAATGTAAACTCTGTCAGTTAGATGTCATCAGGATGATATTGCGATATAAACTAAAACTCTATCTACTGTCTAGATCGTCCTGGGACATAAATCACTAATGTGGAGACAGCGAACAACATCGAATATCCAGTTATCACAGTATCACGGTAAGTGTTCACTCTAAATAATATTGGGACTTAAATCATTAAAACTGAAACAGCAAACGACATTGAATATCTAGATATCACAGCATCAACGTAGGTGTTCACTCTAGATCGTCCTGGGACATAAATCGCCAACATTGAGACAGTTACGACATTGAATGTGTCTATAAAGGTACATTCTTGATGAGTGCATCATTTCACTGCAAACAGTCAGTTAATTATCATTCACAACAAATTCACACAGAATTGAGTCTGGGGAACAACTATTATGATAAATGGTTTATACCAGAACTCTCCAACAGAACAGTTACTTGTAATTACACAAGGGTTCTTTGGGAGAAATTAAAGAGCTCAGATTCCGTAGTCGTTTTGTTGAGGTTGATATAATATTTGATTTCCTAGGTTCCTTTTTCAGGACCGCGAACTATATCGAGAGAACTATTTATCTGTGAAAAACGCGAAATTGGAGCTACGAAAATTATTTAATCCGTTATGAAAGAAGGTTTTACGTTGGCTATTTCATTTATATCATTGTCTCATAACATAACATCATGTTTGTTCGGCCACTGCTGTTGTGTAAGGAATTGTGTAGCAAAGGAGTCCATAAAAATTCACCCCAAAAAATGTTTATTTCTTTGATCCACGGAGTGTACTCTTCCTGATTAATGACGATTATATCCCGTTTTTGTTTGGTATGATATGGCTAATTAACATAAAGTATACTGTTATCCTTATATTGATAATTTCACAGAAAACATATCACTCTGAGTACATCCTCAAGAGAATGTAGTCAGGCGTGTTAGAGGGGGAAGTCAGGAGACAAAATATATGATCTTCTGTAGATGAGAACTGAACATAGGAAAAATTATGAAAATACACAATTACTACTTTCATTGATCAGGTGAAGCATTCTTACAGAATTCTTTGTCTTTGCCATTAATATGAAGTGATAACAAGTTTTCAAATTAAATCATTACAGGCAGGATGTGTTAAGTGCTTTAATCTAGTCGGGATCGGGCTGTATATTACATAAGTAAAGACAATGAACTCTGTGAACGTGAACTAAGCAACATTTGTAAAGTGGTTGTAAAATTCAACAAAATGTTGCATGCAGGTAGATATTTTTTTTATTGAATAAGAAGTCAAACTTAGTGTTTTATTTATTATTTATTTATTTGTTTATTTTTCAAATGCCAATAATCCATTTTCTCTTGATATTGCGTGTTATATTATCAACTTAAAAAATAATTGCTAGAATTGGAATATAACATTCGTGTTAACTATAATGATCGATGATACAATGTATATAAAGGGGTGTCCTTAAAACAGGACAGCTTACGAACGTCTGTATTAGGACACCCATACTGTGGTATGCAATGGTATTAATTGTTGACCTCTTTAATCATTTAAACAAGAGATATCTGTTGACGTCACGAAGGTTAGCGTGCACACCCAATGATTTACAATAGTTATATAGACCTTGGACTAGGTATGATATGCTTGCCGGCTAATACAAAACCATGTATTGTATATAGAGATATTACAACATTATTCCTTTATATACATTGGTAAAAAATTTGCCAGTTCACCATCATCGCTGACAGAGTGATTAATTATAATCTTTATTTAACAATACATACAAGGCGAGCTAATAATAAAAAAAACATCAACATGTTACAAAGTTTTAAGTGTGAAAAGTATAAATTGATATAATCAGGATAAATCCCGATAAGACTTTATATATATGATCAATGGAGTAATGGCGACAGTACGGACAAGCGTATTCTCAAATTTTCGAGGCAACCTGCCCTTTTATCAAGACACAATTCATTGATCATATATCTATTCCAGTAATACGCATAAAACGGACATTTGTTTGTTATGATCAAGTGCCAATATTGGACCATACCGTCGATATTACTTTTTAGATTCTATACATTTATATTCATATAAATAAAATATATGTATGTATGTATGTATGTATGTATGTATGTATGTATGTATGTATGTATGTATGTATGTGTGTGTGTGTGTATGTATTTATATACGATCTATATATGAAAGTTTGTATATACAGAGGACCTTATATGAATTTCCATTTCATATACGATTTATGAAACGAGACCGGATTTATTTTATTTTTCTGTATGAACATTTTTGCGTGTATTGTTGAAAACTTTGCGATATTCTCATTCCCATTTTTTTTTCTATTAGTGATGTCACAATGCTAATAACGCCGTGACGTTACGGCGCCAGTATTCATACACACGTTGTGAAAACAATTTTTACGTAATTGGTGTTATTACACTGAAATCAGGGTAGTTATGTTATATTACAAATTGTAGCACCATAAATATATGTATGCATCTTCTCACTAACATGAAACAACAGAAATGGTGTATGAAAAAGGCTACCCTGAAATTTTAGATAAACAGACAATATGGGGTAATTTCTCCTTGAAAAACATATGTAACCATACTGTTATCCACTGAGGATAGGGTTTCAGTAACGTCTGGAGGAAACTAATAAAACATGCAGATAAAACCTTTCACACACTTTTCTATTAAAACAGTTTATTGTGTCAAATGTTATGTAAAAGGATTATGCGTATGACATACTATGTTACAAAACCAGTCATATTCAATTACAGAAAGATTAGCTATGAGCGAACAAACAGAGTATTTGGGAGTCAAGGTTTAACGTTTCAGACATAGGATGACGGGAGCAGATCAAAGATCGTGTCATTCAATGTCTCATTTAAACGTTTCTGTCAATTTACTTTTGTATCTCACGCAGACACTGGCCATGACGAAGAAATGTTTGGGATGTCTTTCCCTGTGGCTGACAAGCTTGGTGGGATTTAGCCTGCCCATATTATGGATGGATTTGGTTCACAAGGTAAAACAAGGACACATGTTGTAGAATATTTATGTTCTGTGACCTTTCACTCCTTCATTAGGATTCTTTAGCGGTGGCAGTGATTGTGGTAACGTTATTTCAAGGTTTGTTAGAGGAAGTTTTTGTAAACGGAGACTATTTCAATTTTACAAGAAAAATAAGACCATGCGTTTCAAAAGAGTAAGCGTCTCCTGCTTCATCGCCGACGTTAAGGCTAATCTAAGTAAGTAATTAAACACATTATTATAGCAACGGAACCAACAGCTAAACTATCGAGCACTAACACGCCCATCTTTATATCGTAACAAGAAATGAAACATTTCGCGATGGGTTTCCAATCATTATGCCGACCATGAAACTTCCCTGTCGTTTTCAATTACCTATATCTTGAAGCCTTGTGTCGCGAGTTTGTCAGTTTCTGACATCTTTTAAGAAAAACGTGATTGATTGATTATCAAATCAACTGCTACAAATAAAACCATATGATTGGGATGGAGGAAATTAGCTCTGGGTTAAGAGCATTTTATGTGATATGTAGAATTATGTGACTGCGCATTCTTTGTACATATGTCCTTGATATATCTTCCTGTAAAACGTTGTTCTATCGCTGAATGCCAACAGATTGCCATCCTCCCTTTATTGTGACATTGCTAGTTTAATTCTGCTGTTGTAGGAACCAGTGAGCTTGGAACCTGTAGTGACTTCGACTGAGACATCTAGATTGGAGAGCTGCATGATCCCGACCCATTCCGTACTGGAGTCATTCAGTCTACTCGAACTAGCTTCTCTATATCATAGGTACTTTTTAATTCTCAAGCAATCAATGAAAGAATCTTCATATCGAACATCCCAATCATGCTGTGTTGTTTAACACAGTTCCGTTACAAAGACAGCACAAACGACTTACAAGCGAATAGTAAAACAAAAGCATTAGCTGCAGTAGATAACACTCGGCGATACAGATTGTTAACTGAAACCACATCGTACAGCTGTTTCGCCATTCAAAGACTTGCCATTGATGCTAAGGGCAAAAAGTTTCAATCCGTGGAAGAAAATTATTGAAATCAACACTCATGAGAAAAAATGTCAAAATTAAATTTAGGAGTTACGGTAGCCCCGTAATTCCATAAATTTTGTTATTTTCATATATCAGATATTTTAAAAGAACGTCAAGTTCAAGTGTGGATTCTGAATAGTGTCACCATTCAAATAAATCAAAATGTGAGAGACAGGATACGGTAAACCTCGTGGACTAAATGCCCAAATGTGAGAACTCTGAAAGTTATATATATATGCTTGATATCATTAATAAGTGCATATTTCAGTTTTACCATTTTCGAGTATATGTAATATATGTGTGGCTAACACTTCATCTATGATATGAAATTGTACATATGACATTACATTCAGAACATCTTCTGAACTTCTTTTCCATTATTGCAAAAGGTATTGATCACATTAAAAGATGCTGTCATTTCTTTAAATGCTCATTTCCAAAAACAAATATTGTAAGTCAGTTTCTCGTATAACACAATATCTTATGTGTTTATATTTTTACACAGATATCTATCGAAAGAGCAAATTCCGTGTAAAGAGGGCGTGCGGCTTGGCAAGGCACACCCGGGGGGCTGGGACGTGTGTATAGACGAGGAATTCAGACTGGTCGATCCTTGCATCGTTTATTCATTTGGGTAAAACTTTCTGACGATGCCGCACTCATCTTTGTGTGATTAGTCTGTATTGTACCATGTTATCTGCTCTGAATCAAATAAAAAGAGGCCTCACGTTAACTGTATTCAATCTTTAACACAGAAACAGAAACAATTAACTTATTTCTATAAATTATTCTTTTACGGTATGAAATTTGTTGATAAGATACCATGAACCATAACGTCATATATCTATTATTTTATCTTCCTTTATTTCAGTATTCGGAGAGATTTTTCTTTCAGTGAAGAAATAACGCAGACTTTTGGCTGTTACACCTACGCCTTTGATCCAAGGTAGTGTTTTTTTTGTTGTTGTTGTGTTTACATTGTCGCTTTCAACCTTCTCTATGGTTACTGTGGTTTATTGTAATATTGAATTGTTATACAGGATGAAGCGCAGCAGTAGACGATATCTGGAGAGGTTGTTGTTTACTTCTGAGGGAATTAGTAACTTTACAGGATATAGTAATCACCGATGGATGCGAACGTTACAAGACATACGGCGTCATTATGGACATAACAATGTGAGTAATGTTAGAGACAGGCGAGTTAGCAATGTGAGTAGTGTTACAGACAGGATAATAAGCAATTTGAGTAGTGCTAGAGACAGGGCAATAAGCAATGTGAATATACTGTTAGAGACAGGACAATAAGCAATGTGGGTAGTGTTACAGACAGGACAATAAGCAATGTGAGTATTGTTACAGACAGGTGAGTTAGCAAAGTGAGTAGTGTTACAGACAGGCGAGTAAGCAATGTGAGTAGTGTTAGAGACAGGACAATAAGCAATGTGAGTATTGTTACAGACAGGACAATAAGCAATGTGAGTAGTGTCACAGACAGGCGAGTTAGCAATGTGAGTAGTGTTACAGACAGGACAATAAGCAATGTGAGTAGTGTCACAGACATGACAATAAGCAATGTGAGTAGTGTTACAGACAGGCGAGTTAGCAATGTGAGTAGTGTTACAGACAGGACAATAAGCAATGTGAGTAGTGTTACAGACAGGACAATAAGCAATGTGAGTAGTGTTACAGACAGGACAATAAGCAATGTGAGTATTGTTACAGACAGGACAATAAGCAATGTGAGTAGTGTTAGAGACAGGACAATAAGCAATGTGAGTATTGTTACAGACAGGCGAGTAAGCAATGTGAGTAGTGTCACAAACAGGACAATAAGCAATATGAGTAGTGTTAGAGACAGGACAATAAGCAATGTGAGTAGTGTTAGAGACAGGACAATAAGCAATGTGAGTAGTGTTAGAGACAGGACAATAAGCAATGTGAGTATTGTTACAGACAGGACAATAAGCAATGTGAGTAGTGTCACAGACAGGCGAGTTAGCAATGTGAGTAGTGTTACAGACAGGACAATAAGCAATGTGAGTAGTGTTACAGACAGGCGAGTTAGCAATGTGAGTAGTGTTACAGACAGGACAATAAGCAATGTGAGTAGTGTTACAGACAGGACAATAAGCAATGTGAGAAGTGTTACAGACAGGACAATAAGCAATGTGAGTATTGTTACAGACAGGACAATAAGCAATGTGAGTAGTGTTAGAGACAGGACAATAAGCAATGTGAGTATTGTTACAGACAGGCGAGTAAGCAATGTGAGTAGTGTCACAAACAGGACAATAAGCAATATGAGTAGTGTTAGAGACAGGACAATAACAATAAGCAATGCAATGTGAGTAGTGTTACAGACAGGACAATAAGCAATGTGAGTATTGTTACAGACAGGACAATAAGCAATGTGAGTAGTGTCACAGACAGGCGAGTTAGCAATGTGAGTAGTGTTACAGACAGGACAATAAGCAATGTGAGTAGTGTCACAGACAGGACAATAAGCAATGTGAGTAGTGTTACAGACAGGCGAGTTAGCAATGTGAGTAGTGTTACAGACAGGACAATAAGCAATGTGAGTAGTGTTACAGACAGGACAATAAGCAATGTGAGTAGTGTTAGAGACAGGACAATAAGCAATGTGAGTAGTGTTACAGACAGGCGAATAAACAGTGTGAGTTGAGATAGAAACATGAAAATATAGCGATGGGAATACTCTTTGAGATATGTATAAATTTTCAATGTGAGTACTGGAGATGTTTTTGATAACATAACTAACAATTTTATAGATAAACTATCATATATTACAGTAATCGTTCACATGATAATTTCGTGATTAATAACGTTTTCTCCGAGTTGTCATTTTTAGGAGAGGAGGGTATTTCTTTGTCGTTAACCTTATCTGTGATCTATAATTAGTATGTATTAATATATTACAGTAAATTTGGTATATTCTACATACATTTCTTGAACATTTTTTTTAGAATTTCTAACACACATCGTTTTAATGGTGTATAGTTTATCAATTAATAATTCAGTTTAATTAATCAATAAATTCTGTGATTGATTTTCTTTCAGAAAACTATAGATGTGATAACATTAGATATAACCCCTACAGAACTCATTGTTATTCCTCACGCCCTGCAGAATGGCGACCTAGAAACTGTAAAACAGTTGAACGTCAGACTCGGCAACCCAGACTACGTCTTAAAGGAGACGACTGAAGAGTACATCAATAGACTTAACGTTCTTCGTGATCTTTGTTTCGTCGGCTTCAGAAGCTGGATAATAAGTGAAAACAACAAATGTCGATTTCATTCTGAAGTCACGCGTAAACAAGCCTTGGGATGTTACGAAATCTCCTTTCTAAACCTCAGATACATTTAGAACAACCACCTACTGCACAAGCTATCAGAACTTGATTATGTATCCATATCAACACAGATTAAAATGCAAAAGTGAATCCGATTTATTCTGATCAAAATATGTGAGTGAGTCCTGGTTTATCATTCGATTCAGTTGTGCTACGAAAAACCTACTGGGTTCACTTTACAATCCTTTTGGAAGCCTTAGTTATTATCATTCTATTGCTTGTTAAAAGCGAGTTTTAAGATATATTTTGTGTATAAAATCAAAATACATATGCAGTTAAAAATATGAAAACAAAAAACCTGCATATGTGATTCGCCTTGAACAGCTGCGTCGTAACGGAATGTGATATTCATACTTGTTAACTGGTCAAAAAAACATATCCTACAAAACATTTTTAGGCTAGACAAACGGACGCCTGACAAAAGGCTTTACATCATCAACAGTGCTCAGAAAATACCGTTCCGGTTCATTGAACACTACGTACTTCAGCAATCGCGGTTTGTGTTCCGTTTTTCCAGCCATATTGTGATTCACATTATTCATCAACATAAACATGTATATATAATTTATATTTCATATCACTTGACTTGAATTACGTAGTGACTTTATCAGCTGCCATTGTCTTCGTATAGAGGAGCGTAAAATGTCTGAACACATACTACAATTTAAGAGTGTATACAATATCAACTTAAGATTACACATGATAACCACTTATCGATGTTCATTTGTAGTTCTCAAGAAACCTTAATTAAAATTTTCAACTACTCTAAAGTTATTTACAGCTTTATCTTTGTTTTTTCATGACTGCAAACGTTCTCAATAAAATGTTAAAAAGGAGCTAAATCCAGTTACAAAATGACGATTTAACAGCAAAGTTATCGTATTCAGCACTGTTGTCAATTTTCTGTTTGTCGTACAGCAAAACAAAATTTGTTACATTGTGTTTGTTCAAAATATCAGTATCTTAATTAAAACAACAAATGTTATATTGGCAAGTCAAGAGAATCTTAATTCAAACTCAAATTCGATTAAACTTTTAATTTGACAAAATATGAACAAAAGAAAGATTTACACGTAGACATCAGAAAATGACATGGAGAACGAAAAGGTAAGCGTTTTCTGTTTCGTGGACGACACCTATCATAGATGTCTTTGTCAATCCAAGTAAGAAATGTCACGTTTGTTGTTAAGATTTAACGACATATTGTTGACATAGCTATGGGAACTAACCGTGCCACCCTCCTGGCGGATTCGTTTTTGCTTTCATACTTGGTAGAATTTGACGAAGGACAGGTCACCTTCAGTTCGCTTTCAGTTATTATTGAGTACGTCTTAAATAACAAAATCTTTATTGACAACATCTATTGTTTATATCCACCAAAATAACTTAATTAATAAGTATTACAATTCTAATTATATATAAAGTATTTTGTTACTTTGTAAAATTCAATGAAACACTTATTTTAGAGCACGCTTGGGAAGCCTTTGACATCTTCACTATTACAAATGAGATATTCGTACTTTTGCTTACATATCTGTTTGGAATTAATTGTCAACTCCGATCTGGAACAGCCCGGAGGGCGTTTCGTGATTACAGTCATAAATGTCAGTTTCACACGGAAAGGTCATGACCTAGAGTTTCTTCGAGAGAACCAGATTGATGACGACATGAACATCTCATTGGGAAATGTTTCGGTCTGATTTTGGAATATGAGCATACCAGCCATGGGGGCAATATTTATCCATTAACATCTTTTCTAGAACACTTTGGTTTTTAACGTCTATGCCTTGCCAATATTTGTTAAGTGTTGACTTTAAGATAGTACTTATAGGGGCATTTACAAATTAAATGGGAATGCTGTTCCATGTATTTACAATCCTGTTACCAAATACATGACCTCTAAATTAGTCTTCAATTTATTGTTTACTTTTTTCAATGATAGAAGGGACACGGCCTCGATATTAGATTTACCATCATCTTGCTATTATGAATTTGGTGACGTAAAATCACATAAATTCAACGTCTAATTCTTAATATGGTTTGACGGCACGTGTACACTAAACAGATCAACCGTGCTCTATACATAGTTTCTTTCTTCAAACGTTCTCACATCATGCGAAACTATGATGAGGTGGTCAGAGCAACTTTAATAGAAACTAAAACTAAACAGAAAAAGATGTCCTCGTGTGCCTCGGTCATGAATTAACACGAATTCATAGAAATTTGATTTTCCATAATATCCCAAATTCTGTAAGAGCATCAAACCTGGAAAAATGGTAATGGAAAAAATCCTTGATTTCGTTTAAGTTAGACTCGTTCGATACTCATGCTGGGAATAATTTTTTTTTCTCTCAATTCGATAACAAATACTGTGATGTGGAAGTTTGAATACCAAACCTTATGGAAAATCTTACGCACACTAGGTCCTTTAAAACGATCCCGGACCATTCTTTTCAGGGTAAGATATTACCTTGGTGTCGAACAACCTTTAACCTTGTATCCAACATGGCGACCTCCATGATGTACCGTGTGCGACCGTCAAGGTAAACAAATCTTGTAACGTTCTTGTTGAATAAGATATAAAACAAAGTACCGCCTCTATATTATTAACCATTTTACATGACATGGAAATCGTGATGCAAGCCATAGCTGATTGCTAACTCTCAACAATAAGATGTAACAGTACACTCAACATCTATTTCTACTATAACAGCTGACTGTTATGTGTTTGTTATGTTAGGGAAGGGAGGTCATGCATGTTTATTCTGATACTCCTAGATAAAGTCAATAAGTAATTATCATCTAAACATACCCCTACAGTTAAACAGTATTTAAAAGACTTGTTTTAAATTAGTAGATGTGTTATTTATTTGTGCTTGTTGGTTACATAAGTCAGGTTACGTATGTACATGATATATACTTGCATAAATATACATGTAGATCTACCACAATGTATGTAAGAGAAACATTTTCACAATTGTTCTGGTTCTCTTTTCATTCTACTTAAGGAAGCACTTGAAATCCTGTTAACAGTTAAAAGCATTTATCTGAAAGTACTTGCACAGGTGATACTTTTTAAAACAAATATTTAGATTGTGTGTTAGATGGGGTAAAAGTATTATAATTTACTGACCGTTGCTTGGTCCGTTTTTCAGTGGCGTTGTGTTGCATCGATGGCTCCTCACCCAATGTCCTACTAGGCCAGCAGGATGTGGCAATGTTGTACAGGTGTTTCACAGGTCCTGGAGTGGTATGTGTTCAGTCTTCTGAAATGGTATACTTGTATGTGAAAATTGTTCGTTTAAATTTATTATCAAAGTGAACAGAGCAAGAGGAGCATGCTGAGTCTGTAGCTTATTGAATGGAGTATATCTAACATTATGTGCAAGCCGCAGTGACTTGACAATAACCTTTTTACATATGTATGAACATATATCTGTCTGTGGCCAAATGTATTAATATGTTAGGCCATCTTTTCAAATTTTGTGATCAGTACATTTTTAGAAGCCAAATTACGAGGAATCTTACTTCAAAGCAACTTACAAAGGAAAGTCTTGTAAACAACATTGACTGAAATCTATGTTATTTTTTGGCTTCAGAAACTGTATATCAGCCCAAGAAGAGGGGGTGGTGGCTTAAATACCTTGTATTTTCTGTTGCTGTCGGTGGAGGTGTTGCTGTATATCGCCCTCACACATTTAATAAACAAGTTGTAAGTGTTAAATACTTTAATAACACTTTTACCAAACCAGTTGTAAAATATTTAAACTTCTGAAACAATATCAATGATTCCAGTACAAGAACAATTACCATACCTTTATTGTATAAAACAGACAACCTGTCGTTGTTTTGCAGTATCATTATAAGCAGTACATAGTATTCCAAAACTTGAAGAAAATTTATGGCTTTGTAAAATTAGATTTATATCCTTATTGCTTGAAATATCTGGAATATCGGTTTGAGTTTGACACAGTATTTGAACAACACTCGCTGATGATACATTACTGTATGATAAAATGGCCACACCAACAAATAGGACAGAGAACTCAAAAGTTTATTAATTGAAAAAGATTCTAAAATGTCATTGAAAATTCAAAATTCAAGTTATACTAGGAAGGGAGGTTTTGTTTTTCCTGGTATGTATAATGATATTAATTATTTTAAGAGGAATCATCAATCGTGTGTTTTGTAAAACCGAACCAAGGCTCTGTGTTCTCTTTAGTTCTTTACTACTTGTGCCATATAGATAATATGGCTCATCTATTGCACTAACCATGACAACAATATTGGTAAATTTTAATTCATTTCGGCAGATGATTTAACACTGAAATCTCTTTACTCCTCCAGGAAAACGCCTACAAGAAATTGCCTCTAGCAGTAGTATCCAGACTTTTTGGTCGCTTGTCTAAGATTGAGTTGCCGGAAAAGTTACGAGAGCCTGTGCTAGGATTTTATGTACGCATGTTTAACGTAGATCTGAGTGAAGCAGCTGACGAGGACCTCACACATTACTCCAGTGTTGGGGAATTTTTCCGTCGGCCACTGAAACCTGATGCACGCCCTGTAGATGAACTCCATGACCTGGTGAGGAATTTAAGAACTTTTCATATAAAAATATTAACATTCAGTTTGACTCCATGTTATACCCTTTCTATACCTACATATTAATGGTTTTTCTTGTTTGTTGGGAAAATGCTACTTTCTTTGTTTGTGATGAAAAAAATTATATCTAGCTCCGCCCACTTCATAATGATTGATGGAGTCATTGGCAACATGCCAGCTTTGGATGGGTCTGTTGAGACTTGCCTTTTTTTATGAATGTAATTTGGGTCTGTTGAGACTTGCCTTTTTTTATGAATGTAATTTTAATTACACATAAACCTGGTGTGTGTGGATTACTATCATTCCATGACAGACTACAACAACTTAAGATATTTAGATATTTAAATATCTGACAATGTCCATAAATAGAAAACAATAAATAAGTAATGGATTTGTCAGCAAAAAGTGTTTTTTTTTTTTTTTTTTAAATATTTTTGCACATTTTGAACTTGGGGCTGAATGCAATATCACCTTACCAAAATAAAATGATGGCTACTTATAAATTTCGTGTCTAAATTACAATTACAGGATGGATTTCAATCTTGGTGATGTCATAAGCTTTGTTGCCAAAAACGATTTTCAGAATGGTGAATAAAAGGAGAATCTTGCATACATCAACGACACTTTACATGTACTTGTTTTATCAGGATCAACAAGGAATGTTTATCAAGTTGCTTTTCCCCCCGACTCACCATTGTCAAAAATCACAACTGCTTATAATCCAGCAGCACATTTTCTGACTTAATGATGTAAACAAACTATCTGTCATCAATGCTTTCCGAGTCCCTCCATCCATTGTTTGACACTTTATGTAGATACATTTTTGTTTGTGTAATGTGACAGGCTCACTCATGAATGAATTTCGAATGACTGAATGTGACACAACTTAGTTTACACATTGATTTGTCGTTTGGGATGTTTTTAATGTAACAAAGAAAATAATGATAAGCTCTGATAAAATTATTTTTATTCTTATCAAAGCTCAAATGAATTAGTTTTATGAAAACGTTTTGAAACATAATTATATAAAAGTTGCAGCACATTGTTGTTATTTGATTCTATCCTTTGCAAGGAAAGAAGTTGGAGAAGGGAGGGACAAAGAAGTTACAGTAGTGGAACTTATTTACTTTCCTGAATTACAGTTCTGGGTTGATATTGTACTCTGAGTTTTAATATTTCTGTCATTGATTCCTGCTAATTGATGCTCTAAAAGCACATTTTTCTAGAGAAACTAGACTTGAAACAATTTCAGCATCGGATTTCTTTTAAATATTTTATATTTGATTTTGCAGACTTGTCCTTCTGATGGTAAGGTATTACATTTTGGTGTGGTACAGGATGGAAAGCTTGAACAGGTTAAAGGAATAACCTATTCACTGCGACAGTTTCTTGGACATACATCATGGCTAAATGGTCCTTTAGCAGAAAACGTACATTTCATGTCAGATGAAGAGTTTTACAAGAGCCTACATATACAGCCCGGTAATGACCTGTACTACTGCATCATATACCTGGCTCCTGGAAATTACCACAGGTTCCACTCTGCAGTTGACTGGACCATCAAATTCAGAAGGCATTTCCCAGGTAAAACACTTCCTCTAAGTGTATAATTAGTGGAGGATAAGAGTGTTACGATGCTGAACAAATCAATTTTCATTTTCCCTAAAAATAACGGTAAGATGAAAGTCACTGTCCTGTACACAGGGATTTGGTACAAATTCCAAAGTCCATACAATGGTATTATAGTGACAAGGGACATAACTCCAGAGGAGGAAAACTGAACATGCTTTTTTAATTATGTTTTTCGATATTATACGGGCTGCAGATGTTAGTAACACATACATTGAAATGTTCTATATTTCCAATGAGTGTTTGATATGATACATATATATATGAACTGTGGGTCATGATGACATCACTTTGACTTGGTACAAAGTCAAGGTCATATTCTGGTGAAGGTAACTGCTCTGATGACATCATATTTACTTGATACAAAGTCAAGGTTGGAGTCAGGTGAAGGTCTCTCACTCCTGATTTATGTCAATATTAAGTGTGAGTTACAGTCATGGTGACATTACAAAATCAATCTTGTGGTCACAGATCAGCACTTCCGAAGTTCATAAATTGCCTTCTTACAATTAGGACTTCTGTTGAGGTGAAAGCATGTTTTCAATTTTTCCAAAAGCGTTCCGTCTCATTTGTAGGTTCAGACCGTCATTAGATGATTGTTCAAAGATGATCGTGTTACATCAAAAACGGATCACTCTAATCTATACCGTCTTTTCTGTGTGTTTTTTTGTAGGGAAACTTCTAAGTGTAAGTCCATGGGTTGCTGAGCGTGTGAAGGACCTGTTTAATTATAATGAGAGGGTGGTATATCTTGGCACCTGGAAACATGGACTCTTCAGTTACATCCCTGTAGGGGCCACAAATGTGGGCTCTATCAAAATCTACCGGGATGAGGTATGCCATAACAATACATGTGATGTATCAAAATGACATTTGCATTTTAATGTACTGATCAAGGCATAGTTTAAGTGATATAGAAGTTGTACTGACATGATTGAGACATTGTACTGACATATGATCTAGACATTGTACCGACATGATCTAGACGTTGTACTCACATATGATCTAGACATTGTACTGACATGATCTAGACGTTGTACTGACATGATCTAGACATTGTACTGACATGATCTAGACATTGTACTGACATATGATCTAGACATTGTACTGACATGATCTAGACATTGTACTGACATGATCTAGACATTGTACTGACATGTGATCTAGACATTGTACTGACATGATCTAGATAGACATTGTACTGACATGTGATCTAGACATTGTACTGACATGATCTAGACATTGTACTGACATGATCTAGACATTGTACTGACATGATCTAGACATTGTACTGACATGTGATCTAGACATTGTACTGACATGTGATCTAGACATTGTACTGACATGATCTAGACATTGTACTGACATGATCTAGACACTGTACTGACATGATCTAGACATTGTACTGACATGATCTAGACATTGTACTGACATGATCTAGACATTGTACTGACATTTGATCTAGACATTGTACTGACGTGATCTAGACATTGTACTGACGTGATCTAGACATTGTACTGACGTGATCTAGACGTTGTACTGACAGGATCTAGACGTTATACTGACAGGATCTAGACATTGTACTGACATTTGATCTAGACATTGTGCTGACATATGATCTAGACATTGTACTGACATTTGATCTAGACATTGTACTGACGTGATCTAGACATTGTACTGACGTTTGATCTAGACATTGTACTGACGTGATCTAGACATTGTACTGACGTGATCTAGACATTGTACTGACGTGATCTAGACGTTGTACTGACAGGATCTAGACATTGTACTGACAGGATCTAGACATTGTACTGACATTTGATCTAGACACTGTGCTGACATATGATCTAGACACTGTACTGACGTGATCTAGACATTGTACTGACGTGATCTAGACATTGTACTGACGTGATCTAGATGTTGTACTGACAGGATCTAGACGTACTGACATATGATCTTGACATTGTACTGACATGATCTAGACATTGTACTGACATGATCTAGACATTGTGCTGACATGATCTAGACACTGTACTGACATGATCTAGACATTGTACTGACATGATCTAGACATTGTACTGACATATGATCTAGACACTGTACTGACATGATCTAGACATTGTACTGACGTGATCTAGACGTTGTACTGACATATGATCTAGACATTGTAGTGACGTGATCTAGACATTGTACTGATGTGATCTAGACATTGTACTGATGTGATCTAGACATTGTACTGACACGATCTAGACATTGTACTGACACAATCTAAACTTTGTATTTGGATGATCCACACATCATATTGTTATACATGTATGTGATCAAAATGAAATAATATTTTCTCTTTTTATTTGTAAAATATGATTCTTAGTTTTTATAATTGGTTCACAATTCTATATTCAACGCTATTGATAAAAAATTAAGTCTTACAACAACCTGTTAGGATTTTCTGTGTGTAAACAACATCATAAAATCAAGTCTTTTTTTTCTAACAGGAACTGGCCACAAATAGGTCAGAGAACAAAAGAAAAGAGAGCATAGACAAATCCTTCAGTGACGGAGAAAGTGATGGTATGGTGGTAAAGAAAGGTGAAGTGTTCGGAGAATTCAATATGGGCTCTACTGTTGTGTTGGTGTTTGAGGCGCCTAAGGATTTCCAGTTCACATGTAACAATGGACAACAAGTGAAGTGTGGTATAGCTCTTGGAAATGATAAAAAATTGACTGTTGAAAATGAACATCAAAAAATTAAAAGTTGATGAGTGTTGTATTGAGTAGAGTTTTGTTCTGTAAATATGTATATAGTTATTATTAAAATTAATGAAATATGTATGAAAGAAAAAGCTCGTGGTTATTTTGAATAAATTTTTTATATCTGTTAGAACTTCTATTTTATATGCTGATGTGGAATTTTCTGTGGTGTGTTATGTGAAATCACTCATGAAATCACCAGCTTGCTTTGATTGTAAAATTTTACAAGAAAATATAACTTAATAGTATGTGGGGGGATAGCTTATTTGACGGAGTGTGCAATCTCGGGTCAAGATTTTAAGTCTGTTGTTTGACACTCCCTAACCATAGGGTTTGTGTTTCTTAAGAATCTGAAAAGTGGTGTGTACTGACTTGGTTGTGTCCATTCTCAAATTTTATATATAAGTGCAGGTTGCTTGTTTCTCTCATTATACAGGGCCACAGTTCTGACATTCTGACTCCAGATCAATATAAAAATAACTGGGACTAATATGAGAGATAAATCTGTCAGCAGGATTAACTTATTTCAGTTTTTGTATTGCAAATGAGTACAATCAAACTTTGTTATCATTTTTTCCCTCACTATATATAGGACCGGAGTTCTGATATTCAACGACTACAGATCGATATTAAAAATTTGATCAAACGTCAGAAAAATTCGGACTAATAAAAGAGATAAGCCTGTCTGCTTGACTCATTTCAGTTTTCGTATGGCAAATATGTACAGTTGAACCTTTTTATCTTGAAAAACGTGTTTAATTTGTAGTATTTGATCAGTCCCTGCCAAACTCCATTACATAAACTGAATAGTCTAATAAATCAAAGGTTTCACATCGTCCCACTAACTTTGAGATATGAAGTTTGTACTTTGAATCAGTCTCAAAATTTAAACTACAAAACTAATGATCAAGGGAAATCAGTGTGAAAATCTAGGAAAATCGATTTATTCTTGGGAAAAACATTGTAGCAATAACATATTCCAATGTCTAATTCTGTGATAGAACAATTCACCTGTATTATAGATAAAATTAACTAATATACTGTGATAGAACAATTCACCTGTATTATAGATAAAATAAACTTATATACTGTGATAGAACAATTCACCTGTATTATAGATAAAATAAACTTATATAATTGTAAAGCAACCAAACTTTTGCTTATTGTTAAAGCACCAGTACATTACAAGAGTGAAGAGTCTAGGTAGTTGGTATAATTTGATCCATTCCTGTCTGTGTAATTGTGAAAGTGAACGTATTGTCTTTCAGTGTTTCCTCACACTCCCACGTCAGTCAAAGAGAAAATACGACAACCACAAGTATTTATTGTATATAAAATCATCCAATATTTTAAAATTTCTGATAAAAACTTGACACAGGATGTTGCCCGTTTTCAGCTTCAGATTAAATGATCTTCAGCTACCTGAGCTGTAACTTCACATAAAATAATACAAGTGATAGACAATAATATTTTACTGGAAATGTTACTAGAATACATGTGTGTATGTATATACAGAGTGTATAAAACTATAGATAAAATAATTGACAAATCATCAATACATTTACTTAAGTTGTTACCTTGTGTCTCAATATAAATTGTACAAGAGAATATATTCAACATTGTGTATTGCGATACTGTAAACCTTTCCATCGAATCAACTAAGTGTCCAACATTATACTGCCATATTGTAAACTTTTCCATCAAATCAGCTAAGTGTCCTGCATGATACTGCTACACCCATATTTCTCGGGTATACCTCAAGTAGATTTGATTGACAAAACTGCACTTTACAATTTACAATTAACCTTTCCGTTATAAAGATACACCACAATGTATGTGGATTTGAATATCCGGTACCTTGTATGGATTTAGTTGTGACACTGTACCATACCTGTCAGTTTTATAGGTAAACAACAAGTAGTTTTGATTGTGACACCTGTATCATACCTGTCAGGTGTACAGGTATACCACTGATAGGTTTAATTGTGACACCTGTTCCATACCTGTCGGTGTACAGGTATACCACTGATAGGTTTAATTGTGACACCTGTATCATTTGTACCACTGATAGGTTTAATTGTGACACCTGTATCATACCTGTCGGTGTACAGGTATACCACTGATAGGTTTAATTGTGACACCTGTATCATTCCTGTCGGTGTACAGGTATACCACTGATAGGTTTAATTGTGACACCTGTATCATACCTGTCGGTGTACAGGTATACCACTGATAGGTTTAATTGTGACACCTGTATCATACCTGTCAGGTGTACAGGTATACCACTGATAGGTTTAATTGTGACACCTGTATCATACCTGTCAGGTGTACAGGTATACCACTGATAGGTTTAATTGTGACACCTGTATCATACCTGTCAGGTGTACTGGTATACCACTGATAGGTTTAATTGTGACACCTGTATCATACCTGTCAGGTGTACTGGTATACCACTGATAGGTTTAATTGTGACACCTGTATCATACCTGTCAGGTGTACAGGTGTACCACTGATAGGTTTAATTGTGACACCTGTACCATACCTGTCAGGTGTACAGGTATACCACTGATAGGTTTAATTGTGACACCTGTACCATACCTGTCAGGTGTACAGGTATACCACTGATAGGTTTAATTGTGACACCTGTATCATACCTGTCAGGTGTACTGGTATACCACTGATAGGTTTAATTGTGACACCTGTATCATACCTGTCAGGTGTACAGGTATTCCACTGATAGGTTTAATTGACACCTGTACCATACCTGTCAGGTGTACAGGTATACCACTGATAGGTTTAATTGTGACACCTGTATCATACCTGTCGGTGTACAGGTATACCACAGATAGGTTTAATTGTGACACCTGTATCATACCTGTCGGTGTACAGGTATACCACTGATAGGTTTAATTGTGACACCTGTTTCATACCTGACAGGTAAAAAAATCCTGTCTTGCAATACAAAATAGTGGGCTGACTTAAAACTTACAAAGCTCAGGCTAACCTCAGTCTTACAATACAAAACCCCAAGCTTAATGCTGACACATGAAGATATTTACATCACAACAAAGGTGCATTAACTGACCTCTTTTATAAACTGTGTAAATAACACATACAATGTAATTAAGTAAAAAAGTAATGGGTTTGCTTATTTCAAACTGAACTAAATAAGCAGCCTCCCTGAGTGAATGAAGTTAAATATTTGTCCATTAACTAGCAATGTGTAAAATTCAAACCTCACTTATTGTTCTTTTAATTAGATGTGAAATTCAGAGAATAACCAATAAAACCACTTTGATAAAGTCAGTAAAAACATTCCTCTGTACACTCTTTTTTATAACATGTTCACAATCAAAGTAAAGTGTAAAAAAGCTGGGAGTGCTTTCTACATTCTTGGTTTGAACTATCACTACAAAAAAAAAAAACAAAAAAACCCAATGTAACCAATACTCCAGTTACAACTGAAAACATGCAAAAAAAAATTCTATAAACAAGAGACCTTAATGGTCATCTGAGTCTGATAAAAGACCTCCATAGGAAACAGGATTTTACAAAATATCAGATGGAAAGAAAAAAAGAAGTGCATGAATGTCTTTTCCCCCCAAGTGACGGGTCAAATCTAAATTCTGAATTAAAAGATATGAATGCTTACCCCAACTAAACAATCAGGCCAAAGCTGGTTGGAATCCCAAGGCATGAAGGCGGAGTGTTTTGAAGTGAAATTTTAGTTAACCTCCCCATCTGGGGCCCTGTCCTTCATCACCAAGGGGTCGGATAAAAATTCTTGATTTAAGAAATAATTGTCTACCCTTATTGATGAGTCAGTCCAAAGCTTGTTGAAATCCACCTAGGCAGAAAGGAGAAGGGTTTTAATCTTTTTTCAGCATTTCCCTCTTTAGGGCCCTGTTCCTTGACCCCTAGGGGTCAAACCAATATTCTGAAGTTGATACGTTGGTAAATGATAAACATCACCCAATGATGCATCAGACCAAATTTGGTTAAAATCCACCATTGCATGAAAGAGGAGTAAGTTTTTTGAAAAAAAGTTTACACAATGTGCACGGCAACGGAAGAAGCAAAATAACAATAGGTCATCTTGACCCCTCAGGTTAGATGACCTAAAAGGAAGCATGCATACATTATCACTTATGTATTTAAGTTTAAATACATCCATGTGTAAACAAAAGATCCAAAAAAGATCTTGGTGCCCACCATCGTTTAATCTTTATTGGTCATATATAAGGGTGTCTGCCTGTCTGTCATTTTCTTTTTCAATCGGTGCTAAAATTGATAATGTACAACTAGGGGTAAAGGGAAATCCATATGTGAAATTTGAATGATTATTCTGGTGTTCATACTTCTACTAAAAAGTTAGAAAATGCTGTTGAATGATCTGGCTGGGCTTATCTGACATCGTTGTATATATCTGTCAGATGTTGGGCTATTTAAGTTGTCCTAGGTCTCTGGTGTCCATCTCTTGTCACACAATTCTTGTTATCATTATTTCTCGAGAAATACCAGATAAATGTACATAAATTTCACATGCAGAATCCCTTTGTGCCCACAATTATATTTTGCAAAGGATGTAATAAATTGTTCTCAAATTCCATATGAGGACTCATGATGACTCCTAGTCATGCATGATCAACTTTGGATCAACTGGAAACAAAATGGCCGAGAGGCTGCCATTTTGGACATTGATAGGTAAAGTTTATTATTGACGTTTCTTTCACTAATCTTTCATGATTTATTCATTTGTATATGCTAACTTGGTACAAATGCTTCACAAACGAAGGAAATTTAATGATAATTATGATAAAAAAAGTTTCCATTATATAACTTTCAACTGGAATTTGCAAAGAACAAATTGAAGAAAATAAAGATAATCCTTATTTGAGAAGAAGGATGAAGATCTTTGAAGATAGCATACAAGTTGTTTTAGTATTGAATTTACATGGAAGAGAAAAAATAAGCTGACATTGGTAACACTACAGTAATTCTGTATTTATTCTCATAAACTCCCCCAAGGTGTGGAATTCTCCAGAAGATAAGGACCAGGACACTGATTTTCGATATCATGTTAAGACTTTTGTAAGAAAGTGTTGTGTTCATTTTGTGATAACCTTGAGGATTGCTTTGTTTTAGGTATATTACAATTTTGTATATTCTGAACTTCTCTGCTTTACATGTAATACTTACATTTACACATGATAAGTCATACAAGCAAAAAAATCTCAAAAGTCAGAGGGGAGGGTGGGGACATTTATTAGAAAGAGTTTTTTTTTTTATACATGTATTATATCAAAATGAAAATATAATTAAGGCTGAAATATCTACCATAAGTATTTTACCCCATAAAAAGTACCCAATATTCTCTTTCACACCACCTCCATGTGAAAATTGTCTGTTATTCTCCACCACAAAAACTCCATGTTAGACTTCTTTACCACAACGTTGTGGGATATTCTCTGTCACACATACTCTATCATATATAAAGTGCTTTATTCTGACACACATCCTCAATCATCATCTTGTAAAATAGATTCTATTTTTGCCAACTTTTTCTTAACAACAATATCAGATAACATTTTCTTCCTACGTTGCCGTGGGTCCAGCCCATTTTTTACAGCTTTTCGGAGCCTCATCTTAGTCTTGGCAGGCGGCACCATTAGACTTTCGTCAAATGTGATTGATCGACGATATCTTTTCTTGCTATAGATCTGTTCATCTGATGGGGCCTCATAGATAGTTTCCCAGATTTTCGGAGCAGGTCTCTTGAAGTTTTTATTTCTGTAAAAATCCTCGACAGAAGGCTCATTATTAGCGAGTTTCCTTTTACGGACAAGTTTAGTCTTAGGTTCTTGGTTGCTTCTTGTGTTTCCATGGTTACTGCTGACATCCTGTAACACGGCTGTCATTGGTTTGGACTCCTCCACTGTTTCCAAGGGTGACATAGGTACATCTTCCTCCGACGAGTTCGCAGTTTGAACCTGGCGATAAATTTCTATGGATCGCCTCTGTATGCGTTTGCTCTTTCTCTTTGGTCTCTCCATCAGCTCTAGATCCTCTAGTTCAGCTACCAATGAATCTTTGACAATTGTCTGAACATCCATCACTGTAGAATCCTCTTCCTGATTTCCAAGAATGTTCCCAGACTGTTTATCTGCCGACTCCGTAGGTGGTTCCACACATGCTTTTGTCTGTGTCCGACCATCAACAGATTTCCTAGACCGACCTCTTTTCTTTGGTGGTGGAATGACCACTGCCTCTGGTTCTTGTATACCTAAATATTCATCCAATGATTTCAGATCCTCAGTAGTTAGTACTTTAATATTGTCAACACTTTCCTGTTTACGTTCTGATATATTATCTTGTTTGTCTGTATAATCAGTTCTATTGACCCAAACTTGTGGTACTGAAGTGTCCTGAGGCTCTGCACTAGGAGTTTCTTGTGAGGAATGGTCGTCCATTCCTTCAACTACAGTTGGAGGTATAAAGTGCATTGATTTCCGTGAACGACCTCTTTTCTTGGCAACATTTACTGAAGGTATGGACGGCAGGGAATCATTTTCTATACATGAGTTAGGCTCATTGCTTATAACACCTGATGCTACATGTTTACGGGTACGACCTTTTCTCTTTGCTGTACTTACTGATGTCGTTGTAGACTCTACACATGTTGGTATAAGTTCATCAGACAGAGAAGGTATCACTTCACCCAATGTGTTTACCACTGATATTGCATTTTCCTTAAAAGCAGTTGCTGTATTGTTTGGAAATTCTAGTTGAAACACCTTTTCCTTTACAGCACTTGATGTTGATACCACCACCTCTCTAGGCACTAAGCTTTCCTCAATCAAAGCGTTGCTCACTGACTTTCTTGAATGTTGCTTTTTTATGTTAACAATAGACGAGGATAATGAAGTTTCAAATTGTTGTGATGTTGACCTGTTCTCAGCAGACAACTTTTCTCTGACATCTTGTAACTGCTCCTTAGCACCAGCAGTCTTCTGAGCTTGTCTTTTCTTTTTATTAACACCAAGCAATGCACCTTCATCAGATTTCGATGACTTACATTTTTTCGGTTTACTACTAATGTCACAAGTGTCCATGTCAGAACCTACATTCAAACTGAGCTTATTTACACTCTCTGATAACTCACAACTTGCTGACTCCTTCCTGACCAGGCCTATAGACTTTCTCCCAGTCCTTTTATTTTTGGTTTTATCTTTCCTCATTTTATTAGAGGTTAATTTAGATGCGACGGTAGAGTCTGTAGGATCTGAGATTTTCATTACACTGTAGACTTCTGGAGAAGTGGATTCTACAGAAACACTGATAGGCTTGTGTTGTCCAGTTTCTGATGAAAGGCCAGTGATATCTTTGATATCAGACTCCAGTTCAGACTTTGAATCAATGTAATCAAAGCAGACCTCTAAATGTTGAATGATGGCTTCATTACCACATTCTGGACTACCATTTTGTAAACTTGCAGACTGTTCATGAGAAACTTCATCACCATCACATCTAGAATTACTCTCCCTCCATACAGTTGTGTTGGCTCTGTCTGGAGTTAATGAACAAAACGGTTGATTTGTATAGGAATCATATGTGTCTGTCACTTTTTCACAATTCATGTTAATAGTCTCTTGTACTGGGTTAAGGCCAATGGTATGTAAAGGATTTTCACGTGTAATGTTTTCATAAACAGAATTATCGTCTCCGTCATCTTTTTTATCTATTGTCCTCACAGGGAAAGATATGGATACACATGAAGTTGAATCTAGTAAAGTTTCTGCACCAGATTTCTTGTCATATGAAGATGTACTTGACAGATTGGTTTCCTCTCCCAGACTATGCAGGTCAGATTCACCACACATCAAATCTGTTATTCCTTTACTAGAGTTATCCACAGAAGAGTTCTCGGTGACAGCATCACCCGAAACACTAACAGGTTTAAAAGAAGTGAAAGAATCTTCTGATGAGGACATTCTATTGTCACTATCTGGACTATTTCTAACAGCAGTTGCTAGCTTTCCTGCCAGTGACCTACATATAGACAGAAATCCTGATGTCTGCTCTTTGGAAGGTACTACACTTTTCGATTTAGAACCTGCTTGAGAGAACTTTTTCTGAGTGGATATCAAGCCTTTTGTCTTTCTCTCTGTATCTGGAGTCTGACCAACATTTATGTTCATCTCAGGTATAATGGCTTTCTGGCAGGTTTTCCAAATATCTTCATCTTCGTCCATATCCTCTTGTGATTTTGTGACCTTACATGCTGGTGTCAGATAAATTGGTGAAAGAGTGGAGTTTGGACTTCCACATTCTGGCGGTGAAATGTTCTTGAAAATGGGTTGAGATGGAGAATATGGAGTTAATGTAGTAGTCATATCAGAAGACAAATTTCTCGACGTATCAATCGGGGTCATACTAGAGGTCAGTCCTTGCGTACTTCCAGCAGGAATTTTATTTTCTATGTGTGACAAAACTATCTCCCTACTGCTGTCATTCTGTGAATATGCTAAATCTTTTGTAGCATCAACTAAGTTTTGAGTATGTTGGGGAATTGATTTAAATGTCTTGCCAATATTGTAATCATTGGCTTCGTAACAAGGTGATAAACTTGCGGTGCTATTGTCACTTGGTAAATACTCCGTAAAAGAATTGACGGCTGGACTACAATCATTTTCCTGCAGTGGATTAACTCTTACATCACCAAAACCTGTCGTTTCATGTGTGTCCACTAGAGGACTCTGTGGTAGAACGTAACTGCCCATGAGACCATTGGCACTCTCTGGACTATTATTTGCATCTCCTGTCCTGGACAATTCCATACTCAAGTGGTGATCGTCTAGGTTAGGGTCAGATTCACCACAGACAGGAGAATCCGATCCATCAGTGACAGATACTAAAGGAAAGTGGACACGCGATTTCCGTCTATTTCTTCTGATCAAAAATTCTGCCATTTCTGGTGAATCTGTGTCCATCCATACACTGCCATATTGGTTATGAGGGGTCTGGAATACAACAAGATTTATCACTGATTCAATATCATATGCAAGGCCAGATCCATCATTTCAAATTTTTAATATAATCTGGTGAAAATTCACATATTTACATTCACACATTTGTAATAAGGAGATATAAGATGGAGCATCAACACCAGGGATTCCATAATTTAGATTTTATTTGTTGACATGTTTCGGTTGGCTAGGCCAACTGTCTTCAAAACATCTGTAAGTAATATATATATGAACTAGCAAGAATGAATAGTAATTCAAAGTATGAGAGACCTTCAATGTGTGTGTCCACTTACATCATTATCATAGTCATAGTGATGACGATAGTCTAACAAGTCGAATGATTACGATCTGGATGATATATAAATTATTTCAGTCAAATTTAAATTAGAATCTGCGTAGGACAGTAAAAAGTGTGGAATAGCTTAAACATAACCACTGGACTGTTTTCCAGCCAAGGAATTTGCAGTCAATCTAAATAACACAATTTGGAATGATAACATGTATTGTGCTTGCACTCAATATGATGCTAATAATTTGTCTGGTCATTACAGAGGTTGCTGTAATAAAAATCTTGGCCTCTATTAGTCTCTGTATTCTTTGATTAGGTAAACTAATCCCTTCATATTTAAAACTTTTAACTTTCCGTGATTAAAATAAGGGACTTGGCTGTGTAGTCCCCTAGGCTATGTCTATATCATAGCATTAGTTCACTAAGTTTATCTCTTCATTTAAACTATCTCACAGAAATCCAGGTTAATTTCAATGAAAGTCAACTGGTAAAGTGGAAAAGATCATTTCAAAGTACAGTAAAGGAATGTAACACAATTAAATTTTCTGTAAAATGACATACACTATGTAAGATCTAGTCAAATCTGAATGTGTTGTATAAATTTAAGAAGTAAGGATGCCAGGTGATCTTTGATTTTCATATGATCCCTGACTGATCATTTTATTGAAATCAATGATAAGCTGTATTCTTATCACCAATTCCTACAACCATTCACCAGGAGTTACTGAAGTGTTCTAGTTCTCAATAGAACAGTTCAATACTTCATACCTACCTCTTTTTTCACCGAACAGTTCTTTTCTTCATACACCTGCTCCACAACAGAAAAGTCAACATCTTCACAGTAACTTTTCACGGGGCATGTATCGTCTGTATTTTTTTCATCGCAGACTGGTCCTAAACCGAACACTTGCGACTTTCTTCGGAGACGTACAGATCGACGTTTCTTTGACTTGGTCACCTGTTTTGTCCCTGGTGTTTCTAACAGGTCTAGGTCCATAGTTTGTAGAGATATTCAAATCTGAAATATCAAAACTCAATTAGAATAACGCTTCGTGTCATTAGTAAGTTAAAGGAGAAATAATTTATACTTTGATAAAATAGATTTTACTCTTAGTGCATCCTAATTAGATAATCGCATTGATTCTACAATATTATAAATGGGTCTGGATCAATCCACCAGTGTTTTTCAGACATTGAGACATGTATAGTTGATTGATAAGTAAACTAATGTTTGGTTTGGTGAAGAACTGATGCTGAATTTATAGTGGCACCACACTAAATGTACTGCATCCAGCAGAACATCCCACCTGGTCACAATACAGCAGGACATCCCATCAAGTCACAATACAGCAGGACATCCCACCCGGTCACAATACAGCAGGACATCCCACCCGGTCACAATACAGCAGGACATCCCACCCGGTCACAATACAGCAGGACATCCCACCCGGTCACAATACAGCAGGACATCCCACCTGGTCACAATACAGCAGGACATCCCACCCGGTCACAATACAGCAGGACATCCCACCTGGTCACAATACAGCAGGACATCCCACCTGGTCACAATACATCAGGACATCCCACCCGGTCACAATACAGCAGGACATCCCACCTGGTCACAATACAACAGGACATCCCACCTGGTCACAATACATCAGGACATCCCACCCGGTCACAATACAACAGGACATCCCACCCGGTCACAATACAACAGGACATCCCACCGTCTTCCGGTCCTGAAGAAGCCCGAGAGGGCGAAACCAGTAGATGGTACTTAATAAATCTAAGAAACAACCATTCCACACCCTGTTGTGATTGGTACTTACAGTCCAAGTATGTATCAATGTATTAAACGTAGCATCCATATCGAAAATGCAAATTAGTATAACTGTATTTCACATATAAAGCGACCGATTTTGTAAGATACAATACCATATTAAGTCGATAGAACATCAGAATTCGGACTACCTGAAGACTGACCGCCAGTTTGATTCACTCATGCAGTGGGAACACTTAAAACCTCAGATTTTTTAACATATACACAGTGTTTGGCCAAGGGGACATATGAACTTGATAGAGTAGTATTTGGACCTAACTTTATATGGTTACGCTTGTGTGATTTGAAATCTACTTTTAATGCAACAAATGTTCTGTAGCACGAGATATTGTAGCATGCATCGTTACTTATACATTCTTCAGGAACAGTTTCTGATTTCAGTCAGTATCGCATAGCACAACACAGTAGGCCTAAAGACATTTGATTTCTCACGTGCTATACTGTATAACACGTGTCTGGTAATAATCTACTATTCAAAGAGTATTATCAAAATTACCAGTATGAAAGTAGGCACATCTTCGTGGAAAATGGTTTCCGTATTTGAAATCTCCCACAAATACATAGCCAATGGCTTGCCCCGAAATACTAGCGCATGCGCAACAAAACATGGAAATGAAAGTACGTCGTACTGTCGTAAAGCTAGGTTTGGTTCTTCTGACGAATTTGCTGTTTACCAGTAACATCTCTGTGTGTCGAATTATACATTGTCCGTTACATTGCATTTTGGATATGATCGGGATCTGTAGCGTAGGTAGCCATGCTGTGTATGACTCATGTGATGTATGACAGCAGATCAAACTCAATATCAATGCAACATTTTTTTTCATATTAATTATCTGTAACGACTGACGCTACCAATATTAGAACTCTTCTTTCGAAAATTGTATAAAATTTTATACCGAGTGATTGAACCTGTATTTTTACTTGATATTTCACAAAATGATTTCTTCAGCTTTCATTTCATGCTTTGGTTACATGACAGTAGCGCACGTGTCTTTAACTCAAAGTGTTAGGGGTACCCCAAAATAGAACGCTCATTATAGTCTGTCCATTTATAGAAATAACAAACATAATCTTGAATATTTCTCTTCATTTTATGAAAAGTTAAGATCTCTCACTGTCTTATTAGTCTTAATAACTTATTTATCAACAATATGCATTTAGCAATATTTTAATTGTTTATTTGTGTTATCACATGACATCATCTTCCCAAGATTTTGTTTTATAATTTCATTTAATTAGTTTTAACTGGAGATGATTAGCAATGAAGAAGACATGGGCGAATAAGAAATTGCCAAAATATTATAAAGACCTTATTTCTTGTTTAGAATAGTTAATATTGACTTGCATTTCAAAATGGGAAACCTGCGTCAAATATTTGAGAAGTGTTCAGTTTTAGGTAGTATTCCATTTCGGGTAGCGTCGTGTAACATTTTGTTTCCTTAATTGAGATCAAGAAGAACAGGATATACACATTCCTGCTGAGTGCCGAGAACAGGAAATGAACCAGAGTCTCCTGTGTGTCGTCAGCTGACTGACAGAGAGCTCGAGCTACACTGGGAATGGTCCTTTTACATTAGCTCTTTGTTTTTCTTGAAATGTCCTAAATCTCGACACCAGACTCTAAATGCCACAACCTATTGGATTTCTGTTGAGTGGCCTGACCAGGAATCGAACCCAGGTCACCGGCATAATAATTGACCAACTCTACCAATTTAGTAAATAGAGTTGCTTGACCAACTTTGATTTGGAATATTGGATGAATAAAAATATCCCAAGACCAATCTTTGTGTCATCCAAATTACCCATGACGCAAGTGTTGCACCATGAATTATTCAACAATTCCTTTCATTCCAAAGTGACCTAGGTCAATGACCTTTGATACCCTACATAAATACCTACAGGGTTTCCCCCATCACGAAGAGACCCAAATTGAAGATACCAATCAATGATTTTCTGTCATGTTACCTTGTCTCTCTGAACCACACCGATATGTATGAATTGGAATTGATATTATTAAATGACCAAATGTGGTCTTGGTCTTTGGTCCCTAACATGGAAATCAGTTTGGTAGGTTTCATTTTCTCATAAAGGTTTCTTCCTACCTTGTGGGCATCTGAGGTACAATTCTCACTGGTCCCCTTCATGTGAACGAGTATGTTAACAGTGTAAAAGCTTTATTAGCTGATGTTGATACGGTCAATATTCAAGACATGAATAACAGATCATTTTAAAATGAACAGTTTATTTCGAATCATTGTACAACATGTGCTTTTCACAACAGACTCCCGTGATAAAAACAACATTTTTTCATTGTTTCTGTTCAACATGTCATACAATGTAGGATTTATTCTTCCTGAACAAAGCATATACACTTTTTTTGAGATATCCTAAAAGACAAAGACTGATAGCCTGTAATAACCAATAACATTTAGCTAGTTCACATGTTAACCATTCCAAACAGTGGTGTCCTCAGGCCTATTGCATTTCTCTACTGTTGTACTCACAACATTTCTCAACAATGATGTTCTTAGGACTTCTAAACTGATATACTCAGGAAATCCCCTCAGTGATATCCTCATGATTTCCTCAGGAAATCCACACAGTGATATCACCATGATTTCCCCACAGTGATATCCACATGATTTCCACACAGTGATATCCTCATGATTTCCCCACAGTGATATCCTCAGTAAATCCCCACAATGATATCTTCATGATTCCCCACAGTGATAGCCACATGATTTCCCCACAATGATATCCACAGGATTTCCCCACAGAGATATCCTCATGATTTCCCCACAGTGATATCCACATGATTCCCCACAGTGATATCCTCATGATTTCCCAACAGTGATATCCTCATGATTTCCCCACAGTGATATCCTCATGATTTCCCAACAGTGATATCCTCATGATTTCCCAACAGTGATATCCTCATGATTTCCCAACAGTGATATCCTCATGATTTCCCCACAGTGATATCCTCATGATTTCCCAACAGTGATATCCTCATGATTTCCCCACAGTGATATCCACATGATTCCCCACAGTGATATCCTCATGATTTCCCAACAGTGATATCCTCATGATTCCCCACAGTGATATCCTCATGATTTCCCCACAGTGATATCCACATGATTTCCCCACAGTAATATCCACATGATTTCCCCACAGTGATATCCTCATGATTTCCCCACAGTGATATCCTCATGATTTCCTCACGAAATCCCCACAGTGATATCCACATGATTCCCCACAGTGATATCCTCAGGAAATCCCCACAGTGATATCCACATGATTCCCCACAGTGATATCCACATGATTCCCCACAGTGATATCCACATGATTCCCCACAGTGATATCCACATGATTCCCCACAGTGATATCCTCATGATTCCCAACAGTGATATCCACATGATTTCCCCACAGTGATATCCACATGATTCCCCACAGTGATATCCACATGATTTCCCCACAGTGATATCCACATGATTCCCCACAGTGATATCCTCAAGAAATCCCCACAGTGATTCCCCACAGTGACATCCTCATGATTCCCCACAGTGATATCCTCAAGAAATCCCCACAGTGATATCCACATGATTTCCCCACAGTGATATCCTCATGAATCCCCACAGTGATATCCTCATGATTTCCCCACAGTGATATCCACATGATTTCCCCACAGTGATATCCACATGATTTCCCCACAGTGATATCCACATGATTTCCCCACAGTGATATCCACATGATTTCCCCACAGTGATATCCACATGATTTCCTCACAGTGATATCCTCAAGAAATCCCAACAGTGATATCCACATGATTCCCCACAGTGATATCCTCATGATTCCCCACAGTGATATCCTCATGATTTCCCAACAGTGATATCCACATGATTTCCTCAAGAAATCCCAACAGTGATATCCTCATGATTTCCCCACAGTGATATCCTCATGATTTCCTCACGAAATCCCCACAGTGATATCCACATGATTCCCCACAGTGATAGCCACATGATTTCCCCACAGTGATATCCTCAAGAAATCCCAACAGTGATATCCTCATGATTCCCCACAGTGATATCCTCAAGAAATCCCAACAGTGATATCCTCATGATTCCCCACAGTGATATCCTCAGGAAATCCCCACAGTGATATCCACATGATTCCCCACAGTGATATCCACATGATTCCCCACAGTGATATCCTCATGATTCCCCACAGTGATATCCTCAAGAAATCCCAACAGTGATAGCCACATGATTCCCCACAGTGATATCCTCATGATTCCCCACAGTGATATCCTCATGATTCCCCACAGTGATATCCACATGATTTCCCCACAGTGATATCCACATGATTCCCCACAGTGATATCCACATGATTTCCCCACAGTGATATCCACATGATTCCCCACAGTGATATCCTCAAGAAATCCCCACAGTGATTCCCCACAGTGACATCCTCATGATTCCCCACAGTGATATCCTCAAGAAATCCCCACAGTGATATCCACATGATTTCCCCACAGTGATATCCTCATGAATCCCCAGTGATATCCTCATGATTCCCCACAGTGATATCCTCATGATTTCCCCACAGTGATATCCACATGATTCCCCACAGTGATATCCTCATGATTTCCCCACAGTGATATCCTCAGAAAATCCCCACAGTGATATCCACATGATTTCCCCACAGTGATATCATCAGAAAATCCCCACAGTGATATGTTCAGGAAATCCCCACAGTGATATCCTCATGATTCCCCACAGTGATATCCTCATGATTTCCCCACAGTGATATCCTCATGATTTCCCCACAGTGATATGTTCAGGAAATCCCCACAGTGATATGTTCAGGAAATCCCCACTGAGATATCCTCATGATTTCCCCACAGTGATATCCTCATGATTTCCCCACAGTGATATGTTCAGGAAATCCCCACAGTGATATGTTCAGGAAATCCCCACAGTGATATCCTCATGATTTCCCACAGTGATATCCACATGATTTCCCCACAGTGATATCCACATGATTCCCCACAGTGATATCCACATGATTTCCCCACAGTGATATCCTCATATTTTCCCCACAGTGATATGTTCAGGAAATCCCCACAGTGATATGTTCAGGAAATCCCCACAGTGATATCCTCATGATTCCCCACAGTGATATCCTCATGATTTCCCCACAGTGATATGTTCAGGAAATCCCCACAGTGATATGTTCAGGAAATCCCCATAGTGATATCCTCATGATTTCCCCACAGTGATATTCTCATGATTCCCCACAGTGATATGTTCAGGAAATCCCCACAGTGATATCCACATGATTTCCCCACAGTGATATCCACATGATTCCCCACAGTGATATCCACATGATTTCCCCACAGTGATATCATACAGCTATTTTCCCCACAGTGATATGTTCAGGAAATCCCCACAGTGATATGTTACAGCTGAAATCCCCACAGTGATATCCTCATGATTCCCCACAGTGATATCCTCATGATTTCCCCACAGTGATATGTTCAGGAAATCCCCATAGTGATATCCTCATGATTTCCCCACAGAGATACTCTCATGATTCCCTGTGATTTCCTTAGGTAATGTACAAAATATGCAAGTGATTAGAACCTTTTAATGAAAAATCAGAATCAGATACAGAGTTCCAAATGAATTTAAATGCATCATACAGCTGTTTGGTCCCTCTAAGACACGTCGGTGATGCTACATCATACAGCTGTTTGGTCCCTCCAAGACATGTCGGTGATGCTACATCATACAGCTGTTTGGTCCCTCCAAGACACGTCGGTGAAGCTACATCATACAGCTGTTTGGTCCCTCCAAGACACGTCGGTGATGCTACATCATACAGCTGTTTGGTCCCTCTAAGACACGTCGATGATGCTACATCATACAGCTGTTTGGTCCCTCTAAGACACGTCGGTGATGCTACATCATACAGCTGTTTGGTCCCCCTATGACACGTCAGTGATGCTACACCATACAGCTGTTTGGTCCCTCTAAGACACGTCGGTGATGCTACATCATACAGCTGTTTGGTCCCCCTAAGACACGTCAGTGATGCTACATCATACAGCTGTTTGGTCCCTCTAAGACACGTCGGTGATGCTACATCATACAGCTGTTTGGTCCCTCTAAGACACGTCTGTGATGCTACATCATACAGCTGTTTGGTCCCCCTAAGACATGTCAGTGATGCTACATCATACAGCTGTTTGGTCCCTCTAAGACACGTCAGTGATGCTAAGGTATCCTAATAATTTCACAAAGGTGGGAACATGTTGTTCTTTATACAAAAATAAATAAATAAAAACAAAAACAAAACATTTTCAGATTATCTTCATCTCTCATTTAATTCAATCACAGCAGAGTAGAATGAAACTGATCAGGTAATTATATTTGATAAATTGAGTTTGATAAACCCTTTCCTACACTAATCCTGTAGTGTCTCCACACTATATCAGCAATACAACCAAAGGTGCCTTCCCCTAGTACTAAACAGTGTACAGCTACAGACAAGAAATATTGATAGATTATACAGAATCTGTTTTTTTTTTCAAGTATTGAAATCTCCACAAAGCACATCAATAAACTAACAAAGGTAGATGTGAAAATATTATAGGACTGTCATTTTTCATATACACTGAATGTTCCAAAATCCAAACACCTCTCATGTGTCTTAAGTATATTGCGAAGTTACACTGAAGCTGGTAGAAGCTAATATTTCAGAATCTGTGCACACAAAGTAAATATTTCAGAATCTGTGCACACATAGTAAATATTTCAGAATCTGTGTACACATATTAAATATTTCAGAATCTGTGCACAAATAGGAAATATTTCAGAATCTGTGCACAAACAGCAAATATTTCGGAATCTGTGCACACAAAGTAAATATTTCAGAACCTGTGCACACATAGTAAATATTTCAGAATCTGTGCACACATATTAAATATTTCAGAATCTGTGTACACATATTAAATATTTCAGAATCTGTGTACACATATTAAATATTTCAGAATCTGTGCACACAAAGTAAATATTTCAGAACCTGTGCACACATAGTAAATATTTCAGAATCTGTGCACACATATTAAATATTTCAGAATCTGTGCACACATATTAAATATTTCAGAATCTGTGCACACATATTAAATATTTCAGAATCTGTGTACACATATTAAATATTTCAGAATCTGTGTACACATATTAAATATTTCAGAATCTGTGCACAAATAGGAAATATTTCAGAATCTGTGCATACATATTAAATATTTCAGAATCTGTGTACACATATTAAATATTTCAGAATCTGTGCACACATATTAAATATTTCAGAATCTGTGTACAAATAGCAAATATAGGTCACTAACCCTGTCTGACATCTCACAGGTGAATCTTACAACCTAGTAACTATGCTGCAGTTTTTGACCAATCAGAAGTGCAGACTATCGTCTTGTAATAAAACCATAGTTATTGACCCATTTTCAGGTAAATATGAGGATTAATCAACCCTTCCTTAGGAAATATCTCTTTTGAGGGCAAAAAAATCCATGTATTCACCAGAAAACTGGTTAATCATAATATACAATATTACATACTCTAAAATTCAGTTTTAAGTAAAATCAGACATCCATTTCATAATGAGGTTATACCAGCTTTAACTGTAGATAACTGCAGATTCTTAAAATTTCACCAATTGTGTTTCATATCTTATTGCATAATGATACTAGGAATATGTACAAGTCTAAACAGGACATATACATATAACACACATATAACTTCTTCAATAAAGATATGACGATCCCAAGAACATACACATGAATCACTTAGGAGATATGATTACATACCTGTATGTAATTAAGTCAGAAATGTATTCAATGTGTAATTACAAATGTAATCAAGACATACATATAATGTACTTGCACACATACAAGAATGATAATTACACGATATATCTGATTATGTAATTACAGACATATTATAGACAAAAAAAACACCAGATCTGATATACCTGAACATAGTACTTAAACCATATATGTCATGAAATATACAACAGAAAGCATATCAGTGTCTAAACAGCCATAAAACATTGTATCCTGGTGTTTAATTGGAATATCATTTACATAATTTAATTACATTGTATGTGTTCAAAAATAAGCAAGTTCACAACCATTTACAAGTACTATATAGGAATGGTAATGTTTGTCATTTTATATATATATAAATAAATGTTATTATGCATCCATGTCATTTTGGTAAATATTTCCTAAGTAATCATACACACTCACTACTATATAGATCCTATAATAGTAATAAACAGAGGAAGGCAGATCAGAGGATGACAATACTAGTCTCAAGCTAACAATGAAGACCCTAAGATAAACTAGGATTAAGAACACATAGTTGTTTTTGAGACAACAATGTTAACCTAAGATAAAGCACTTGTTCCCGTTTCATCTACTGCAGGTCAAAGTAAAAGGACCCCTGATCTTCATTCGTCTGATTCATCTACACTGGGTCAAATAAGAGAACCCCCGATTTTCATTCTTCTGATGCGTCTACTCTTGGTCAAAGCAAAAGGACCCCTAATTTTCATTCGTCTGATTCATCTATTCTTGGTCAAAGTGATAAGACACACATCACTGATCCATACATATATATTCTTTTTACAGAGTAAGTATATAATACATTAACACAACGAAAAGATGAGTTTTCAAACATTTAAAAAATAATGAAGTAATAAAAATATTTCCAAACCGTAATTTTTACAAAAAAAATATTTCCAAAAGTATAAATTTGTGAAAATTTCAATTTTTAAAAATATTCCATACACACTTTCATTTTCATAAACAGTCAAATGATTTTTCATTTTGATAACATGCATTGAAAATAAGCAGTGACAATTTTTATATTTATTATCATAGATTCATGTAAGACAGGCACAAACCAACAAGACAATTAAAAATGATATTGATTCCAATAAAAATTTCTGAAGTTCGTCAAAGCAGTGTGAGATGCTTGCTAATATGTGTAAATATATAGAGCAAACAATTACTGCAATACTATGAAGAATTAAGACATTTCTTATCATAGATGGATACACTTATTAGGGACTCTAATCTCAAACAGCCTTAGGATGACAATTTTCTGATTGCATTTTTGCATACTTTATAGTTTTCATATTCCATAAGTCATGATTAAATCGTAAACATCTTTCCCTCTCCTTTCTGTTATATATATAACTATAAATATATATAATTTATGTTAAACAACAAACACATTGTATACATAATTCATCCTCATAATTTAGACGGAATGGGAAACTGGAGATCTGATTTGAATTGCCTCTCCACAACACAAACATAACTCTAATAATATTGCTATAAATACTATGAACATGTATATACTTCTATAAAGAATGATATTTCTAAATATCACCTGAATGTTGTCTGCCATTATGATCTACAGTTCCTTTTTAATTTACCAGTCATGAGATTTCCACACATTATTATTATAAAACTGAAAATATTTTTTACAGCGATCGATTTATATCAATATATAACATATTTTCTATTTACGATGTTAAAAAAGTAAACATTCTTTTTATCTCAGATAACAAGCAACAAATATATTGTATAATATTTAAATTTATATTGAAAACATGAATGTAACAAGAATTAAATAATAATACCTGGTACAAGTATATTGTTAAAATAATATTCATAAGCACAGCTTGTGGGCCAATCATGTGGGCCAATCATGTGCAGGGTGTGGACCAATCATGGGCACAGTGTGTCGACCAATCATGTGTACAGTGAGTGGACCAATCATGTGTACAGTGTGTGGACCAATCATGGGCACAGTGTGTCGACCAATCATGTGTACAGTGTGTGGGCCCATCATGTGACCAGTGTGTCCACCAATCATGTGTACAGTGTGTGGGCCCATCATGTATAGTGTGTGGACCAATCATGGGCACAGTGTGTCTTGTGTACAGTGAGTGGACCAATCATGTGTACAGTGTGTGTGTGTGCCAATCATGTGTACAGTGTGTGGGCCCATCATGTGACCAGTGTGTCCACCAATCATGTGTACAGTGTGTGGGCCCATCATGTATAGTGTGTGGACCAATCATGGGCACAGTGTGTCTACCAATCATGTGTACAGTGAGTGGACCAATCATGTGTACAGTGTGTCGACCAATCATGTGACCAGTGTGTCAACCAATCATGTGTACAGTGAGTGGACCAATCATGTGTAGTGTGTGGACATATCATGTGACCAGTGTGTGGACCAATCATGTGTACAGTGAGTGGACCAATCATGTGTACAGCTTGTGGACCAATCATGTGACATCATGAGAAAGACACTTAGTTTCACTTTGCCGATTGGCAGATTTGATCATCTAAAACTGCAACATGTTCCTGAATTAGTTGACAGATGTTACATTGTATGACGTGTTGGTGAACTGACACCAACTGAATTATATAGAAAAGGTTAATGAGAATAGTTGTCATCATCAATATGTTTAGGAGAGGTTCAATTCCCGATAAGAGAACAGAATAATCCTACTGATATATTCTTCTAACCATAAAACATATAGATATATAGATAGGATATGGACTACAGAGTTTGTCTCTTTGTAAAATGACACCGTCAGAGATTATACAGAACTATTCGTCAATGATTGCTGTACAAAACTCCATATTCCACTGAGTTTGAGCATTAGGAAATAAATAAGCAAGCAAGCAAGCAGAATTACCTTAACACCCTGACTATTCTATCACTACAAGTATATAAGTTCCACAGTGGTGTATAATTCAAACCTTCAGACTAAATATACAAAAATATCAACTAACAGTGATAAGCCTAACATCATTTCAGTTTAACATACATCATACAAATATTGTTGTTTATCATCAAATAAACACATGTTGGACTTCAATGTTACGATGTTTATCATAACATAAAACGATGTCAGACTTCAATGTTACGATGTTTATCATAACATAAAACGATGTCAGACTTCAATGTTACGATGTTTATCATAACATAAAATGATGTCAGACTGCAATGTTACGATGTTTATCATAACATAAAATGAGGTCAGACTTCAATGTTACGATGTTTATCGTTGCGTAAATAGATTTCAGTGTTACTGTACATCTACAAGTAAGCAACAAATCATAGAAAAATGCCAGAATTCCAGATAATGCATTACCATGGACATAGAGGTATAAACACTTGTGTAAATTCCAAGCATCTGTGAAATGTTACAAACATTTGTGTAATGTTAATACCCAGCTGATTGAAGTAATAACAGAAAGAGCAGCTGCTCAGTGTAAGATAAAGCTCCATTCTCTGCCTAAATATGTAGACATCCTGCCTTTTCAAAAATCTTCTCCATAGCAAGAACAGTTGCTTTTAAATGGCCATCCCCTCCTACAAATTCACGTAAGGCCGCAGCAACCTAAATTACGAAAAAAACAGAGATGTTAATATCAAAATAAACACATGTTGGAAGTTAAAGAAAATTAACTTGAAAATTAATTAATACGTATATAGGGTAGTTATGGTTAACACACAGATATTATAATTAAAAGACAATTAAAACACCTGAATATTGATTTAAATACATGTATAGGGCAGTTATGGTTAACACACAGATACTATAATTAAAAGACAATTAAAACACCTGAATATTGATTTAAATACATGTATAGGGCAGTTATGGTTAACACACAGATACTATAATTAAAAGACAATTAAAACACCTGAATATTGATTTAAATACATGTATAGGGTAGTTATGGTTAACATATAGATATTATAAGTAAAAAGTTATTATAAACACTGGAATATCAATTAATACATGTAAATGGTAATTATGACTAACACTTCAAACTTCACATTCCCGCTAATTGTATTATCTAATGCAAGATAAAATGTGTATATAAAAATGTTACATGAATACCTAGAAATAAACCTTCATGGAAGAAATAACAACTAAATTGTGTCAGTGTCAGAATTATCAAGGGCCATAATCCTGTAAAATTGTATGAACATATCAATTTTATTCACAAAAACCACCTTTCACAGCCATAAGGAAGGACAGACAGACAGAAAGTCACAATGATTCAAGCATACAGAACAGGGTTAATATTGTACATAATTTTTACAGACTTGTGGTGATATCCTACATTATCTATTTACATACCCTGGGTACTTGTGGTGATATCCTACATTATCTATTTATAGACTTGTGGTGATATCCCACATTATCTATTTATAGACTTATGGTGATATCCCACATTATCTATTTATAGACTTGTAGTGATATCCCACATAAACAATTTATAGACTTGTGGTGATATCCCACATTATCTATTTGGGGACTTGTGGTGATATCCTACATTATCAATTTACATACCCAGGGTACTTGTGGTGATATCCCACATTATCTATTTATAGACTTGTAGTGATATACCACATAATCTATTTATAGGGATATCAGTACCTTGTGCCTTCTGGTTATTGAGAAGAAGTCAACTGAATGGAAAGTTTATGCAAGAGGACAGCAAATGATGACAGATTAAACATGATGGCTATAGGTCATCCTGACCCTTCGGGATCATGAAGCTGCTAGAACACTGATAAATATTTCTAAAAAAGTAATGATGACCTTGACCCTTCAACCCTGCAATGTGAACTTGTCCAAGATCTTATGATCCTATATGAGTTAAATCAAAATCCCTAAAAAAAACAAACAAGAGGGCCATGTCCCTTAATGGTCATCTGACAATCGATGAATGAATGGACAAACCACAGAATCGCTGATGGTGGTCTGACAAATCTGATGAATCAAATTTTGAACATTCTTTAAATGTAACAGAAACTCTTAAATGGTAGGTTCTGTGATTGAAAAACAGATGCACATTCATGTTACAAAATACTACTGTGGTTGCCATGTTGAAGTTTTGATCAGACTGGAAAGTGATAACAAATTATCTCGTTTCTTTTTTCTTCTTTGTGAGTGAAACATGAGAAGAAGTTCCGTCTACTTGTTGTAGATGAATTATGTTGGATTTTCGGACCAAAGAATCAAATAAGATTTGGTCAGGACAATCTCAGGTTTTATTTCATTGCTACTCCCTGTTAATGTTTGGGCCAAATTTGGTTAAAATCTTGTCTAACTTCCAATTTATGATCCCCAGCCCTAAGTCCCTAGGGATCAAATCAACTTTCTGAGTTTCAGAAATGATTCTCCATCCACCATGATGTTTAGTACCACATTTGGTTTAAATCCATGAAAGCCTTCAGGAAGAGTAGTGTTTTGACTAACTTTCCCACTGGGGCCCCACCTACCTCCAGGTCATTAAAGGTCAAATCAACCTCCTGAATTTTAGAATTATTTGCCTACCCCTACTGATGTTACAGACAAAATTTTAATGAAATTCAATCAAGCATTAAGGGAGAGTAGCGTTTTGTAGCGAAGTATTGTCTAACTACTCTTTTCGGGCCCCATCCCCAGGGAGTTGAATTAAATTTCTGAATTTAAGAAATTATCCCCCACCCCAAAGATGATTCAGACCAAATTTGGTTGAATTCCGGCAAGACATTAAGCAGGAGAAGTGTTTTACAGGAAAAGTTTATAAACAGCGGACGAAGATGGATGATGCATGATGGCAATAGGTCATCTTGACCCTTTGGGTCAGATGACCTAAAAATGCAATAACTATAGTGCTGACGCTATTTCCAAAATATAGTAAGTGACCTTCACCTTGAATATAGAACCCTGAAAGATGAACTCCTTCAAAATATATGATATCCAACCAGCGTGAAGTTTGATAAAAATTCCCCAATCAGTGAGATAATGCGCGCTTACAAGGATAACTATTCTGTATGTACATACTGGAATTACACTTAGATCCCCTCCAACATGAGAGGGTAAAAATATTCTAGTGAAATGCATTGTACAAAAACACTGGTGATCAAGGGTTGTGTGATTTACTGTGCATGTGAAGATTAGAAATAAATCCTGTTATCTGGAAATGGAAGGTATAAGAGGGGTAGTGTAAATGATAGATACCCTGATGTCTATAGATAAAGGCTATAGACTGTTGTACTTGTCCTTTGTCAATTCCATACACTGACCGTTCCACACATCAGTTGTTGCCTTCAAGTTCTTCAGATATTCTCTCATGCCATCTATCACCTGTTATGGTGCCAATTCAGTTAGAAAAACCATTTGAACATAAATACTGAACTCTAAAGATGTAAATAGTACAAGCGGATTTAAACACTACAGCATAAGGAGTTGTATATGATTTGATATGATAAGTAGGTCTACATTATGTTATGCAGACTAACCACCTTATTTCACAGGTATAGTATATAGTTTAATTAAATGTACATACATTGTACATTAATTCCTTTTTTTTATTTATTAAAATTGAAACTAATGATAAAAACTTTCTAATAAGGGAGACAATGTTCTTACACTGAGTTAAAAATCCACCTGTACTGTTGTATCTATTAGTAAACATGTAAGCGAATCCTGTCATTACTGTGCCATAGATCCGACTGTTGGTCTAGTATCATCGTTAAATCTTAAGCAAGCTCTCAAAGTCGATCAAAATATTTTCAAATTAAAAAATTGTTTTTCTAGTGTGGCAGTCCTCCCTACCCTCCTCTTAAAACTCTCAGTATATCTGTGATCCCTCATCAAATACTCAAGGCCATCTTTTCACCACCAGCTCTGTAGAATCTTAAATGAGCTTTTTATTTCAAATAAAAAAATGAGTCTTTGAAGATTTAAGAAAATTTTCCAGGCCTTTGCAAACAAAATAAAAACTTTTTATTTCATAAAATCTAATGTGAAATGTAAACAAAATTAAGATATTTTTTATCACACAACTCAGGAAAAGTACATTTTGACAGGTTTCAAAGTGAATATGTGGAAGGCGAAATCAAACAAAGACAATAATTTCACAGCACCATTTTCAATTTGTGACATAATGTCATTGTCCATGTTATGACACACAAGGTTATTCACTGTGTATAAACCGTTTAATCAGACAAAGATATAAATCATTGAAGTAAGTATTTACTTATTATAATGGAGTTTGATAAAAGATGGACCTTTTCCTATGAGTCACATTCACCCCTCCATGAGGGTCATATCTGAAATTACTTTTTAGCAAAAAATTGAAAACCTGCATTCCTGATGGCCGAAAATTTATACATTTTAACGAAAAAAAATTGAAAAAGAAAACATTTTCTAAAATCTACATGTATTCTTGACAGAAGCATCTCAAGATGTTTTAAAAGCTATTGTTATTTTTTTTCTGTTTTTAACCCTTTTTCAGGAATTACCATATGTAAAACCTTCTTACAATTTTCATTAATTGCTAATTGAAAAAGTAGTATGTAAACTTCTATTGCAGATCTGGGATAAATATATATATATTTATATATATAAGCTTTGATTAAAAAAAAAAATATGAGGGCACAATCACAATAAGTACACACACTAATATAACATGGAAAGGAGAATCTCATTCACATTCAGAATAGCTGATGTGTTAAATGATCTACATTGTGTTAAAGTTCAAGCAAGTTTGAAATTTTAGTAAAACCAATACTATTAATGACACTGCTACATACTGTTTGTTAAATAATTGTTAATATTGACCTTAGAGGTTTTAAATATACATAACATACCAAATATTACAGAATTTTATTATAAAAATTTATTATAAAATAAATTTACATAATTCTAACCATTGTACCACAGTCATTGGAAGATCAAGGTAAATAATTGTAACAAAAAAAAAAAACAACCCAAAACCCTGCTATATACACCATGAAAAAACTAACCGTTCTATTGATTTCATCGGCTGTCTTGCCCTCTGGATTTTTCATTAACTGTTTGCAAAGTGCACTCCTTTTAGGTACTCCACGACATGCCACCTGTAAGATAAAAAAAAAACTAATAGGAGCCTTATAGAGATTGTTACACCATCAGCTTCCTTATCAACAGCTTTAAGGATAAAAGTTCTATGTACAAATATAAACTGACACCAGCAAACAAACTCCAATTGTGTTGCATTGTTTACTATGTAGCAGGTATTAAACTTGTTGAGCCTAAAGTATCTTGTAAAAGTATATGAATTAATTGACTTTACATATTTAGGTTTTAAATGAAAAGTAGCCATTCATTTTCGAACATTTTTCAAGTAGAATTTAAAAAAAAAACATTCTGGAAGCATCATTTTGGGAACTTTATAGACAATTAACAGTTTTACAAAGAAACTTAAATTAAACTTTGTTTATATAGAATTATAAAACTTAATTAAAACTAAATTATACTTACTGTGAATATTGATTTTGACATGAAATTGTGATAGGGTTGCAAAGACCCTTTATAAGCAGTCTGGACAAACTCTGTGTTGCTCTCTGTATTGCTTTTATCCGAGACAAGTTGTTCAAAAAACAGGTACATGAATTTCAAGCCCCTGTCAAAAAATATATCAATGCATCAATGATGATCACACAAAATATATCAAGGTCTGCTTAAATTATCACATTATATAAATACAAGAGGCCCACAAGGTCTGTATCACACTCTTAAATTATCACAATATATAACCACAAGAGGCCCACAAGGCCTGTATCATTCATCTATCTTAAATTATCACAATATATAACCACAAGAGGCCCACAAGGCCTGTATCATTCATCTATCTTAAATTATCACATTATATAAATACAAGAGGCCCACAAGGTCTGTATCTGTTCTGCAGCTATAAAGTTATAACTATGCTGAGAGGTTTTATTCATGCCATTGAAATGCCTGCCATTTTTCAGTATGTTACACATCTTATATATCCTTACTTTGTACTTTCTTTTAATGATTTCAATACATTCAATTACAGTTAAGTATAGACACTACTACACAAACGTGTGGCACCTCCTGCAACAAAAGAGTTCTTTCTATTTGCTACTGACAATAACTGGAATTATTAACAGAATGACTCGTGATCTGCTCATGAAAACTTTCAGTATATTTGTGCCTCCAACTTTTGTTGACTTCAACTGTAGTCATCAAAATACTGGTTTTAGTAAGTTTTGTAAAAAAAAGTAATCCAGAATTATATTGGTTTTTCCTTTAAGTTAGTAAATGATCTGATTTAGAATGCATAACAGTGTATATTTGATCCAACTCTTTTTAATCTGACATTTTAAGTCTTTTTTGTATTTTTTTTTTTTGCACAACATTGTCACTGAAAAGCTCTTTTCCAAACCTTTGTTATTATATAAAACTTTGCTATGGTGATTTGAAAGCATTTTACATTATTGGTTTTCATCTTTTATGAAGAACTTAAAAACTTATAAAAAATCTCATACAGGTTAATATGAATATCCAAAAGTAATCAAGGCAAGAAAAAGTCTCCAACGTCGATTAACAGTTATCAACTTAATCTTGTCTGTAACTGAATATGGTATCTACTTAAATTTACAATTAGCAAAATAATATTAATTGTAATAACATATGTGTCACTTCCCTTTAATGAAAAAAGACCAAAATAAAACATGTGCTGTTCCCTAAATTTTTTACTCTATATAAAAAATAAGCCATACTTTGCCTCCATACCAATTGGGAAAATATATCAATTATATATAGGCCCATTGGTCTTAACAGTCATCTGAATATAAAGACCTATATATGAAAAAAGGCCAAATAGGCCTAAAATATATTGATCAACTCTACAGCTTTCAAAGAAGACATTTTTGGTTCATAAAAACATTTTCAGCAAACTTGAAATCACATTCTTCATTCTTGCTACTACACAAATTCCATTACTCAAAACCTATCGCTTCTTAAAAACAAATTTAAAGATCTCAATTCACTTAGCCCAAGAGATCTTGAATAAAGGTCAAGGTCAATTATTTGAACTAATCGGTAGCCCTTCATCCATTTTTATTAAAGAACTAATATCAACAGACCAGACCTTTTTGTTATTGAGAAGAAATCCTTTATAGATTTTCATACCTTTGTCCTCTGTGACCTTGAAAAAGGGTCAAGGACATTCATTTAACAAATCTAGCTGCCCTATATCTCATCGTCTTACAGGCACAATATCAGCACCCTTGGCCTTTCGGTTATTGAGAGGAAGTTGTTTAAATATTGTACCACATTTGACACCTGTGACCTTGAAAGTACATCAAGGTCAATGATATGATGAAACTTGGTAGTCCTATGTCCCATCAGGCTACAGGCACAATATCAACATGTTGGACCCGTGACCTTGTAAGTTGGTCAAGGTCATTAATTTTTAAAAGAAAATTTGAAGCCTTTCATCCCATCATGCTACAGGCCTAATATCACAACAAAGGAAGAAACATGATACTTATAGGTCATCCTGACCCTCCAGGTCAGATGTCCTAAAACTTAAATGTAATGTTATAAGTACCTCCCTTAAATCAGAAAATTTCACCTACCTTCCCAACCAAACAGCAGCTACAGTGCCTGAGTTTTTACCCTTACTAACACCTTGCTGTTCTTCAGCTTCTATAAGCTCTTTAAGAGTGTGGTATTCTCCTCCATCTGGTTTCTTCATAGCTTTAGTGATTTTCTGTTGGTTGTAAAATTTAAATCAATTTTTTGTTAAGATTCTACTGATTGTTCACATATTCTTGCAAAGCATGATTTTACAACCTGCTAGAGAATTAGTGTTTAAACGTAAATACTTCAAGGTTTTACACTTTTACACCTGAATAGAGTAGTTCTATGTACCTATAATGAATTCTCCCAATAAGACTGTTGTTACCTGTTTTGATTGTTTGCTTGTTGACATTAAACACCAAGTAGAAGTATTACAGAGATAACTAGAAAAGATATTTTTAAAACTACAGGTACTCTATGTGATCACAAAACTCAACAGCAGGGGAGTTCATATGTCTATGAATGCAGTATGAATAATGCTACATGTATACATATGTAGTGCTGTTTGGTCAGCATTGGAACAATCAGTGGTTTATGAGCTGTCAGTTTGTACATGTACAGGTCGCTTGGCTGTATTGTCAACACATTTTGTAACAGCTTATGCATGTCTAAATATCAATAGCAATAACATACTATTACTGTCAAAATCCAAGAGGGCTGCCTGTTGGCAATGTTGTTTTTCAGTGCAGTTCAAAAGTTGGATGATGCAACCTATATATGAAATCTCAAAAAGTTCCATCCTGCACTTCTCAAAAATAGCAACAAAAATTCTTATGGACAGATGGATGGATGACAGACAATGAATCCATAGACCCAAGGCAATTTGAATAGCCACACCATCTGTAGTTAGATATAGGCCGAAATCTGGCAAGTTATATGCAATTTAACAAAATTTTCCTTCAGCATTTGCAAAAATCGGTAACTGGCTAGCAGAAACCAGGACATTTCTGGTAAGTCCACAGCATCATTTACAAAATTTTGAAAAATTTACTTACAAAGAAATATGCCTTTGTGTAAGTAGGAAACAAATTTTAAAATGATGTTGAATTATTAAAGCTATTGTCAACGACTCCCAGACTTTAGATTAACACAAAATTGAGTACTTTTCACCTAAGATTATTTGAAACTATATCCTGTAATGTTTCATCTTAATTTGCTCTTCTTTACAATATCTATCCTGACCAAGCCTGAATCTTATTAAAAACAAGAACATTGTAACCTATTTCCAGAACTTTCATTTTCCTATACATATACACTATTCAGTTTTCATTCTCCATACACATTTAGAGCTTATATAATTAATACTCACATCAATGTTGTTTTGCATATCACTCTTCACTGGTGAAAAAACTATTCCAAAGGAATCTGAAATGAATTTTTTCAAAATGTCAATGGAATGTTCACAAGTCAATATACGACATTCATCCTAGAGATTCCTCAAGATGAAGTCAAACTAGAAAATCTTGAAGACATTAATGCCCCTGCCATCATACCTATCATTGTTTAATGAATCTTACAGAAGTTGTTAAAAGTTTGATCTTTTAACCAAGACAAAGCAATAAGATGTAGACCTCCTTGTAAACAATAACCCAGTCTGTAGATAGGTTCTCAAGATATTGATTCTGAATGGATGGTTTGAGGATACTGTTGGCAACCACCCCTCAGTGTTAAACCTCATACCCTATTTTGTTGCCTTTGATATGCAAACTAAACAAAATCCAAGCCTCAAGGACCTCAAAGCAGCATTATCTTGGAAAGCAAAGCAAATAACACATAAGAAATTTAACAATGTCAGGAAGATCATCAGCATGACCCAAAAAGAAGTGCGGTCAGGAAACCTTAATGAGGTACTCTTTTACTACAACCACGCTCTTCTTCACAAGTCCAGCTTGTGTAAAAGCTTTTGGTATGACAATGACAATCTGGTGGCATGAATGGTGACATTTAGCTGGTTTTGGTCCAAGATTTTACTGAGAACTGGGACACAGGAACCGTGTATGTTTGTGTTTAGCCAGTTCTTCAGCAGGAATCAAGTATCTGTATGATTTATTCGTGTGGAAACATTCAGGTATTAACATGTGAGGCTGGTACATTTTTGTACCTGTGATCCTTGCCTCACCACACAACCTGTAGTTAAACTGATACTCACCTAAAACAGCGATGATCTGCCTAGTTTTTTCAAGAAATGATGTTAAAGGAATATTTCCATCCTCAGGCACATCCTCATAAAATTTCTCAGGATCGAAAAATGTTTCTGCCATTCTGATGATTTGGAATGATTCGGAATGTCAGTGCATGCAAGTACCCGTAACGTAAATACCGGAAGTAAACACTAAAATATATTACGGAGCGTAGGGAACACAAATTTGAATAATCGAACCAAAAAAAAGCATTCCGTCATATATTGATACTGATCTACGTCCATGGCTAAAGTCAAATATATTTTATTTTGGAACCCTGTAGCATACTTACCACTTTATGTTTAATAACACGTAACTGCTCTAATCTTGGAGATATGCGTATCACTTTTCAAAGATCAGACATACTTTACTAAAATTAAATAAATCATGGAAACACGAAATCTCTCGATCAGTTAAATTGTACTTTCCCGTCAAAGTTTGGACAAAGTTCGTTTCAAACCATTCATGTTTATCTGAATTTATTTGAATTTATAAGCTTTTTTGAGTATTTGTATATATATATATTTTTTTGTGTTTTGTTTTTATTTTCTTCTTTCATATATATATATATATATATATATATATATATAATTTTGGTGCAATCTAAAGATATTTTTTAAGCATGTTTAAGAACGAATCTAAAGTTCTCATATCAAGCTGAAATAAACATTCCAGAGACCAGCTAATTTCAAGGTATTCATAATATGTAGTTTGATTGTATTGTTGAGCTTTTCCGACTTTGAAATATTGGTCACATGATACCTAAAGGGTTTGGTATAAAAAAGTTATTGTAATTTAACCACATACTTTGATATATCTATGTCTTTTCGTTGTAACTTAATACAAATTTATATTTTTATTTGCATGCAGGTTCATGTGGCAGTATATTATAAAACAAAGAGTTGTCATTTTTCTTGTGCTTTTTAGATAATGATATTTATGATATGACTTTTAAATTTTTTGAAATTATTCTGCCAAATTTTATTTACACTTCCCATTCATTGCATTTTTGTAGCAAATTACAAATACAATGTACCAGTAAAACTGAGAAATAATCTCGTACATGATGAAAAATTGATTTACATTGTCTGCGCCAGTCATTGGCATCTTGGATTTTTAAGGAGCAATGTGTTGGTTGACCCCTGGGGTCTGGTAATACGCCCACCCCCAAATTTGAGTAAGAATTAACTAAGGTAATTTGTTGCCTGTCTGGGCTTCATTGCAGGATAAAATAAAATGGAAGAAAGACAGCTAACAACTAATGTACATTCTGCTTCTGATGGCTTCAGAAATCTAAATTTAGATCATACAGTGTCTTGCATGTCTTGCATAAAAGAAAATACAAACAAACTTCACACTTGAGTTGGTTTTGTAGGATTGTATTTATAATACTAGGCATATATTACATTTTATAGACATCTTTGATAATAAGTACACATCAATTACAACACATTAAATCAAGTAATTAAAATCTGATGAGAGTGCTGGGCCGAGTTTTTGGTATTCAGTGTGGGTCGTGCTGGGCCGAGTTTTTGGTATTCAATGTAAGTGTATGACTGAGGCATTAAGTCTGTGATTAGAGTTTTGAGTCAAGGTTATAATCTCCAATGAGAGTGCTGGGCTGAGTTTTTGGTATTCAATGTAAGTGTATAACTGAGGCATTAAGTCTGTGATTAGAGTTCTGGGTCAAGGTTTTAATCTCGGTGTCAGACAGAGTTTTCAGTCTGTGATGAGATTTTTGGGGAGAGTTTTGGGCTGAGTCATTAAGTCCCTGATGAAAGTGTTGGGCCGAGTCATTTAATCTGTGATGAGAGAGTTTGATCATGTCGTTATAGTCTGTGACAAGAATGTTCTGCCAAGCCATTATATTTTATGATGGAAGTGTTGTGCCAAGTCATCAAAGTCTGTGACCAGAGGGATGAGCCAAGTCATTGCAGTCTGTGACAACACTATTGTGCTGAGTCATCACAGTGTGTGACAGGAATGTTTCAATGAGCCATTGTAATCTGTGTTAAGAGTGATGGGCCCAGACACCACCGCAATCTGTGATGCGAGAGTTTGACAGGCTGTGATAAGAGTGTTGGGGCCGAGTCATTACAGTCTGCGATGAGAGTGACAGGCCCAGCCATCATAGTCTGTGGTGAGAGTGGTAGACTATTAGCCAAACAACCTGTTGATGAGAGTATCGGGCTGGGCCATAACAGTCAGCTGATGAGAGAGTTGGATGAAGGCATTAATCTGTGAAGAAATAGTTGTGTGGAGTCATTACTGATACAACAGACCCTACCACTTTTTAGATAATTCATCATTTGAAATACAAGGAACTTATGTAAAGTAACATTTCACAGGATTAATGTGTTGGTATATTGTTCGTTACCTCATGGCTATCAACACAGAATGACAACCATCCTCATTCTGATAAATGGTTGGCTCTTATAACATAGATATACATAGTATCACATATAGGGCTTAGTTAAGCACAAGTCAAAGTATTAAATAAGGCTGAGAAAACACATGCTATTATAAGAATAATCAATAAGAATTTATATAAAATAACATTTGTGTAATAAAATAAGAAAAATAAACAAAAATTCAACTGAGCATTTTAACTCTCATATACATGTATGCATGATAAAACTCAACTCAAATAGCATTAAGACATGTCATTTAAAACAGATAACAAAGTTGTCTCCCTTTCCATTTTGAAATAGACTATTTAGTGTTTTCCATAGTGTATTTTCTGATTTCATCATTCTTTTTTTCCCATTATTTCAAACACTGAGGCAAGGAATGGTTGAGTGACACAGAGGTAACACATTCACTAGACGACTCGGGTTTGATTCCCAGAACGGACATGAAAAAATATAGGGTCATCTGCCTAACCATATAATAACCTTGTGTACAAAAAATATCTCTTGAACCAAAAAAGGCATCCCTGGGTCTACAGGTCAAAGGTCATTCTTATTATTTCTGGCATAAAAACCTTAAGACAGTCTTACTTAATATCCACACCATTCCTTTATTCCATCAAGATCTACACCTAATTAGATTTCAGTGGTCATCGGTCCAAGGTCACTCTTGATATAGATCAGGAGAAAAAGGAAGAGGGGGTAGGGGTGGTTATATCTTTGTGAGTCCGTGCTCACTTTGCATTTATGAATGAAGAAGATAAGTTTTAAAATGCATGGCAATTTACCATTTCCTTTTGACCTACAGAACTCTACTTAGGTAAGCAACTAGTTTTGATCTGCTTAGTTTACAGTTTGGCAATTCAGGACACAAACACATCCGATACAAATTTGTGTCTGTGACTAAATTGTTTAATTTCACACTGGTATTTACAGTTAACAATACATAGAGACACTGGCCAACAGTGATAAACTCCCAACACTATTAACCTTATCAGTCTTACAAGAACTCTTCTAGCTTGGCACTGCAATCATAGACATTTATATCATTGAATTAACAGATTTTTCACAGGAAGACAGAAACTTAGCTTTACGTATTTTAGGTCACTATCTGAAGGGGACCTTCATCACAACCATGCAAAACCTAATGTGTAATTGCAATACATAGAAAACTATTCAAATTATTACCTCCCCTTATAGCTGCAACTATTGTGATTGTCTCCCCTTATCTCAACCATGCCAAACCTAAAGTGTAATTGTGATACATTCTTTCTTGTTTTGAATTCTTGTATTGAACAAAGCAGTGTGAATTGCCCCTTACCCCAATAGTTTATACAGCCATCACACCTTCTCTTAGAAAACTATCCAAATTATTACCTCCCTTTATAGTTGAAACTATTGTGATTATCTCCCCTTATCTCAGGTTCCTGTAACAATCTGGCACAATCAATCTAGTGCAGTATCACTTTTTGAAATATTAGTGCGACAGCAAATTCATGTATCCACAATAATTACTACATAACAAGCATAAGAAAACAGCATTTAGCATAATCAGGTTTACGAAAAAATACTTTCAGCACAGAAAATTCTATAATAAGATTATACCACTGAAACATGTATGTTTACAACACTCACTTGTCAACAGAAATTGTAAACATACTCTTTTGTTGTGGTAAAAACGTATTATGCAATATACAAATTACACATACTTGTTGTGTACAATATCACGAACAAAAAAACAATCTCAGTTTCATTCATTATACACGAGGCAATGTCAAGTACAAATTTTATGTACACATATGGCAGTTTTAAGATATGACATTACCAATGAAAACATGTAGTTTGTAAAAAATATGTTTATAAGTGAGCTCTCAGAACCAACACCTAAATAAACTATAATTAATAAATCTTGAGAAATGAAAAAAAAAAAAAATAAATAAAAAAAAAACAAAAAGTATATTTTTCAACCTTGTTTAATATTGTTACCTTTCAGCCAGCCATGTGTTTATCTATCTCTGCTGCTGTCACAGGTATGATATGTTACAGAATCTGACAAGTGCTGAGAATTATGGTTACATGTTTGTTCTATTTGATTACACTAATGCCACAATATATTTACAGTAAGGGATTACTGAACATAAGTTTAGTAGTGAATACTAAGTATATTACAAGTTATGTTAACTTGATGTTACACATTGCCAGAACACTGACATTCATTGGTGAGAGTCGTCTAGTGATAGGATGTGTCCAGGAGATGGAAATCCTGTAACCAACCAACCAATCAACTTGATATTAAAGAAAAATAGTAATATGAAAGTACTTGTATCGTCAGACCGAAGTCGTGTGCACCTTTCATTGTAATAATAACTGATAAATCAAGGACCATAACTGTAAAGAGACACATCGTCCATCGGTAGGACTTTTACACTATGAATCATCCATATATTGGGTAAATTTCAATATGACAGGTTGTACTGGTTCAACTTTAGAAGTGATGGAATCTGACCATTTTTTGTTGAAAGGCTCGTACAAGAATATCAACTACTAATATCATTCTTATGTAAATAATCTGAAATTGTTACAAAATCAAGTTTCAGGACAAAATAATGTTATTTAACAAGATAATATTATTTAATCATCTAACAAGATAATGTTATTTCATAACATAGTGTGGTTTGGTGGTCAAAAATGCATTCCTAAGATAGATAATTCAGCAATATATATATGCTGACTGATGTGTTAAGTTCACTTTTGTTAAACAATAGGTTAAGGAATGATGTCTACTAGCGGAGAAATTCTCCGAATGTTGTGTTTGCGTAATGGAAACACAAACAATACCATCTGAAGTTTAATCCAACTATCAGTACATAAACAGGGTCTGTGTGCAACAAAATCTCAAGAATTATTTTATACGGGACCCAGGTACACCAATTGCAGTACTCCTGAAACTATATCTTTGACTCAAGTTCATGTATAGCAAATAGAATTAAAAGCTGCCCCAAGGCACACATAAACTTACAAAATACAACCCTCTTACTCCAAGATGTTTCAAACCAGATATGGTAACAAGCTAGCGAAACAATGTACTGCATGTAGGTATATTTAAGAAATGAGATTTTTTTTCAGATTATGTAAAGAGACTAATGATTGCAAGGCTCGGGTGATTGGATTAGGCTGGCGTGTTAATATTCATTTATAATTATCTAACACATATCTGTTGGCACACATGTCCTTGTGTCACACACACACCCTGGCATATCACTTACAGGTAAATCACACCTACTTTTGTATCACACTGACTGATCTCCACACACATACATTAAAGTTTTATACTTCAGATATAACTTGGTTTTTCTTTCTTATGGAAGAACTTCAATGTACTGTTAAGTTTCACAAACAACTCTTGTCAGTCATTTTTTCATCATTGTGTCAGATTTCTGGAATGCAATGTCAAATGTAGTGTTGTCAAACCACAAAATTGTTTATAGAGTGAGTTTATGGTGTGGCCATACCATCACTCTCACTGGATACCAATTACTGTTACAATATACTCCAAATCTTGTTCTAATGATGTGAAGCATACATCAGTATGTAAACAGTTTATCTAAACTGTCTACCTAATTGTCTTCTACACACACAAAACACATCAGAAGCAAAGCATGGCAAAACGATTTTCTCATCTTCGTCTGGACTAGAACTGTTATACATAACAAAGTGTCTATCTTTAGCAAAATAGTAACAGCTTACGACGAGTAAAGCAATTATTGTCTTTTGATGAGCGATACAGAATATGACGCATGGATAGTAATCACTTTCACACCCTGCTTAATCTAGAGGCATATGCAGTTATATCAAGGACATTTGATCTTTAAAGACACACATGTACATGTCTAGTTGTCCACTGAAAAAGGACTTATAAAAGTCTTATTGTAAACTTGAAATTTTCCTGTTCTGCCTGTTGAACACTTTGGTGCTACACAACTAACTGTCTTGCCTGTTAGGCATTTCTGTGCCACACTTTTTACTGTCCTGTCTGTTGGACATTTCTGTGCCACACTTTTTACTGTCCTGACTGTTCGACATTTCTGTGCCACACTTTTTACTGTCCTGTGAGTTGGACATTTTTGTGCCACACTTTTTACTGTCCTGTCTGTTGGACATTTCTGTGCCACACTTTTTACTGTCCTATCTGTTGGACATTTCTGTGCCACACTTTTTACTGTCCCCACTGTTGGACATTTCTGTGCCACACTTTTTACTGTCCTGTCTGTTGGACATTTCTGTGCCACACTTTTTCTGTCCTGTCTGTTGGACATTTCTGTGCTACACTTTCCCTGTCCCAATCCTTTGAAATCTGTGTGCTACACCTTTAGCTGTCCTGACTGTTGGACACCGCTGTGCCACACTCTAAACTGTCCTGCCTGTTGGACGTTTTTGTGCTACACCTTTCCCTGTCCCAATCTTTGTACAGCTGTATGCTACACTTTCCCCTGTCCCAACCCTCAGACAAATCTGTGCTGTTTAATCAGTTTGATGTGTGGCGCTGTGTCCATTACTTGTAGTAGCACATGTAAGTCACTTTTCCAAGTCAACATCTACATACTGAGAGTTAGAATGATCCACCGAGAGAAAGGACATCAAAACATATGTCACAGACACGAACTGGTTTAGAGAGGTTGTATTTAACTATTGGCATGTCTTTGGCAGAACACTTGGCACAGACTAGACGTCCACAATGACGGCTGTAACAGAGGAAACACAGATCTATTAACAGGTCAATGATATACATATTTTGAAGGAAACATGGATTAAAACCATAAATATTAAAATGAAACCAGCAGGTTACTATGACGTTACAATATGAATCAGGGGTCCAATGATAAGGTTTTTATGTTTTATTCTTTGATAACTTTTTAACCTATTTTATCTATACTTCAGGCCCTCGAAACAAATTACTGATAACATTCTTTACTTAGAGGTAATAAAATAAGCATTTTAGTTTTGATTCAGCACATCAGGACCTTTCAGTCCAAGGCAATTATCTGATTATTTGATTTCTGGATTTGTAAAAGAAATTTTAACCACTACCGTCCATTAGTCCTTACTTAAATGTCAGGTTTTTCTCAGTAATCCAACTGGGAGCCTTTTTAAACCTCTTCCTCAAGGGAATCGGAAAGCTAGGCTAATTTTCATTCATGATTCTAAGAAATGTCACCTCTATTTTTAAGCTGAAGATTTTAAATCATACAAGGAGAAAATATTCTTTAAACCAATAATATGCTATCAGTAAAACAAATTATAGTAGGATTCATACTTACCAGTGATGTTTCCTTGTTTTAATACTAAATTTGACAGTACATTCTAAACACACTTCTCCTTCAGACCACGGCGGTTCTTTAGAGAGCATATCTATTGATAAAATAACAAAGAGAATTATTTTAGTACAGTGTAAAACACTGATCCATTCAGAGGTCCGTGCACGATAAAATGACCCATATCTATGGTTGTCCAACACAATCATCAATCAATATATTCAACTGTTTTTTCCACAATATCATGGCCTAAAATGTACGACGAAAGCAAATTCTGCCCTTTGAGAAGACAGGGCCCCCATTTTCTTTCAAAAACTCATCCTATAGACCCTAAAATAGTACTTCACAAATCTCAGGAGAAATAACATTTCTGAGTGTGTAATAAATTTTTCTTAACTAAACTTTACTAAAAATAGGAATATAAAAAGCAAAATTTGTTTTGTATATTCTTAAAATGTTGTAGGTAGCTCACCTCTCTTTCCTATAACATTTATGTTGTGCATCAAAATTATGCTGTGTCTTCTCTACATGTACAAATTAATATTCAGTTGATAAATGATGAAAATTCAAAGAATTACTATTTGAAGCTACTGACAAGCTTACACTACGTCAGATACTGCACCTCATGGACCTGTTCAAACTATGTCAGATACTGCACCTCATGGACCTGTTCATAACTTACCTAATAATTTAAACAGGAGTTGTTTCGTTGCTACTGGAACATTAAATATACTAAGTCCTTGTCTGTTCATTGTCCCTAAACGAGCCCCAGAACGGACCAGACTTCGGCACAAACTTCCGTTACCATTAACATATGCCAACAATAGAGCTGTAACACAAAGTCGATAAAGTATATTGTTTTCTACCTCCTCTACATATGTACGATTCATGTGTCAAAAGTGGAACTTCCATATGGGTCAATAAATATTTTCCCTTTGGGTGTAGAAATCAGGATTATGTCAAACCTTAGTTCTGAGCCTAAGTTAACATTCTCTGTATAATATCCAGATAGGATTTATTGTGATTCTATAAAGATCTACATCAGTTAAACTGACAATTACTTTTAATGCAGTTGTTTATTTGTATGGTCATTTTTAAACTGGTGTGGTTAAACCTGACATGTGTATCTTTATGATTACTGATTACTGGTGTAGGAACCTCCGAGACATGTCCCTGTACAACACTTTAGCACAGGTGTGATGACACCCAACATATGTATCTATGTGATTTCCAAACAAAAGTATTCTGACGCCTTAGATGTGTACCTGTATTACTCTCTCAGACCTGTATGACCCTCTAACGCAAATGTACTGACACCTGAGAGGTGTACCTGTATGACCCTCTAACGCAAATGTACTGACACCTGAGAGGTGTACCTGTTTGACCCTCTAACGCAAATGTACTGACACCTGAGAGGTGTACCTGTTTGACCCTCTAACGCAAATGTACTGACACCTGAGAGGTGTACCTGTTTGACCCTCTAACGCAAATGTACTGACACCTGAGAGGTGTACCTGTTTGACCCTCTAACGCAAATGTACTGACACCTGAGAGGTGTACCTGTTTGACCCTCTAACGCAAATGTACTGACACCTGAGAGGTGTACCTGTTTGACCCTCTAACGCAAATGTACTGACACCTGAGAGGTGTACCTGTTTGACCCTCTAACGCAAATGTACTGACACCTGAGAGGTGTACCTGTTTGACCCTCTAACGCAAATGTACTGACACCTGAGAGGTGTACCTGTTTGACCCTCTAACGCAAATGTACTGACACCTGAGAGGTGTACCTGTTTGACCCTCTAACGCAAATGTACTGACACCCGAGAGGTGTACCTGTTTGACCCTCTAACCAAATGTACTGACACCTGAGAGGTGTACCTGTTTGAAATGTACTGACACCTGAGAGGTGTACCTGTTTGACCCTCTAACGCAAATGTACTGACACCTGAGAGGTGTACCTGTTTGACCCTCTAACGCAAATGTACTGACACCTGAGAGGTGTACCTGTTTGACCCTCTAACGCAAATGTACTGACACCTGAGAGGTGTACCTGTTTGACCCTCTAACGCAAATGTACTGACACCTGAGAGGTGTACCTGTTTGACCCTCTAACGCAAATGTACTGACACCTGAGAGGTGTACCTGTATGACCCTCTAACGCAAATGTACTGACACCTGAGAGGTGTACCTGTTTACCTGTTTGACCCTCTATGTACTGACACCTGAGATGTGTACCTGTTTGACCCTCTAACGCAAATGTACTGACACCTGAGAGGTGTACCTGTTTGACCCTCTAACGCAAATGTACTGACACCTGAGAGGTGTACCTGTTTGACCCTCTAACGCAAATGTACTGACACCTGAGAGGTGTAGAGCAAATGTACTGACACCTGAGAGGTGTACCTGTATGACGCAAATGTACTGACACCTGAGAGGTGTACCTGTTTGACCCTCTAACGCAAATGTACTGACACCTGAGAGGTGTACCTGTTTGACCCTCTAACACAAATGTACTGACACCTGAGAGGTGTACCTGTATGACCCTCTAACGCAAATGTACTGACACCTGAGAGGTGTACCTGTTTGACCCTCTAACGCAAATGTACTGACACCTGAGAGGTGTACCTGTTTGACCCTCTAACACAGATGTACTGACACCTGAGAGGTGTACCTGTTTGACCCTCTAACACAGATGTACTGACACCTGAGAGGTGTACCTGTATGACCCTCTAACGCAAATGTACTGACACCTGAGAGGTGTACCTGTTTGACCCTCTAACACAGATGTACTGACACCTGAGAAGTGTACCTATATGACCCTCTAACTCAGGGGAAGTAACACCAGTCAGAGATACGTACCTGTATTGCCCTCAGCGTCAGGTCGGTCAATGGGGTAATCTGGCATGCTTTCCTTGAAGAGTTCAAACACTGCTGAAGCAGTGTCTCTTCCATACTGTGCCAGAACGTGGATTGCCATCTGACCTCTGAAAAGTCACATAACTAGAAGTACATTCTATATCAAACAATATACCCAAACAAACTGTTTGTTGATGTTTAAGAAATATTGGCACCGTTGCTGAAATATTGATATTGATATTGAGTAAAATGTCAATCTCTTTGTCTGTCCATTCTATAAAATCTCACAGTGTGACCTTTGAACCTTTCATCTTGACATACAACCATCCTTAATATGACCACTTTATCATTGACCCATGTCTTAGAAAGTCTAACCTTGTTCTTACTTAGCATTGACTGCCTCCGCATTGGCCAAAAATTTTGATTGCAGAACCCTGCTATCATTTAGCACTGACTGCCTCACTATTGACCTGAGACTCAGTCACTAGAACCCTTTACTGACTAAGCATTGACTGCCTTAGCTTTGACACCAGACTCAGTCACTAGAACCCTTTACTAAGCATTGACTGCCTTAGCTTTGACACCAGACTCAGTCACTAGAACCCTTTATTGACTAAGCACTGACTGCCTTAGCTTTGACACCAGACTCAGTCACTAGAACCCTTTACTTAGCATTGACTGCCTTAGCTTTGACCAAAGACTTGGTCAGCACAATCCTTTACTTACTTAGCATTGACTGCCTTAGCTTGACCAAAGACTTGGTCAGCACAATCCTTTACTTACTTAGCATTGACTGCCTTAGCTTGACCAAAGACTTGGTCAGTAGAACACTTTACTTACTTAGCATTGACTGCCTCAGCGTTTACCCGAGACTCGGTCAGCAGAACTCTGACAGTGTTGAGATTTCCATGTTGTACAGCTACATGTAAGGCTATAAGACAAACATTGACTATAGTGAAAATTCATTAGGTATATATCTCATGATTGTAAAACTTTTTTGACTTCCGGAAATTTCTAACCTAAATATGGTCCATGTGGACAGGTTCAAAGTGTACCTGTATAATACTGAGTTTTGTAGTAACAAGCCAATGTAATACCTAGGAAACCAAACCAGATTTTTTACCAAAAACACGTATTTACAATATAAAGAATACCTTTTTAGAATATTATCACTAAATCTATATAAAACCACATATTTGTTTTTTTTCTCCAGATTAACGAACTAATCTTTTATAAGCTCCTCACCATTGTTGAGATTTTCATCGACCACATCATAGTCAATACCATTCTCCAACAGAATACTGGTAATCACGGAGTGATCCTTTAAAGCTGCTAGGTGTAATGATGTCTCGTTTTTCTTTGTCTTGGCATTGACATCAGCTCCAGCCAGTAACTGTATCAAATACAATTAGACATTACACGCGTTACCAAACCCACTGTTGTGATTGTTTAGTATCTACACTTCAAAGACAATCCTTTCTCAGCCTGCATCCTGATCTTAGCTTAATCCTATGTTTGATTATAGATGCAAACCTGGTTAATACAGTAACTGCCCTGACTGTTTAGTATCTATAAAGTTATAATAGTAACTGTTTATACTGTTATACTGCAGACAATCATTTCTCAGTCTGCATCTTGATTTTAACTAAAAACCTACATCTTAATACAAATGAAAACCTGTACAAATTACTGATGTTGGTATTTTTTACCAAATCCTCAACTCATAGCTACTATCGGTCTCCCTACCTGTATGACCCCGAGACCACAGAGTTCATACATGCATCAAATATGATCATATGTAATAAGAACTCTGTGTTACTATGTTTAGAAACAGAAGATAAATATTCTTGTGTGACATGACAACAATAAATGTAGTGTCACAGTGCTATCTGCCATACACACTACAATGTATTTTGTTGTTTGTTAATTTCTTACAGTTAATCTTGTTGAATAGAAAAGAAAAAACAAGTTTTTGATTGCAATATCTTATATTGTTACGATGTATATACAGTTTTATGGACTTGAAAAAACTGAAATTGAGGTCAATTTTATCTTGTTCTGTTTCTCTAGAATCTATGTCTTGTTTTTGTCAAAATCTCTCTCGGGTCTACACAACCACAAGATCAATGACGACCTGTAATTGACAAGAGACCTATTTTTAGGAGCCATAATCAGACTCTATTTCATCAACTTTAAATCTTCTTCCAATAACAACACTTTGGAAATTCTGTGAAAACCCATTTAGTGGTAATGAAGAAGTTGATGAAGAACGTACAGCTAGTAAAGGATGACACATTAATAATATAGGCTCCTCTTAAAGGTGATTTAGATTCATGATATGAAGACAATACATAGTTTTTAATATTCTACAACAGAATTATAAATAAAATGATTATACCAGATTCCTGACGATGATTTCTGAACCTGCAGTGACGGCTAGGTGAAGTGGGGTCAGTTGCTGGGAGTCCTGGACACGAGAATTCACGTTGGCATGGACACTAATAAGGAACAGTACACTCTCTATGTCGGACTTCTGTATGGCAGTGTGCAAAAAATTCCTTCCACGGTTGTCAACCTTCCAAACAGCAGATATAACATATTACAAGTACCCATTTTGAGTTTGATTTTGGACATGATTGATTGATTGATTGATTGATTGATTGATTGATTGACTGATTGATTAATATGACTCTGAAATACAGTTGAGTGATCTCACAATTGAATATGGTTTTGTGACTTAACAGTGCGACTACTAAGTCGTCTGACTATCAAACATGGTTGAATGACCTGATAATAGTTATTCTCAGTCACTTCAACATGTGACATGGTTGAGTTAATTTACCTGTTCCGCAGCAGTAGGTTCTCTGTTCAATATTGCCTGAGCAGCTTTGTTGTTCTTGGTTGTCATAGCAGCAGCAAAGGGAGTGAACCCTTGCTTGTCTCTGACAGTAAGATCCAGACTTGGGTGGGAGAGTAAAAGGGAGATAATCACAGGATGCTGGTTCTCTATGGCAATGTGGATAGGGGTTTTACCTTCTGTATCCTGGACAGGAAGAAATAAGAATCTTTGACACACAATACATGTTAATGTATATTATTGTTACAAACTTAATTTTACTGAATGAAAGCTACAGTGATTTCTCAATCCACGCTAGCCACAAGCTTTGTTAATGAGAGAGATAGAATGGTGCACTGTGACCTAGAACTTACTTGAGCATTGACGTCTGCTGAGTGCTCCATGAGACATTGAACTACGACCTCCAGCCCCCATGTACATGCCATATGTAGTGGTGTCTGCTGGTCTCTGTAACACAAAATCACCAAGGTAACTATCTGCATTATAGTAAATATAACAAATCACCATGGTAACTACCTGCATTATTGTAAATATAACAGTTCACCATGGTCACCAATGGTAAATCAATGACATCACCAAAACCATTAATTACTACCCAACAAAGAGTTACAATGTAACACACCACATCTACAACAAAACATTAAGGTACCTGAATCCGTAGGTCATGATGATAGCCCCCTGGTGGTTCATACATCACTATCACCATGGTAACTTACCTAGCCTCATCCTCCCCTTCACCATTCGGTCCTGGTCGCCGTGTGGCATTCTTGTTACAGCCACTGAAATTTACCAGATGTGATTATTTTTGTTTTATTCAAAAGAATGAAAGAAAAATTTCAGAATGAAACTAAGTTTCTCATACAACATATGAAACAACATAATCGTAGTAACAAAATGCCTTACTCCTTCCTCTCATAGGAAAACAGGCATTTGTTTACATATAACAACTCATTAAAATCTTCAAAAGTAGTCAAGTGTGACCTCTTAACCTTGACTAATGACCTCTGAACTTCAATTGATGCAAAATTAATCTGATCATATTTGATTAAGATGTATATTACATCTGCATGGCATAAAGAATGATTGAGAGAGTGGGAAAGAGAACAAGCAGTATTGTGTGATAGGAAGAGTTAAACAGATCTAGGGGGTCCAACAGACACACAGACAGACAGTCTGTGGTGGACTGACAGACTGTGGTGGAAAGACAGACTGTGGTGGAAAGACAGACACACAGACAGACTGTGGTGGACAGACAGACTGTGATGGACAGACAGACTGTGGTGGACTGACAGACTGTGGTGGAAAGACAGACACACAGACAGACTGTGGTGGAAAGACAGACTGTGATGGACTGACTGACTGTGGTGGAAAGACAGACACACAGACAGACTGTGGTGGACAGACAGACTGTGATGGACAGACAGACTCTGGTAGACAGGCAGACTGTGGTGGACAGACAGACTGTGATGGACAGACAGACTCTGGTAGACAGGCAGACTGTGGTAGACAGGCAGACTGTGGTGGAAAGACAGACACACAGACAGACTGTGATGGACAGACAGACTGTGATGGACAGACAGACTCTGGTAGACAGGCAGACTGTGGTGGACAGACAGACTGTGATGGACAGACAGACTCTGGTAGACAGACAGACTGTGATGGACAGACAGACACACAGACAGACTGTGGTGGACAGACAGACTGTGATGGACAGACAGACTCTGGTAGACAGGCAGACTGTGGCCAAGGCCAAAGATACAGATTTGAGGATAAAACTTATGACAGAATGAAATAGAAAATGACTTTTGGTACCTTTTGATAAGAAAGCAGGCGACCGCTTCATTGTTCTCGTCAATAGCTCGGTGAAGAAGTGTTTGCTCACAACTACTCGGACCCTCTGACCACAGGTCTAGATCACAGCCATGTTTTACCTTAAAGTTCAAATAAACAACATTTTCTGTCAGACATACTAAATTTATAATAAAAAGTCCAATATATGTCAATTTTATATCACATCTGTTTCGAAACTCAAGTAAATGATACAGAAGGCAGTATACTATATAGTAGGTCCTACTCGTTCAATTTCTGGGGTAAATATGATACAAAGTAACAATGTCCTGTAATTCTACTTTTTAAAGTTTTTAATCAAGTTCAAATAAAGATGAGTCATCACATATAAATATACACTGATCATTTTCAAATATTTTTTTCTCTAATTCACAGTATAAATTATAGTAATAGTTTCAGTGGTCAGTGTACCAGTATCTGGGCAATATCTTCTTGACCGGTGTCCAGAGCCTGCCAGAGTGGACATGACTTTTCATGGTCAAGCAAGTTCATGTTCACCCCTCGTTTACACAGCATGTCGACTACGACTGGCAGGTGGCGCTGTATGGCATGTTGCAGTGGCGTCTCAAGTGAATTTGTCCTGAAAAGAAGCAACAACATACATATAGTTCATACTTCATACCACAATCAAATCTTTCCAAAATCTCATTTAGAAAAGAATTCCCCAAGATAAAATATCAGTGAAGAAAAACAAGTCAATTTCAGTTCTTGTTCATTAGAGTAACATAAATCCCCTCTTGTTTTAGATCATTTTGATGTAAATCTTGTATATTTAATAATTAATGTTGACTTTCAATGACTGTCATTACAACTTAAAGATGGAATTTCTTTTGCTTTTAGTACATGAGATAGAAGGCACTTCACTTTGGTAGTAGTCACTAGAGACAAAAGGTGTTGATACAGGAAGATACAAGTTTTGTCAGAGCCGTATCAGGGTTATATCACAATAATAGTCCATCAACTATCACCACTACTTTACTGTTATAACAATGATATGTATATTTCTCTGCTGGCCACAATATAATAAGGACATTAAAAAAGACAAAAGCAACAACTAGAGGTCAACAGATCTTAACAACCGTTGTTGTTATATGACCCTAACCACTGATCTGGTACTTTAGCTAGCAGGACTTTTAATAGCTAACCTCTTTGACATACCTCCCCTCACTTTTGAGGGCAAGAAGGATTTTTTTGTGCTTTGGGGATCAAAAATTGAAAGTTCAAGATGAGTTTCATAGAATCTCATTTTGAAAGCTTTTAAAGACAAAATGTAGAGGACAAAATCAAATGGAAGCTGGCGTTTTGTTGTATCTAACCATATTATGACATCATAACTGATTTCTGACTGGCACAGCCAATGAAAGATGGTCTAGGGTATATACCCTAGCAAATTATGCAAAAATATTACATGAGCTATTTATCAGATAACAGGCCAATTATGAGATAAAAACTGATGTTATACATATATGTATAAAGTTTGTTATTAATCTACGAAACAAAAGATGTTATCATAAAGATATACTCACTATACACTCACTACTAAGTAAGGATTACTCTACCTCTCTTTAACAAGTGGGGATTAATATACCTACTCTACTAAGTAGTACTACTATTACCAAGTAATACTCCCTTTACTAAGTGGGGATTACAATATACCCCCTCTACTAGGTGGGGATTACAATATACTCCCTCTACTAAGTGGGGATTACAATATACCCCCTCTACTAGGTGGGGATTACAATATACCCCCTTCTACTAAGTGGGGATTACAATATACCCCCCTCTACTAGGTGAGGATAACAATATACCCACCTCTACTAGGTGGGGATTACAATATACCCCCATCTACCAGGTGGGGATTACAATATACCCCCATCTACTAGGTGGGGATTACAATATACCCCCCTCTACTAGGTGGGGATTACAATATACCCCCTTCTACTAAGTGGGGATTACAATATACCCCCTTCTACTAAATGGGGATTACAATATACCCCCCTCTACTAGGTGAGGATAACAATATACCCACCTCTACTAGGTGGGGATTACAATATACCCCCATCTACTAGGTGGGGATTACAATATACCTCCTTCTACTAAATGGGGATTACAATATACCCCCTTCTACTAAATGGGGATTACAATATACCCCCTCTACTAGGTGAGGATAACAATATACCCACCTCTACTAGGTGGGGATTACAATATACCCCCTTCTACTAAATGGGGATTACAATATACCCCCTTCTACTAAATGGGGATTACAATATACCCCCTCTACTAGGTGAGGATAACAATATACCCACCTCTACTAGGTGGGGATTACAATATACCCCCATCTACTAGGTGGGGATTACAATATACCCCCATCTACCAGGTGGGGATTACAATATACCCCCTTCTACTAAATGGGGATTACAATATACCCCCTTCTACTAAATGGGGATTACAATATACCCCCCTCTACTAGGTGAGGATAACAATATACCCACCTCTACTAGGTGGGGATTACAATATACCCCCATCTACTAGGTGGGGATTACAATATTTCCCCTCTACTAGGTGGGGATTACAATATACCCCCATCTACCAGGTGGGGATTACAATATTTCCCCTCTACTAGGTGGGGATTACAATATACCCCCATCTACTAGGTGGGGATTACAATATACCCCCATCTACTAGGTGGGGATTACAATATACCCCAATCTACCAGGTGGGGATTACAATATTTCCCCTCTACTAGGTGGGGATTACAATATACCCCCCTCTACTAGGTGAGGATAACAATATACCCCCTCTACTAGGTGGGGATTACAATATACCCCCTCTACTAGGTGGGGATTACAATATACCCCCTCTACTAGGTGGGGATTTACTATACATACTCTCTAATAAATGGGGACGAATATTGATAAAAAAGATTTATTATAATTACAACAATAAGATAAGTATTTATCTACATATATTCTGACACAAGAACACTGCTTCTGTACAAGAATTAATATTAATACTGTTAACCCATGACAATACATACATGCAGTACATTATTTATAAAATATCACCATTATCCTCCAGATATTTCATACATGCACCATTTCCTATTTAATGTAACAGTTATATAGACATAAGTACTACTGGGGTAATTATTTCCCTTAAGGATGTAAGGTAGTGGGGGAGGGGGGGAGGGGGTAGGGTAGGGACAATCGTGAGGAGGTGTGTTACCAAACAATGAAATTACATTCAAAACACTGATGTAGGAAAAATTTCTAAGTAAAGATTATGTTTAGGTTCATACCATTCCAAATAAAGATAAAGTTCAAAACAGAGACCAAAACATTCCAAATCAAACTTCTATGTGTTACAAAACAAAGAGAAACTCAAAAACAGTACATGTACCAGATTTCCGTGCCATTAAGATAAAGGGATTGATGCACATTTGATCTCCCCTCACTAGAGGTATGTATCCCACAGGAAGGACAAAGAAGTCACCATGATTAATATATTTAGTTTTGATCAGTAACAATGCCCTACAGTCAACTTGTTTCACCTTTGTGTACTCTGAACAACATTTCATTTATGTATTTATTTCTATCCTGTGCAGATAAAAGGAAGCCTCTCTTCTTGTAAATATTTCATAAGTGTAAGCTACAGGACATATGTCGAGATTTTGGACTTTGTACATTGTTCGACTTTGTATTAGATGAGACTTTGTACTTGATGAGACTTTGGACTTGATGAGACTTTGTACTTGATGAGACTTTGGACTTAATGAGACTTTGTACTTGATGAGAATTTGAACTTGATGAGACTTTGGACTTAATGAGACTTTGTACTTGATGAGACTTTGTACTTGATGAGACCTTGTACTTGATGAGACTTTGTACTTGATGAGAATTTGGACTTGATGAGACTTTGTACTTGATGAGAATTTGGACTTGATGAGACTTTGGACTTGATTAGACTTTGGACTTAATGAGACTTTGTACTTGATGAGACTTTGCGCTTGATGTGACTTTGTTCTTTATGAGACTTTGAACTTGATGAGACTTTGTACTTGATGAGACTTTGTACTTGATAAGACTTTGAACTCGATGAGACTTTGTACTTGATGAGACTTTGTACTTGATGAGAATTTGGACTTGATGAGACTTTGGACTTGATGAGAATTTGGACTTGATGAGACTTTGTTCTTTATGAGACTTTGTACTTGAAAAGACTTTGAACTCGATGAGACTTTGTACTTGATGAGACTTTGTACTTGATGAGACTTTGTACTTGATGAGACTTTGAACTCGATGAGACTTTGTACTTGATGAGACTTTGGACTTGATGAGACATTGGACTTGATGAGACTTTGTACTTGATGAGACTTTGAACTCGATGAGACTTTGTACTTGATGAGACTTTGTACTTGATGAGACTTTGTACTTGATGAGACTTTGTACTTGATGAGACTTTGGACTTGATGAGAATTTACTTGATGAGACTTTGTACTTGATGAGACTTTGTACTTGATGAGACTTTGTACTTGATGAGACTTTGGACTTGATGAGAATTTGGACTTGATGAGACTTTGGACTTGATGAGAATTTGGACTTGATGAGACTTTGTTCTTTATGAGACTTTGTACTTGAAAAGACTTTGAACTCGATGAGACTTTGTACTTGATGAGACTTTGTACTTGATGAGACTTTGTACTTGATGAGACTTTGAACTCGATGAGACTTTGTACTTGATGAGACTTTGGACTTGATGAGACATTGGACTTGATGAGACTTTGTACTTGATGAGACTTCGAACTCGATGAGACTTTGTACTTGATGAGACTTTGTACTTGATGAGACTTTGTACTTGATGAGACTTTGTACTTGATGAGACTTTGTACTTGATGAGACTTTGTACTTGATGAGACTTTGTACTTGATGAGACTTTGGACTTGATGAGAATTTGTACTTGATGAGACTTTGGACTTTATTGGGTATTATACTTTGATACTCCCAATGATGAAGCTTCTGTTTTAGGCAGAATTCCCTCTCTGTGTTAATTGATTAAAACAGGCAAATTACCTACACTTTTACTTGATTACTGTTATGACAAGAAGGTTATACACAACATGAATATGTATATCTACTTAATAATTCATGGGTAGAAAAGAAAGATTTCAAAGAAAATATACGTAACTAGGGCAGTTAAGACCTTCTGAATATTCATATCTTCTAACACTTATTATAATATATTCCCTTTTAACACATTAGATATGTAGAGATACAAAGAAAAAGTCTAGAAACAAAGATGATGAAGGTAAAACTATATAAAAGTGACACTGATAGGACAATAACCAGTGTTTCTTGTGTTTATGATGATGACTGACGACACCAATTAAAATTAATAATTTTATATAAGAAAAATTGGTAAATTTAGTTGGATACAACGTACTAGTTACCAAATGAAACAAACATATAGAAATTAACAACAGTTCAGTTCCAATACCAAAAGTATGCAGCAGTATTTGTTGACTGATTGTTAGGGAGGATACAGGTGTAAAGTTAGAGTGAAAGCAGGATAATATCTGTTTCATGCTGTTAGACAGTTACCCAAAGAAATCTTCAACATATCTGTAAAAAGACATGGCAGTCATTGAAAAAAATTACTGTGTCAGCTTGGAAACATTCTGTTACAAAGCTTCATACAAATTATAAACCTACAATCATATCTGTCCCTGTTCTGAGTCAGTGGAAATGAATTAAATTTGAAGTTAAAGCTAAACGCATAGTCAGCAAAGCAGAAAAAAAAAATGTCAATGTCGACAACTCTCAGATATGATGGCTTAGTGTTCCTTGATATATATTTGAATTAAATTTTGAGGAATGTAAAACTTTAAGTGTTTAAACAATGTAGAAATATTTAAATAAAATGTTAGGAAAACGAACCAACAGACAGCCAAGCTGCAAAAGCATAAGATTTGTTCCAGACAAGCATGTGACTACAAAAGTCAGATATTAACGGGCTTTTGTTTGACTAAACAAGCATTTAGAGATTAATTAAACTTAAATCGGAGGTCTATTAAGAAAAAATCTTAAATAATGATACGAAATCCAAGTTTACAATATGTAAACAAGAGCTACAATCAGCTTTACGCTCAAAAATCCAATTTTCTAAACTAGAACTAAATGTGGAAACAAGAGAAAAACCTGACAAAAGAATCAACTCTGACAAGTTAAAATTAATGATTTTTGTAGGATTTTTTAAATTAAGTCTAGGACACTATTACCGAAATATCCAATTACTTAAAAAAAAATTATTTTCTACAGATTACACTGGTGTTTTAATAAACAATATAGGCAACTTATCATCTCCAAAGTTCTCTTTACCTAATTAATATGTTAATTCTTAATATTAATTCATATCTATTAATTTCTTAATATTCAAAATCACCAAAAACTACACAACATTCATAAAGCTATGAGCATTATACAATAACATAACATTACAACAACAAAGGGAATGACAACAATCTAGCTTTACATTTACAGATAACATGTGTAATTAGAACCAAAATCAGGAACAGCGAAAAGGAAACTGAAAGCTTTAAGCTATTTTGAAGTACAATAACTGATATCTCCTGAATGACATGTTTTTTTGCCTAATTTACTCCTTTGAATACTATCTCCAACATCTGACATTTTTCTAGGACTACCAAAGTTTTTTCTGTTTATTTTCCTCACTACAATATTCCTTTGCCTGACAACCTCCCATGAATGTAACGTTGCTTTGTGTAAGCAGTTGAAATGGTTGGACCAGTCCAACATGCAATTAAACTTGTGTACAGATGGTGAGACAGGACCAAATAATATTCAGTCCTGTACAGGTGTGTTCATTTATCAAAGAATATTTCTGTGCCACCTAGAAGATTTCAGCCAGTTTATGTGAAAGCAGCCACATATTTCCTTGTCTGATTAACTCCCCTGACTATCATATTTCCGTGATAACATTAATCTTATTAACATTCTTACAATTAAGGTTATCACATTTCCAAGATATCCTCCTTATTCATCACATTTCAACTATTAACTACCCTAGTAATGATATGTACAAAACAATATCTCTTTTATTTCCACATCAATGTTAATCAAACACATTAGTTTTTCGCCTCAATAACACTTTTTAAAAAAATTATCTCCCCTGAGTACATTGTTTCCTTGGTAACCATGCCTGATACATTTTCCCTGAATGGTTACCTCCCTTTTAATTCTGTGGTATTGTCTACTCACTTCATATTGAGGTCTGCCTGGTGCTCTATAAGAAACATAGCACTTGTTGTATCCTGTTTCTCTATAGCCTGGTGAAGAAGGCTGAATCCATCTGCATTTTTCTCGTTGATATTAGCACCTGCCCCGAGAAGTCGGTCAGCCTCAGAATGGAGTCCGCTCCAAAGGGCAAGTCCAAGGACTGTCTGGCCATCTGAGTCTTTTAGATTAAAGTTGGGAAGGATAAGGACATTGTCCTCACTGTGGGCTGCCTCTACTGTAAACACAATCATCACAAACATGACAACACAGGAAACATGAATGTTTTAAAAAAGACAGGATCAGATTTCTATTTCATAACACCTTCAACAGTCATATCAATTGTGTATAAAATGATGATGTATTTATTACATAGATCCTACAGATATTGTTATATTTGTGTTTTCCTTACCTTGTATTATTTGTTTATGAAATGTTATCCTCTTTACCTTTGTGTTGTAGGAAGATCTCCACAATCTCGCTGTGTTTGTTGACAAGGGCGAGGTGTAGTGGAGTTTGTAATGTAACTGGTGTTTCGTCCTGACCCAGCATCAGATCACTCATCGTAGACTTCCTAGTCTGGCCATTAGGGTTACCTCCCTTGCTTAATAACACTTCCACCAGTTTTGACAGTCCCTTCTGACAGGCTATATGTAGGGGATTTTCACCCTGGAAATAAATGTAGGTCATGATATGATTTATACTATATGTAAATAAATGTTTTTTTTAACCGACATTGAAATATAGGTCAAGGCTACAATTCAAAAGTAGGGCGATTCATCCTGGCAAAACAAACTTATGTTTGGGTTTTCAACCTTGCAATTACAGTAGCTTAAACTTATCAAAAAGGTTATTTCAGGCTATATAAACTTGAGTGAATACATAATTAAACTAAAAACTCACAGATAACTTTTTACTGATGCTATCTTTGTTTTATTTTAGAAGAAGAGGATTATTTCAACATCCAGCTCGTGTCCCAGAAAGTCATTCTTTCGCCTTTAATTCAAATTTTCATGTGACAATAATTTGTAAAGTGTAGTATGATTTGTGTATATATGTTAGATACTGTCTCAGAAGTTTTATCACTTTATGCTTACCTTGCTGTTAGAGAGATTCACTTTGGCCCCATGAGTGGCCAGGAATATCCCCGCCCTCTCATTACCAGACCTGGTGGCAAGGTGAAGTAGGGTATCTCCTTAAATACACAAGTCACATACATTACCAGATTAGACAGTTATCTGGGTATCATAACAAATAAAAAATTGCCCTAATATTTACCAAAAAATTACACATTTTCTCTTAATTGGAAGCATATTAATGTAGGAAATTCAACAAAATTATAACTTGATGTAAAAATATCACTGTCAATTAATTTTTGTATAATTTGTGTGCTTGGCCTGAAAATAAAACTAAAACTTGGTTACACATCTGGATGATAAATACAGGTTCCTAGTATATCATATAACATGCAACGACATGTTACCTGTCTCTGGTTCGATGGCATCTGGTGAACTACCCTTGTCAAGAAGCTGGGCAGCAAAACTTTGAGGACCATACACTGTCTGTACATCACCCTCCATATCTTCTCCCTACGAGGTCAAGGTCAACATAACAAATGTCAAGGTCATCAAACTAAATATCACAGTAAAGATTGACATATCAAGCATCAAAGTCATCTGTTTCAACGACATTAAGCATTTTTTAAATTTGCATAAGAAGAAATTTCACTTAAAAATATTTTCATTTATCCTCATTATCATATGACTAACAAATTTTGAAGATAAAGAATGAGACTTTTGACTATTTAGTCATGATCTGATTTACACTGGTGATATATCATCCCTTGTTATACAAACCTGCTGTAGTGCAAGCCATAATGCAGTATGGCCATCTGAGTTTTTCAGTTCAAAATGGATTTTGCCGCTGTTTAAAAGTGATTGAAACACTGCTACATTCTTACTGAACACAGCAGCATGGAGGGCAGTACTGAAACAAAACCAGAGTACTGAAAGTACTGAACACCACCAGTCAATTGTTACAAGTATTTAAAAATTGTTGAAGCTGGGGAATTCTGATAAGCCTACTTTTAGGAAAGCCATCTGCTGTTACATAATATGAAATTCAATCAACTGATCAGGAAAATGAGGTTGATCATAATAACCTGATTGCCTCTTCCATCCAGTTTTTCAATGTGGGACTAAATTACTAAAAGTAAGTGTTAGACCTTGTGACCCTTAGATCTCTGTCCTACTGATTTGCCAAATCCTAAAAAAATATCATTTTTAATTATGTGACCCCCCTGACCTGTGACCCACTGACCTTCCAGAGGTATCCTGATGGTTGGGGTCTGCACCATGCTCCATTAGTTTCTTTGCGATGTGTGACATCCCTGTGATTACATCTGGGCTGGTCACATCAGGGTTAAAGGTAGAAACCATGTGGAGAGGAGACTCTCTATCTAGGTGGGTTGTCAGAGTCACATCTGCTCTGTTACGTATAAGGAAATCTGCAGAAAACTCGTCACCTACAAATAAATCATCAAATTTTATAGTTTAAGAAAGTTTAAGAAAGTTTAGGAAGACCTGTCCAAATATTGATAATCTGCAGCAGGCCAGAGAGGAAGTTTTATATCATGGCAGGAAATGTCTTTAATACAGAGGACCTTCCATTATAACCTCACTGTTACGCCTAGTGTATAAAGAAGTTACCTCGTTTGATGGCCTTGTGTAGGAGACATCTCCCTGTGTTGTCCCGTCTGTTCACATTTACTTGGTGTTCCATTAATGTCTCTGCTATACTTGTCTGTCTGGACTGCAGGGCCAGATCCAAGGGCAGATCACCCTTGTCATCGACATCATTTAATTTGACAGATAACTGAAATTAGTTCAAAACATATCAGTTGCTAGATCCGACACATATTATTTTACATGTAACACTGTGTCTGTAAATGCTATAACAAATGTTTATAAATCTGTCATTAGATTCAATGTCAAGGACAATTTATGACTGTGAGAGTCTGATTATGAGGAGTTTATTTTTGGTGTATGATACAGTCAGAGGGGAGATCTGTAGTGTGTTTGAATTCTATGACTAGGCTATCTTTATAAATAACCATCCAAGCCTTTAAATCACTGATTGACATTCACATTGCTATCAAAACATAAACACAAGACAACTAATGAATTTGAGAGTTAATAAGACTGGCTTATTCCTCTGGGTATTATATCCTGTTAATAAGATGTCAAAAGTTGTTCTGATCTATGAACACTACTGATCCGTGTCCTTCAATTGTAAAATGGTTATCACATCTATTATGACCAAATTAGCAAGCAGCTATGAGGCTCCGTACCAGGTTTAAATGAAGGCTGTGCACTCTGAATTACACAATGGTGGCTTAGAATTTGCGAAAGTAAGTAACCTTGACCTTGTTTTGTTACTGAAAATGTAAAAGGTAGCTGTCCAGAACGAAAGTTGTTCTATTGTAGTCAGGGTATTTCCCTACCCCTAATATCAAGTTGTACCCCTACACATAGTAAATATGACAACTATCAAGGACATAAGCCTAACACTACGTAGGATGTCATATTTTGTAGAGCATTGTTCACTTCATAATTTTAAAGTTTGTGCAGTCCATACCTGAGAATCATACTCTATGAGGTATAAAAACAAGGCGTCCTCTCTTTTGGCACGTATTGTGGCATGGAGGGGGTATTCCGTTTTGGCTTTAAACATCTGGTACAAAAGCGGAGCTGGCATGTGGACGAAATCTTCACTGGTGAAATCATTCTACAACAGACAAATATTACTGAATTAGTCTGTAACACATCCCGTTAATGATACCCCAGAATTAAACCAATCATACTTGTATATACATTGCAAATAAAGTTACATGTAGATGAAGCTTACAGGTTGACAGGACACCAGCAACTGCTAATGAGATGAAAAACTATTGATAGGAAGAGTCATGTTGACAGGAAACATATAGAAGAAAAAGAAAATAAAGTTATCACGATTTTAATGTAAACAGAAAGAACAGATACACATTTGTATTACCCAGTGGTTAGATATCAAAGTAGAACAGTGTCCCTTCAAAAGATCAGCCCCGATTTCCTCCGCTGTCTGATAAAAGGTGATACAGTTCTTCATGTTTACAAAGGACATAAGGCCATTTTCACATCTGAAAATCAGTTCACAGAAATCATGTAAAATATGTAATATACCCAAAACACAGAAACTGTGTAAAAATATCCATACATACATCGAAATTAGATCACCACACTTGTACATATGTCATAAAAGTGTTGTTAGATCATGAAATATGTACATTATCGCGACATGTTGACACATTAGCATACCTTTCCTGTAGAGTCCTAAGTTTGAACTTTGTGGCTGCTCTGAGGAGTTCTAGCAGGAATTCACTGTCAGACCTGATGTCAATATCATCTGTGTATGCCCAGCGCAACAAGGCATGGGCAACTTCATACTTTATATCTGATATTGGAGAAAAAAATCACAATCCTTATTTTGAATATAACATGTGAAAGTATGGATAATGACATAGCAGAGCAGAAAATTGACACAAAATGTTTTCCAAAATATCTGAAACATAAACCAAGATTAAATAGCTACAATTTAAGAACAAAAGATTTAACTCTGAACACAGTTTAAAGGTTCCATTCTTCATCATAATCTCTGGTTACTGGCAATGCAACTATTTCCAATCATAATTCATGCCTCAATGCAAATGAAGAAATAGGAAATGTTCACAACATTAGTTACTTCAATATCTACAGCATCAAAGACTTACTTGAAAAATCCAAACTAGACACTTGACTCAAGTCTGGAACTCCCCAGTAATCACTCCTGGCTGCAAGGACGAAGCGATGACCATACACTTGCTTGGATCCATCTAACTGTATTTTCAAATCACTGCAATGTAATCAAATGATTTCATGAAGGAGTAGAGTATAGTTTACCATCTTAGGTCCACTGGTTTGGAAATTCATTACTTTATGTTTTGCAAAAGCAATGTACATAACAGAATCTAAAAATACAACCATTTCATTGACCAGAAAATGTTCTTGTTTTGTTTTCTTTGTGAAGTATATACCTATATAACTCCTTATCGAATAAGTCTGCCACAGTTTTAAGAAGTCTGGCTACAAAGTTATCATTTCCAACTTGTCCGGCACTTGCTGAAGCTATCTGGTACTTCTTCTCCACCTCAGCCAAGCGATTCTGCAGCTTCACATATTCCTCACGCAGCAAACTCAGGTGGTTCTGCAGTTTAGCCACCTCACCTTATGGAAAATTTAATTTATCTGTATAAGTATACATATCATACATCGATCTCTAAAACTTCAAGGAAGATAACTAAAAAATGTCTTTCTTACACCAGGGCTAGTACTAGTAAAAGTGGTTTCTGATGTCAGACAGTCAGGTGTCTGATATCCCAGACAGTTGTGTAAATGTGTGGACAATGTTGTATCCATATATCAGACATCTCTATATCTTAATGTTAGAACCACAGGAAACCTAAAACTCTACTTTGTGTTAATGTGAACGACAAATACATACTTCCCAAGAACTATGAAACATGGTTGTCATTTGAGTACATCTTCTCATTGTAGTCAACAGAACACACATCGAGTAATCATCAGCATTCCACAAAGTAAAGTATTAAGCATACATGTACGTGATAGAATGAGAGAATGGGAATTCCCTTTAGTTCAGCTGCATATATACAGCTGAACTAATGAAAAATACATCACTACCTCCTATAACAAAAGAGATTAGAGGTTGAATGCTTTGATGTTGGACATTACTATGTCGACTTTCAAGCACCTGTCAAAACCTTAAACCATTACCTCAAGTAAACAAGACGTGTATAAACATCTTTACACGATATTATATATCACTGATTAAGGCTGAACTAACGGACTTCTTATCTACAACATCTTCTCCATATATCAGTAAGCTTGCAGATCTCAGCTGCTAGATCAGACACTAGTCTGCAAAGTGAACATACATGGCATATTACACGAATATGTCATATGTGATTAACCCCACCCTCCCTGGTTAGACTGCAAATGTATCCACAGAGTAATATCTGCTGATATAATCACCATTATTTCACTGCTTGAAAAATGTTCATCACAAATTTAGAATATCTAGTTATGCTTCAAATTATAAATTTCGATTGTAGAGAACACAAAAGAAACTTCTACATTGAGAGCTGAAAGCAAGACATTGTAATTTACCTTCCGCCATTTTGTCCTTATTGATCATGTGACTTTCTCCAGAAAGCTACTATAATTAATTTTCTTCACAGTTTCGTACTTTCTGTTCGCCAAGCTAATGACGAAAGTTCGACGCTCAGCAGGGTCAGGAATAATATTTTTTATGGATTTTCCTCCTGTGGTAGTGTTGAACACCAAAAATTATATTATCAAAACATTTACTAGCATACACAATCTTTTATTTTATTCGTTTTCATAAAAAAATTCATATGTTTTGTATACAAATCTGTACATATTTATCCTGAATAAATTTATTATTATTATTACCCAATCATCGTAATATTTATGCATTTGTGCTGTTTATGTTCCAGATACAGGTGCTGTTATATGCATAGTTTTCTCTGCAGAACACAAAAATAAGAGGCACAAAAGGCCTGTATTACTCACATACCAAAAATGCAACATATATGCACAGACTTAGGACTTCTATATTTAAATCTGTGACATATATGTCAAAAATCATTATGTGCTTTATAATCCTTGTTCAAACTGCCAATGTGAATGATAAAGAATGGGGTTTGCAACTAATAATCAGTGCTCTCAATATTCTAGTTTTCTATAAATCCAACCACACAGAACTTGAATGTAAACTATTTTGAGAAATTCTGTAGCATTCCATCCCAGGTACTTATTTGCAAATTATCAGATTATCTCTTGGTCTTGTGGAACTAAAAAAGACATTGAACCTACAACCCCGATATTATTACTTATCTTAGATATAATGGTCTTTTATAAGTATATGTGGAAATTTACAACCCCTTAACGAACATACTTAAATCCCCTTCCCTGAAATTTATCCTGAATTATCTACAAATCATTTCTTGTTACAAAAAATTAATTTCATAAATGTCTGTTTCCCATATTATCTACCTTATCTTCCTTTGCATGACAACTTCATTACCGAATCGCCTGTGACATGAATCCTCTATACTGTATGAAGAATCCTGGCCTTGTTTGTAAATATGAGAACTGTGATGTCAATATTGCATCATTAATTGTTTCTAAAATAAATATCTACATATTTTGCTAAAAAACATTAAGTAACACTACTTGATCAGATTTGATACACTTGCATTTTCTAATGTCAGTCTACTTGTTGGTTTTCTTTTTTGCAATACTAAAAGAAGCCCCATATATAGACATTACACATAGACATACTGTATCATTAGATATAAACTTATTTTGCCATGATTGAAGCAGGCAAGTGGCCTTACTAGAGTATCCAGAGAAACCCCACATTGTCAGGCAGGTAACCCCAAGTTGTCAGGCAGGCAGCCCCACATTGTCAGGCAGGTAGCCACATGTTGTCAGGCAGGTAACCCCATGTTGTCAGGGAGGTAACCCCACGTCAGGCAGGTAACCCCAAGTTGTCAGGCAGGTAACCCCACATTATCAGGCAGGTAGCTGCACGTTGTCAGGCAGGTAACCCCATACCCTTCCACTTTCATTCTGGGAATCAAAACTGGACATCTCAGTGAAAGTAAAATGTATACCAATGTCCTATCCGATTATCTGATGTACCATCAACTATTAGTGTACAGAAGTGTTCCAGCATTTCTCATTTCTCCACTGATCTCATTCCTTACGTAGAGAATTGTCTACAACATTGTAGGTTATCTCCATAAAAGACGAATACTAATTGATGGAATGCATTATGACTTATTAACACATCAGCTATTTCAGTCCCGTCTTCTCACCACAGCGAAAGGCAACAAAAGAAAGAACAAATAATAATAACATCAAAAACTAAGATTTCTTTTTTTAATTATGTTCATAAAATATTGCTACTAACATTGTAAATGTTACAATATCTATATGTATATAATAAATTATTTAAATATGGTTGTATATTAGTATCAAATAACAAGTTTGTATGCACCTGGTACATTCAACAAAACAGAAAAAAAATATTTTAATAAAAATACAAAAATTACAGTGAAGTGTAATGCATTCTATGTTTGCCGGTGTAGAACATGTCCAGCCAAATCACAATTTAACCTTATCCATTCACAGACCTTTCTATAACATTCCATACACACAATACCAGTCTACTGACAATAATATAACAGTGACTGACAACTGATTCCCTGGCAACAGTATAACAGTGACTGACAACTGATTCCCTGGCAACAGTATAACAGTGACTGACAACTGATTCCCTGGCAACAATATTACAGTGACTGACAACTGATTCCCTGGCAACAATATAACAGTGACTGACAACTGATTCCCTGGCAACAATATTACAGTGACTGACAACTGATTCCCTGGCAACAATATAACAGTGACTGACAACTGATTCCTTGGCAACAGTATAACAGTGACTGACAACTGATTCCCTGGCAACAGTATAACAGTGACTGACAACTGATTCCTTGGCAGCAATATTACAGTGACTGACAACTGATTCCTTGGCAACAACATTACAGTGACTGACAACTGATTCCCTGGCAACAATATAACAGTGACTGACAACTGATTCCAACCCTACACCAGTATAAAGCCTGTGAATTCTAAGCACCTGTACATATAAAACCATCACCACGGTTACACTGTCATTACTGTACAAAAAGAACCTATGTGCTATATAAACTGTGTAAATCAAACCATCACCAAGTTACATTGTCTTCATTATTACATAAACTAATTCAAGTTCAAATCCTGCATAAACAATAATTTTGGTCCATGAATACTTTCCTTACATGTTAGGTTATAACATATCCATACATGAGTTAATACATACCTCCGTCCTCACTAAAACATTTCAGGTTGAACAGAGGATATTGCATGTTTTATAATAAAAATCTATGTATATTTCAGCTAAAAATATAGGACTAGATTAAAAGCATGTTTCTCCATACAACACACTGTGAACACTGCTAGATAATTCCAGGTATGTGTCTTGTTAAATGCCTTAGTGTACGTAGTGAAGAGCAGTCGCACATTCCTTCTTAACGTCTCCACTGAGTACTTTTTAACACTTATCACAATTTCATTAGAAGTTAACAATTACAAGAAATCAGAGTCTACAGATCTGTGATTTTAATGCTCCTCTTGATAGCTGAAATGTCCTATAGATTTGGGAAACTGAGGATCTCTTTCCCATATTGATGAAAATAAAGCTAAACTTAAAAAGTAAATATGATTTGAACCTGTTGATATTTAGGTCAATACTTTTCAGGAATTTGAAGTATTAAGAATTATATTTTTTAACCATTTCACTACGTTCTATCCATGTCAGATCTGAACAGAACCTCAATGGAAAATAATCATGTTGAAAAAACTAAATTTGAATTCCATTTAATTTCTTACAAAATGTAAAAATTAACAACTAATTTCAAAACCAATTTGTACTTTCATGTTTACAATGTAGTGTTGACAGGCTACCTCTAAAAAGTTGTTACTCAACTAAATAAACATTTTCAACTGAGGAAAAGAGGCCTGACATTTCAGGTAATAAAATAATCAAACTTAAACGATATAACAAGAAACAAAAACTATGGTATAATCACATCAAAACGAGTAAACATATAAAATAACAGAAGCATATCTTGTACAATGTGTACACTGTATCAGATCTCAGTACAAGTAAACTTTATATTCTGTATCAGATCTCGTTACAGGTAAAATATATATTCTGTTTTTGACCTCATTACAGGTAAAATATATATTTTGTATCTGACCTCATTACAGGTCAAATATATATTCTGTATCAGACCTCATTACAGGTCAAATATATATTCTGTATCGGATCTCAGTACAAGTAAAATATATATTCTGTATCAGACCTCAGTACAGGTCAAATATATATTCTGTATCAGACCTCAGTACAGGTCAAATATATATTCTGTATCAGACCTCAGTACAGGTAAAATATATATTCTGTATCAGATCTCATTACAGGTAAAATATATATTCTGTATCAGACCTCATTACAGGTAAAATATATATTCTGTATCAGATCTCAGGACAGGTAAAATATATATTCTGTATCAGACCTCAGGACAGGTAAAATATATATTCTGTATCAGACCTCAGTACAGGTAAAATATATATTCTGTATCAGATCTCATTACAGGTAAAATATATATTCTGTATCAGACCTCATTACAGGTAAAATATATATTCTGTATCAGATCTCAGGACAGGTAAAATATATATTCTATATTATGTATCAGCTGTGGTTTAACCAGTTGATTTACAGGTTGTGGTTTAACCAGCTGATTAACTAGCTGTGGCTTTCATTTTTATTATGGTATAATACTTCAATGAACCTTGGAGTAACATTTACAATCCAACAACAACCACAACAAACATCAATGTTTTAGGTTACCATGGCAATACATCTACTTAAATCTACATTGAAGGTTACTGTGGTGATACGTTTATGTAAATATACATTTTCATCTGAAGTGACCATGGTGATACAGCAATTTACATCTACACTGGAGGTACACTGTAGCTATGGTAATACATCATTGTAAATATAAATATTTATCTGAGCTAACCATGGTGGTACATCAATGTAAATATATGTTTTCATCTGAGGTTACCATGACAAAACATCAATTTATATTTACCTGCGAAATTACCATGGTGGTACATCAATGTAAATACATGGTTTTTATCTGAGGTAACCATGGTGATACATCTATGTAAATATTCATCTGAGATTCAGGTTACCATGGCAATACAGCAATTTACATTTACCTCCGAAGTAACCACGGTGGTACATCAGTGTAAATTTGCATCAGAATTTCAGTTTACCATTTTGATACATCATACATACACACAGTACGTAATACACATGGCTTTGTAAACAAATGAAATGAATAACAGCAACAACCTTTAGAAGTCTTTCACAACATTACATGAAGGAATTTTGCATGATTTTTAAAACTGGTAGGATCTACTATTTAGATGAATAATATCCCTTACTACAAAACATCACCAGCTTCATCCATTCTATTATCATATAAAATTATCATACACTTCTGATTATTTTTACCAGGTCCACATTTCAGTTTATGAAATAATAATCGAATACTGACCATTTGTGACATGGCTCTGGTTTATGTTACAAAAGACAACAATACCTTATTCGTCATGACCTGGCATTGCGTAAACGGTGCAAGTCATTAAATAACATACATTTACAGAATAACTATTAAGGAATGGTTACAGATGATGCACTCTAAGTTTAAACGTTGAAATATCATTCAAGAGCCATCCACATGACTATTGCACTAAGGATTGCAGTACCTCTAAATACAGAGATATTATAATGCTGAGTTTTATTACCGATTAAAATATAAGTGGCAAAGTTATTGCATGATTGAAAAACAGGTATCATTAACACCGATAGGCTTTGTTTTCTCTTTTTGCTTTTGTTCAACCATCAAAGTTTTCAATTATCTATTTATTTGTTTGTACAACCATCAAAAAATTAGTTAATATTTGTATTGAACATACTTTTTGATTTTTTTAACCTATCATACCTTGTATCTTGCCATTTACATGAATCTACAATCTACCGGTAATCATAACCATCACCATCATTTTCACATTCTAAATACAAACAAGTTTTGGTCTGTTAATGTAGAAACATATATATATATACACACAATGTATATATATTTGAGGACATTTTGCAGTTAATAAATATACATAATAGCACCAACATAACAGTATAACTAAGTAATTTTAAAAGAATTCTCCTCCAGTGTCAACAGAATTTTCCTAGTTCCAGTCAATTCAGCAGTATTCTCCAGAGGTGTCTGGCACCATTTCATCAAAGTCTGCATCCACCTGTTCCAGTATCCATGGTGATTCCTCGATCACAACAGAAATGAGGCGGTCCAGGTACACCTTCTGACGACTGGCTTCTTTCACTATCTCCTTTAGTGAATTCATCAGTTTTTCCTGCGAGGTAAAAACAGAGAATGCAATTTTTGTTCAGGATGAGAATCAAACAACACTCTGTTTATTTTTTCTAGCAAAATACATAGCTAGTAAAATGGAAATCAGCTTATAAAAGTGTTCAATCATGATAGCTTTTTAGAGAGGAAAAATATTCACACTGAAGAAATTTTCATCATCAAGCAGTAAAATTTTTAAAATAATGCTTTAAAAGGCTATTGAATATTCTAACATATATGGAGACCATTAATGATGAATGCAATCATTTTGCCAACATACACCTCTTTGTCAACACTTATGTGTTATGTGAAGGGAATTTGAGTACCCTTGTTGTACAAAAAATTCTTTTGTCTGTTGTTGTGTCATATATAATTTTATGGTACTCCTTTCTCTCAAAATGAGAAAAAAGTACATCCCATATTCTAAATGGTCTCTATTAATTAATGCATACTGACCTTGGAAGCACCCTCGACTTTCAGGCTGTCCATGGTCATTTTGTAATACTGTGATTCTCCTTGTATGGACACACCTGTGTTAAGAAAAAATGTACACCTATAAACAATATATCTCTTCACCTGCATGGGGCTAGTAGTTACATTAAAACAGCAGTAAGTCTGGTCAAACAGTCAAAATGTTGTGATTTGTGTAATGAATCCGAAAATAATTGGTGTGGAGTTGACAGAAATAAAGGCAGATAGTTTTTCATTGTTATAGTATAGTAAAGCATGCACTATATCAATTTAAAGTTATCTAGATGTATTGATTAAATATACAATAATTAATTTTTCCTTTGTGACAAATGTTGCGGCGTGCAAGGTATCGTGGCCAGTCAAAAATGTTGTTCACATACTTTTTTTCCCAATGAGAATTTTCAAAAGTTGGCAGGTGTGCTTTACTTATTTTATGTGAGATTGTTTCTTTGACTTATCATCAGCAGTAATATTCAGAAAGAGTCAAATAATGGTCATCAACACAAAAGGGGTACAGTAAGGAAAATCACTCTATAAACACACAGACCAGGGACTATGAGCTGAGGTGTGTTATAAGGTACAATAAGGGGTTTCTTATTTCATAAACACAGCTTTCCTGGACTGGGAGTGCTGATGTAATATACAAAAACAGAAGGGGTACAGTAAGGGGTATTTCTCTATGAACACAAGTTTTCCTAGACTGTAGCAGGTATGATAAATAACAACAGAAGGGGTACAGTAAGGGGTATTTCTCTATGAACACAGTCTTCCTAGACTGTAGCCGGTATGATAAATAACAACAGAAGGGGTACCGTAAGGGGTATAACTCTAAAAACTCACCCTTCCTAGAGTGTGAATGAAGGTCTGTAGCAGCCTTTAGTGCTGAATCCTTTTGGCGTCGGAGTTCCCAAATACACTCCTCTTTGGTTGTCAGTTCTCGTTGTAGGCCTTCAATAACACCTTGTTGATCCTTCACCAAATCTTTCAGTTCCACCAACTCATCCTGACAAAATATGAAGTGAAATTGTCTGTTTATATACTTATTGCACAAGCAATTCCTTGTGGGTGTTGTTTTTCATTGTCTAATCCTCAAACATTACTTTAAAGGCAAAAATATCTGTGAATGCCATATAGCCATACAAATAATTATTTCATTCAAAGTGTTTATTATCATGGGTTGTCTTTAGCCATAAACATGATCAAACAAAATGAGCAATTAAAATTGAAGCATAGTAAATACTAGAATGCCTGCAGAAACCTATAACACACTTGACATCAGAATGGAGTATATTAAATGCTGAAGTACATCTACACATTGTCTAAGAAAGAAACTTTTTTCTCAAAGTTTAATCAATCAAAGTTTTGCTAAATTTAGTGTAGAAATTAATACCAACAACATTATCTCAAGAGAATACCTGTTTTTAAGGTTTGGTCAATATATCTTACCTGTAGAGAACACCTGTTTTTAAGGTTTGTCAATATATCTTACCTGTAGAGAACACCTGTTTTTAAGGTTTGTCAATATATCGAACATCTGTTTTTAAGGTTTGTCAAAATATCTTACTGGTAAAGAACACCTGTCTTTAAGATTTCACAACATATCTTATCTGTAGAGAACACCTGTCTTTAAGGTCTGTTGATATATCTTACCTGTAAGGGAACACATGTCCTTAAGGACTACTGATATATCTTACCAATACCTGTTGAGAGCACCTGTCTTTAAGGTCTGTTGACATATCTTACCTGTAGAGAACATCGGTCTTTGAGATCTGTCATTTCCTTCTGTGGTACACCACGGATAATCTGATCTGGATCCATCTCCTGTCCTTGCATATCTGTCAACACCTTCCTTAAGTTCCACCAACGCTTGTCTGCAAGCTCTTCACTGTTTCGTAATTCCAATTTCCTGTGATAACAAGTGATCAACCTTCATCTTTATGCAATTATAATAATTTTACTTTAATAATGTAATAACTGTTGTTTGTATATCCAGACTTATTTTCTCTTTAGTCAAACAAATTATAGGAGACAAATTCTATTACCAACAAGCTTAAATATGAATATCGCAAGACGTTAATCTGTCAGCTACCTTGCTTTATGATCTGACCCTTAATATAACATGCACAATTACTGGCCAAGAGAACTCATGTGGGATATTTGAGAGACAACTCTCCTGTACATTAATAATTAGTGCCCATCTCTCTGGTTGAATGTTGGAGGAAAGAATTAATCTTTTAAAACGACACAATCACACTGGCTTCTTCTTTGCTTTGTCTTTGATACTTCTACTTACTTCATAACTAAAACAGAAACAATACAATATGTAACAGTGCTTCATGACCAGAAACATCATATCCTAATTACCGGACTGTGGGGTCACACCAGACAACCAACTCTACTTCTTCACATTGTTGTATCACCCCTTCCACCAATCGCTGGACATCGCTCGTAGTCAGTGGCAACAATAGTTGACCGTTCATCTCCAGAACCCTGAAATTAAGACCAGAGATTATACAACATTAATACACATATTATGTGACATCTGTCTTTTCCTGAGTGACAATGCTTTTGACTGGCCCCCAAATCATCATGTAATGCTAGTTTCATTAACCAAATAAATTCCTTTTCTCAATAATTATTTAAAATCTTGCCAATGTAATACTATCGACTTCTCTGAATCAACCATAACATTCAGTTTGAGGGATGTTCCATACACAATATGAAATGCATTACCCAAAATTTGTCAAAACTCTGGGGAAAAGTTGGAAATAATTGATTTGCAATCAAACAGAGCATTGGTTCATAAGAAAAGTTAATATTCAGAGGTAGGTGGTACATAACGCTAATTGTTTTACAAACTGACAGTTGAAGAAAGTGGTACTCTCTCCTTGGCTAAATAGATTAATTATGAATTTGCATATCAACAATAATTACTATAAAAACAATAGTTAGAAACTGTAATTAACACAATCATGTTTCAGTGCAACACTTTCATAGCAAAAGTGCTTAAATAAGATTCAGATCATGATATGCTGATAATAATCTTGTTTCCATGGTTACCAGTTACTAGGAGGAAATGATACAGCTACGACCTACCTGTCTCCTGCCTTTACACTGCCATTACTATCATTTTCCTCCAATGACCCAATGATCAAATGACCTTTGTTGTCCACTACGAAGGTCATCCCAAACTGACCGCTTGTCTTTCTTAGGTGGATGCAACAAACTTCTTGAGCCATTTTTCCATCAAACATGTTGTACAAAGAAAGTTTACCCACAGGCTTTGTCTGCAATTTCTGTAGAGGTACGAAATCAAGATTAGGTGACATTATTATTGAAGTTACAGGGCTCTCACACACCATTTTTGGACTGGGGCCCGGGGTCCTTAGAATTAGAAAAAATAATGGTGTTTTCCTTAGAACTGGGAAAACTTTGGGTCTAAATTGGGAAAAAAAGATACTACTTTGCATTGGGAATGGGGCTGAATATCGGCCCCAAATCTGGCAGATCGAGAGCCCTGAGTTAATACCAACTGTCTCTAGTAAGAAATGTCTATACAATTAGTTCTAATTCAAATAATTAAAGAAATTGACCTTGATTTACTAATTTGCATGATCCAGATCTGTATTAGCAATACGGGAAATATTATATCCTCCTGGTCAGTCTATGACATATGTTCTCACCTTCCTGACAGGTTTGTTCAGCGTGCCTCCTCCACTTACACTAGACTTCAATGATCCTGTGCTGAAATACCAAATAATATGCTCAACAAAATGTTGTAAGAAATTATTAACTTAACTTTTCTGAGGTTAACTGGACTTTGAACTGATAATCCTTTTTGCATTACTTTCTGAAGATATTCAAGGTTTGACTTCAGAGGATACATTTTCAGGACATTCAAGGCAATTCAAGTTAGGATCAAAAAGGTTATCATTATTTCTGGAAAATTGATATTTGAAAAGAATTAACAAGACGCAAACATCAGTATTTTCTAAATAGTTTGATGAACCATGGGGAGATTCTTAGACACATTTAGTATTTTATACAAAAGTACAGAGTGTTTTTAAAGGTCAGTTTCAGGATCCTCAACATAAAATCTGTAATCAGTGGCTGTGATTTGACGAAACAAGTATGATGCATGAACTAAACGTATTCTTAACCAGCTGCCCAGAGGAACATACTGACCTTGAGCATGAGTCTCCACCAGGTGAATTTTGACGAATAAATTTGTCGCCACGTGGTGATCTGGACGCTGTATACCCATCACCACTGAGAACTTTTTGTCGACGGAGTGTGACAAGTCCTTCCCTTAAATCCCCTTCTCTGACATCTGACTCTGACTTTTTACGGAGTTTTGGTGTAGGTGACGAAGACGACGGGGATGAAGGTATAGTAGAAGGCTGACTAAATGTCAAGACAACTGGCACACTTTGTGAACGATGGAAGGCACTCGACTTGTCTTTGGCAAGAGTGATGGCTGCTTGGTACTTCTGGTGCTCCACAGGAGTCTGTAACCGATGGGTGTCGTCCTCATCTGTTTTCTGTTCCAGTCTCAGTAACTCATATACCTCCGCCAGGAGGAGTTCTCGGTCCTCTAAACTGATATGGTCATAACCCTCTGCAACATAAAATTTATATCAAAGTGCTGACAAGGTGATGTTTTCCTTTCAATTCAATCATAATTTGATTTTCATTTGTAAATTTGTTAAATTTTGATCTACTTATATTTCCAAGAATATCATAAATGAAAGATTCCAGCCAAATATTCAATGTATTACCCTCAATAACGTGCAAACAACAGGTACAATTTACTCGTAAAAATACTTTTGCATTGACTTAAAATCTACTCTATATTTCCAGGGTTTTCCATAAGAGCCGGTCGCCGGCCAATTTGACCGGCTACTTTGATCATTTGGCCGCCTACACCAATCCAGTTCCGTAATAATGTTCCATACACGACTACACGTACATGGCAGGCCAGCCTCCTACTTTCACTACACAGCCTACTACTAACAAAATTATGGAAAACCCTGATTTCATACATACTAATAATTGTTAAGTAAACAAGATGTGCCAGTGTGACATGAATACACCTATAGCAGCAAATGAAACAGAGAATTTTTAAAGTTCAAAGGAAAACACTTTACCTACACATTTTCATGATACAGCAACCTACCATATTTCAATTCAACATCTCCATCATATGTCAAAGAGTAAACATCTAAAAACCAACTAATGGTAGTCTGGGATAACAATATTTTCTGATCACTATCTGTATTTTGAAACTTACCCAGAAATGGCAGCTGTAGATCCACTAAGTTTATCCCTGCCACATGGTGCCCTAACAATACATGATTGGTATAATGTCAGTCACCAAAAGCAGTCTCACTTGTTGCAGTAATGATATAAACAAACTTGACAATGTGATATAGCAGTAACATGACATAAACTGGTCTTGTTCTTGTCTCTCAGTTTAGAGATGAAGTAACAGCTTAATATTATTATTTTATCAATGTGTAATATATACTCTCTAAAATACTAATTGAGTAAATTGATCTTATCAATCATGTTATGGGTAATAAAAAATCTTGATAAATATTCTTATAATTATCCTATGCAAACTTGTTAAATCTTTTGTCATTTGTTTGTCCAGGGACCTGTTTGTTTAGCGACAAACTGATTCCTTGGTAATGTAACTGTAACGTTTCCGATATAAATTGAGACAGATTTGCAGAGATTAATACAGGCCTTGAAATGCTTAGTTGTAGCTCACCAGAAAGCAAAATATGATTTCATAAACAAACAACCCTGGTGCAACTGGTCAACTAAACATTAATCATAACCTGGACTAGATTTAACTCAAGAATTGTATGATCAAAATGTAAAGTGCCAACAGCTACGTACATGAATGATGTTATAGCAGACTTACGTTGGAACAGAAGGATAAATTTGTGAAGTTTTCTGTTTTCTAACCACCGGATAACATCCGAGGTGCTCCACTGCTTCAACTGGTGATAAGCAATATACCGCATTTATTAGTTGTATTTCACAACTGTGAAAAACATCAGTGGTAAAGATAAATAATTGTCTGTATATTCCTTTGTATTATGATGTGAAAATGCTGTAAATTTTAAACACAGTGTAAAGAAATTTTTACAAATTAAAGTTAAATTCCAATAACTTACATTGATTGAATATCACATCTACCAAATTCAGTAGATTTAACACATACATATCATGTAATGATTGCAATTTCTTCCATGCTTTTTCGAGACAGAATATCTTACAATTTCTTTTATGCATTTTCATGACAAAACATTCTACAATCAACAATTTTCTGATATTCCAAACGATCTGAAACATTGATTTTTTTTTCGAGAGAACAGAAGATTATATGGCTAAAGAGACCACTAATTTTCGTGTGAAGTTTTTGGATGAGCTAACCTGTCTTGTGAAGGACTGCTCTCGCTGGACTGTGCACTGGGGCTCTGACGATCTTCTCTGCCCATCTGTAAGGAAGTTATATGCAACAATAATAAAATGTGTCACTCTCTCCAAACTTATACATTACATCAAAGTCGACTAGCAGTTGAAGGTCAAATTTTGAGACATTTATCATTTTCTTAAAGCTCAAAACAGAGATGGCAAATAGCTTTTTTTTCTATACCATATACAAGTATGCCATATGAAGACTGCAACAGCACAATTACTCTAATTCACCATACATAAAATTGAAACATGCCTCCAATCAAATTGATGAGAAACTTTGAATGATGTACAAAAAGTTATATCCATAAATGATTGTATGAAAATACATGTACAGTAGAAACTGCCTTAAATGGTTTCCAGTTGTATTAACAAATACTGTAAAGTTATATGTACAATTGTACATTTATGATTGGATGAGAGACATTACGAGTAAAGTCAACACTAAACAATCCTTGATTTTACATCTTGTTATAAAGGATAAAGTGATATTCGCATAAAGCAAAAAGGTCAAGAGGTGACAGTGTATAGTATGGAATTAAGCAGGAAAGATTGACAGGAAATTAACAAGATCAGTTTATACCTTGACTAGTGGTTGTATTTAACCTATCAGAATGCAGTAATTCATCTGTGCGCTTCTGCTGCTGTTGCAGTTCGGACAGTGTTGTATCAATCCTCTGCTCCTGTTCCATGTTGACTCGTTGTAACTGTGCCAGGTTACTGGTCAACTTCTGAGATGATCGTTCTAAGTCTTGTCTTCTTATTGACATTTGCTACATTAGGTCAGAAATGTTTTATAAGTATAAACTGTATTTCACTGTAAATGAGCCCCCTCCCGCAAATAAGCCCCCCCCACCACTTTTTCAAATTTGTCAGGAATAGGGGGGCATTCGCAATTAATCCAAGATGGCAGACACACGTACATCTCGTGAACATGGGGATTGCCCGCAAATAAGCCCCCTCCCCTCTTTTGACAAGTCTTTTTGAACTGGATGGGGGGGTGGGGGTGAGGGGCTTATTTGCAGTAAAATACGGTATATACACTGTAGGACATGTACAACACATATATGGTATATCAATCATGTTCAGGAAAATATCATTCTGTTAAAATGTCTGATAGTCGTAACTCATGCATCTTCAACATCACTTCAAATGATTCACTTACAATGGATAATTTGCATATTACATTCAAACAAAATGATAAAATGAAATGCAGGCAGCATTTAAATGACTTCAAAGCAGGACAATACAACAGAGATCAATGGATGGTAGCTTATATATTATGGGGGTCATAAATCTATGGCAGGACTACATAGAACTAAAATATTTCTAAAAATTGCCATGAAAATATGTTGGGTTAGGATGTATTCTTCTAAATCAGAATATCTGTTAATAAAGTACCAAAAACATGGAACATGTACATCTTTAAAAGTTATTACAATAATTAACTTGTTCTGGTTGTTGAAAATAATCTTAGTATGCTATACATGTACATATATAACCGTTTTATACACCTCTTCACTATGTGCCTTTATCATTACATTTGTTTTATTGATGTACATCTTAGTCCTTCATGATTATGCTAGTTTACTTCGATATTTGTGATTTTTATATCATATGTGATGCTGTAATCTTAATGTTGTACATATTGTACAATTTACTGTCGACCACTTGTTAGAAGAGTCTTGTACTCAAAGTGTTATTGACTCTTAAATAAAGTAATTTATTATTATCATTATGTTGTGATGCTAGATCCTTCACAGTTAATTTGTCTACAATTCACTGAACAGTTATTGCAAATGTGAAATTAATTCTGGGTAACACTTGTACCCAACAATCACTTGAACAGTGCATATCTATCAACGGCACAAACATCAAAACACCAAACCAACCATCTGACAAAACTGCATGCCAACAAACATTCAGTACTGCTAGAAATCTAAATTCCGATTTATTTACTTTTCATCTAGTTGATAGCTGGGCTAGTGATGTGGTCATCCTGTAGAGGATTGTACTCACTCCTTACTCTGTTGTCCTCTTTTTACTATTTAAACAGCTCCTCCTTTACTCCCCTTCTACTTTAAATGATTTTTCATCTCTAAATACTCAAACATTTTTTACAGGTTCAGGAAAATATGACCAAATATGTTTTTATGTTGATTTAGAGATCCATTGATACTGGACACCGGTTATAAGTAAATTTGATTTTTCATTCATCCATCAGTCTACTAATACTGTCCGAGGACTGGGTCTGTTTGTCAACTTTATGAACCTTGTACAGCATTGTGAGTATGTATGGACTGTTTAAGTCTATGTCTGCCTCCATCTGAAGTGATATTTCTGCACTTAATCTTGACACAGTTGTGACACACTTTTTACTCATTTATCATAACTGATGTAGTGTTTCCTTTCCCTATTTAATTTCTCTATTCATTTAAAGATATATTCTTGATTCTAATGTTTCAATGCTACTTAACATCATTTGGTAATTTTCTGATAATTTGATTGGTGTGTCTGTATACTTGTTAATGTCTGGAGAGGGCTTTCATCAGACTGTGCCTCCTGTTTAAGACTTCTTCATATATTTTATAGTCTTTTTTAAATTTAACATGCCCTCTTTGACCAGCCACCTGAAAAGGCACATATATGACCTACAAAGCATACCTGGTAGCTGAACACACTACAACACATTGTTACCATCTTGTGTTCAACTCCATAATCTGTAAAGATTTTGTCACACTATTTTCTACCTTGGTGTACATAGGATTATAGTACAGCCGGAAATCTTGGTTGATCTCTTACCAACTTGTATACAAAGTATGTCAGTGCTAGTATACTTCACACTGGTCATTTGCCTGATGAAGGTGACAGGGTAGTCATCAAAATGTCACATTTGTTGTTTTATAAAAAATTATATTCCAGTTAAAAGAAAAAGTTCCATGAAAAAGACTTCATTACTACTGAACTTTCGGAAAAGTTTTCAATGGAATTGTTCAATCATGTGTAATTTTGAAGAAAGAAAATGGACAAAAGCTCCATACACTGCCAACATGTTGTCAATTATTTCTTCATACTTACTTTGAGAACTTTTCGGGGCTGTCCATGAAACCCTTGCATCTCCATGGCAACTATATAAATGTATCTTTTAAGGACTCACAAAAGACAGGAGTATCACAGACATTCTACATGCTTGGTTAACAGTACTGACACATGCATTGTGTTATATCAGGCTCCATGCTGTGGCTACTGGTGTTAGCAGGCACGCTGGCCGTGGGACATGCCTTTCACTAGTCTATAGAGATAACATCATAAAAATATGATTAAAGAATTCAGCATCAATACCGTAGCCAACTAAATATATGTTCTTCAAGTAGTTTTGTTGTAGTGAAGTCAAAATTTACTGCTAGATATTGTACATATTTTTTCTTGTTTTAGCAAAAAGTCATAATTCAACCAACGTTTGATATTCACTGTAATAGTAATTTAACTGAACATGAAATTTATTTACTTTTAAAGCTGTCACCATGACAAATCATGATAGCAAGGTTCAAGTACCTTTATGACATTGAATACGGTACCAGAATAAGCAGACATCTAGCTGGGATAGAAATTAAACTCTAAAGTGATACATGTAAACAGATCTAGAAATACACAAGCATGGATGTTGACAGACTCAGTGATGCATTCCACATGGAACAAGCAGTGCTGTGTACTATTAGCCAAATTACAAGCTAGGTGCTATGGCATCTTACTAAACTTAAACAGGTCAGAATACACTAAAGCAGCACACACTATCTCAATTTACAAGTATTTAGCCTACTGTTATTGTGTTATTATTGATAAGAAAGTCCTTCCGAAACCTCTTATTACTTATCCTATTGTCTACAATATACTCCGGAACAAACACTAGAAATACTGTTAGAGCCCTATCGAAGTTCGTGGTAGAATTAAGCAATATTAGGTGTGAATATTCAATGACAAAACTTTTTCATCCATCTGTTTAAACAACGTAAAGTTATAACATCGATTTACTGTGTGTCCTTAAATATTTGTACAAACAGAAATTATTAAATCTATCTTTAATTAGTAGCCATATTTCACACTACTTCAAACCCTTCTTACATGACTGAATGTATGTCTTAGTACACAACATACTTGTATACCTCGGTCTAAGTTACTATAGTGAGTAGGGGGTTGACATTTCTACATCTTCGGCTTAGACCCACTTTCGGCCATTTCAGCAACAGATGGTTAACATCAAACATTATTTTGACACAAAATACACAAATATTTTAAGGTAAACTGCTACACGAACAAGATATATATGCTTCAAGTTTATCACAACGCTACAAACTTCACATAATGTAAACACAACCGTATGAAAAATTAGAAACAGTGTGTTTACCTAAATTCATCTCGATGTTTTCCTCTGTATAAATGACTTCCGGTTACTTCAATGAGGTTCCCAACGGGTTCACCACATTGATATAAATGTGTCCGGAATTCAGCCGACACAGATCATAATTTGGAATGTTGTGTCTTTTCTTTTTCTAATATTTCATTTTCATTACAGATTTATTTTTTAATTTAGTTTGTATTATATTTTTACATTTTTTTCACAAATATTATTTGATTTCTAACACGATGTAATTAGCTTGTTATGATAATTAACCTATGTTAAAAGATGGGTTTAATCCTGCTTACTCCTCCTAGCTGGTCTCGTTTATGAAAGATAACAGTCATGAGATACGATCAGTCATTCTGACCTCACTAACTTCTTATTACAATTTGAGATATTCAATTTTTAGTTTTTTTTTTATAACACTATAAAACCTAGAGAAGGATACGCCAATTTGATGATGAGGAGTCAAATAAAGGTGAGAAAAAGGTAATATTGTGTTTTGACGATTTTTTATTTAAGAAATGGCGTTTATTCTCAGTGCATTCTTATTTTGAAAAAAAAAATACAGTCTTCATACAAAAAGAGTTATGTTTAATAAACACATTTTTTCAAACAAGAGTGTTGGACATTATTCTCCAAAAGGTGCACGTTATAATATTATGTCAGAATCTTGTTTAAAATCGAAAGAATTTATATTTATACATCCATTGTACAATTGAATACTTACTGGGTGCATTATGGAACAATAGATTTAATATATTATTCAACAAACCACGAATGTGTCTCCTTTTCGTTGCTATTTGTATTGATTCTATAACCAACAAACCAACACTTTTATTAGTAACGCCACAGACGTATATAACACGTCTCTGGTAACGCTGATTAAAACACAGAGAAATTCTTAGTGATAAATTTATTTTTCATCACTCTGTAGGTTATTACATTTCATATTTTACTGAATACATGTGAAACACGGAGAGAGAGAGAGAGACAGGCAGACAGGCAGATATACAGACAGATGGTGATTATGGTTGTGGAATATCATCTGTGTTATATCATATTTATTTACTTATTGTTCTCGTCTCATTTCGATCTCCCCTAAAACTAGTCTTGTATTGATGATAAATGATTCGCCCCCCCCCCCCCCCCCCCGTCCCTGCACATGAACAATACAGAAAAAAATGCTTGAAACGTTCGAATAAGACACACGATCTGAAAAATTATAAGATATATCTATTCAGGAAGGAAGAATAAATTTGCGCAGTCTTTTGCGTCAGTTAAAAAGGTCAATTTACGGAAAAATGAAACTTCAAACATGCAGAGCAAGGGAAAAGTGGTCAAACAGACAACATTGTCGAATTGTTT